CCGGTAAAGTCTCTGTCTCTAATGTGCAAGCGCAGCCAGAACAATCAGTGGCTGCGGCTGAGCAGCAGATGGATGCTGTGGCGTCTGGAGTTAAAGTAGACGGCGCAGACTTCTCGTCGGATGATGAAGAACTAACCGGGGATGGTGATGCTGCTGCGACTGAAGAGACTTTGCGCAGCGTTGACGCGACTGAGGAAGCCTTAGATGCTCGCCAAAGTGTTGCTGAAGGTTGGCGTCATGAAAGTCGAGGAGGTGCGGCTCAGGTTCAGGAGTTTTCGCCACTTGGTGACAGTTTAGTCGAGGAGGCAGCGCCTCCTCGTAGGAGTAGTGGGAGTAACGGCACGGCCGAAAAGGATTCGGAGATTCAGCCACCTGATGGAAATAGAGCTCACGCAGCAGCAGCAGCACTTCCTCGTCACGGAAGTATGGCCATCGAGGATGCCCGGCGTAGTGCGCACGAGCAGCCAGGCACGCGGGCTTCTGCGGCTGAGCAGCAGCCGATTGTTGCGGCGCCGGATGACGAAAATGAAGAAGACAGAGGCTCTTTTCCCGTCTCGTTCGATGAAAAACCTACTGGATATGGTGTTGCTGGTGAAGTTTCGTATCGTGAGAGTGTAGCCGCGGGTACGTCACTGCAACGGAGCGAGGATGCGGTCAAAACTCGCGTCAAAAAACTTTCTATCGCGAATGCAGGAGTGGATTTGGAGCTGCAGAAGCGAGCGCCCGAGGAAGACACAGACTCTTCGTCTGATGACGTGCGAAGTTTAGAACTTCAGCAGGCCGCCACCTCCCCTGCGCACAGGCTTAGGCAGCGAAGTTCGATAGATAATATTTCGGGCTCCACTTCTGTGCCTTTAGTACTGGATGCTGTTGATCGTGAGTCGAGTTTTGCTCTTGATGTAGTCCACGATGACGAGCACGACACTGCCATGACGAGTTACTCCCCAGACGCAGCGTCGGAAATGCATGGCGGCCATGACCTAATGAGTTGTCATGCATCCTCAGACACTTCTGAAGATGAAGAAACGACTGGTCATGATGATGAAGGTCGTCGAAACGTTGGTACTGAAAAACTCAGCGTTCAAGAAACACTCGCGAAGAACGCAACTACAATGCCCGAGGCGGGAACAATGAAGTCCAGCAAGTTGGAAACAGATGATCTTGATGAGGATGCGGACGCCACGGGTGACGAACGTGAAGGTGCTGAAGCTGAGACCAGTCGTCTGGACGAGCTGCCAAATTTGCAATATCAACAGCCGGAAACTAGACCACAGTCGCAGGAAGCATCTCGTGGCTCTCTGGTTTTCCCTTCTGAGCGCACTAGTTCTCAGAAGCGGCGTTCTGCTGTCGGAAAAGTCACAGATACGGATACTACGAAAGATACCGCTCGCGCGGAATGGTCAAGTTCTCAATATCGACAACCGGAACGACGGTCGTCGCGGCAAGATGGGCCGAGTCGTGGGTCTGTTGCTCCTCCTCCTCCTGAGGCGCTCCGTAGTTCTCAGCAGCGCGTCTCTGATACAGGAAAACAGGCAGATGCGGGCACAAGACAAGCCAACTACCGTGCGGAGGTACTGAGTTCGCAATATCAACTGCAGGAAAGACGCTCGTTGCAAGAAGCCAGGCGTGGCTCTGAGCTGTCTCCCTCTGCCCCTGAACAACGAAGTTCTCAAAAGCAGACTTCTGAGACGGCAGAAGGGGCAGGCGAGGTCTCGCAGCGTGAAAGTGCGGCACGGGTTTCACGACGTGACAGTGCCGCTCGAGCCTCGCGCCTTGGCACTACTGCAGCGACTACCAACGATAAAGCTTCTGTCGCTAATGCGCAAGGTCACCAAGAGCAGCGGGCATCATCTGCGGCTGAGCAGCAGCCGGCAGCCGCTCAAGAAGACGCCGCGTCCTCGTCTGAAGATGAAGAACCTGAAACGGACAGTGCTAGCGCAATTGACGAGGTGTCGCATCGTGAGAGCGCGGCTTCGGCTTCCCAGCAACGTGAAAGTGCGGCTCCAACCTCGCAGCGTGCGAGTGCAGCCACGGTCTCTCAGCGTGAAAGTGCAGCTCGGACCTCGCAGCGTAAGACTGCGGCAGAGGCTTCTCTAAGTGAGAGTGCTGATGCGCGGGCATCTCGGCGGGAGAGTGTGGCAGCGGCTCCTCAACGTGAGACGAGTGCGGCTGCGGCGGAATCTCAGCGTGGGGATGCGGCGGCGGTTTCTCAACGTGAAAGTGCGGCTACCGCGGAATCTCAGCGTCAGAGTGCGGCTGCCCTTTCTCAACGTGCGAGTGCGACTGCGGGGGCGTCCTCTCAGCGTGCGAGTGCAGCTCATGCCTCTCGACGTGAGAGCGCCGCTATGGGTGATAAAGTTTCCGTGGTTGATGCGCAAGTGGACCCCGTGCAGGCAGGGGCTACCGCTCCTGCGGACCCGGATTCCGCTATTGTCGGTTCTGAAGAGGACACAGACTCGGCGTCCTCTGACGAAGAAACTGCATCAGAGAGTGGCGTCGCTGCGGTTGGCCAGGCCTCGCGAAGTGAGGGCGAGAGCGCCACTTCAGCTGAGGAAGTTCTTGTCACTGATGCGCGAGAAATCCCGGCGCAGTCAGGGACTACTGCTGAGCAGCAGCCGGACCCGGATGCCACTCTTGTCGGTGCTGCTGAAGAGGACACAGGCTCGGCGTCTTTTACTGATGAAGAAACTGCGTCAGAAGGTGGCGCTGCGGTTGGCGAGTTGTCGCAGCGTGCGAGAGCGGCTCAGGCCTCTCAACGTGAGAGCGCCGCTCCGGCTCAGAAAGTTTCTGTCGCTGATTCGCAAGCAAGCGCGCAGCAGCCGGCTGAACAGGAGCCAGATGCCGCTCTTGTCGTTGCTGAAGAGGAAAAAGACTCGTCGTCAGATGCAGAAACTGCATCAGAATCAGATGACGAATCTGCCGTTGGCAAGTTGTCGCTGCGTGCGAGTGCGACAGCGACACGAAAGGCCTCGCGACGTGAGAGCTCGACTTCGGTTGAAAAGGTTTCTGTCGCTGATTCGCAAGCAGGTGCGGCGCAGCCAGGGGCTACAGATGAGCAGGCACCGGATGCCTCTCCTCTTGATGCTGAAGAGGACAGGGGCTGGTCGTCAGATGCAGAAACTGCATCAGATCGCGATGCTGCGATTGGCAAGTTGTCCCAACGTGCAAGTGCGGCACAGGCCTCGCGACGTGGGAGCTCGACTTCGGTGGAGAAGGTTACTGTCGCTGATTCGCAAGCAAGCGCAGCGCAGCCAGGGGCTACAGATGAGGAGGCACCGGATGCCGCTCATCTCGATGCTGAAGAGGACGGGGACTCGTCAGGTGCAGAAGCTGCATCAGATGGCGATGCTTCGACTGGCAAGTTGTCGCAGCGTGCGAGTGCGGCTCAGGCCTCGCGACATGAGAGTATGGCGGCGGTTGCTAGAGTCTCTGCTGCTAATGCTGAAGCGCAACCACCGCCGCCGATGCCTGCAGCTGAGCAGGAGCCGAAGGAAGGCTCTCCTGAAGCGAAGGAAGACGCGGGGCCCGTGACGTCTGATAGAAATGCTACTGCAGCTATCGATGCTGAGGCGGCGGCTGGAGAGACGCCCTCGCATGAAATTGTGAGTAAGCTATCGCAGCGTGAGAGTGCGGCTTCTAATGCGTCGCAGCGCTTGACTGCGACTCGTTCCTCTCGCCGTGAAAGCAGCACTTCTGCCGCGACTACAACCGCCGACTACAAAGCTTCTATCGCTGATGTGCAAGCGCAGCCAGAACAGCCAATGGTAGCGGCTAAGCAGGCGACGGATTGCGCCTCTGAAGGTAAAGGCGGCACAGACTTGTCGGCAGCTGATGACGAAGAACCTCATGGGGGTAGCGATGCTGCTGCGACTGAAGAGGCTTTGCGCAGTGTGGACGCGACCGAGGAGCAGGAAGCTTTAGCCTCTCGTCGGAGTGCAGCGGCTGCTTCGCGTGACGGAAGTGCGGCCTCCGAGGTTGCGCGGCGTAGTGTGAGTGCGGTTAAGGACGAAACATCTTCAGCTTCTCGTCGGAGTGCAACTAAAGCCTCGCGTCGTGGAAGTAGAAGCACGGCTCAGGTTTCGGAGGCTTCGCCTCTTCATCAAAGCTTCGCTGAGGACGAGGAGCCAGAGCGTGCTCGTGAAAGTGCCGATGAGGCTTCGCGTCGTGAAAGTAGAGGCGCCACGGCTCAGGTTTCGGAGGTTTCAAGACTCAGTGGAGTTTTGGATGAGGGAGCAGCACGTGGTCGCGAAAGTGCCGCTGAGGCTTCGCGTCGTGGAAGTAGAGGCGCCACGGCTCAGGTTTCGGAGGTTTCGCGATTTAGTGGAGTTTTGAATGAGGAAGAGCCAACTGCTCCTGGAGGTGCCGTTGAGACTCCGCGTGGGGGAAGTAGAGGCACGGTTCAGGTCGAACAAGACCTACGCGGCGCAGTCGAACAAGTAGAACCACGCGGCGCAGTCGAACAAGAACCGCTTGGCGCAGTCGAAGAAGAACCGCTTGGCGCAGTCGCGAAATCACCCCGCCGCGCAGCCGCACGATCGCCGCGGAATGACGGGTTCTCAGGCTACACACGAGGAGCCGCCAGCCCAAGGAGAATATACGATGAGACACAGTTTGAACCCTACTGCACACCGAAAGGCTTCGGAACACCACGCGGAAGCACGACTCAGGTTTTGGAGGTTTCACGACTTCGAGAAAAACGCTTATCGCAAGAAGCCAGTCGTGGCTCTGAGATGTCTCCGCCTGCTCCTGCGCGACGGAGTTCTCAAAAGCGGACTTCCGATACAGGAGAAGACGCAGACGCGGTTGCTAGGAACGCCAGCCGTGCACAGCGTTCAAGTTCTCAGTATCAACGGCCGCACAAACAAGAAGGGGCAGACGAGGTCTCGCAGCGTGAAAGTGCGGCACGGGTTTCACGACGTGAAAGTACCGCTCGGGCTTCGCGTTTTGGCACTACTGCTGCGACTACCAACGATCAAGTTTCTGTCGCTAATGCGCAAGTGCACCAAGAGCAGCGGGCATCATCTGCGGCTGAGCAGCAGCCGGCAGCCGCACAAGAAGACGCCGCGTCCTCGTCTGAAGATGAAGAACCTGAAACGGACAGTGCTAGCGCGGTTGACGAGGTGTCGCATCGTGAGAGTGCAGCTTCGGCTTCCCAGCAACGTGAAAGTGCGGCTCGGACCTCGCAGCGTGCGAGTGCAGCTCCGGCCACTCAGCGTGAAAGTGCCGCTCGGACCTCGCAGCATAAGACTGCGGCAGAGGCTTCTCTAAGTGAGAGCGCGGATGCGCGGGCATCTCGGCGGGAGAGTGTGGCAGCGGCTTCTCAACGTGAGACGAGTGCGGCTGCGACGGAGTCTCGGCGTGGGAGTGCGACGGCGGTTCCTCAACGTAAAAGTGCGGCTCCCGCGGAATCTCAGCGTGAAAGTGCGGTTGCGCTTTCTCAACGAGAGAGTGCGACTGCGGGGGCGTCGTCTCAGCGTGCGAGTGCGGCTCAGGCCTCTCGACGTGAGAGCGCCACTATGGGTGATAAAGTTTCCGTGGTTGATGCGCAAGTGGACCCGGTGCAGGCAGGGGCTACCGCTGCGGACCCGGATTCCGCTATTGTCGGTTCTGAAGAGGACACAGACTCGGCGTCCTCTGACGAAGAAACTGCATCAGAGAGTGGCGTCGCTGCGGTTGGCCAGGCCTCGCGAAGTGAGGGCGAGAGCGCCACTTCAGCTGAGGAAGCTCTTGTCATTGATGCGCGAGATAACCCGGCGCACCCAGGGACTACTGCTGAGCAGCAGCCGGACCCGGATGCCAATCTTGTCGGTGCTGCTGAAGAGGACACAGACTCGGCGTCTTCTACTGATGGAGAAACTGCATCAGAAGGTGGCGCTGCGGTTGGCAAGTTGTCGCAGCGTGCAAGTGCGGCTCAGGCCTCGCGACATGAGAATATGGCGCCGGTTGCTAGAGTCGCTGCTGCTAATGCTGAAGCGCCACCACAGCCGCCGATGCCTGCAGGTGAGCAGGAGCCGAGGGAGGGCTCTCCTGAAGCGAAGGAAGACGCGGAGCCCGTGATGTCTGATAAAGATGCTACTGCAGCTAGTGATGCTGAGGCGGCGGCTGGCGAGACGCCCTCGCACGAAATTGTGAGTAAGGTATCGCAGCGTGAGAGTGCCGCTTCTAACGCGTCGCAGCGCTTGACTGCGGCTCGGTCCTCTCGCCGTGAAAGCATCACTGCCGCGACTACAACCGCCGACTATAAAGCTTCTATCGCTGATGTGCAAGCGCAGCCAGGGCAGCCAGTGGTTGCGGCTAAGCAGCAGACGGATTTCGCCTCTGAAGGTAATGACGGCCCAGACTCGTCGGCAGCTGATGACGAAGAACCTCATGGGGGTAGCGATGCTGCTGCGACTGAAGAGGCTTTGCGCAGTGTGGACGCGACCGAGGAACAGGATGAAGGTTCAGCCTCTCGTCGGAGTGCAGCGGAAGCTTCGCGTCACCGAAGTGCGGCCTCCGAGGTTGCCCGGCGCAGTGTGAGTGCTGTTAAGGACGAGGCATCTTCAGCTTCTCGTCGGAGTGCCGCTGAAGCTTCGCGTCGTGGAAGTAGAGGCACGGCTCAGGCTTCGGAGGTTTCGCCTCTTCATGAAGGTTTCGCTGAGCGGCCAGAGCCTGCTCGTCAAACTGCTGCTGAGGCTTCGCGCCGTGAAAGTAGAGGCGCCATGGCTCAGATTTCGGAGGTTTCCAGACCTAGTGGGGTTTTGGATGAGGAACCAGCGCCTGGTCTTGAAAGTGCCGCTGAGGCTTCGCGTCGTGGAAGTAGAGGCACGGCGCAGGGTATTGAAGTGCCGCATCTAGGTGAACGTAGCGGGGAGGCTTCGCGTCGCCGAAGTGCGGCCTCCGAGGTTGTCCGGCGTAGTACGGACGAGGCATCTTCAGCTTCTCGCCGGAGTGCCACTGAAGCTTCGCGTCGCGGAAGTGCGGCCTCCGAGGTTGTCTGGCGTAGTGCGGGCGCGGTTAAGGACGAGGCATCTTCAGCTTCTCGTCGGAGTGCCAATAAAGCTTCGCGTCGCGGAAGTGCGGCCTCCGAGGTTGTCCGGCGTAGTACGGGCGCGGTTAAGGAGGCATCTTCAGCTTCTCGTGGAAGTGCCATGGAGGCTCCGCGCCACGGAAGTGCGGCCTCCGAGGTTGACCGGCAGAGTGCGAGCGCGGTTAAGGAGGAGACATCTCCAGCTTCTCGTCGGAGTGCCACTGAAGCTTCGCGTCGCGGAAGTGCGGCCTTTGAGGTTGTCCGGCGTAGTGCGGGCGCGGTTAAGGACGAGGACGACGAGGCATTTTCAGCTTCTCGTCGGAGTGCAACTAAAGCTTCGCGTCCTGGAAGTAGAGGCACGGCTCAGGTTTCGGAGGCTTCGTCTCTTCATGAAAGCTTCGCTGAGGAGCCAGAGCCTGCTCGTCAAACTGCTGCTGAGGCTTCGCGCCGTGAAAGTAGAGGCGCCATGGCTCAGATTTCGGAGGTTTCCAGACTTAGTGGGGTTTTGGATGAGGAACCAGCGCCTGGTCTTGAAAGTGCCGCTGAGGCTTCGCGTCGTGGAAGTAGAGGCACGGCGCAGGGTATTGAAGTGCCGCATCTAGGTGAACGTAGCGCGGAGGCTTCGCGTCGCCGAAGTGCGGCCTCCGAGGTTGTCCGGCGTAGTACGGACGAGGCATCTTCAGCTTCTCGCCGGAGTGCCACTGAAGCTTCGCGTCGCGGAAGTGCGGCCTCCGAGGTTGTCTGGCGTAGTGCGGGCGCGGTTAAGGACGAGGCATCTTCAGCTTCTCGTCGGAGTGCCAATAAAGCTTCGCGTCGCGGAAGTGCGGCCTCCGAGGTTGTCCGGCGTAGTACGGGCGCGGTTAAGGAGGCATCTTCAGCTTCTCGTGGAAGTGCCATGGAGGCTCCGCGCCACGGAAGTGCGGCCTCCGAGGTTGACCGGCAGAGTGCGAGCGCGGTTAAGGAGGAGACATCTCCAGCTTCTCGTCGGAGTGCCACTGAAGCTTCGCGTCGCGGAAGTGCGGCCTTTGAGGTTGTCCGGCGTAGTGCGGGCGCGGTTAAGGACGAGGACGACGAGGCATTTTCAGCTTCTCGTCGGAGTGCAACTAAAGCTTCGCGTCCTGGAAGTAGAGGCACGGCTCAGGTTTCGGAGGCTTCGTCTCTTCATGAAAGCTTCGCTGAGGAGCCAGAGCCTGCTCGTCAAACTGCTGCTGAGGCTTCGCGCCGTGAAAGTAGAGGCGCCATGGCTCAGATTTCGGAGGTTTCCAGACTTAGTGGGGTTTTGGATGAGGAACCAGCGCCTGGTCTTGAAAGTGCCGCTGAGGCTTCGCGTCGTGGAAGTAGAGGCACGGCGCAGGGTATTGAAGTGCCGCATCTAGGTGAACGTAGCGCGGAGGCTTCGCGTCGCCGAAGTGCGGCCTCCGAGGTTGTCCGGCGTAGTACGGACGAGGCATCTTCAGCTTCTCGCCGGAGTGCCACTGAAGCTTCGCGTCGCGGAAGTGCGGCCTCCGAGGTTGTCTGGCGTAGTGCGGGCGCGGTTAAGGACGAGGCATCTTCAGCTTCTCGTCGGAGTGCCAATAAAGCTTCGCGTCGCGGAAGTGCGGCCTCCGAGGTTGTCCGGCGTAGTACGGGCGCGGTTAAGGAGGCATCTTCAGCTTCTCGTGGAAGTGCCATGGAGGCTCCGCGCCACGGAAGTGCGGCCTCCGAGGTTGACCGGCAGAGTGCGAGCGCGGTTAAGGAGGAGACATCTCCAGCTTCTCGTCGGAGTGCCACTGAAGCTTCGCGTCGCGGAAGTGCGGCCTTTGAGGTTGTCCGGCGTAGTGCGGGCGCGGTTAAGGACGAGGACGACGAGGCATTTTCAGCTTCTCGTCGGAGTGCAACTAAAGCTTCGCGTCCTGGAAGTAGAGGCACGGCTCAGGTTTCGGAGGCTTCGTCTCTTCATGAAAGCTTCGCTGAGGAGCCAGAGCCTGCTCGTCAAACTGCTGCTGAGGCTTCGCGCCGTGAAAGTAGAGGCGCCATGGCTCAGATTTCGGAGGTTTCCAGACTTAGTGGGGTTTTGGATGAGGAACCAGCGCCTGGTCTTGAAAGTGCCGCTGAGGCTTCGCGTCGTGGAAGTAGAGGCACGGCGCAGGGTATTGAAGTGCCGCATCTAGGTGAACGTAGCGCGGAGGCTTCGCGTCGCCGAAGTGCGGCCTCCGAGGTTGTCCGGCGTAGTACGGACGAGGCATCTTCAGCTTCTCGCCGGAGTGCCACTGAAGCTTCGCGTCGCGGAAGTGCGGCCTCCGAGGTTGTCTGGCGTAGTGCGGGCGCGGTTAAGGACGAGGCATCTTCAGCTTCTCGTCGGAGTGCCAATAAAGCTTCGCGTCGCGGAAGTGCGGCCTCCGAGGTTGTCCGGCGTAGTACGGGCGCGGTTAAGGAGGCATCTTCAGCTTCTCGTGGAAGTGCCATGGAGGCTCCGCGCCACGGAAGTGCGGCCTCCGAGGTTGACCGGCAGAGTGCGAGCGCGGTTAAGGAGGAGACATCTCCAGCTTCTCGTCGGAGTGCCACTGAAGCTTCGCGTCGCGGAAGTGCGGCCTTTGAGGTTGTCCGGCGTAGTGCGGGCGCGGTTAAGGACGAGGACGACGAGGCATTTTCAGCTTCTCGTCGGAGTGCAACTAAAGCTTCGCGTCCTGGAAGTAGAGGCACGGCTCAGGTTTCGGAGGCTTCGTCTCTTCATGAAAGCTTCGCTGAGGAGCCAGAGCCTGCTCGTCAAACTGCTGCTGAGGCTTCGCGCCGTGAAAGTAGAGGCGCCATGGCTCAGATTTCGGAGGTTTCCAGACTTAGTGGGGTTTTGGATGAGGAACCAGCGCCTGGTCTTGAAAGTGCCGCTGAGGCTTCGCGTCGTGGAAGTAGAGGCACGGCGCAGGGTATTGAAGTGCCGCATCTAGGTGAACGTAGCGAGGAGGCTTCGCGTCGCCGAAGTGCGGCCTCCGAGGTTGTCCGGCGTAGTACGGACGAGGCATCTTCAGCTTCTCGCCGGAGTGCCACTGAAGCTTCGCGTCGCGGAAGTGCGGCCTCCGAGGTTGTCTGGCGTAGTGCGGGCGCGGTTAAGGACGAGGCATCTTCAGCTTCTCGTCGGAGTGCCAATAAAGCTTCGCGTCGCGGAAGTGCGGCCTCCGAAGTTGTCCGGCGTAGTACGGGCGCGGTTAAGGAGGCATCTTCTTCAGCTTCTCGTGGAAGTGCCATGGAGGTTCCGCGCCACGGAAGTGCGGCCTCCGAGGTTGACCGGCAGAGTGCGAGCGCGGTTAAGGACAAGGCATCTTCAGCTTCTCGTAGGAGTGCCACTGAAGCTTCGCGTCGCGGAAGTGCGGCCTTCGAGGTTGTCCGGCGTAGTGCGGGCGCGGTTAAGGACGAGGACGACGAGGCATTTTCAGCTTCTCGTCGGAGTGCAACTAAAGCTTCGCGTCCTGGAAGTAGAGGCACGGCTCAGGTTTCGGAGGCTTCGTCTCTTCATGAAAGCTTCGCTGAGGAGCCAGAGCCTGCTCGTAAAAATGCAGCTGAGGCTTCGCGACGTGAAAGTAGAGGCGCCAAGGCTCAGATTTCGGAGGTTTCAAGACTAAGTGGAGTTTTGGATGAGGAAACAGCACATGGTCAAGAAAGTGCCGCTGAGGCTTCGCGTCGTGAAAGTAGAGGCGCCACGGCTCAGGTTTCGGAGGTTTCAAGACTCAGTGGAGTTTTGGATGAGGAAGCAGCACCTGGTCGCGAAAGTGCCGCTGAGGCTTCGCGTCGTGGAAGTAGAGGTGCCACGGCTCAGGTTTCGGAGGTTTCGCGACTTAGTGGAGTTTTGGATGAGGAAGAGCCAACTGCTCCTGGAGGTGCCGTTGGGACTCCGCGTGGGGGAAGTAGAGGCACGGTTCAGGTCGAACAAGAACTACGCGGCGCAGTCGAACAAGTAGAACCACGCGGCGCAGTCGAACAAGAACCACGCGGCGCAGTCGAACAAGAACCGCTTGGCGCAGTCGCGAAATCACCCCGCGGCGCAGCCGCACGATCGCCGCGGAATAAAGGGTTCTCAGGCTACACACGAGGAGCCGCCAGCCCAAGGAGAATATACGATGAGACACAGTTTGAACCCTACTACACATCGAAAGGCTTCGGAACACCACGCGGAAGCACGACTCGTCAGGTTTTGGAGGTTTCACGACTTCGAGAAAAACGCTTGTCGCAAGAAGCCAGTCGTGGCTCTGAGATGTCTCCGCCTGCTCCTGCGCGACGGAGTTCTCAAGAGCGGACTTCCGATACAGGAGAAGACGCAGACGCGGTTGCTAGGGGTGCCAGCCGTGCACAGCGTTCAAGTTCTCAGTATCAACGGCCGCACAAACGGTCAAAACAGCGACGAAGCCGCGCCGGTTCGGTCGCCTCTACTTCTGGTCCTGCGCGGCGAAGCTCGAGGCACCATTCTAAAGTAGAAGAAAACGCGGACGCAGACCACGCGGGTCGTGAAGATGAAAGCCGCTTGAAGTCGAGTTCACAGCGCCAGACGATAATCAAGGATGAAATACGAATACCCAAATTGAGAATCACCTCGCGTCGAGTGTCTCCCATCCCCGATGAGTCGACTTACGGAGAGCACCGTCCTCTCGAGGCAAGAATCGAACCAGCACGAGAAATCGGAGGCGAACCAGCAAGAGCAAGCGGCCTAACCATGTCCAGCGCGGCTGTACTAGAGCCTGCTCCGCGAGAATATGCTCGTCGCGACCGCAAGGCAGGCAGACTGAGATCACCGCGCGGCCAAGGTGTGGGGGGATACACACGCGGAGCTATGAGTCCCGGAAGGGTGCTCGACGAGGAAGAACCAGGAGCGGCTGCAGACGTAGAAGTCGCCTCAGGAAATATACGGGATAGCTCAAAAATTGTGCCTAGCATGGATTCTACGGCGCCTCTGCAAGAATATGCTCGTCGCGACCGCAAAGCAGGCAAATTGAGATCACCGCGCGGCCAAGGCGTAGGAGGATACACGCGCGGAGCTATGAGCCTCGCGGGAAAGGCACTCGAGATCGAGGAAGAACCAGCAGCTGCAAAAGTGAGACTCGCCTCAGAAAGACGAGGTGGCGAGTTTTCGCGGCTTAGTGGAGGTTTAGGTGAGGAAGAGCCGACTGCGCCTGGAAGTGCCGGTGAGACTCCGCGTGAGGGGAGAAGAGGCACGGCTCAAGTCTACCAAGAACCACGCGGCGCAGCCGCACGATCACCACGCGGTGACAAGATATCAGGCTACACACGTGGAGCCGCGATCCCGAGGAGATTATACGATGAGACACAGTTTGAGCCCTACTACACACCGAAAGGCTTCGGAACACCACGCGGCGAACCTACGGAGGACTCGGGCTGACGACTCCCTCTTGTTCTTTGACATCTCTCTAAATGGATCTAGTACAAGCAGACGCGGAAGGTGGACAAGTTCAACAACAAGAAGATCACAGAATCAATTATCCTGGCCTACAACTTGTAATTGATATCTCTCTGGGTCATCTAGCGAAGGCTAATCAATTGGAGATGATTACTACTTCAACAAAGAAGAATGTACATGTTCTCTCTGAGCTCTTTGATGTTTTTATCGATTATATCGAAATCGATTATTTTTCATATTCAGTTTGTTGTTTGGGAAAAGTGTGTGGTCCTTTTTTGACTTTCAGGACAACTCTGGTGTAGCTGGCGGACTTTCTGCGTCGAAGCCAACTCCAGAAGATGAAAATTAGGAAATGATCACATGTTTGTACTAGTACATGACACATTTCTATTTCAAATTTGTATTCTCGTTTTTATCTTGTAGTTTAATGTCTAACCTAACGTTAACCTTAACTGTAAAGAATGTTGAATTAATGCTACGCCATATTCATCGACGCTCATCGAGAACCTAACCGTAAGTGTATTTCATTTCTTCAATCAACATCTTGTACTTAGAGAAACAAGACACATCACAGGAATCACATTTGTTTTTATCTCAACTGACCTGATACTGATAGATTAGATTTAGATGAGGCTCTCATGAAGTGAGCCAGAGCATTATGGACTGGTGAGGGTTGGTGGAGAAAGAATCACGCCAACATTGTAAAGCAACAGAAAAGAAACAAAAGCTGAAGCTTAATCGCAATCGACTAAAAAAGGTAAGAGAACTGTAGACCTGACTGTAACTGTAGAATGAACTGAATCGGCTAGTAAGAAGATGCTAAATACACTGAAAAACACTGATGATTCCAAGAATCGCAACCGACTGTGGAAATACTTAAACAAAGCTGAGACAGCAAAACTGAAGATTGAATTTGAAGACCCCCCAATTTGCTCATCTAAAACCGTCAGACTTCGGTTGTACTAGTTCCCAGGAGAACAGCGATGCTCTTTCTCCTTGCATATGCGTCGCAGAAGGAACAAAAGCGCACACGCACGGGCCCCGGCGAAAGTCTTATGGCGTATATCGGTCACAATCTTTCGGTCCTCAAAATCACGCTGAGGCCCTCTCTTGTGCGCACCTTGATGCGCCTTTGCTTGCATTGTGCGCTTCGCAACAATCGGTGCTCACTGAGCTTGTAGAAATCACACGCGCTGTACCGCGGTCGCGCTCTGCCGGATCTAGATCAGGATGCAGGATCTATCGAAAACAAAGATCACTTGATGCGAGTTTAGCTGATGTAAGCCCTCTGTTATAATTCGCAGATCAACAATCTATCACAACATTTTTTCTTTTTGGCGCGCGCAAGCAATCTTTTCGTTTCCATATTACAACCTACTGCACTGGATGAAGACAGATTGTGTAAAAAGTGCATCTTATTTTTGTTCAGCAGCACTGATTATTGAGTCCTCAACGTTGTACGAAATTGAAGAAGATTGGCGTTATTGAGGAGCCCTGCGCCTGCCCACTACTGACCATGAATGTTGTTTTTTCCATGAGCCACATTACGTCTGCGTCTCTTTTTTTATAAATTTACCGATATCATTCAATCAACATCAAGATGGTGACGCCAAACCTCAGCAAGAGAGCTGAGGCAGTAGCTTGGGCAAACAACCCGAATCGCGTATACTGTTTCGAGTGTGGAGAGCACGCCGCATACCCAACACCAGCGAAGACCTTCGTCGACACGTGCGAGGAGCATGACTTTACGCAGCGCGACGACTTCTGCCATGGCTGCGGAACGACAGGCCGGCACTTTAGCGCTAGACAGTGCCAGAAGAAGAAGCGAGACCGACGCTGCACGGTGTGCACCGACGAAGCAGACTTTGTCCAGATGTTGGCAGCGGAATGCGCGACGCTTGTTATGCTCATGCGTCTCAGCACCTAAAAAGTATTCACTGTTAGCGTAGCCAAACATAGCTAGTACTAACGCTAACCCTCGCCGCGCCACTTAAGAGAAAGACACAGCAAAAACATGGAGAATTGATATTTATAATACGTACCTACTAGGACAACTCGAATGAACTTGAACGCTATGAAGGCAAAGCGGCACGCGTTTGCAGTATGTTATGATGAGCGCCTTCTTCGTTCTAATTCACAAAACACACTGCTGTGGATTCAGGACGAGTTCGCGACGCATGACGATGATGCACAGGGACGGGCGCGACTTGCTGCGTATTTTTTCTTTGCCGAGGTGGCTGCCTATGCGTTTTTCTTTATGGCTCGTTCCAGCTAGAGAAAGCCCCCACTCGTCTACTGTCTGAAAGCAGAGCATTGCTCTTCTTTATTAATATTCGTACTGTTTTCCTTTTCATGTCGGACGACGTTTGATCTTGTTATAAATATAATTCAACTGTGAGCGCAACGCGATTTTTACGCGAGGTAGTATGAGTTTATGCTTGTTTTGTATTTTGTCTACTTCTACTATGCAGCTTGCGTGTTGAAGTTCGCTCTGTTACCTCAAGTAGTGCATGCTGATACCTTGTCTTTATGGTTCTAATTGTTGATGTTCCAACTTGTAGGCACAGAATGACTGAGCAACCTCTAGTATAGCGTTAGACAATACGTAAAACGAGGCATCACGACACGACGTGGCTGCATGATGTTGACACATTTTCTCTCCGTCTTGCGATCATGTACTAACCCCTTTCTATCGATCCCGCCTGTCCTTTCTTCTTCATATGTGACAACCAGGAAGGACTGAGGGAGCGTTGGCAAGATGCGGAAGAGAAAAAGGAGCCCCTTCGGCAGCAGTTCGTTGATCGAGTTCATCAAGAGGTCGAAAAGCAAGGACGGCTGAGCATCGACATCGGCACGGCGCGGCGTGTATTTTTCTTATTTGCTTGTCGTGGAGTAGATTTCCATTTCAATTTTTGGCGTCACTTCACTTGACTATCTAAGGTTAATCATGAGACTATTTGTAGTTTCTTACTCGTTATCGTTTCTCATGTGCAAGCATCGGTGAGCGTTTGGTCTTATTGGGACAGTTGTTTGCGTTTATTCCGCTGAGCCCGTCGACCAATTTTACTCTTCTAACACACAAATGCCCTCCTCGATTAGCTTTTGACAAACACACGCACGCCCTCCATATTTTTCAATCATGGGCCCCTCGTAATATGTCAACAGCCCATTTTGCTCCTGCTCGTGCTCGTCTTGTTCTTGATCCCTTTGCCCTTGTGGTCGTTCTTGAAGATCAGTACTGTTCTATCGCCTCGTCGCCTTCTTCTTCTTGCTGTGCTTCAAAATTCAAGTCAACCGAACTATCAACAGATGCTCGATAGCGCTTCGCTTATGGAGCTCCTTTTCGTTGGAAACCCGAAAGAAGTCGACCGCTTTGCGAAGAGTCGACTGGTCCCAGGTGATAAGGCTTTGAGCTTTCAGCTGAGCAAGCATATTGCGCTGCATGTCAAAGCTTTTGGGGACTTGCGCCACCACTTACTGCGCGGCATCTTTTGGAAGCATGAGCACCTGAAGCAGATCGAGCTTGCTGCGCCAGAAGACGGCTCACGCTCACGACCAGGCGCAGGGGAGCGGGAGCACGAACACGACGTGGCGAACGAGGTAGAAGTGGTTGCTTATCGTTATCCAGTCAGTAGACGTAGCAACGCCACTGAAAAACTTGCCGCGCGGGTTCGCAAGAAAATCGTGGAAGACTGCCAGAACAGAGACTACTTTCCGACCCTCACGGACGAACAGGGCCACGAGGTGAAATATGGAGAAATTTTTATGGATAGGATGCGAGTGAATTTAAATAAGAGAATTACAATCGCCATAGCGTAGATCAGAGGGCGCAGCTGAAGCCGCTCTATTTTTAGATGAAGGCCATATTAAATATGGCGACCGCGATGCGCGTTCTTGGTGCTCACTTTGGGTATTACTTCTTTCTCCTCGCAACTAGTAGCTGCGTGCATGATCATACTGCTAGTAGAAGTTCGTCACCGCGATGAGGTCGAAGGTGTATCAGATCCCTGCTGAGTTTCATGATAGGCGGATCTTGTTCTTGTCTATAAAATGTCATGAATTTTTGAAATGGGGCGCCCATTCTTGTTGTTTTTGTTCGTTGTAGTTATGGTTATCGGCAGAGCAGGGCGAGGCCCATCTCGCTTCGAAGTTGATGTAGACTCCGATCAAAGTAACGCTTTGCTATATCCCTTACGTTCTTAGCCCCCACGCTTGCCTCTTAGCTCTGCGTTCATTGACGGGCTTTCGATGCTGCTCTATCGTTTAGAGCGGAACATGCTGGAAACCGGCAACAACCAAACGCGCACGGACTTACTACGGGAGCTGAAGGCCTGCGGCAGCTTATGGGTAGGGAAGGCAAGCGACGCCACCGCTGCCATTTGTAAGGATCTGAAGTTGGACCCCAGCACCGTCGGGAAATACGTCTACCGAACACTGCGAAAACTTTTACGATGAAGTAAGTCGCTACCTGCTCTAGTGGGCTTCGCGGTAGTTGCTAAATCGGTACAGGTAGTGTCTTGCTGATTGGTTTGCCCTTGTCTTCTTGCATCGGGATAGCGTAGTGGCCTGCTTTTGGCAGCGTGGGTGAGCGTGATGCTTGACCATTATAGTATAGCTCTCTCGTTTGTCTACCCGCGGGGCTAGACAATCTAAGTTGGCTGGAATTAAGTGAAGTGAAAAAGTTGCAGCGTGCAACCTATGGGTACATGGACTAGCTTGCTTCCCTCTAAACAATGCCGACGAGCATGGAGAACTGCGAAAGACTTTGAACGAACAGGGCGAGCACGTTGCGACAGCTGACATCGTGGCGGAGTTATTGCAGAAACCATTTAGACGACAGCCGGCCGCGATCAACTCGGAAAACGAGGGCGCGAGAAGTGGAGGCCTGCTGGCGCCGTCGGACCCGCTACAAGGCCTGGCGCTGGTCTTCGACTGTGCAGAAACTTCGCAAGTAGCCTCAGCCGTGACGAATGCGGGGGCGCCTCCTGCTGTTGCGGCATCAAGTGGGCAGACACCTCGCGACGCGGCCGCCTCTTGCGGTGAGACGCCCGGCCATGGCTTGAGGGCCCCATGCGCTGGCGAGACGCCCAACGGTGCGCCGCTTAATGGTGAGAGCTGCGGCGAGACACCTTGCGGCGAGACACCATATGGAGAATTAGGCCAAACCCCGGAGCCGATTGGAGGCTCGAGCGCAGCGGCTTGCCTCCAGACGCCTGGCTTTGATCTTGAGGAGTATTTTGGTGGCGGTGGGGCCGTTCGATTCGACCCGGCCAGGGGCGACATTACTGACGACGAAGCCCGCAAACACCACGAAGGGAACCAGCTACCGGTGCTGAAATGGGTGGACGAAGCAGACGGCGAAGGACTTGAAATAAGGGCGGAGGCTGGTCGCAACTTTATGGCTGGCCCGGTGCTAGAGTTCTGTGGTGCAAAAATTACATCAGCAACGAGGCTGCTAGACTATTCAGCATCACCCGGCTGCTAGTGACTACGCGGGTGGCCATCTCATTCCCAAAAGAGTAAGAGATGAGGCCGCAAGCGCAGCCGCAAGCGTCTAGTATTTACTGTAGCCGCTACCTACTAACTTTGGAGAATCGGCGCCAACTTCAGTTCGTGCGTTCTCAAATGCTAGGCTTTCCGCCTCGTCTCCAAGTTGTATATACGATCAGCATCAGGGACTAGCGGTAGCGCAGCTAGTGACTCTAGTTTGGTTAGTTCTCATATATGTGACGTGGGGCATATACTCGGTTATAAGACTGAAGAAGAAGACGCTCTTAAGCTACTTCTAAGCTCATCGCCGACACACCCGCACGGCGCTGGGATTCAGATACAGACGGGAAAAACAAGGATGGCGAGCAGGCTGGTGGCGGGCGGCTGTGGGACAACAATAAGACGCAACGGGAGGAAGGGGCTGGAGGTGAAGCGCCTGCATTTCGAAGCTTGGCCGCTCTTGCTGCAGATGATGCACCGGCAGACAGTTTCAAGGAAGTGGTCGACATCGTCGGAGAAGTCGTCTCTCATTTATGCATCTGCGCCATGTGTTTCCTCTCCACATACTATACTTGTTCGCCCCAAGTGCAGGAGCCTACCTCTAACTCTATTCATCTTGTCGCAACTATCTGCTTCTGTAAGTCAAGCGCTTGCTTGTGATGAAGTAGCGCCCCTCTTCTTTGTGGTATTCTATTTTTAGGGCATACAGCTACTTAGACCTAGAACTACAGTGAGAGCGTGAGCAGTCCCAGCATCTTCTTTGAATAGGATCCGCATCAAGATCAATTTTGATTTTAGAGCTTGATACTGATAGATTTCGCTTTCGGTCCTTCTCTGTATCGGCATCCAGTTATGCTTATGGAGAGCGTATCTGCCTCATGCGCCCGGCTGGGTTCTCTCTTCATCTTCGCCGAAGTGGTTGCAGTTACTCCGGGCGATTGGGTTCGAGTGGGATATGGAAGAGGCGAGCAAAATTCTGGACCGCAACCTGGTGGAAGCTGCCGACCTCGCCGAAGGTGTGCACGCTGAGAAGATTGTGCACGGTGGCGACTTTTTGAACAGGGAGGCTCTGAATTTCACCAAAAAAAGCGACGGGACTATGAGGAGCCTCTACATATGGCAGAAGAGAAGACTTAGAGGCGATAGAGATAGACTCACTTACGCGCTGGGTATCCGGTCGCATCTTATTTGATAAAATAGACCTAGACATAGACGCGCGACGTTTGATGATGATAGACTCACTTTGACAGTGGCCAGTGGGTACCTTGAATTCTATGGCGATTTAATCAACAACGCCAAGCGCTATCTTAAATTTCACTGATCATTAATTGGCATCGGCTGACCCGCCAAAATGTAGCTTGTTCGATACAGCGACAGCGAGGCTCTGTTGGACTTTTCCTGTGTCTCGCTTGTCGTTTGGATTGGTATGGTCGTCACTTTTTCGACGACAGTCGTACAAAACTAGTCGGGCTATGATTCTAGATTGACGGCGTAAAGATGGTTGCCTAATTGTAAGTACCAAAGCAAAACAAAGCGCACGAAGCAGAAGCTATTAGTGAAATCTTCTAACTTTCGAACTGATCAAGCGCCGCGGTCTCAAGCCCGTTAAATTCAGCAAGCGGCTGGATGCGTTGGAGGAGCCGAGCGCGTTTCTATACTTTGGCCCGCACCTTTATAAGCCGGGCGGCATGACGAAAGCAGCCACGGAACTCCCGAACGTCTTCAAAATGGTCAACCACATGCTTGCCACTGAGGCAAAGCGCGCCGGCTTGCCCCTGAAGTACACGCACTTTTAAGAATTTAATACAAGCTTGAAGGCCGTCTTATACTATTTTGTTTTTGGTGTTTGCCTTTGGACAGATGAGAGCGTCTCTGCCCCAAATCTTCTTCGGCACCTTCTTTGTGCGCCTGCAAATATGGTAGCGACTTGTATCTGAGCAAGAGCATCACGCAAGCAAGTCTGATGCTCGTAAGTAGATTGGAGCCTAACTACAAGTAGAGCCCAGAGATCGGGCGGCTGGTCTTAGTTGCAGCACCCTCGAGCGCATCAAGGTCAGTCGCGCTCTTCTTCTAACTTGGCGGTCTTCTGTGGAACTGCAAGACGCACGTTCACAGCGACGGCAAAAATGCTGGCCCCAGCTATCTCATTGCCGCAGGAGACTACGAAGGTGGCATGTATGTGGAGTACGACCCGGCCGCACGCGACAGCGAGCACAAGAGCGTCGTGAAAACCAAGAACGGGAAGGGAATTACCTGGCCAAGGCAAGAAGGTGCTGCTTTTATCTGCGTTTCATCGCTTCGGCGTGCTTATGTGCTGCTTCAGCCATCTCCTTTGTTTCTATCATTATTCCTCCATCCCTTTTTCCATGATCAATATGCTGACGACAGCTATTCTATGTAGACTTACGCATGTAGTTGCAATCGCATGGGTCCTGGCGTCGAGTTCTGTTGTAGGTTGTAACTCCTTTATACTCAGGTGAGGGGCCGGGATCTCGGCACCACCTTCCCGAAGGAGCTCGAGTTTTCGGGCGTGGTACGGATGTGCGCTACAAGCTGGCATATAAAAGCGGCCAGCCCCCCCATTGGACAGGTGACTTTACTGGCGAACGGTTCCTCGTCGTCGCTTGGGTCGACCGCGCCTGCAAAGTTCTCCCGGGCACAGAGTGGCACAAGATTAAGGCTGTGCTGATGCTGTTGCTTCTCTATTAGACGGACCTTGCTGCTGTAGCGCATTTTTACTTGAGTCCAGCGATCCGCTTCGCGTAGTTGTTCATGGTCATAACCTTCGCGGCACCTAGTTGATCTGAGACACCGCTCACTTTGGTTCACTTCGCTCTCTGTCTTGTTCCATCTACTTTTTGCGTCACTCCTTGCTCTGCGGGGTGGCGTGACCACTGTCATTGTGTGACGGTAACTAGCTCTCAGCGTGTGTTCTTCTCTAATTTGGAGATGACGAAAGCCGGACATAGAGGAATTCCGGTCTACGATGACAAGGCGACCAAGCCTGTCGCAGCGAAGTCCTCGAAGGCCAGGCAAAAACCGCCGAAGCGGCCACGCGAGGACGATCAAGAGGATGACCTTCTGGGAGATGACTAGAGCGGCTCCTATTTTACTGCCGTTGGACTCTCTTAGCCTGGCCTCCTTTTTTACAAATGCAGCCAGGCGCTAGTGCCTGTGACTCATTTTCTTCACGAAGATCCAAAGATAAGAGCTGCTGCACGATGTCCAGTGTGTTGATGATTATAACGTATGAAATGACCCTCGTCGTATAATTAATGGCGCGACGACTTTTCAAATATAATACGGCGTGAGATATGGGCCCAGGTGAAAACTATTCCAAAAATATGGCGGCGCGGCCTGTAGTAGCTTCATGCAAAAAAGTGGCTGCGTCTAGTTGAGACGCAAATAAATGGCTACTGCGCTACTTAGCTGATAAAGTGCCAGAGCAAAACTTATCGCATGAGTGCAACTAGCTAAGTACCACTCACAGCGCCGCGCACTGCCAAAACTACAGTCCCCACAGTATGAAACAACCGATCCCCTCGCGCATTGAACTACAACGACAGCAAGCGTCCTACTATCATCCACACAAAGGCCGCACCTACAGCGATGCGATGCTTGTTCTGACTCATTTCAAGAACATAGTCAACTACAAAAACTGAAAATAATACATAACAAGAGAAAGGAACGCAGATTATCAGCGTGCTGCTTCAGCACGTTGCTTCTACGTATTTTTGTTGTAGTATTTTGATCTTGATGATCAAGTGGCTTCTCCAAATTACTTAATAAAATGGCAATGCTCTTGTATGTATGAGTGAGCAGCTCTTATTCTCTTTGGCTTAAAAATAAAAACGATGCGTGATTCCAGATAAAAAGCCAGGCAGACCAGACTCTGCCAGCGACCTCGTGAGTTCTTTTCCTTATATCCTAGTATTTATTGGCATTCCTATGAAGTCATCCGTTGCCATCATAGCATTGATATGCAAAACCAATATAATCCCCCAAAATCTCGCCCCCACTTGTACACATTGATGTATCTTTAGAAATTTTGTGCATGTTGATGCACTATTGTTTTTAGCACGACTTGACTTGTTCTACTTAATCTTATATCATTCCACGACCTTCCACGCATTACGAATGACCATTTGTCTCGGGTGAGCATTGATCAATGCGTGCTGCTGTATGTCATCTGTTTCTGTTGTGGAGTTCAAAGCTCCTCTTGTTCTTGGGCACGCGACGCAATATATTGCAGGTTAAAAAGCATTGATCAACCAGGTGATGATGATTGCCCCTTGCCGTGGTGGTGGCGATGCTGTTCAGTCGGTTGATCCTGGGGCTCTGTAGTCAACCTCTTTCGGTGGCGAAGTGCCGCACTAGAAAACTCCGCACAGCGAAGCTCTTCTTCAAGTTCAACCTACCAGTGATGGCGCTTTCATGGCAAAAATCGGACGACATTACCGGGATTGATCTGATTTCGGTGCTCTCTTGGATTTGTAATCTTTTTCTCATGTTTAACAACTAGTACATCAGCAACTATTCACTAGAGCTCCTAGTACGTAGCACCCTGGTCCAGGAGTAGCTTTAAGCATAAGCTTCCAGCTCCAGTCATATCTATCATCATGCTCGATCATTCTAATTCAACTAATGATTAAACATCGTCAAAAGTCATGCGATTATAGTTCCTGTTTCTCAACGAAAAAATCTCCATCCAAAGAAAGCAGAATGCGCTAAAACTTTTTCAGACCGTGATGTTGACAATTTTAATTATATACGACCATGTGAGGTTTCTGTTCTTCATCAATTAAAGTGATCATCACTGAGCGACTTTTTACTTGATTTACTTCATATTGCTTGATGACGAGAATACATTACTCTTACTGGGTAGTAGAGTTATTTGAAGAGGTTCTTGACGAGCTCGCCAAGCTCGAAAAAAATATGTCACATGTTTTGAAATCTACGCAATTGTTTTCTGATTTTCCCATTCCCCTCTGGCATTCGTTTTTGAGCTAATGCTTCAAGGTACGTAGTGTCTCATAAAAACTCGTCTTTGTTCAATGTCACTAGCACGGCAGCTTTTTTATACCTCTAATTATTTCACATCATACAAGAACAAAAACAATACGAAGGAATACCTAATAATCATCAAGATCATCATATTCATATTAACCATCGTCGTTTCTTACTACTAAAAAAAACTAAAATTCGTCGTCCCTCATTCCTCACCCTTACTAACAACCAAGTGGCAACCAACCATAAATGTATAATATTTAGCCACGTCGGCGATCAATCAACATGATTCAACAAAAGCAAGCGGCTACGACGTGCCGGCGCCGCCGGCGACGGCCTGCAAGTAATGAAGTGCTCGAGGAGGATCGCGAGGTAGTCGCGAGCCTCGAGCAGATTGGGGGACCGTGCCTCGCTGTCAATTTCGCTGCTGCTTTAAAGTTAAGGAGAAAAAGACTCGACCAGGTTGCGCCACGATATTAGTAGCCCACTACACCTTGCGCGCTCTGCTGATTCGTCTGCGTAGTTGGGTAAAACAGGCAACTCATTTGCGCTTATCATACGGGCGGAGAAGTAAGAGCCCATTGATAGCAGGTGCATGTCTTTACTCGGAAGAAGGTCATGCTTCTGTAATTTCTCAGCATTGTCTCTATCTAGTGCCATGAGATCAAAAGTGCTCTCATCTGCGCATAATATAAACCCTAAGTACTAAGTCTCAATACAAGTGCAACTAACTCTAAAACCTAAATGCAAATTCTACATATTTATTGAGCCTGTAGCTGTGAAGCACAACCAGACAATCATCTCGACTCTCCTACACGCTCTAACAAGACTTCCTGTCTTCTGCAATTATGTGAAGAACAATCAGGGAATATCAGCCCTGTCGCCGTACTTCATCAAGCCTCCAAGACGGTACTTGGGGTGTGGTCCTGACCTGAACCTGAGGGCCTTCAAGGCTTTCGCGCAACGAGAAATGGACTGCATACATGAAACTGGCGAGGAGGAAAGTAAGAACGAGAAGCGCCAGAATAATTGGGAAGAAAAATTTGGTACAACCACTCAACTACAACACCATGCTGAAGATATTATACTTACTATGCATAGGCACTTACTACTCATGCATAGAGACATTAATGCTAGTATACCACAGAATGGTCGGGATGATAGTCAAGCAAGGAGTCCATCAATCAGAATGCTTCTACTTGCTAGTTGGATGGTGCTTTTTTCCACATTCACTACAGGTTCTGCGCGACTACTCGACATCGACGGCAACGAGGAGGCTTTGGAAGAGATTCGGCTATTACTTGACGCCATCCCCGAGGAAAAGCTTCAAGACTGCGCGAAGATCAAGGCTCGCGTCTGTGCAAGGGAGGAAGCCCTGCAGAAGAATAATAAGGCTGCTCTGTTTCTTTTCTACATTTAAGTCTCAAAGAAACTGTTGTTCGTGCAAATTTTTTATGTTGTTGTTACCGATGGTGATCATGATGCTGCTCGTGCTCTCTCAACTTTTGCTTTAGTCGACGGGCACATGCGTAATTGAAGGCCGCCTAGTAGAATATAGCTTATACCCACTTCGTTCCAGAAATTGGAGGCAGCTCAATATGTTGGACGAGTTCTGATTTCAGTCTCCTTATCGAATCAACATGAAGTCCCATATTTCGTGTCCCGTAGAAGATCTAGTTCTAGAAAAAGTGCTTACGCTTAGCATTATAAATATTTGTCTTTCTAACAGTGAGACTCTGCCGGAGGCCGATAAAGATTTTCGGCGAAGCGATGACGATTAAGGGCGCCCGCTTATTTCTATCCACTTTCTTGTAGCATTCATTTGACGCAAAGGGAGTATATCAAACCGGTTTCATGGGTTTTAAGCTCTACCTCTAGTTGTTCAACTAAGTTTGTGCTCGCTCAACATTTTCTAAGAAAAGCGCACTGCGATCATCTTCGACCGTCAAGTCCGACTTGCTCAACAAATCTTAAGGAGCAGAGTTGTCCCATCAAAGATCCTGATCGCAAACGAGCGCGATCGAAGCGATGGCAGGACTCGACTCTCCCGCATCGTTCGCAAAATGGTCGAGGAGCAGCAAGAACGTGCGCAGCAGGCTCCCGAAACCGCAAAGGAACTCGACGTGGAGACTCAGCGAAGCATAACGGACAGTCTTACGACAACGACTGCCGGGAACAGGGAGCAATTTGTCATAGCGGATAGTCCTACGAGTACGACTGCTGAGCCGGCGGCTTCGGAGTCTTCCGCCAAAAAAGAGGTGGCTCGTGTTGAGAAGGTGCAAGGCGCTGGTGCGGAAAATGAAGAAAAGGACGATAGGAAACTACATGATCTAGCGCTCGTTGGTAACATCAAGGGAGACGATAACACGACGCAAAGGTCGTCAGGTACACCGATGACCAAGGCACCCGCTCGGCCTCTAGCTTTTGCTGTGAGCATTCCGAAGGGCGCAGCCCCGCGCCGGGAGAAAAAAACGCAGACGAAGAAGACTACTGCTCTTGCCAAGGATGGAGACTCTCTCAACGACGAGAGTGAAGATGAAGACCACGCGCAACACCATGATCTCGACGATGCTGAGACAGAAGACGTTTTATTTGATTTTGCGAAGAAGAACCACGAAAAGGCGTCTAGTGCGTACACAGCTCTGAACCCCTCGCCATATGAAGCAGTTCCTCCTCGCAGACTGAAGTTGATGTCGACGGGTGACGTCTTCAATTAAGGCATACTGCGTTTGAGTAGATGTTTTTTGCCCCTAGAACTTAAATGGTAGAAGCGCACAATATCTAGAATATTGATTGTTGAGTTTGTTTGACTAGGATTTAGCTCCTTCTAGATGAACTAAAGTGATGAAAGCGTCTTCGAGATGAACCTGACTGATGAAATCAAGGGTGATCATGATAATGTCTTCGTCGAAAAGCGTAGTCCCCTAAATATTTATCTGACGAAACAAGAACTTGATGAACTTTTTTGGCTACTCAGAATTAGATGATCCTCATCTTCTTCTAATATGGTTTCTTCTGGTTACATCACGACTTCGGCGATCGCGTTTGGTATGTTACGGACCTCGTTGATCGCGGTGAGCTGCACAAGCGTTTGGATATGTGCTCGGAAGATCTCTTTCAGCAGCCACTAGGGAAGGCCCTCTCTCGGATTCAACTTGGAACCAGCAACACGTTTGAGTCGGGCGTCTGGGTCCTCGGCAAAAACATCCATATTGTGGACGACCTGATGGGCAAAGATGGGCACGGGAAAATGGTACTTTCTTGCACTCATATTTTTTTTTGTTGATGATTTGCATTTGTTTTTTTGCTTTACAGTGACCTTATTATTCGATGTAGCGAGCACCTAATACTCTCTTCTTTACAATCCTCATTTTTTTTTTAAGTTGCTCGTCCACGGCATAAATAGATGCGTCAGAAGCTTAAGTAGACTAAACGTGTTTGTTACTAGGGACCCTGGGTTCATAATTAGTTTTTGTTTATTTTTGACTTGTGACAAGAAAAAATAGTCAAATTTTACTTTTTCTCCGTGTAGCCTTCTTCCTATGTTGTATACGCTCCTATGATTCTCAGAACCCACTGACCGATGGGAACGGTTGGGCCAACTACGCTTGCGTGGCTTTGCTAGAAGAGAAGCTTCGGGAGCGTCCGAGCACTGCGGTTAATCTAGGTGCTTCGACAAAAGTGCAGCTGATTCAATGTCGAATCGCCGCAGCGAAGCTAACCCTCCAATTCGAAGAAGACGCGGACGAGGTGGCGCGCCTGCACAATGCGGATGATGGCGAGGATCAGCATCGTGATGGCGGCAAAAAGGCGCCCCCGTCGTGGGATGATGGCGACTATGAAGATGGTGACAAAAATAGGTCCTCGTCGTGGCATGATAAAAGCGGCAAGAAGTGGTCGGGTGATGAAGATAAAGACGAGGATGAGATGAACAGTGGCGACGCCAAGCGGGAGAAGGGGCAGGAGGATGGTAGGCCAAATCAGAACCACGACAACGAAAAAGACGGCAGCAAGTGGGATAACAAAGCGACCGACGCCTCTTCGCAGTCGTGGCATAAGCAAGCATGGAGCAAGCCCATCAAAAAAAATCCCTGGTGGGAGAAAAAGGGCAACAACAAAGACTGGGTTAACAAGGGAAACGACGAACACAAGTGGTGGGGGAAGGACGATAACAACAAGTGGTCGTGGGACAAAAAGGACAAAATTCAGTGGTTGGAGAAGAAAAAAAAGAACAAGGAATGGTGGAGCGGCAAGAGCTGGGATGATAACAAAGCCTCGAACAGCAAAAGCCAGCGGAACACCGACGAGCAGGATGGCTACGGCAAGGATTGGCACAGCAGCGAAAGCAATACGCTAGTTGAGAAAAGTGGGAAGATGGTGCACAGTCACGACTGGGAAAGCCAGAATTCTAACAAAGAGGCAGAACTATGGTGCAGCAACAAGGACAAGCAGGATTTTCACACTTCTGATGGCGATGAAGCGGAGCGTAGTGGAGAGCTACACCAGCCTTCTTCCCCTTCTTATAGTTCGTCGAGCGGCAACAAAAACTGGTGGAGCTGGGGCAGCAAGCAGGAGTCTTCTTCTTCTAGTTTTTCTAGCAACAATAAAGATTCTTGGCGGAATTGGGGAGGACAGGATTCTTCTTCTTCTAGTTCTTCTTCTAGCAAGTACAATAAACACTGGTGGGGCTGGGGCAAGCAGGAGGACTGCTCCCTTCCTTCTTCTAGTTCTCACAACGACAAAAACTCCTGGTGGCAGGATGCCTGCGAGACCATGGACGAAGTAGAAGGAAAGACTGGCAATGCAGCTGAGAAGCAAGAAGAGGGGACATCTGTTGATGATGTGGAGGACAAGAAGGCCAGCAAGCACGGCGAGTCAGAAGACCAAAACGATTACTCCTCTCCAAAGAGCGACGGCGCGGCTGCATCTCCTGCTCCTCCTCCCTCGTCTTCTTCCAAAGGTAACACCAAATGCGACGAATACTTCTCACCGAGCCAGCACAGAAACTCTTTCGGTGACCAACAAAGCCAGAAGTGCGCAACCAGTTGCGAACGCGACAGGCAATCCTGTGAACAAGGAAATAACGTAGCATCAAATGGCTTTCATGCGCCCGCTTCTACTCCGTCTATGAGCACCATGAAGGGGGACGACGACGCGCTGCAAAGGTCAGGCAACAAGCGCTCTCGCTCTGTTGAAGATATGGCTGACTGTGCGGAAGCTAAGCGACAGAAGACTGACGCACCACCACAGAATCGTGACACGACAGCGGAGGCGACTACAGTAATCGACGGAAGGTCTATTGCTGGGCAAGACGCTAATCATGCCCCCGAAGAAGATCTTTCTCAAAATCACGGCGCCGACAAACCTGACAACGATTGGAATTATTACAAGAACAGCTGGAGCGACTGGGATATCGATAAAGACAAGTCGAAGCAGAACTGGAGCTACCATAAAGACGGAAACTCCTCGAAAAAAGGCTCGTGGAATATGGGTGAAGACGACTCCTCTCAACAGTGGGATGACCAAAAATGCTCCTGGTCGGACTCGGATTGGAAGAAGGGAGAAGAGGACGAGGACAAGAAGGACAGCTACAAGATGGAAGACGTGGAGGTCTACATCCCCAAAAGCGCGCTCAAATGGAAAGGGGCAATCGTGGAGGATGTACTATCTATGATGAGGAATTAGCTCCTTTTGTATTTCTTTGCTTGCTCCTGATTGTGATAGAAGTGCCACCGGCTTGTATTTCTATGTGGAGTATTTGAGTGGCAACAACTATTAGAAGGCTGCCGCGTGCATAAATACTTGATGTAGTTCTAAATTAAAATGCAGCTGTCGTCATCTTGTTGTTCATCTTTTTCAATAGCACTTTGAAATCAGCTCTAGCCGGATGCTTACCCTTCTCTGCAGCTAAGATTTCTGAGTTTTTCGCATGTTCCAGAATTATTGCCTATTAACATGCTGGCGAAAGTATGTCTATGTGACTTAAGGTGAAGACGCTAGCTATTTAGTATATCTTCTAGTACAACAATTCCGACAGCGCTGGTATCCGATCGAGATCTGCGATGGAAAAATCTGGACTGATCGGCCTTCTGGACATAAGTCGAAAGCCTTCCTCAATACCGAGCTGCTGCCCATATTGGAACATGGTTGTTGCGTTGAGCCTGCAAGTGCTAATGAGACCGAGTGCGACCGCTTCAAACGACGCGAGCGGTTTTTCCCCATTCTCGACGTGCTCCGGAAGGAGCACCTTCGGGTTATCCTGGAGCACATCGCAGGCAAGTGTGGAGACGAGTCGACGCGCATCCCCTTCGCTTAAGGCTTCTAATGAGGATGATACAAGTTCGCTCTTTCTTACTCTTACAGAAAAGATTAAGATTAAGTAGAGACTAAGGACTGAGTACTTAATACTCTGCGAATTATACGCTTGGTTCGTCTTTCATTGTAAACGCACTCAGTGAGACTGAGTTATCTGTACTAGTCCAGCTATTGTTACCACCTCATCTATTCAGTATGAAAAAACTTCTGGCTCTGTCTTCGTGGAGATGAGGTCCTCGAGCTTGGGCTCTAATTTGATGACGCGGCAAAGCAGTTGGTGTTATGGCAAAAGCTCTGTACTCACATTGCATCTCTTTATATTATAATCAATTTGTTGTATTTGACTCGCTTTTCTAGGAGAATGATGATGATCTCTGATCATGAAATAATGCGTCAGTTGTTTTTAGATTAGGTGAAAAGTGTTGACTTCGTTGGATTCTGGAGGTCCTGTCTATGATCCGTCTACTAGCATATTGTCGCTACTTTGTCGATTAAATGTACAGTAAAGTCTACTGCTGTTGTTTGACTGTAATTCATTGTCTAACTTTGCCTGAGGACTACCGGCTGCCACGTGCCAAGACTGCCTCGACATCTACTGGCAACGAGCAACAGAAATCTGCCGGCGATTACGAGTATGGGGAATACGGCAACAAAGACGCGGCGCACTTGACTCGATGTTCGAAGTGTTCGAAATGGCGCGCAGTCGACGCGCTCGACCACAAGTTATTGGAGGATGTTCGAAATGTGACGGGCAAGCAGCCCAAAATCCAGTGCTCAAACTTCGTGTGTGACTCGTTGGAGCGTACCGCAGCAGGGGAGACGTCCACCCCTTCTTCGTGTGCTGGTGGGGAGCGAAATGCTGTACTAGAGCAGAAATTCGACATGGCGCTCGTGCCCACATCTAGCAGCTCGTCTTCATCCTCGGCTTCCAATAATGACAAACAGAACGTTGCCGTTAATCTGCTCGAGCTGCAGCAGGGCACCGCGCAAGAAGAGACGCCGCTGTCATGCGCAACCGAGTGTGACTACAAAAGCCATTTCGGTGGCGCCCGCCTCCTTCGCAGAACCATCCGACGAGGGTTCGACGCGAAGGTCAAAGCCGAAACAGACAAGAGACTCGCTTCATGCAAAAGCTCCCTCATGCTCAGCATCAGAAAAGTCGGAGAGGAGGGCGACGAGGATGACGCAGCTAGTAACGCAGGTAGCGCGTGCTCGCTTGCGAGTGTGTTGCCAGAGGAGCAGCATAATGTAGGGCGAATAGAAGTGCGCGCTTGTGGTTCATCTGAGGTTGACGCGAATGAGGCAGTTGTCAGCGAAAATGTCAACAACGACCCGGCTGGCAAGGACCACGAAGATGAAAAGCAACAGGATAAAAGCACAAACAAGTGGTCGCGGTCGGGGTGGGCTAACAACGAACAGAAGGAGGAAGAAGAGGAAGATGATGTTCCTCGTGGTCTTTCTGGTATTCGTGCTGCAGATCTGAGAAAGCTCGAGACATCGGAGCCTCACATGTTTCACTTACAAGCTGATCGGCTTGCAGGCGTCGTAAAAAAGCTTACTGAGAAGCTCGACATCGAAATTCCCGACAGTTGTCGTCATCCGATGGTGCCTGACTGGACCGGCACACTCAAAGAAGGCCAAGCTGTCACCTGCCGAGTCACAAAGAATGGGGAGCCTGAATATCTGGAAGGCACTCAGACCCATTCCAAATGATTTCGATTTGTTTTCGTCATTATCTTGTCCATGAGTATCCTCAACATTCACATGATCTGACTTTGAATTCGCTGACTTGCTAGTCGACGTGGTTCGTTATTTATCGCATTGCGACGCATCTAGAGGTGGAACACAAAGGTATACTTGTATTTGTGGATGGAGCTTGATCTAGTTCATCTACTAGTGATTGCTTTTCCATCACTTCTATATAATTTCGTGTCGACATAATCTCAGGCCCCGCACTTTTTGTGCGAACGCCGTGCCTGGAGCGCAGCGATGTGCAAAAAATGGAAAACGTGAAGCCTCCAGCGGCGTTGCGACGTTTTCGCAACAATGGGCTGATCGTGTTACCCGCAGACGAAACAGCCATGCAGCGAGCAGCGGCGCAGGCTCTCAGTGGTGGCGATTATGACGGAGATGAAGCGTTGGTGATCGGGTGGAAGCACTTGGTGAAGCTGTTCGTCTCCTCCGAACCCGATTACCGGAACATCTTCGAAATGATACGTAACCAGCAATGGGGCATGCCGAAGAATGCCGATGCGGAGAGCCGACGTTCAGAGACCTTGGCAGACATTTTGACTACGTCGACAAGAACCGCTGGTGCCTGCGAGCGCCTATCGGATGACGATTTCGAGCGGCTGCGGCTTGCTTCATCGAAGTACTTAGGCCTCTCGGGTGCGAAAGGGCAGTACACGAACGAGTGGTATAAGTATGCGGCTCAGCTCGGCCTCCAAGATGCTCGAACCAAAGTCGTCGCGAAGTTAGGTCATGAAGCGATGGATCTCGCGAAGAACAATCGACCAGCCTCGGAGCTTGCGAATATCTTCGCTTGGGCAAAGGAGAACGCCAGCACTGTGATCGACTCTGACCGCAAGGAGCGGGAGGCGGGTGCAACTTCATTGAGCGCGGCCGTCATGGATACGAACGCTGTGGAAGCAACTACTCGATCTCGAACTCTTGCACAAGAAGACCCGAGTGCTGTTGCAGAAGATGAGGCTGCTATGCCTACGCGCGATGAGACAATAAAGGACGTCTTCATAGAAGAAGCGGCACTGCAGCAGAGCAAGACAAGAACGTCCACCAGAAAGAGGGCACACCCAAGCCTGCGGCGGGCTGCTAAGAAAATCGACGCGGTGAGGCAGGGGAAGCTTAACAAGGTCACGCTATCGCGTGTACCATGGCGCAGTGACAGCGGCAGCATCACTTATCTAAAAACTGTGGCACCATTGGTGTACAAGCGCCTCCAAGTCGAGCGGAAGGCTAAGTCTGCTGCACAACGCAAGCAGGACCAAAGTAGAGGTCGAGGAGAAGGAGCTGCGGACGCTCGAGCCCGAGGAGAAGCCGCGACGAAACACCAGCGAAAGCCAAAAGCTAAGGCAGTCGGAAGGGCCAGAGGTAGTGGCAAGAAGAAGAGTGGGGCGTTGTTAGTGCTCGAAGACGCTTCCGCGTTCGAAGACGCAGACGCACTTGCGGAGCCCGCTCCTGAGCTTTCTGCGAAGCGTCTTAAGAAAGCTCCAGCACCGGGGCCGGAGAGCTCAGCCGAAAACCCGAGAGGACTTCGAGAAGAGCCACCTGCGGAAGAGATATCTGCGGTGGCAGTCGCTCCGCTGGAACGAGACGAGGGTGGTCAACTTGTCGAGGCCAAGGTGGAAGAAAACAAGCAAAAAGCAAGGCGGCGAGAGGACTTCGCAACCGATATCAAAGCCGAAGGCACGAAGGTGTGGTTCGTCGGAAAGCGTGGCGGACGCGCACAAGGCCCCGAGCTGCGAGCATGCCACGCCTTGCATGCATTACTTCAAGGGCTAGTGGCTGTGGCAAAGAGTCGAGCAATCTTCGCGCTTGCTGGGAGCCCTCTGCTAAGCGATCACACGAGAAGGCCGGGCGGGGTCTTCAAGCTTGTGCCCGCCAGGGGAAAAGGGGACCAGGAGCAGGACCAGGCGACCACTAGAACCGGGCACGCGGACGGAAAGCGAGCAGCGGCAGAGGGTGGCTGGTTTGAGGTGCTTGGCCGTCCTGGTCTCAGGATGCAGAATCTCAATACGCTCGAGCGTGCCATAGCGGAGGCGCCTCGAGATGTATTGCGCCCGCGCTTGCGGATGATCTTGCGGAAGGTCTCCCACCTTGTGGCGTTTGAAGATTACACCGATGAAGGTACTTACCTCCTGGCGTATTGGCGTCCTCTCTTGGACCGTGTAAACCGCTGCGCCACGCGCCGCTGGCTAGCATACCGAGAACAGCAAGCGGCTTACTTCAAGGCAAACAGATTGCGCATCAGAGAGATGGGCTACGCGTCTTTCTGCTTCGTCGACCCGTTCGCAGATAAGCGGGGCGAAGTTTTTTCGAGGGAGGTGCTAAGCCTGGACGCAGTTGCTGGCGTGAGTCAGGAAGTGGCTGGCTTACGTGACAAGCTTCAGCTCCTCGAGAGTTTGGCGCATGCTGTGGCTTTCTATCTCTTGATGCCTTATTTTCTAGGTGCTTTGCACTTCAAGCCAGAGGCAACACTTGACCGCCGCAAGCGCAACCGCAAGGCCGCGGGAGATGGAGAGCAGGGCGAAGAACCGTGCCGCAAGAGGAAGGTGAAGGACAAGGAGCCAGCGGCTTGGGGGCAGCTGGGTGGTTCTGATAGTGTTCTTGCTGTTGCAACTGAACAAGTACCGTCTGAGCCTTCAACCCTCTTGGAACAGGAAGCGCGTGACGACAAGCATGCCCCCAAGGTGCTTGCTATGTCGAAGGGCATCAAGCAGGATGAAGAGCCAAAACGTCGCCCCACAGAGCGGCTGCTACCTCTCGAGGAGGCTGGGGATGACTCCAAGGCAGTCATGGGCAAGCAGCAGCAAGAAAAACCCAGCAGGGCGCATCTTCTCCTTGTGGAGGATGTTGAAGAAATGCAAATGGATAGCATGGAGATGGGTAAAGCGTCTTCTGAGGTAGTGGCATTAGAGGTGGAAACTACAGTTTTGAGCAAGGAGAAGAAGTTGGGCCCTCTGGTCGACCTACGGCGCAGGGTGGACAACGAGGAACACGGATACAATCTACTGCGTTACGCCTATGCGACAGGTTGTGACGTCAAGACTTACACAAAGTAAGGCGAGTTTTTTACTCAGAGGTAGCGCTAGCAGCTTTGTAGATGCATCGTAGTTAGTCGTGTGTGGTCTCATTTTTATCTATGTATAATTCAGCAAGCCTGACAATTTGTGACCTTGGTCTTTCTGACGGCAAAAATGCCACTATTAATAGTCTTCTAATACTAATGGAGTACGATGACTCCCGACAAGTGGGCCCACAATGCGCCGTGGATACTTTTCGGAAACGAGCTCCATTTCGTGAAAAACTTGAAGCCGCTGACAAACGCAGTCGAGGCGGATCTCTGGAATGCAGACGAAGAGAACGACGCCTGGCACCAGGCTGGCGAGGCCTTCGATGTTAAGTGTCGCTGTTTTGATTTGATAGCATTTCATTGGCTTTATTTTGTAGTCTTGCTGTTGGTGTAATTTTAGCGCTGTGTTGTATTGCGTAAGCCAAATAATATCTCCACTCCTCGAAGTTGATGTTGTAAGTTAGTTAGGATTCATACTCAACAAAACAAGAAGAAGAACTCAATATACTCTAAGTCGCATGCTGTGGATGAAAACGACGGCGCAGCGGTAGACGTGGTTTCTGAAGATGATGCCGAGAAAGTCGCGGCGCCGAAAACAAGCGGTGCCGAGCACGAGGCCGAAAAGAACGGCGTCTAATGAACTTTTGCGATTGTGTAAAAGGTTCTTCTATTCACTCCAATCATGTCTTCTATAATCTGACTAATAGTCCAGGTCCACTGAATATTCGCAATCACAACTAAGTAACTCAAAATATTGATCATGATTATCTATCAGGTGTTGACATGGCCAACATACTCAAGTCGCTCAGTCTTTGAACCACCAGTACTCTTCAATATTACCTTTTTACAACGACAACGGACTTAATCCATACTGACTCTTACCGAAGTATCGGAAAACGATGCGCTTACTACATTTTTTTGTTCCTCATCCTCGTTCCAAATAGATTCCTCTCCTTATATATAATACAGTCTGCATCTACTATCAATCTTGTCATGGATTGCTCCCCTGTTGTAGTAATAGTATTTTTACGAAAAAAAAATAACGATGCGGAACAAAGATCGCTGATGTCGTCGCGCAATCTTTCTCTTTGCGTTTGCTTTTACCTAGAACTTTGTAATATCAAAATATGGATGAAAAAGAAGAACTCTTTTCGAACTCGATGCTCTGACCCACTAATATCTAAATACACTGATAAAAGACAGGCAACTCGACACTAAAACCCCGCCAACACAAATTTTTTGAAAATGAAAAAGAAACATTCCACTCATCAATCATCTAGATCTAGTATTTTACTTCATCATGATTCTTCGTTCTTCTACAGCGACGAGCATCATATGAATATTATATTTGATTTGATTGTGTCCCCAGAAATCAATGGATTCCTTAGGAAAGAGCCGACAACCCTGACTGCTCCATATATCACTGCTCCCATTAATTATCTTCGACCTCACCCCCTTATATCTTCCGACTGTTTAGCTTTAGATGCAAACGATTTCGCTACCTCATTTCGCACTGTAGTAGGAAACTTTGAAGAAATATATTTAAGCCATCTGATAGAAGGCAGTGCTGAGCCAGGACGTCGCGCCTTCAAGTTCATCCTGAAGAATAAAAAAAAATCATAAGGATGAGAGAACTTCATCTTAATGATGCATCTTCTAGAGGGATACAACTACAAGAATATCAATATCCCTCTGTATGATCTTGTCATCTGTCTGCCTGTCTGTCTGCTGAAAGCATGCAGCAAGAGTTTCTGCGCAAGCGAGCGAGCTGCAATATCACAAGATGAACTAGGTAGAAATTTCGAAGAAAGAATATCCTTTGAGGTAGCTCTTTAGAATAGAGTGTGAGAGTTGTGAGTGCTCCTACTTCTGGATCTGTAAGTGACAAGTACTCTGTCGGAGAGGAGACCTGTAGTTGTCTGTGAGTGCCTTCGTCTGTTGATTGTTCAGGAATTGTGGCTGCTAATCGTTGCCGAGCACAAGATAATGAGACTGACAGAACTGTGTGTGAGTTGTACTCATCTGTAAAAAAGCTTATTATCTTCAATCGAGAATGAAGGCGAAGAAAATATTCATCTTTCCATCTACTTTGAACAGCATTTTCTTTTTCATGAGCGTGATTTCTAAGTTTGTAATATCTCCGTCTCTCCCTATTCATGAAAATTGTGATCCACTCTTCGTTTTAGTACTGACGATATCGACGATATAATCATTTGTTCTTTGACTTTCTTGGTCCTACTTAGATTAGGACATCTTCGTAAAATGATAACGAACCACTAATTTCCTGATTAAAGCTCCTCTACGAGCACTTGAGTGAGGTATTTTAGCTTCGATTGGCCTCTGCATCCTCTTACTTTGTGAAACATGCATCTCGATTGAAATAGAAATTTTTCTTTTCTTTCTGCCTAAAAAGGGCAAGTGGGAGTCTTGTTGCGTGACGAGACAAGCAGTTTTACTTTCCCTCGACATTGATGAATTTGAATATTGAGCGCTATCTGATTTTGAAGACATCGCTGTAGAACAAGATTTTTATTTAATATCTTCATTCGCTTTTTGTCTGACTTACCGCCATCCCTCCACAAGTGTAAACACGATGGTGATTCCTGGTGGAGACGCGCCTGCAATTGCCACTGGTGGAGCTTCTCCGACTGCAGCCACTGCTCCGGCAAACGGCTCGCCCTCTCCTTCATCTCCCTTTGTGACAGCTGGACCCGTGGTTCCCGTGAGCACGGGTCGACGGAGCGGCTCGGGCGATGCGAAGAATTTCACCACCGCCACGCGATCCTCTGCTGCTAGTGCCGCCACCGCGGATGACCGCATTTCACTGGACTTGCGTAATCGGTATGACCGTGTCTTGCGCGCTTTGGAGGCGAACGTGGACGTGCTCATCACCGGCGCGTCTACATTTAACGCCTACACGAAAGAGCAGTTCCTAGCGAAAATCTTCGGTCACTACGAGGAAATCTACCAGATTATCATGAAGATCGTTTCGGTACAACTTCTACTAGCAACTTTCATTTTTATTGATTTTGAATGGCGACTGCGACACCGACCATGTTTGTAGCTAGAAGTGGCTTCAAGCTGCTAGAATCTGAACGCAAAAAGCGAACCAGAGTCCTCAAACAACAGGACCATGGAGAAGACAGAGCCTTTGTTCTCCTCCGTATTGAATCGTAGACTATCTCAAATAATCTTCATCTTGATAATATTCCTGTTACTAACTTTCGTGATTTTCTATCCTGCATTCGTGAACACTTACAACACTTTCTTCAGACCCAGAGCCGGGACCCGCGTGGATTGCTCGATACTTTTTCAGCCGATAATTGTGACAGAATAGTGCGCATAGTCGCGATACTGCAGAATAATCGTGGAATCTGCCGCATCGCAGGTTTCGGCAAGGATCGCGTTGCCGCAGCCGGTTTGCAGCATAGGCAGTGCTGTTCTGCGGCTGAGATTGTCCGCCGGATCCTCGTAGGCAAGCAGAGCAGTAGTGCTAAGGGAACGACCACTGCGGGTCCGCAACAGCCCACCAGCGATGATGCTGGCAGTGATACAACTACGAGTAAAAGCACTAGTAAGGTTGCAGCAGTGGACCGCGTTCTAATTGACGGCTACTTGGAACATGGGATTACCACGCTCAAGGCCAGAGTGCGTGCACACGGAGGCGCACCCCGAAGAAGCAGTCGAAACTCAGTGTCATCCTTGTTCGAAGCTGGCGAGCAGAACGGAGCAGCAGGAAATGGCGAAGATGGATCTGCACAAGCAAGAGTGCGGACTTCCCTAGACCTCGATCCCACGGACCTGGAACACGTGACCGCTAGTCTTGAAAAAAGTGTGGAGCTCATATCACTTATGCCGGATCACCACGTCGTTGAGGCCGCGAATGGAGGAAAAGTTACTCGAGATTCTGAATCGAAAGCCAGTTCCAGAACCGTCAAATCTGTCGCAGCTATCGTCGTGTCAAACGCAGAGATCTCCACACCAATCGCAATTACAACAACGAGAACTGCTTCGGACTCTACGCTGCAGACAGGAGAATCTGGGATGTCGAGTACGTCACGAATTATCGGGCACGGCAGTGGGGAGATCAAGAAGACAAAACAAGCGACTAGTACAGCCATGGCATCAAGCGAGGCTCCTTCTACATATTCAACAGGCGACATCAAGACAACCGAGCAGAGGGGTAGTAAGGTGAGCGGGAAAGATGGAGGACTGAGCAAGAGTCAAGAAAGGGTTGCTGCCGAGCAGGAACGGCAAGGTCCGCGAAGCGTTCATGTGGACGAGGATGTATGTCCTTATCGCGTCTTGAAATTGGTAAATCAGGTAGAAGCCTTGGAGGGCAGCAGTCAGCAACAGTCTGGTGGAATGGCTGCTTCAAGTCATTACAACGGAGAGATTAGTGCAGAGTACTTCAAGGCGCAAGAGAAGAAGAAGGATGCTGACGGAGCAAGTCGCGGAGGTGGCGCTTCGCGAACCGTGGACTTGGAAGAGGATGATACAGATAGCATTGAGGTAGCTGCGAAACTAATAGCGCAGATCCGTGCGAAAGAACGCGGTAGCCGCGCACCGCATCCCGAAGATGTCGCCATCGCCGAAAGCATACGGAAACAGATTGTTGATCGGGAGTCGGAACGTCGCGGCCCCAATGAGGAGGACGCGGCTCTGGCAAAGGCCTTGGCACAGGAGATCAGAAACCAGGCTCACGCTCGTCGTGGTCCAGATTTCAGTGACTTGAGGGTGGTAGCTGATATTTTGGTCCAACTGAAAGAGCGCGAGCAAGCTCATCGAGGTCCGAGTGACGCCGATATCGATCTCGCTCTCAAACTTCGCGAGCACCGAGAGCTCCAGGAACTAGAGCCGCTGCACCGCGGCCCGAGCCAAGGAGACATTCTCTTGGCCGAGCGCCACGCACTAGAGGTGGAGCAGCAGCAACAGAAAAGCCCTGATGGCCCTCGGCCGCATGGAAGCGACGTAGTCAGGGGCTCCTTGGAACCGTCAGCTCCATCAAGTCCACAGCGACAAAATGCTCCATCTTCATCTAATCAGAAGTCGTCATCTTCACCACTAAAAGTTGAACAGCTGCCTGATGGACATTTTCTCGAAGGTCTGCCTGCCGAGAACAAAGCTGCGCAAAACGAACGTCCCATCGACGCTCTGCTGGATCACGACACGCGCGCGCCGTTTGTAGACACCGGAGAAGGTGTGACAGGCAAAACGGCACACGAAATCTTGGAGACGCCGCTCCAACGATCCGACCGGAAGAGCTTTGATCGCGGTATCTGCAACAAGCAGGTCGCAACAGCGAAAGCGTGCGCAGACCACATCACTGCCGTCGAGGCTAAGGAACGCGGTTCGGAGAGGGGAGCTGTCGAGGTTGCGAACGACTTGGTGAAACAAATTTCTGAGATCGGAGTGTACAACATCCCGCATGGCGAGCCGGAAATCGATGTGGCTGCTATGAGTGACGATAGTGCGGTCGTCGCAGATGAGAACGCGCCCACAGAAGAGTTGCTGACACGACCTCGCACGAGCGAGACCAAGAGCACACCCCCACTGACGCAGCGTCCGGAAGGGCAATCTGCAGAAAGTGACGTCGTGGCGGAAGAAGAGTGCCATGATCTTCTTCGACCCTCATTAACCGCAAGAAGTGTCAAGAAACCCGCCGAAGCGGAAGGTGCGAGCAAAGAGACATCATCTTCCCAACAAGGAGAGGATGGTGCTACGACCGATGTGTTTGCGGAAGACCCGAATCGGGGAAAAGGCGGATCTTCTCAGGATGGTCCATTTGCGAATGTGATCGCTAACCCTGTGCGTAAGAGCAAAGTTTTGCTTCGGCGATCTTCCTGCGTCATGGACACGGATCACACGCAGAGAAAAGCCCACCGAAACCACATCGAAGGCTCACCGGAGGATGGTCCTCAGGAGGACCCGTATGCGCCGGTTGAAGATCCCTTGGTGCTCGCTTCTCGGAAAGATGACGCTGTCGTGGCTACAAATGTTAATGCGGTTTTGAAGAACAAGAACGAGACGAACTTGGCGGCGTCCTCTACAGCAAAGGTCGTTAAGGACCCGTCTGCGGCCTCTAATCCGGCTGCAGCATCAGCACCAGAACAGGTTGTATCGGAGGAGACCGCATCTGCACCACAACAAGCAGAGTGCGTGCCATGGGTAGTTCTTGATGAAAAACAGGATAATTATCAAGAAGATGATGCTCGTGGTCCTCCAGGAAGCGGTCGTAGTCGCGCCTCTCACGGACCGACGAGCGAGGACATCGATTTCGCGAAATCCTTGGCGGACCATCGGGAATCAGAGGTAGCTGAGAAAGAACGCGAACGAGGCCCTTCGACTCAGGATATTGAACTCGCCAGAAAGTGTGCCGACGATGTGAGAAACAGCCACCTGGACCAAGTGGAAATGAAATCTCCGGAGAGAGCGCTTCATCAACACGACGACGCAGAGATGCACGCACTCTTGCCAAAAGACCCGAAAAGGGCAATTGATACCAATGCAGAGATAGCAAACCGTCCAGATCCCCATGGTATAGAACTCGAAGCGTTGAACACCAATGTTGAGGTTCAAGTTGGTAACCAATCTGCATCCTCGATCAAGGATCTTCAGGAAAGACGCGATGAGCCTTTGCCAATCGAAAAGTTCTGTTACTTCAACGATATGGGAACGCTTTCGCTGGATGGGTCAGCGGAACAGCTTGATTTGACTCGCGAAGCATACACACTTGAGGAGCGCCGCCAACAAGCTGAGTTAGCTGGAGATGAAAAAGAGGCTGCGCGCTTGAAACGCTTGGAATGTCTCGTCAAGTCGCACGTTCAGGCAAGGGGTGAGCAGGGGGAACAAGCTCTCTACTTTTCACCGATGCCAGTACCAGTAAGCTCGCCTTATGAAGAAGCGGATTTTCGTGCTGAGGACGACATCAATCATGATCAAGAAATTCAAAATAACGCGGAAAACGGAACAAGGGGTAACAGGAACAGCTACACCAGCCCTACGAACCTTCTGGCTAGCAGCACAATGAGCAGTCGAGTCGAGGACTTCCTGCCTCCAAGCACACAGGATTTGAAAGATCTTTACATCAATCAGGAGGAGGAGGACCACCAGCGTCAACTTCAACAGTTGCTCTACAGCGGCGCCCCAGTAGAAGCAGAGGCAACTAAAGCACCAGTTCCTCTGGTGGACGAGAAGAAGCCAGAAGAGGTATTTTCTCCACCGCCAAGGGACGTATCAGCTTCTCGATTGAGGCCTGGCACTCTGCGAGAAGCTTCACCGGTTGGATCATACAACCAGATGGGAGATGTTTTCGTACGGACAGCAGAGGGTGAGGCAGCTTCTTCGTCTGAATCAGCCGGTGACTCCTCTCAAACTGAGACGTCTCAACAAGATTCTGAGTGCGGCAAAGCCACGCAGGGGGATGCTGAAGAAGCACAAGGACCGACGTCTAGAGCGCCATCTAGTAAAGTAGAACAAGAACGCAACACCGCGGCAAGCGGTTCTGCTGGTGCTGCTCGTGAAGGTAACAGCAATAAGGCTAGCCTAGTCACCCGTGATGTAACTACAGGCGCTGGTGGCTCCCGGATCAACATGTCTACTTCTACTGCTTCTAGAGTAGAAGACAGCACCACTGCGCCGATGAGTGGCGCTCCACCTCCTGGCGCATTAGCCAGTCCCGCGACTACAACGGCGCAGCCAATATCCGCAGGAAAACACGAGGTGGAGAGCAATTTCGCGAAACCGAATGTGGTGAGTGGAAACAACGCACATGACCATGATGTAGAGATGAATGCTCTCTTTTCGCCGAGAGGAGACACTCCCATGACTCGTTGGCGCCGTTCGCAGGTGGATGCGGCGACCCAGAAAATGTTGGAGGACCACGAAGCAACGCGGGGGGATTTTAAGGGTATTGGTAAGGAGAAACTACCTAAAAGCGCCAATCCGAAAGCTGTTGCCCATATTGTAGATTACGAAAAAAAGGTGCAGAGAAAGGTCGACGCAGGGACTTTGCGCCACTATGATGAGGAAAAGCGCTATCAGACGGATGGGCTCGAGTTCTACAATCGTTCTCCTGGTGGGAATGGTGATGACGCAAGGAAGAACAACATGGGTAAGGAGGCGCCACTTGCACCATCACTGAAAAAGAAGGTGGCCGCAAAAGGGAAGCAAGCTGCAAAAATCGACAGCGCAATCGACAAATGGCACGAGCAGTTCAACAAAGACGGAAGAAAGAGGTACTTCTGCTTATCATGTTAATCCAAAAATCCACTTTCCGAAGTTCATCTCAATAGAATTGATTCTTATAATCACATACAACTTGTTGTCCTGCATGGTCTACTACTGTTAAGTTCTGATTTTATGATTGGCAGTCGCGAATCCGAATATATCCAAAACGAAATCGAAATTTTGTGATGGATTCACTTATTTCACCGTACTAGTACAACTACAACGTACGACTTCACATCATGATTATCAGTTCTACCTCGCGCGCACCGACGCCGGGAGAAAGTTTGGACGCCATGCAGAGGCAGGTGCTGGCGGCGAACATTCGAAACGGAGCTGCTGCGGAGAAGGAAGCGGAACTCCATCAGAGCGAGGAGGTGATGCTTCAAAAGGGAGACGCGTTGCTAGCGAAGAGCAAGCTTCTGCAGAACCTACACTCGCGAGGTGTCGCGAAGGTGAACATGCGAGACATGGAACTGCACAGACTGCAAGAAGACGATAAACCTAGAGGTCGCGGAGGTTCGCCGAAGAGAAAACAAGCAGGAAAAAAGGGCGCGCCGGCTTCTGCATCGGATCGCTCGAGGGGTGGATCAAATACATCGCCGTCAGATACCTCGCGGGGACGGAGCGACAGAACGGAGGTGTCAAGCAGAAGAGGAGTCTCGCCACCTAAGGCGGGAGCAGGGGCAAAGGGACAGTCGCCTTCGCCGAGAGGAGCGTCACCTTCTGGACGAAAGCCTTCGCCGAGAGGAGCGTCACCTCCTGGAGGAAAGCCTTCGCCGAGAGGAGCGTCACCTCCTGGAGGAAAGCCTTCGCCGAGCAGCAACAAACCGACCTCTGGCGCGACGAAGGCACCATCGAGCCGCAATCAGAACAAAGCTAGTCCTGGTAAAAAACCCAGTCCTGCCTCGCAGCCCCGCTCAGCAAGTGCCCCTCGTGGTAAGGCACCACCGCGCCGACCAGAGGGTGGAGCCGTGCCTCCTCCTGCGACTTTGACTCGGACTTCGCGTCGCTCGTCGCAACAGAAAGCACTGCCGCCGTTCGTGCCTGGGGACTGGGTAAGAAGTGGAGGCTCGACGTCTCCCGTCGTACTCTCCGGAAACGACGGCTACATCTTTGAAGCCTCAAGCCGTGTTGACACAGGAGTCAACAATAACAACAGCAACAATGTGGTCACTGGAATAGATGCAGCTTACAGTCCGCCTAGTCGCATTGACAGCGAAAACTTGGGAACGTCGCCATTTATTCCTGTGACTAATGGACGTCCAGCGAGTGGTTTGGCGAACTCAAGCATGAAAGCGCGCGCTGTGTCCGTTTCAGGTGCTGCGGGACGTCGCAGTAGACGCGAAGCCTCGCCTTTACCTCCAGGGGCACTGGTTCCAGAACGACCATCCACCTTAATGATTGGTCCTGGTGCTGGCGCAAACACATATGCAACACAACAAGGTCGGAGTTCCTTTCAAGCGCAACGGCGCTCATCCAGTCCTGTCCCTTTTTTCAATACCGCCAGGGCGTCCTCGGTGAACATCATCTCGCGTCCCTCGCGCCATCGCGAAGAGAGACGATCCGTCACTGAGGCCATGACAAAGGCGCATCTCGCTCGCCACTCAGCTCGTGCAAACGAGAAGCTGTTGCTGGACTCGCATCCGACACCAGAGAACTTAAGACGGGTGCGGGCAGCCGAAGCCGTGCGCCGTGTTTCGCTGCTGCAAGAGGCGGTGAACTACAGCTACCAGAATGAGCTTCAGCAAGCGAATAAACACGCTGTAGCGCAGAAAGCGGGTCCGAATGTCTTCACAAAACCAAATGTTGCCTACGACGCAGTTCTTGCAGAACCCAGCGTCAAGAATCGACAAAGGCAGAGTAGCCCGTCTGCTCCGGTAGGTGGAAACAGACCGAATTCAAATACATTCAGCCCTACCACGCGCACGTCCGTTGCGTCGTCTCCAAGTGCTAGACGATCATCGATTCTAAATCGGCTCCACAACGGGGAGCGAACATCCATACCTGGTGGAGCACCATAGTTTTACGATTTAAGGTCGTATGCTTGATCGAATAAGAACACAAGGCTCATGTTGTTGAGATCACGACGTCAGTGAATGACTATCACGTAATGGGTCTAATACGTCATAAAAACTAACATGATACATAGAGTTAATACGAGAAGAGCTTGAGCTACCGCTAAGGGAACTGTATAATTCGACGTAGAGGAACTTTTTTTAATTGGGAGGAGGGACATAATTCTAATGATGTACTTACAACTTGTACTTTTGGACTTGTAGTAGCATAATCAAATATCGATAGGGAAAACGAAGCCAGTAAATGTAAATCAATGTATATTACTGACTCACTTGGATAGAAGATTGATAAGATGTTTTTTATTGCCTTAGTTCCGGGCTTATCAAAGTATACGAAGTAAGTGCACGTCGAGTACTTGTCTATGGTACGACCGGTTTCTACTCTTACCGTTTGGAAAATTGCCACTGCTCGTCGGTAACGAGACGTTCTGAATTCAAATGAGTTCTTCCAGATATTAGAAAGATGTACGGAAATTTGCACCTTGCCCTTTCTGAAGCTGTTGCTATGGGAAGGCTGGGGAGCGACACTAATTTGACACTAGAGTCCGATCCTCATGATATTTAATAACCTTTACTTCGGCGGAGGGTTCCACCATGATCATTATCATTTTCGTTTACCAGCATACCATTATCATGAGAAAAAAACAACTGCTGAACACAATCTGTCATAAGCAAGCACCAAGGACAACGAGTCAAAACGGATCCAACATATCTTACCAGAATGTCAACATATTAATCATAATCTAGAAATCGTTAAGCAAATATATAAATGTAATCCACCGATTCCAAATAAGTACATCGATATCGAAACAAAAAGGTTCAGAAAAGGCAGAAGAGGCACCAGGATACAAGACTGACCTCTACGTTCCACACATCAGCACATGCACGTCGAATCCGGAAATCCATAAACCGCCGTGCGACGGGTAAACGTGATCGTTATTGTGGTCTGAGCCGCGTTCATGTCTTAAGGGTGTTCGTGTGAATTTCGAAAAGCAAGTGAGCGTTTCATCTGTCTGTCGCTGAAAGTTGTCTGTAGAAACGAGAGTCGAGTAGGCCAGCTGCTCTGTTTTGCATGATCCTGCTTCTTCCATGATTTCTGTGGTCTTCCCGCACGACATGATCTGTAGTTCTGACGTCGGAGAGCGAGACGAGGCCTTTCAAGCTTGACGATGAAGAGAGAATCTAATGTTTTTACTTACGACCACGACAAAGGACCGAACGAGACCACTGCTGATCATTCCATGTGATGTCTTTGCATTTTGATCATCATGAAGAGAGGTGTGGATGTTCTGCATTTGGATCATCATGAAGAGAGAGAGAGAGCATACTGAATCTACTTCTATGACTCATATTTTATTTCCACTTAAGCCCTGTCTTCGTTCGTCATGCGGCGGCTCCTGTTATCTAGAGCTCGCACTTTAGTGGTAATTAAGTGGTAGAGGCTGCGTTCCGGCGCCAGGTGGCGAACGAAGACATGGTTTAAGTGGAAACATATGAGGCAGAGCTTCGAGTCACCTCACTATTATTCGAGGCCCTCGATAAATCTACAACGAACATCAACAAAATTCATTTCCCCTCTCATCTTCATCAGGGATCATTCTCTGACGTGGTAAGGGTCACCTCTCCTCGCCTGAGCCTGACACACATTTTCTATCAGAGATCGATAGATATGTATTTAAGTAAAAGGATTCTTGTGATTTGATCTTGAATAGAAACGCAGTTCTACTTGTCCACATCGATTTTTTTCGCTGGTACACTAGAATCCTCTTGCTGCTGGCGTTTAGGTACATCTTTTTGTCCTTTTCGAGTTCACTGACTCTGAAACATTAAATCAAAATGGTGCTAGATCCAACAGTTCAGAGTGTGAAAATGGCGAAGGCCAGCGACGCTACATCTGATCGTGCTTTTACGTATGATCAGAAGCTGGCGTCTTTGGACAAAGCCGTCGCTGACCTCCTGAAAGCGCAAGGTGTCAACAAGCGCAAGGCTATTGAGGTGAAGATGCAGGAGTGCTTCGGAGTTTTGCGTGATTTGATGCTCAAATGGTTGCAGGATAAGGACCGCACCAGTTTGCGCGAAGCTTTTGAGGCGAACAATTTTTACCGCTTAGTGCGGCTGAAGGCGATCTTGGAAGCCGACAAAGAAATGGACAAGTTGATGAAGGATGAGAACGCACCAGATGTGCGCCACGGCCAATGCTTGGAGGCGGTTATCAGTGTTCAGAAGGTGTTGGAGGATCAGAGCGGCGCGCGGGCCATCGCGGAGGCGCAAGCGGCGGAGAAAGCACGACTCGTAGCGCAAGTGCAACAGGCAAAAGAAAAGGACCCCATTGTCTCCAACCCGACGCGAAAGTCCCGATTGTCGCTAACGGCCGCCGGCATGCGCAACAGCAACAATCTCGCAGTGCAGGGCGCCCCAATCGGAGGTGGTCTCTTGGCGGTGCCGGGTGCGGATTTCAAGAAGAACAGCTTCACCGGATCCTCCATGGTCGGCGACCCCAGGGATCACATCAGTTCCGCGAAACTGCAAGGCCAGTGCGACGAGTTGGACGATTTGCTAAGAGATCAGAACAAGGACGGCGCCGCAGCTGCCGCCCCCAAGAAATCGAGCGCGAATCCGTTTCCGGCGCCAGCCGCTACTCCGGTTGCCGGCACGTTTACCGCAGCCGCAACACCCGCGGCCGCGACCGCAGCTGCGCCCGCTCCTGCGAAGGCCGCAGTCAGCGCAGCTCTACCCGAGGCGGTGGAAGCGCTCCCGGAGCAGATGCGGGCCAGCTGGAAACAGGCGGCTGCCGTGATCCCGACGCCGAAGGCGGGACAGGCCTACGTGCCGGAGGAGGACGTGCTCGCCTCGATCGACGCAGATTTCCGCGCCAAAATCGAAGCACTCACCAGCTTTGAAGACCTAGTGAAGAACATCACGGCGCCGGACGCCCAAGAGAAGATCGGAAACTGGCTCATCTGGATGTGCGCTCGTGTCTACTGGAACGATCCGACGTTGACGCGAGTCCCCTTCATGAACATCTACCTGCCGGCTCCGGAAAAGGAAGCTCTTATCATCCCGCGCTTCTTGGATGGCCTCGCTGGCCGAAACAGCTGCGTCGATACCCTGGACCTCTCAAATACCAACTTCGATAGCCAAACGGCCATGTACTTACTTACTTACAAAATTTCACCTTCTTCTACTGTACACAGCCTCAGGTATCACAGAATGAGTATCTCCAAAAGTCTTGTGCACGACATAGCTTGCGCCTCTTGATGATCTTAATGTGTCCGTTCTCTTGTAGTTATGAGTTTACTACTTTTTACTTAAAAATCGATCCGAATTTCTCATCAACATACACGATGACAATCACAACAATTATTTCCTCTTCATCGAAATAAGCAGAATTTCCCATTCCACTCTCACACATTCTAATGGATACTACACAACAGGCGTTTCCATGAAGTCTTCGCAAAGAACACGACCGTGAGAATCGTTGACCTATCCTCTAACCCGTGGAACGCCGAATTGATGATTGAGTGGATCGTTGGCGTCGCTGCCTCAACCAGCCTAGAAGAGCTGCGCATCAACAACATGAACTTCGGTCACGGAGGACACTCTCAGGCAGTCGAGAAGGCACTCGCAGAGGCTCTGGAGAAGAACACGTCTCTGGTCAAGCTCGGTTTGGAACTCAAGGACCCGAACTGGCGTAACAAGATCGACCGCAAGATCATGTCAAATAAGGACCTGGCTCGCCAGAAGCGTGTTGCGGCACAGAAGGCGAAGGCTGCCGCTGCAGCATAGAGCTAGGAGAAACTTTAAGTGGTTACGTAGTCTTGTTGGTCGTGACTTTGATATCCGTTCGTTGGTCCGCATTTGGATTTGCAATTTCGCTTGATAATAGAAAAAGAGACCTTTTTCCGGCTCTGTCATGCATCGTTGATCGAACGAAGCACAGAAGGTACTTGTTTGAATGCAGTTTCTCAAGAAATATTAGTAGAAATATACCGCGACAGAGATACTACTACTAGTATATTTATATTATAACTAGGCAAGTAGACCAAGACGAAGACGAGCACGAGTTAATGGGCTATATTTTTACCTTAATCTTCTTATCGATCCTTATTCTGATTCCTTGAACTAAATCATAACAAGTACCAACTACAAAATAAATAGGAAAGCGACAAGAGAGATCACAATGAATTACGCAAGATGAAAAATTGTAAAAAATGAACAAAAGTGTTGAAATGGGATTCTTGTAGACACCCTTTCTGGGACAGTCGATATTGTAGAAGTTGGGATGGACATCATAAACTAATATTATAAGACACGAAAAAAATAAGATCTAATGGCGCGCCCAATTGAGTACAAACACGCAACAACAGGTATTGATTATTCACTTAGTAGGAAAAGGTCTGAAAATTTTATCGATTTCTATCGATGCACTGTGCGTCACGCACGGACAGATTATGAACATCAACCTATTCCTATACAACAATAAATCAGTTACGTCTGAATCTTCCATGGTCGCATCTGAATATTGGTGAAAATGACTATAACTATGTTGTATTGATTTTTACACAAGCAGCCAGAAGCAAGTCGATGAAAAAGATGAATGTCGTCAACGGCACCTCCAACACGCTTCATGCTGTAGCTCACGACTTAGAAGTCGCTGGATCGACGCTTTTGTTCAGGCAAATCATTAGGTGGCGTCGTTTTCTTATTTCGCGAGTACGCATCGTTGTCACTGTAGAATCGGTACAACATAGCTCTTCAATGATGTGCTTCGGTTGAGTTTTTTCAGCTTGTTTGTAGTTGTCGACCTTCTTTGAGCGAATTCCTATCCTATTTGAGCGAATTCGGGCCAGGTTTTGTCGATGAGTTCTTGATTTGTTTATTTCGGGCTTCGAACAAAATGGCTCTCGAAGAAGCTTTCAAAATGAGGAAAAGCAATACGACCATCATACTCATAGAACATCGAAAGAAGAACTGCCTCACAGTTACAATTTTAAGCAGAAAAAAGGTTATTTGCAAAGTCCCTACATGATCACAGAAATAACAAATTATAACGACGCCTAATCGCAAGAAGAAGAAGAACGATGGTTCCTTGGCTGGGTTACTACATAACAGCGTGGGCTGCAGGTCCACTTCAGCGCTTCGGACTACTCGAGACCGCGCCTGGACCAACTACGTCTCAACAAGAGCTAACTAAAACCACGGTGTTGTACAACGATTCGAACTCTCGTCCGACTCTACCTGCGCTGTCAACTGCAGCATCTGACAAAAGTACAACCGCGAAGCAGGTGACCACACCGGACGACCATGAGGAGACGGGTGAGGCCGCATTGAAACAGTGCGCTTCGAGTCTTGCGCCCAATGGGCCCTACGAGACGTACGAGAAGAACAGCGAGATGATCTGTCGACACGGGAACTACATCACATCGTATGCGACCGACTTGATGGCCCCGAACTGGAGCGCGTACAAAATCACACCAGGAGAAGCGCTCGAGGAGCACGGGGGCAGAAGGGGCTTCAAGTACTATTTGCAATGAGTTTCATCCGTTTTTTGTGTTTGTCAAGACGAGGAGAATGAAAGAGAAACACAATTATGAACAATATGAAGATCTTAATCTTATCACTGGAAAAAAGTATCTGTGCCTCATCCTTCTTGATGATCTTCATCTTCAAAGAAATATAGACATCAACAGGTTCGACCCCGCCGTTCCTGAAGAGCACCAGGAACCGTTGAAGAGCAAGTGTTGGGGCCAAAAATGGAACCGTGGTCACCTGTGTCCTAGTTATATCATGAGCTACGACAAGGAGGCCAATGGGCCTTGGGATGACACCTATTTCATCACGAACACTGCCATGCAGTATGGTCCGTTCAATTAAGGCTTGCCCTATTAATCCATTTCGAAGATGAATAACATCTTGGGACTGTCCCATAATGGAGAAACGACTTCAGGATGATCATGATTCTCAAAATGGATTAGGGTGAGCACTAATTCAACCAGCAGACGTGGCAGCATCTGGAGATCCACACTGTGAATTGGATCAAGGAAAAAAAGCGTGAGCTTTTCATCGTCACGGGTACAATGTTTAACCGCGACGCACTCACGAAATGCGATTTGTCGACCGGTGAAATCGTGCCGCCTCCTGGTGCTGAGGGGGAGACCACGTCCTTGGTGACTACAGGAGCGCTGGAAGCTGTCAGTCGTGTAGCTTCTAGCAGTTCTACTTCGACTTCTACCTCTGGGTCACGCGGAATCGGACAACATGGAGCAACAGCAGAACTTCTACAACAAGTAGAGCCTCAAGAAGGTAGAAGTTCCTTCATGGGCGTTCCAGATTACTACTACAAGATCATGTGCGACGTGTCTGCCGGCAAGTCGATTGCGCACTTGGGCCACAATCGGGACGACGACAAAGTGTACGAGATGTCGGTGGACGAGTTACAGAAGAAGATCGGTCTCAAGCTTTTTCCAGCGAAGGCATGCAATACTAGTGTCATGGCATCAGACTACTTCTGGACTGAGGATCTGAAGAATGTCAATCTAGTGCGCATTTCTTCCTCTAGAACCAGCGAAGAAAAAAGCACCACGACCACGACCAGCACAGATGACACCGCAATGACTGCATCAAGAACTGCAGTTGTTGAGAAGGCACGAAGATTCCTGGACCGCATCAGGCAGGTCGCGAACGGGCCTACCACGGCTGCCACAGCGCAGCGCCCGGCTTCATCCGGCGGAGTTGACACCGCGGCAGCACCGCAGGAAGTCTTCACCTTCTAATCAAGTCGTCCTCGTCCTAGTACCACAATCGATATTAAAGATTGTCGCAGTCCCATTTTATTTGATGAATATCCAATGAAAGAATGCAATAATCAGGTGTCTTCACATGCCTGTCGCTAACAAAAACACCGTGTCTTCCCTGTAAGAACAACTTTTCTCAGAGGTAAAACATCTAGATGCTTGAGTTTTCTTTTGTCAATGTTGATTAAAAATTATGACCAGCGAACATAGTGACAGCGGCAAGGAAGACTGAACGTGGAGCGGGAGCAAAGAACCATGAAAAATGTTGATGATCAATTCTTGTGAAAAATATGCGGCTTAGGTATAGGTACCTCGACCCACTAGTCCTTTTTTCATCTGGAAATACTTACAGATCGGGATCGGGAATGAAATTCTTTTTGAGTTTCTGAGCTTCTGGTGACGCCCAGTTTGGGACAGTTTTTGGATTTGGGAACGAGGAGCAGCATTTAAAAATGCTTCTTCTTCCGCTGGAGCGTGCGCATGCAGCATGAATATGCGTAGTGGCTGGTGTTCTAAGAGACTGTCGTGGTTGTTCCGCGTCTTCCTCATTTATCAGAGCGAGCTGAAATCTAATTTATTGGTTCGGAGAGAGACTTGTCGTGTTGTAAAGAACTTCATCGGCTCACTTCTATTTGCTGGGACAGCCACGACGAACAGAATGATGAATGTGAATCCACTCGTTCTTCAGTTTCGGTCTCGCTTCGTCTGACAAAAAAACTCCGTTCGGAATCGGTTTGTGTGGAAGATTAATACAAGTGCAAGACTGCTCGGAGGGAGAATCGACTGGAATGCATCGGTTTTGGAGGCAACGGACCTCTTCGGCAGGCCCATCACCCGCGACAAATGCCCTCGCACATTTTCACAATATTGTCAACCAACCTTTTATTTTCGAGATTCTTACTAAGTAGAAATAACTATCGTGTTGTCAGGACCTACATCAACGCGTCTCCTTCATCTGGCTGGTAAGCGCAAACATCCACGTAATGCAGAATGTGACTTCACAACTGACTCCAATGACAATGAAAAACTAACACTAGTACACGTCCATCATGTGATTGTTAGATGGCAGTCAAAGAACCGAGTACCATGTCCTGCAAAGGAAAAGTAATCATGCTGATTGAGGAAACGAACCAAGAATAAACGGAAACGAACCAGCACGCTGCAAAATGTCGATCCACCGTCCGCGAGCGCGTTCAATCGCGATTGACGCTGCCCTCGAGTAATCATAATTGCTTTCGTATGTTCTTGCCATCTGCTCAATATCCTTGTCCTTCAAGTTGAGAAAGTACCGTTGAGCAGATTGTTTGCAGTGATGATTAACAACTTCAACTACTCGTCTCGTCACTCCGACAACGAGCACTCAATCTCCTCCAAGTAATGCCATTGTATCTGATCAACTTCTACAGTCTTTCGCCCAAAGGGTTGGTCGAGTTAACGCAGTTTGGAGGGTCGCGGTATCGACCAGGCACTGTACCGGATCAGGTTCGGCAAAGACATTCCGCTGCAAACAGTCGGCGAGTGCAAACCACACAAGGGGGAAAACGACGCGGCGCAAATACTCCCAGTCCACTGAAGCGATTGCGTGCTGCTGCCTCAGTCGGATCCGGGTTCGACGCCAGTATCTACTCCGACCCGAACAAATCGCCGCTGAAGCGGAGCCCCTCGCGTGGCAGCCCATCCAAAAAACACCAAATACGACATGGTAGTGTAGTTGTACTAGTTATTTACGTGTACTTTTAACATCTTGGAGAATTTGGAAGTTTCTTCTTGAAGAAGACTTAGAAGAAGATTTTGATTTTCTTACTTTCAATTTACCACAAACACGAAGATACAAGATCCATTTGCATTTTCCAATTTACTGTGCCATCACTTCTCCACCAGGTGACACATGGCTCTTTGATGCAGTGTCTCGGATCGCAGGGGAAAGGACGAGCAGCGAGCAACAACGGCTAGGCCTGTTTCATCTGAAAGACCCAAGGAAAGTTGTGCAGGGTACTACAGGAACTTGTGATCATACGGAGCCATCAAAATCAATAATTCCATCTGCTTAATTTTTACCCCCGATTGAAATGTTTATGACAAGTATCATCTCTACACCAGTAGGTAATTATGAGCTTTGTCATCGCCAATGCGAATGCGTGTATCCTCGTCCACACTGGTTGCAGGTAGTAATCGCGAGCTCGAGAGTCGTAGTAGATCCCGGAGCCAGAGCTCAGTTAGTGCCGCTGAGTTACTACGGAAGGCAGACCTCGCGTTGATCTCGAAGATCGAACAACTTCAGCAGGGTGAGATTGGGCAATTTGGAAACGGGACCTTTACAGATGAAGATCCTACTCGCGCAGGGACGTCGGCTTTGGAGTACCACTCGCGTGGCCTCACTTTCCTTCTGAACAGAAGGAGAGACATCGCAGACCTGCTTTCGGCGACGAGTCTAGAGAAGCCCGGTGCCATCAAGAAAGAAGGCGTACCAGGCGGGGCCGCATCGTCTTCGTCCACTGCAACATCGACAACACTCCCTGCATTGACCGATGAGGGGGATTCGAGCAGTAGCGCAGGAGAGGAAGCTGGTGGAGGGACGATGATGAATTTTCCCCGTCCGGCAACAACTGCGGCTACGATGCGCAGTACCTCTGAAACCGTCGCGGCAGTGTCATCTACTTCCGCGAATACAAGTACACTGAGCGTTCCTTCTACTTCTCATGGCGGTGTTGGAGAAGGAGGTCCAAGAAACAAGGCCGGTACTGGGTCAGGGCATACTACTCGCGATCGCCCGCCAGGGACAGCGCCAGCCGCATCGACGAATCTGGAGCAGAGTACAAAAATAGCTGACATTTTGCGCGAGGGGCGACTGCGAAGAGAGCAGATAGCCAGGAATCTCTTCGGAGCCCCCGCTGCTGCTCGCGTGCGACGGGAGCTCTTTCCACGCAATAGTACGACGGGGAGCACTGATGTGAACTACCCACAACAAGTGCTAGTTTCATCTAACGCCGACAACATCATGTTGCTACCGAGTACCACAGTCCCGGACATGGCTCCGAACAGCAAGACCAGCAACACCGCTACAGCCGCAGACGCTGGCGAGGGTGGCGCCTCCTTGGAGGTAGAGAGGCCATCGACGTCCAGTCATGGAAGTATCTTCGTGCCAGGCTCAGAGCATGGGCGAATCGAATATCAACCGTCAGTGAAGTCACGACCTGCATCGGAACGTGTGCGTCCTGCTCAAAACAAGCCCAGGACCACGAGTCTTAGCAGTCCAGCCGTAGATTTTGTGCCCATCGACGACGAGCCAACAGATCCTGACGTAGCAGCTTCAGCAGGGGATCAAACGCAAAAGCCTCAAACCAAACCTATTACTACGGAACCATCTTCAACATCACCTACAACTACTAGCGCTGAAAAACTCCAGCTTCCGGCAGCTTCCGAACTGACCACGACTCGTACAACTGACCGAGTACTAGCTTCCGCTACAGCCGACGCGCTTCTACCAACTCCCACTTCCGGCTTACATGACCCTTCCGTGTCGCAGGTGACGACTGTGGGAAAATTCGCTTCGGACTTCCAAGACGTTGGGGAGAAGACCCTCAATCGCTCAGAGCATCACTTGCCTGAAGAAGATACCACTAGTCCAGTCCGACCAGCAGAATCAACAACACCAGTCGCGGGATACCCGCATGTTCTTGTCATCAACAATTCCTTTGATGCACAGAGGCCCGGCACAACGGCGTATAGCACCCGTCGGCCTGCCACACAGGCTGGAGGACTAGTAAAATTCGCTGCAGCTCCTGGCAGCTCGCCTCAGAAAGTACTAGGTGGTAGAACTTCTGCTTCGTCCTCTGGCGTGGATCCGCGATCATACAACCTATATGCGACAATGAGTGAGCGCGTATCAACTGCACCGGCTCTGGCGGCTGCGCTATTGGGGACTAGGCGCGCAGGAGGTGGAGCGCAGCGTGGCCTTCGCGGCGCCGCAGGTGGCTCACATCCGTCTCAATCTACTGGTGCTAAGAGGAAGTCCGTAGCGTCGCGTGGCAGACCGAGCAGTCACCTCTTCTATGCAGAGGGTAGTTGTACCTCTGAGGAGACGCACATGGTTTCTTTCGGTGGAGAGTCCAGGCGAAGTGACTTGTTCTCTCCAGGCAAAGCGGCCGCGAAAAACCGACAAATCCTCGACGTCTACACCAATACTAGTAATCGCCGAGGTGGAGGGGCCAATACTAGCACATCATCTTCAGGCCCTGGGTGCGCATCTTCACAACTTGTAAGTCCACAAGTAGTTTCCAAGATGAGTACTAGAGCAGGAAGTCGAAGTGGAAGCTCTTCGTCCGGAGGGATGAAAGCAGTACGTAGTGCAGGTTCCCTCTTCATGCGAAACAACTCGCTAGGAGGAGGTCTGTTTGCTGGTGAAGACGCGCCTCAGTTGCTGCAACTCGCGTCGATTGCCGAGAACTCGTCTAGCAAGGGCTCCGCTTCGGAGGAAGAGATTGTAGAAACTGGTGGTGCGCCTCGTCGTCGCGCTATCTCAGTAACCGCGACAACAACAGCAGTACGTCGGAATCCACCCCAAGGGCGTCGGTCACTGCAGGAGCAGAACCATTATCCACCTGGTTATGGGGACGGCTCGCGCTCGGAAGCTGAAGATAATGCGGGTGTGGAGATGAACCTGCAAGTTCTACAGAATGTCGAGACATCAGCCTCCGCAAATGCTAAGCGCAACGCTTTCCGTGAGTTCCGTCAGGGAAGCTACTTTCGCGACTGGACAACCTCGGAGAAACCATTATATTCCTACAATATCGGGGCGGCGGGCCACGCACCGAAACAGGACATTGCAACGGCAGTTCAGAGAATCAGAGAGGAAACGAAACAAAACATTACGCGTCTCCGAAAGCAAAAGATACATGCTGCACTCGAGCCAGTTGTAGCATGAAGTAAGCACAACTTCTAAGTACACTTTTTTTCCTCTGCTGTATCTGTCGAAAGTTCGATACTATTATCTGCCTTTAAGTACTAGAAGAAATGGTGTAGTAAAACGTCGAGAGCCAGTTGTACATTAGATTTAGAAGATTAACCAAATCATTTGGTTAATCTTCTAAATGTTGATGAAGATTAACAGCTCAGATAATCGAAAAATTGGACTACGAAACGATAATGAGAACCACAGATGATTGTTGCATGATCTTTTTTAGCTCTACCCTTCCAAGAAGTTATTTCTAATTCCACATTTGCAAATATCATTAGCCAACACAGATTTGACAACGATGAACTCAACCAAAAGCTTGATTGAAATCGTATATCAGATTAAGTGAATTTGAATGAATAGAACTGACTTTTAACGCATGACGAAGACAAAATATACAGAATGAAGATTATTTTGTTTTACATTTACTCTTGAATAGAACCTCCAGCACAACAGATACAGAAAGGATATCTGCATTAAGCATGTCCCTGCTGTTGATTTCTTGGTTTCTTGTTCTTGATAAAAGCTTGATCTTGATTGAAACTATCACGATTGCGAATCGATCGACACTATAGAAAAGCGTAGACGGGCTCTTGTTATTTGTTGTGAAAAAGATACCGACACAATTACAAATGCGGAACTTCTCCAAGTCAATAGTACTTAATACCATTACATGACTGACACTTCTGACGTTATCCATGTAAGTATAATTTTACCTTTAAAATTAAAGCACGACTACCAGGATGGAATAATCGCTAATGCTTGCCCTTGCACTCGTGTGCGTCACAATTCGTACGAGAAAGCAAGACGTTAATGTACAGCCGTATCCCTGCTAGAAGAGAAACCTGTACCAGACGAGGAAGAAATAGAAAAAACAGTAATTCTGGTAAACGCGCCTGCCCGAATTCATACTCATGGTCATTCTTAATCATGCTGGTTCAGGGGTTGCCGTTGTTCTCATCGAACTAAGGCCCTCTATGAGTCAAGAGTGAATGGCAGTCAACTTTGATGTCGGATTTATTTTCATCTAAATTCTTCATATTCAGAAAAAGGAAGTAGAAGACTGGCTTGATGTTGTGCAGGCTGCGGCTGGAGTCAGAAATATTAAGTACGGAATATCACTCCGGAGAAGAAGGATAGATCCACCAGGTTTTGAAGAGGCCTCGAGTTGTTTTCCAAACATGACTTGAGAGAAAGTATCATCGTTTGTGGACACCAGGATGAAGATGCAGGCTCGTTCCCGCGTTGCCACATCGACCCTCATGGGAGACGGGCCAGGACCAACAGCACGTCCGCGCCTTAGGCGCGCTCGCACAACCCCAATTGTAGCGCTTGCTTCGTTTCTCACCGTGCGAAGTGCTCTGGCCAATGAGCAGCAGCATCCGTTAGACCATGCTGTGGAGATGTTGGCCAAGCTTCGCGCTGAAGCCGTCAAGGACATGCATGATGAAGAAGTTCTCTTTGCGACCTATCGCCAGTATGCTGGTGACGAGATCCTCCGGTTGAACGTGTCAGCAAGGGATCTGGGTCTGGCCGTCGAGGCAGGCGGAGCAGAGGCAGCCAAACTGCGAAGTGAAGCAGACACTTTAGACTTGAAGGTAAGTGCATCACTATCACTACTCTTTTGGTTTCACAACTGAACAACTTTTACTAACTTTCTCTATGTATCAGTTTCTTTTCTCTTGCTTTTCGTTTTCATCAACCTGTTGTAATACATCAATTATCGTCGTAGAGGTCGTCTTCTACAGATCAACGAGACCGCGACCGATTTGCAAGCGTCCAAAGACGAGAAGCATGAAGTGGACGAGGAGAATAGTGTGAGGGCTTCAGCATTTCTGCAGTCGGAAACGGACTACCGAAACGCAATCTACATGGTCGAGAAAGCCATTGCACATCTCAAGGCCAGAGAGAAAACGGATACTGCCCAGATCAAGATCAAGTACGATAGCGACGAACCGCAACCTCCTACTTCAGGAGCTTCCTCGTTGCTGCAAACCGATGAAATGCCTCCAGCGCGGGCTTCCCTGCTGCAATTGGTGCTGGGAATAACGCCATCTTCTTCTTGGGAGGAACAACACGCTGGAACTCGATCGTCCAGTACTGGAACAACTCCATCTTCTACACTTGCTGTTGCTAGTACAACGGGAGTCGGAGTGACAACGCGAATCAGCTCTTCGCTGATGAACTTCCTGGAAGGCGTTGTTTTGGGACCGGTTGAGAGAACGAGCACATGGTTTGCTACCGCGAGTGACGCAGTGGCTCCCAACAACGCTTCATCAACGTCTAGTACGGACCTGCCATCTACAAAGTCGGAACAAAAGTTGATGTCGCTGATGCAGGAGGCAAGCGCGAAGAACTTTACAAACACAGGTGGAGTTCTGATCACGCTGCGGGACCTGCGAGCCAGTTTCGCCGACGAATTGGACTCCATTGTCAAGCAAGAAGCCGCTGACAAACTTGCTTGGCAGCAGCGGTCTCTCACTCTTGGCTTCATTATGACTAACAGATCTCCATAATGAATCAATGTTCATCATGTTGATGAATCTTATAGATATTTCTTATCAAAATCTTCTATCCACAACGTTCATAACTCTCGCCCTCCTCTTTACCTGCCTTCATTTAGGCCATAAAGGGGCTTCAAAGTTGTATCAAGACGGACACTGCGAATGCGGGGAGCTTCCGAGCGACAGCTGGCGACCGCGCTGCACAAGCAGTTGAGGATGCGCAAACGAAGGGCCGCACTGAAACCGCCTTCGCAGAGCTTCAATTACAATTGGAGACGAAGACCTCGCAATTTGAGGAACGTCAGAAAGTGCGCTCAAATGAAATCGCAGCCCTCGAAGATGCAGAGCGTATCTTGAGCGGTCCGCTAAGTACGAAAACGGTCTTGATAGCAAAGACTGGTGGAACGAAGAGGATGAAGACCAACAGCAACAACATCAAGCTGGATCTTCATGGAACAAGAACTACATCAAGGATCATTAGACTACCAAACACGCCAGTGCTCGCATTCTTGCAAGTTGGAAGCTCTACATCTTCATCCTCTGGCACCGGATCGTCGGCTCTCACGTCTCTTGTGCAGCAGCGGGTAGAACAACAGATTCAACATCTCCTCTCGTCGTCTTCTAGACCTGTGATGTCACCTTATGTGCGTCTCCTGGAGAAGGTGAGACAGACGCTCGCACAAGACCCACTGGCGAAAGTGAAGACCATGATCCGCGAATTAGTAACCCGTCTCGAGGCCGAAGCGGCGGAAGAAGCGACTCATCATAGCTGGTGCCAGACGGAATTGAACAAAACGGAAACTGATCGAGATACGGCCAAGGATCAGGTATTGAATTTCGCACAAGGTGAATGAAATTAAGACGAAAACCTTTGCTCAGACGAGGCTGCAGCTTCCTTGGATAGCTTTTTCCTATCTTTGGTAGGTCATCCTTTGGACGAACATCAAGAACATCACGACCAACTTGCGTGAGACGTTTCGGTCCGACCACCCAGGTAGAAAGTTACAGCGACTCGATCGCTATGCTGCAGAGCGATATCGAACGGCTGGAAGCGAAAGTTCCGAAGATTCTGGCGAAGATCAACACGACCCAATCGGAGATTACGGAGCAAACCAAGATGCAGGCTGATTCATCGGCACTCTTGGCGACTGAAATTGCGGAAACTACAGAAGCAGAAGGCGCTTTAGCTTCCGCTTTGCAGGTTTTGCGGCATGTTTACCCCTCATCCAATGCGCCTGACACAATGGCCAGCATCACGGCGAGCAGCACGGCTCCGCCAATATCGTTCTTGGCAGTGGGAGCAGAGTCGGGAATAAAGCAGAAGAAGATGAACATGTACAACATGCAATTACAAAGTCAATACCAACGTCAGCAGCCAGAAGAACCTCTAGTACGCGAAGCCCCAGTGGAGATTTTTGACGATGCGCCCTATGTTGGCCAGCGCGGCGGTGGCGGCGCTGTCGAATTTTTGGAATTCCTCCAAGCTGGTTACAAAAAACAGCATGCAGAGCTAGTGAAAGAGCAGACGGGCGCAGCGTCCGAATTCCAACTTCTGATGCAGGAACTCCAAAGCGTCGTGACAGGTTTGCAAAGCGATCTCGCTGAAAACTATGAACTAGTATTTACAAGTACTTGTTACAATATTCATGCAGAGAGAGCTGCAAATAAAACAACATACCTCAAAAAGAAAAACGTGAGTGAACCCCACATCAATGGTTTCGTGGTTTCCACAGCTCGATTCCTAGACCAATTTCTAGCACGGAAATTTAGCTGCAACATGATTAAAATCCATGTAATCTCAAACTGCTGACATTTTTCCTGCAGTTGCTCGACCTCACGCTCACAACTGTTCTAAGAAATCAGCGCCACCCACATGACCAAGCAAGGGGAGCTTTCTGGTGCCCAGAGCGGCAAGACGAGTGCAGACGCGGCTCTGAGCGCTGCGCTAGCGTACTACAACAAATTGACGCCAAGTTGCATCGCCGCGACCGACGTCGATGAACGCAGCAAACAACGACAAGAAACAATTGAAAGCCTGGAAGAGGCAGTGAAGATCCTGGGAGACATGTAATTTGCCTTTCGGATGGAGTGGATCTCCGTGGTCAACAAGAAGAAGCAGAGCATTAACAAAACGAATAAGGGCGTTCTACTTGTCATTCTCGCTTATCATGAAGGAAGATCATATAGAGTAAAAGTAGGGTCGTGAGGAAGAGCCGAGGACACGGCATCTGCTAGTGTTGAGTTGGTCATGAAAATGTTGAAGATTGGCTATGGCTGCTTTATAACACAGAATAAATGAGAAGAGGTTGTGAAAGTGAATTTTGATTAACTAATCGTGTACTAGTTCGAGTGCTCCTAAATAATAATGAATGATCAGATCGAGATTGCGATTGCCTCCTACTTGTATAGCGAATGTATCGTTAGACGAGGAAGACACGTAGTTGGTTCTGAGAACTTCCAAGGATAGACCCCCCTTTGGTATCTTACAGCTGGGACGTATTGTTAATGAACACGACTCTTGTCTGCTGCCGCTGTTAGTCGACTGAACGTTTCCGCGAATCTCCATAAAGAAAATGGGTTCCCATAGATGATGCTTTTCTTGTTTTTTCCGAGATGTATCGATGAACAGTATGAACGATTTACACCCAGTAGTAGAGAGAAATAAAGAATGGCAGAAGACCAAGACAAAGTGTTCACCGCGCTAGTAGAGAGGAATGACAAAGTGAGTCGTCACTTTTCGACCCTACGGTGGATTCAAAAAATTACTTTTTACGTCAACGAACTTTCACTTCTATGACGAGGCCTGGCTGTGTTCGTCTCCGACAATGATTTCCATGTTGAGCACGATGAAGAGAGAACACTACATAAGAATAGCTTGTTTATATTGAACAAGAATTCAATCGCTCGGTAAGGCCAACACGACGACCATAACTTCATCTACTGCACTCAGGACGCCGAGGATTACGGATCGCTATCGTATTTTAGCCTGTTACAGCAGTGGCATTTTTCATGCTCGTCGTGTTGCCCTTTACAACATACTAGTTTCGTCCCGCAGATGAACCCATTATACTAAATGGTAAAAAAAGGTTTCTTTACAAAATGGAGCTGTTGAGTGAAGTGTCTATATATGAGTATATATTTATATATGAGTATAACCAACCTCACCGAGGGAGTTGTGCACTACGAAGTGTTGAATGGTCAGTTAAAGCAATTAAGTTTCATAATTTCTGAGTCCGAGAGAAGTTGTAGAGCTAGAGGAGCTAGTGTTGACTGCGCCTGCGCACACCAGTTGGAAACAGCGAGGTGTGTCCGTCTCCGTCTGTGTGTTGTCGGTGCTTATATATAGTGATAGTGAATCTACTTCTTGCCGTAATTGATTCAAATCCATTTTTGGTATAAAGATCGTAGTGGGTGACAGTGCGCCATCATGTATCAGCAGCAGGGATCCAATACAGCGGGCGGGACAGCCCCGAGGTCGCTCTCCCGACCACCGTTGCTTCAGCCACAATTGGTATTTCTACTTACAAGACCTTAGGTCTTTTTATAACGAGTTGCTTTATTTCTTAGTACAACTACGACCTTAGTTGTTTTTGATGAAAAGCCACGATTGACATTGATGACATTGGCTATCATGCAATTGTATCTATCACACCAGATTCCGCAGCTAAGCGGGAACTTTGGGTTTGGGATCGGCCAGTTTTCCAGTTTCTCAAACCAAGCAGGGATGATGAATCGCGGGTACCGGACCGCCTCACCGGCTGTTTCTTCCTCCGTTGGTGCATCTAATACTTTCCAGGCAGGACATCAGCATGGCGCGAGAGACAGTAGCAATAGCAAAGTTCTCCTCGTCTCTGGTGGAGTCGGTGTTGGTGCGTCAGCGTCATCCACGATATCGACCTCAAGCGGAGCAAGCTCGGCCAGTAGTGGCAGCGGGGCACCGCCGACTTCTTCTGGCGGGTCTTCGAAGGTGACCACTTCAGGCAGTGCAAGTGGATCCTCCTCACGTGCGCCAGCGTCCACATCGAAGGGTGTTGGGGGTACAACTTCTTCCAGCAGTGGAGGAGGTAATCATGCTGGAGCGATGGCTATGAGCAGAAGCAGCGCCAACGGAACAGGAGGTACAACAGGGCAACATCAACAAGTAGTGTATAATAGGAGCAGCGGGGCAAGCGCAAGAGAAAGCGCAACCGCAGCGTCGTCTGCAGCCCCAACTTCGGGAGCAACCTCCGCTATTAGAGACTTGCAGGGCACGACCACTGCGGGCGGCGCTTCCGGATCCGCTGCCATGTTACAGAACCAACGGCAAACACAACACGTGACGACTACGCGGACAACGAGTGCGAGTGGCGTTGTTACGAGCACCGTTACACGAACAGCGTCTCGACCCGCCTCCAGTGCCTCCTCTGTCTCAACGAGCACCTCCTACAACCCAGCCTCTAGAGTTGGAGGCCCCCCACTTCCTCCCACAACCTCCTCCTCGAAACCCTCCATTTCAACCGCGCAACATCGTACTTACTTCATATTTGATTTTCACTCTCACTTAACATGACTTATCTTCTTTCTCAAGAAGAATAATAGGAGCAAAGCAGATTATATACCAAGTTAGACAACTACATATTAAAAGCTACTCAAAGTAACATCATGCTGCATCTCACGTTCTTCTACTTAATGTTCACCCTCGTTATCAGGTTCCTCAACTGCTACTGGTTTGCGCACCGTGATGAAAACGCCTATTCAGCAGAAACCCATGCCAATGGTAATGCAGCTGGGCTTAAAACAGCCTAATGCGCAACTAAACGCGATGACATTCAACCAGAAGCACCCACCGGTTGCGCCAGCTAAGAAACTCGATACTGCTGCTAGATTTGAAGCTGCTGTCGCTGCAATGAAAAGAGAAGGTCCGCTCAGGCTTTCGCCGCGGTCAACCGCGGGCTCATGTGCGTCTGCTGGCATGCCTGGCGGACAGCCAGCAGCCATCGGAATGCTCGATGGAAAACTCATCGTGCGTGGCCCAAAAGCTGTCCTAGACCAAATGAAGAAGAATTCTGTCCTAAAAGAATTGGAGGAAAAAGAAGCGCTTGCGTAATTCTAGTCCTACTTAATAGTGTGCTGTCCTTTCATTCATGGATTCTCTACTTTCGTTTGAGTTCTTGATCTCCTTAGATTTGTCCAACACGAACACACGTGTTGTACTACTTAGGCACCTACTATTTACCGTTGGTGGCATTCGCTCTAGGTAGTAGGTGATTGGGCCTCAAAAAAACAACAGGTGGTGTGAGGAGGGACCGGTCCCAAGCGACACCCTTATTGCGCTAGATTTCGATAAGACGTTGGTGAAGAATTTTCTCTGGGCAGATCTCGGAGGCCTGCAGGGAGCAAGTGTACTTTATCATCTTTTGCTCAACATGCAGTTGCATCAAGAGTAACAAGTGTTGAAAACAGGACACTAGCGAGAATCATGTGGCCACGGAGCAGGCATTTCGATTTGATACTGAGTATGAGCACTTTTAACTATTAGTACCACTCCTGCTTTGGTAAACATCTTCACCGTTCTTTTTTATTCATGTTCAAGCACAAGCCAAAGGAAATTGCAAGTCTCAACCTCATCTTTCCCACAGATCCAGAAGAACAATTTGGTGAATTGGGTGCGCGACGGCCGATTAAAAAAGCTCGCTTTCGGAGGCGACGAAAGAATAACGAGATTGCGAGAGGCGATCCAAGCAAGGCTAGATCGCGGTGATTTCGTTTGCGTTCTCAGCTCAGGTATTACAGAAGGTCTTGCTGCCTGGTTGCTCATATATGGTTTTCTCCCACCTGATCCTCTTGTTGATGTTGTAGTGCAGAATTTTATATGTGGGAGTACAACAGGAACAGCGAAGGCGAACACGCGGCAGAATCCGAAATACATAGTATCTCACAAAAAGCTTCCTTGTTCCTTCATCAGCATATTATCGAAGCAACTTTATCAGGTTTTGCTTCAGTCATCAAAGTGGCGCTGCAGCATGTGGGGCTCTCTGACATACTTCCGCAGGACTTGATTTACGGCTGCGACACACAGCCCTACGGAATCAATAAGTCAACCCGATTAGCCAAGCTTCGGGAGAAGCACCGCAGAACCCGCGCTGTCTTGATCGACGACGATCTCAAGTACTGGCTTTTCTAGATTCATCATCTAGACATGCTGCTTCATCTAGGTCACACACAAAATACAATGTCATTTAGTTGTAACGAACGTTTTATACAACACAGAGGAATCATATTAGAAGATGACGACTTCATGTAGTACATATTGTCATCGGATGAATTAAACTGTCTCGAAGAAGCTAGTTGTACCTGATATTTCGCTCCTCATCATAATCAGTTATTGCCGACAAGCCATTCGGGATGGGCACCACGCGATTTGGGTCAAAGATGGACAGGGAATTGAGGAGAGCGAAATGCACAAATTAAAGAATAGCCTGTGGGATCAGACGTTGTAGTTGCAGCTCTTGTTGCGGCGGTTGTATTAGTATGGAGGGGTAACTGTACCACTTCTTTAGCCGACAAAATTTGGATCCTTCTGGAGGTGGACGACGGGAATTATACCTTGCTTCATGAAGCATCCAAAGAGAACGCTTCTCGTCCAAAGAGGAAATGCGGAAATCGGAGGATGAAGCGAACAATAATTTGTTGGTTCGGACATGATTGCTGAATCAGTTACATCAGTAAATAAGTATGTAACTACAACTACCCACTGAAAATGTGAACAATTATCCTAACGAAGAAAGCTTCATAAGACCACTCGCCGATAACAGCGCAAACATAGAGTCAGCTCTTCAATAAAGCAAACGAATATATAAAATTTCGTCTAAAGTTGACTGAATTTTTCAACGCTGGGGCCGGGATACAGATAGAATTTGAATTCTTGGTGATTTGTTTCCAATCCCAGTCGTCGCCAGTGACATGAGCACTTAAATCGATTTATGTCGTACTCGAAAATGAAGATAAAATTATGTAGAAGCTTGTGGGAGCATATGAGCTACAACGCGATAGAATTTGACGGCTCTTTTTGTACTGCAATCGCTGGTGGAGGGCGAGGCCGCATCACGTGTTCGCGCCGTTGATTTGTGGAGATTTTTTATCGGGTGATCTTTGATTTCTTGGTTCTTGCCCCTTGCAGCGCTCTGGTGTTACTTTTTCGAAGCTGTGTTGAGGGCGGCCCTCTATGACGAGGAAGGACTGCGATGCTTGTCCGAACACATCGAGGAGCTGGGCCAACTCAGTGGTGATTTTTTTTTTCAATACCGACCACTGTTGATAACCATGAAGTATCCGCCACTATCCTCACTAGAGAGGCGTGACTTGTTAATCATGCGGTGACACATGTGTTTCATAGCGACTCTTCATCATCTAAAGGTACTGAACCGCAGAATAACGTCACCATCACTTCTTTGTCTACGTCTACTCTATCTTCTTGATAATATAGCAGCGAGGGGGACAGCAATCGTCAACTCTTTGTTGTCATCGAAAGAGTATCCTTGTGGTATCTCTTCAACAAGTCGACCTCACAAAATGATGTACTCTCGACGCGGCCTTTCGCTATTGGTGCTGTTGGCCTTGTTGCTCGTAACCTACGCGGCGACAAACTCAGCCTACTGGATTCAGTGGGCTGTGTTCCTCATCTTCATGGCCATGTTGTTATGACAAGGATGATGAGCAAAGCCACTTGTTCTATTCGATCTCGATCACTTTTTCTGATATAAAAATCATGACCATCAAGTTCAACAAGAATACCTCTACCTCTACCGTTCGATTTCGGTATGCGAATGTTTTCAGCGTCCTCCTTAAAGACTACCTCCTTAAAAACTACCTCCTTAAAAACTACCTCCAAAAACACCTCTCCCCCGCAGACCCCACCACTCGATTTCCTAAAGCGTTCTTTCCAACTTTGAAAAGTCGTATTTCTGCAGGAAACCCTGTAATTCTTGCTGTGTCATCTGGTGGAAGGGTAACAGGCGTCTTTCGCTGAAGACAAACAAGTCTACCTCCTTAAAAACTACCTCCTTAAAAACTACCTCCTTAAAAACTACCTCCTTAAAAACTACCTCCTACCTCCTCCTTTAAAAACGGCCAAAAACACCTCTCCCCCGCAGACCCCACCACTCCCTCCAGACCCCACCACTCCCTCCAGACCCCACCATTCCCTCCAGACTCCATCTTCCTCTTTGTCTTTCATTGTGGTACATCTGCGACCTGATTTTCCTTGGGGATGGCGCTTTCGACTTCGACCCGTTCTACGCGTCCTACGCCAAAAAGACGGAACCAACCTACTTCACGCAGAAAATCGGCTGAAGTCTTCGTCAAACAGGGGATATGATCGAGGTGGAAATCGAGATGAGCATGAGTATTTCAATTCACTTTCGGAGGCGGACAGAAAAAAGGTAGATCGTCGTCGTGTGAAGGAGAGGATGGCCTCCTAAGAACGAAGTACTTCCACGTTGATTTGATCGTTCTTTCTTCAAGGATCTCGAATCTTCAATTCTGGGCTAATATTCTAACGATAAGTTGTGTTGGGACGTTGGATATCGCTCCTGTTTTCACTTAGACATGATCAAGTACAACTACCATCAACATTAATAACAGCGGGTGTAGTATAAGATTTTTTGACGTAAGTAAATCGACTGGTGTGATGCCGTGAGAGATTCGAAGGTTAGTTTAATTCACGACTTTTCATCGAATCTCATATCGGAACCTCAACAACAACATAAAAATATATAATCATCGTTGTGGCTACCCTTTTAGAAGTATCTCTTTCGCTTCAACAACATTCTTGTTGCAGTCACATAGAAAAATAATCAAACACCTCTCGTCGTCCTAATCTGGCTGGTCGAGGATCTCTCGATTTCGGCTCGAGTTCGTGTAGTTGCGGCGGATCTTCTTCATCAGACTCCACATGCTGTTCATCAGACTCGGACAATGAATTCTCTATTTCCGCTCTAGTTGATAACACGACGGATTGTCCTCGATCTTTTGTAGGCTGGTGAAGACCACTGTTGTTCCACAAAATAGATACTGTGGACATAACAATTGGTAAGTCTGGCCTTGCGATAGAGATACATCTTCATGAAAGATGAAGCTTTTTCTTGTACATCAGCGACTACTAGTACAGCTTCTAACGATTGCCTTGTTGATTGAGCATTAAAATGATTTCTTATCTACAACAAAATGTTGACTTACAAGTACTACTCCAGCAACAATAAGCGATAAAGACAGAAATCATGACATGGTCTTTCTCCTTGATGGACGCTGCCTCGTGCTGCGAAGATGATGGGCAAGTCGCGGCCGTTGTGTCGCTTCCCGCTCGTCAATCGAGCGGCTGTGATTGGACGAGTCGAGGATCGGGCGTAGTGACGCATGATGTTAAAGGACATCAAAAGGCCTCCTGCTTTCTCTCTCCAAGTACAACAGCGGGGTTCGACATCCCGCCGCCTTCATCTGCGAGGCCTGGGACGAAAAATCTTCATGTTCTTCACGCCGATGCAATTGCAAATGCTGCTACGATGAGATGTGGAAAATTGCGTGTTCATAATGCCAGCTGCTCAACACGAAACATTTCATCGACGTCGACGTCTTTTGCTGAAGACAAACACGACAAGGGTAACGAGCAAGATCCTCCAGTCAGTAATGCCGAACAAGATGAGCCTTCGGCTCAGGAGCAGCAAGACAAGCTCAAGAAGGACAAGGAGGCAGCAGCCGCCGCAGAAAAAGAGGCACTAGAAGCTCCTGAAAATGCTGAGATTCGAGATGTCAATTTTGGAAAGAGTCTCCCAGGACTTTTTGATACTTGCGCTAAGTGGCATAAAAAGACAGAAGATTTGTTCAACGCCTTTTCCAGTCTTGGATCCTCTATTCGATCGCTAAAAGACCAGATAGGAGTTGACCAAAGGAATGCAAACGACACTCCCCTCGAGCAAGCGAAAATGCAAGACAGGATGAAGGTAACAAGTAGCAAATAATTAGTACAATTTTTATAGTGCTTGTGGTCCTCCATAAAGATAAGTAGGATGTCAGTTATGTTCTCAGCCCCATTAATTAACTTCTGTTCTCTCATGATGTTTCTCTTACCTCCAGCTATAGATAGATCGTCAGTCATTTTTGCAAAGTTTTTCTCAATGCAATAACCTCTCTTTCATCATCCTGTTCCCCTTCCACCAGATGACACAGCAAGAATTAAAGGGCTTCCTGCAGAAATATGACTTTTCAAAGTTGGAAAGAACGCTTTAGCAAATCGACTCGACTTCGCTTGACGGCAGCTTTTATCGACACAACCAAGTGGTTGTTGACATACCGCACGCGGCGAATTTGTCCATTGTTGCCGCAACCAAGTGGAACCGCACACGCATGTGAGTGCGCTGCGATGATTGGACGACTATGCCCGACGCGATACTCACTCGGTAACCGAATCATGAGCCTAAACGTGGTTCTTGCTGGAATAGCAACATTTACAACTTTTTTTTTGCACAGAATGAAAGGGAACAAGATGACGGTCGTGCAGGTGCTAGTAGTTTGTTCTTCAATATAGATCAACATGACTGTAAGGAACTTATCCTCCATTATCTATCACAATGTTAAGTGTTTCGACGGCAAAAAATTATCTATTGTTCCAAGAAACCCTTCTAAAAAAAGCAAAGAAATGAACAGATAATGATAAATCATGATTTTCTCTAATAAAACATAGATGAAAAATAGTACCCTCCTGAGCGAGAAGATATCTTCAACGATGTCTTCTCATGTCGGGGAGACGCCCTCTAGAAATAGCTTTTGCCATAGGGGATTTACGAGCACCTTCGCTTCTATGAGAATTTCTTCCAGTAGCTCCAGTCGACAATGGTGATCGGTTTTGCGCGGGAATTGAAGAAGAGCCCGAGTCTATCGATCTGCGTTACTAACGAAACTCCGTTACTGAATTGGGTTGTAGTAGCCATAACTCTCAGTTCTGGATCACCAAGTCGTGACTTCGGTATTACCATGAGGATCCGATCTTCACTCAACAAGCAGATAAGCTTAATATCGGTCGCTTGCTAGAAGTAACGTGTACGCCCAACTCCATCTTCCGTGACATCAACATGACCGAGAGCGCGACACATCATCGGTTGTTTCATCAGATGCACGACAGTATAGAGGCGGGAACAAGACTGACGAGCCTGGGGATATCGACCTCTACCCCACAAGGCCTTGACGTATTTTTTGTTGTGAAGGATGCAACCGAACCTCGCTCCAGATTGTAAATATAGTTGTAGGTAGATGTTGATGTTCTCCTATTCCGGATCATGATTGAAGATCATCACTAGGCTACCAGTAGTTATCTTGGTGAGGATAAGGTGCAGTACTCGTGATTCATTAAAGAAATGCATATTTCTTCCTTGTGAGCCTCTGCCTTCCAGGAGAATTATCATTATGACCTTGCTGACCGCTGATCAGCTTCTATGAGTCTGGTAACCCGACATTATTCATCTATCTCTACGCAGGTTGAAACAAGCAAAAGTCGTGTAGAAGTGCTGGCACGTTTCTTTTGTAACAAGCAGGCACGACTACGTAGAGGTAAAAGTGGAAGTCATCGAACAGTGGTGGGCTAATATAGCAACAGAAGATTTTTCCACAGGTAGAAGAAGAACAAGGTCTTCTTCTGCAGAATGAATGTGTTGCAGGGTATGCGAAGTTGGTCTCGCGATGGCTTCAGTGAGGAGCAGAAGCGCCGCGCAGACCAGCTTCTCGAAAAGTCGATGCAGCAGCTGCCCAAGCTGAAGGCAAATGAGGAGTCTACCCTTCGTGCAGTGGGTGTGAAGAATACGTTTCTGCTACAGACACGCACAAGTGCTGCCTCTACTCGAACGCCCAGTGCAGCTGGAGGTGCTTCCTCACGCCCTATGAGCGGCTTGAGCGGCACGACATCTTCGAGTGCGACGAGGCCAGCTAGCACAGGAGGTCGGCGTGTGTCTGCGCATGCGAATCTAGGTCCACTGCCTCGTGAACCAGCACCAGGTGCGCGGCCGACGGTGAAAGAGGTGTCAGAAGAGCACGCTCGGTATGTGGAGGAGATGGTCAATCTGGGCGTGATGAGCACCACGAGGCCGGATGTGCTTTCAAATGATGTAAAAACGCCTTCTTATAGCTGTAGTCCTGTGAAAAAGACTAAGAGCAGTAGGTCTTCGAGACCCGTGACTGCTCCACCAGGGGCTTCGCCTTCCCCCATGGCAGGAAGCGGAGGGTATTTCACGACTGGTTCCGGAGGCATTCTCGTAGGAGATAGTGCAGCATCGTCGAGCACGGCGCGGCCGCGCTCCTCCAGCATTTACAAATCGCCAGCGGTTATGATGACGGACCGACAGATCGCGATGCTAGGTCGGGGTGGACGTCTCTTCAGCGCCGGCAGCGGGAGGAATGCGGCGGCAGCCAATGCGGGCACCAAGTCCGTCAACCTGACTGCAGCCGCAGCGCGATTGTCGCAGGCAAAACGGTCGACATCAAGACCTTCGACCGCGGGCCGCTTCTCCTCGATGTCCTCCTCAAGGCACGACACCGATCACAGTGGCATCACGGAGCCGGAGGACGCTATATTAGATCCACCATTGAATGTAGAGGAACAGGCCGCGAACCGACGAAAGCGAAGACGGCGCGAGGAGCGCGAGAAGTTCAAGAAGAATACGAACTTTCCCTTGTTCCAGGGCTACACGGGAGAGCAGCTGCGGCAAATGCACCCGACGGATCTGGAGCGCGAATTCAGGCTGTCCTCGAAGCAAAAACTGGAGGAGCGGAAAGCCTCGAGGCTGGAGCATATTCAGCAAGACGGACGGGATAAAGGGCTCAACCTGGAGCTCGACGCGGACTCACGCTACGAGCAGAGATCCTCACCTGCGCGAAGTCGAGACACTGACGAGGACTTACTTCCAGGCGGTACATCGGCACGCTCAAGGAGGAGCGGCAGTCGCGGAAGGGGAAGCTCGCGCTTTAGTTCGCGAAACAGCGACTCCTCTTTTGGCGGCGGCTTTACCACCGACGCCACGTCGGCCGCCAGCGGCCGCGAAAATCGCTCCCGGTCTCTCTCGCGACACCGGGAGAACCGTCGACGTGAGATCCGCGTGCGGCGTTGGCGTGACGAGTGCGAGCGAAGGCGACTGCTCGACGACACCATGGGCGCACTGACGAAACGCGATATCAAGTACGATTTCCGCCGCCGCGTGAAGAAGGTGCGTCGGCGAGTGATGCGGGAGTACATCCAGAATCGCAACCAGCAAGAAGCCCAGGGAAAGATGCCGTTTCATCCCGCCGCTCGCAGCGGCGGTCCAGAAGCTGCGCTCGGGGCAGCAGATAGTCTCTTGGCACGTGGTGGGGCGTCGAACGGCCTACACGCGGCAGACGCGGCTATAGAGGAATCGGAATTTCTGGAGTCGATCGTGACCAGTTTTCCCTACGGTTATCGAGAAGAAATCTTCAAGTGGCTGGGCCGTTTGTTCAAAAGCATTGTGGCTGTCGACGCCAAGACAAAGATTTCAGGTGGTACCATTTCGCCATCGCAACTACCAGGAGGTTCGAACCCATCCGAAGACGGAGCTGTTCCAGCTGCTAGTGCTCCTTTCTCGTCGGGTGCCGCAGCGGCAGTCGGAGATGCGCAACCGCCGCCTGCGAAAGCAAAAGCGAGTCCAAAGGTCCTTGCGATTAAGGAAGAGCAAAAGCGCCTCTTTCGACTGATCGACGACTATTTTCTGCCGCACACTGAGGAGGACGACGAGATGACCGTCGACAAAAGCAGTGATATCGTCATACCGCAGGCACCAGTTGCCGACCTCAATCGCTGCTTCAGTGACGAGAAAAAACGCAAAGCGTTCGCGCGAATGCTGCACACTCATCGCATGGTTATGCAGCCACCACGCTGGAAGGGCTTTGGCCTGCCCATCTACGGTTCGCCGGAGTTCTACCAGCTCGCGCCTCCACCGGATCCGCCGCAGGAAACGCTCGTGTCCCTGCAAGACGCACGGGAGTTTGAGAAGCGTGGCTTTGCTGTAATGCGGGAGCGCATGGGCAAGGGCGCAACGCGTTATGACGAACAGAAAGTGAATCAGGCTTACGGGCGTGACGTACAAACCAGAAGCAAAGACGATATTGCCTACTGGGCGCGTCGCGGCATCAACAGCGCAGCGTGGCACGCAGAGGGAAATCTTCTGAGCAGCGTTCACTACATCGACTTCCTGTGGACAGTGCTTGAGCGGCAAAGCATGACTCTGCGCCAAAAGAAAGAATTTATCAGACTCATCGCGGCCCAACGCGCCGAGGCCCGCGAAGCCCGCGAAAGGGCACCTCTTGTCAGAGACGAGGACTTGTTGCCGACCCGCGACATGCTGTTGGTGCAGCCAAAAACGAAGTTAAGACTCGTCTGGTTGATCTGTATGATAGCTATAACAGATCTTGATCTTGAACTTGATGTTGCAGCATTTTGCAGTCGTAGAACGTGACATGATCAAAGTGGAAGATCTAGTCGAGTTTCATACTCATCTCGATTTTTGAGGGCTACAATTTCAATTTGTTGTTCTTGTAGCTGTTATAGCTCTTGCTACTTCTAGTTTGTGAACAGCTTTAAGGATGATGAAAGAAGCCGCCGCAGGAGACGGCCAGGAGGGCGGGGTGGAGACGACCCGCCAAGCAATCGACCGGATAAAAGATAGGGCGGAGGAGCAGAAGGCTGAAGCTCGCAAGCTACTTTACAATCAGCGTAGGCGGATCCAGACGTCCATGAGTCAACTCTTCAACTGCAAATACGACGTCGCTGGATTGCGCAACTATCTGATACGCAACAACACTGTCGAGGACGTTGACACCTTTCTCGAGGATTTCCGTGAGGCGCATCCGAATTACCACAAACCAGGTCACGCAGGCAGTGACGAGAAAGAGGACTGCGTTGTCTACCGTATGGGGAAGAACCGTCGAAAGCGCGGTGTTGCTGCCGCTGGTACCAAGTCCCTGGTTCGCAAGACTGGCGTAGTCCGAACGCTTTCCACGCTTGGGAAGGATGAAGGATCCTCACCTGATGGTAGCCCGAGGGGGGGAGAGGGCGAAGGAGAGCAGGAGGACGAAGCAGACGAAGACGCCGAAGGCGGTATGAGAATGACTTTGACTATGGCGCCACCCAAACTAGGCCCTGCGCACTACTTGACACGCCCACGCGCAATGGTCCCGCGAGGCATTGTGCGCACCCTCGTCCAGATGCACCATTCCAGCATGGCGGTCGTTGAGGGCTCCGACGGTACTAGGGAAGTCCACGGCGATGGCATTACCAAAGTTTGGACGAATTCAGATCAGGTAGCAGCTTCGGATATGTTGACGACTCCAAACAACAAGGGTGGTTCTAGCACTACACCTGCAAGCAAATTTCCTGGAGCATCAAGGAACAACATCAGTAGAGGTGTGTCGTCAGGAGGACGAGGAAGCGCAGCCGTTGGCGACACGTCGCCTAGAACAGCTGCACCCGCTGGTGGACCATCTTCGTCATCTCGTGGAGAACAAGGAGACGGATCCGCGCCTCGACTGCTGGCCGCGCCGAAGAAAGATCCCGTTGTGAAGCAAATGCTCGAGCACGCTTTCATGCAGTGCTATTCTGAGGCACTGGCGGACCGCAACATCTTTCTGAATGCAGCGCAGAAGGCGGGTTCACCGCCCGCTGATGCAGAAGTCTCCGTGAACTGTTTGCTTCCCATGATGACGCTGATGCGGCATTTGGACGTGACCCTGGAACGAATCCAGAAGACTCGGAAAACCGGCCACTGCCGCTTGGCAACTGTGACTTTTGACGAGTGGTGCGGCTTCTACTACAGCTACTGCACAATCGAGGTCCAAGCGTTGCACGAAAAATTTCGGAACACCGTGCTCAAGCGGCGACAGTACTTCGCGCCACTTCGCGCTTTGGCCAGTGGCAGCACTATCGAAAACAAAAGGAGGGGAAGCTTTCGTGGAGGCCACAACTCTCCTCGTGCTTTCTCGGCTGGTGCAAGCAGTCCTCGCGCGGCCTCTACGAGCAACAAACCAGGCGAGGAAGAGCTCCTACTTGACAACAAGGGGGCGCTTGCTTTGCTGTTGAAAATGAACCAGTGGAGCCTGTTGGGTGAGACGTACATACGAGACGTGGTGGACGCCACAGCCGCGATGTTTGACGATGTGTCTCGGGACGTGCGCAAAGTGCTGGTTTCCGACAAGGAAATGGTGTCAGAAAGCGAGGAAGAAGAGGAGGACGAGGACTTCGCTGCCTCCAGCCGTAGCTTGAGCCTAAAGATGACCAAGACTTCTACAGCTTCATCCAGTTCACCTAACGCCACGACGACTAAAACCGCGTTTAATAGGAGCAACAGCGGCAGTCCTCCTCCTGCTGATGCGTCAGTGCTCAAATCGGAGTACATTAGTCCCAGTTCAACGACACTTCCGGACGACGGAGCCCCCGTCCGTGATCGCAGGGAGCTGCGAACTATGGCCACTGCCAGCCGTATCGGCACGTGGGAAGATGAGCAAGGTTCAACATCTCTAGCACTCAAGAACGAAGACGAGGACTCTGACGCGGACCTTATACCCGACGGCTATCGCAAAGTTACTCTTGAAGTGGTCAGTTTTGCGAAATTCGTTAAGATGTACTACTACGCAACCAAGAGCCACGGTTTCATGCGAGGCGAATTGATGGAAATCGAGAAAGTCTTCGAGAAGTATCACGTCAAATTCATCCACGATTTGGACCACCGGAAAGAACGCATTGCAGCTGCAAAAAGAAAGTTGAAATTGCAGAAGAAAAATCGTGGCGAAAATGTTGCCGTTGGAGGCGAAATTACAGGTGCTGACAAGTTCTTCAAGAATAGTTGAGTTTTCTTGTGCAAACATATTCAACAGTCTTTGAATTTGTCATCTCGTCTTCGAATTTGTAATGTCACCTTACGTCATCTTGCTCATGATCAGAGAAATTATTGCATTTGGAGGTACGAAGATGGTCAATTAGAACTATAAATTCAACAATGAATAGTAGAAAATCTATCAGATAATGGTGGAAGCGAAATTGAGGATGCGGAGGAGTGGGCACAGCTAACTAGCCTCGAACGCATGGAGCGGTGGGGCATGGAGGCTGCGGGGCATGTCCGTCTGGTTGACGCACGCAAATGCATTCGCCCGATTCTGAACTATCTCGGCTATCCTGCGGAAGAAGTGACCGACCGAGACATAGATAAGCGCATGGCACAGTGCATAACACGCGTGGCTCATCGAAACGCCTATGCCACCAATGATCTGCAGACCCGGACGAGCTTGTGGTCCAGTGTCTTGCAGATTTGGGGAAAAAATCAACGGAACGGAGCACGCGGCAATGGGGTACCGGATTTGGGAAAGCTAGAGCCTATGGACTTCATGTGTCGGCTCTTGACTGAGAAAGCAGTCGCACCGGAAGAAGGCGAATTCACGAGTAGTTCCAGTGGCGAAGAGTCGGCAGTTTTTCTACCAGGACAGTCAGCACCAGCAGGGAGTCAAATACCACGTGGCCTACCTGGCGAAAGACACAAAGGTGGAGAGGTAGCTGCGGTGTCGCTTGAGCCGGACATTTGGGGAACCATGGATTTTGGAGCGGAGCGCAAGTCCAGCGCGAAACCGAGTATGCGTGCGGAGTTGCTCCCGCCGAACGACCTTTGCTGGATGACATTTCCGCAGATGCTGTACATTTTATCGCTCTTCCGAGAAAGTTTCTCCCGTTCCGTCGCGAGGCGATTTCAACAAGCCGATGCGAACGGATCTGGGGGAATTGACGCGGAAGAACTGGCACGGATTCTACGTGCGGTGAACGCGTGTAGTGTCAGTGAAGCCGTCTTGCGTGATTTGTACGCTGATGTGGGTAGGGACCCAGAGAAGTTAGACGAGGAACTGAACATGGAAGAGTTCAACGAAGTGTATCGGTGTTTCCGGCAGCGTGCTGGCTTCTCGAACTCGGAAATCCACGAATACCAGGATGCTTTCGACCACTTCGCCGAACCATTGCATGTCCTGCGACGACAAGAAGAAAACCGGAAATTGAAAGCGAACTCTGTTTTGCGCCAATCTCAGGATACTGCGCACGCTCTCACAGCCGCAGAAAAATTGAAGCAGGAAAGCGACAGTGGCGACTCGGACGACGCAGACTGCGAAGACCACAAAGCGGAAAGAAGACGACGCAAAATGGCGGAAACAGAAGGCCTTGGGCTAGATGCAATATTAAGGCGGGAGAGACTTTTACTTGCAGTAGTTTCTATTTCTTTGTTTCTGCAGGAGCGTTGTATGATAAAAATTGATGAAGATCTTCCTCTAACCATACGGCGTTCTTTGAGTAGATGTTGAAGATCGAAATGGAAATTGTTTGATCATAGGCACACTGTGGGTAGAGATCTTCTGCCTCTAAGTAAAGCGCCTATGGATGACATGCAAGGGACTTCGTCGTCCGCGTCAAGACGTGCTGGTTTGGAGGCTGAGGACATAAATGCGCGCGCAAAGACAGGCCGTCGCGGAGGGTTACTTGTTACAGCGAGATCGATCTCCGGAATTCGAATTCCTGCCATGGAGAGAAAGACTTCACCATTGCTGGGAAAACAGACCACGTTCCTGACTGCTGAGGAAGAGGATCATTTATGAAGACAAGTTATTCTAGCACTTCATTTTCTCACATTTAACTGTCGACGGTAATTTTGTATATTTCGCACTAAATGTAGGTTCTCAACATGCTCCTCATAATCATGGTCGTTTACCTAATTCTGTGGAAAATATGTAGTTGAAGAACATCGATCAGGAATGTTATCTCGGTCGTGTTCCCATATGTTCTAATGCACGCCATGATCAACGATCTGTTGTTCGACAAGAGGGCTTGGCGCTCTTCCAATCAAGGGATGAAGTTGCGGTTCAGGGCCAAGCTTGACCGAGACTTGAAGCAGATACAGGATCGCCAGCCGATTTTGACGCTAGCTGCGCGCAAACAGGAACGGCAGAATAAGGGACTCGTCTTTTTGAGTCAGCATGAGCTAGCAAAAGTCTTCAAGTGGCTCGGTTACAGTCCTCAACCTGGCTACTTGAAAAGAAAAACTGCGGAAATTGCAGACGTTGATGGCACTTTGGACCTATTCGAGTTTCTCAAGATCGTAAAAGCGGTCATAGACGGCTTAATGCTGAGCCTTCAGTACCGGCTCAGCGAGCACCGACATACGAATCCCATTGACGGCAATGCCTATGTGACTTTTCGAAGTGCAGTTTCGATTCTAATGGGCCTTGGCTACGCAAGCAGCGAAAAAATGGCGCTCAGGGCAGTTCTGGACACTTGTACCTACTACATTTTTTGTGTTTCTTGAGGCCGCTTTATTGTTATTCCTCGCATCTCCTATTTCATCTGACTCATTCCAACATGTCGTGATTTCGATTTAGACCACACCGAAGCAGTTTCTGTAGAGGAGCAGTAAAAACAGCGGCGCCATGTGGAATGAAACTTCAGGTCCTGATCTTTCATGGCTTCCGCGCGAGCTATCTCCATCGATGTTATTCACCATCAAAGTGATTGATGACGTGAAGTGGCCCGAGAACGTGGATGACATACCAGACGATACGACAATTAAGGCTTGCCCTAATCCGTCTTGTTCTGAAGCATGTTAGACCTCTCTCATAAGGGGAAAATAGGCCCAACATGAGTCCCGCGATGGATTAGGGTGAGCTCTAAGACAAGACTGGCAATCAAGTCTCGTCGGCGCGTGCAGAAAGAGCGTCGGACGCTCTTGCTCACCGCAGGAAAGACGGCGGCTATTACGACTACAGCTCCAGCAGAGCAGACCGATGCTGGTGCAACGATTAAAGATGTTTCATCTAGTGTCGTGGTATCTTCATCTGAGAAGAAACCCAGCATTGAAGATGGTGCGGTTGCAGATGAGAACAAGAATGAAGATGAATCTAAGGAAGACTTGTCTATGACAGTGGAACGACAATCGATTACTGAACAATACGACAGCAATCCAGTGGAGGAACAAAATACAGCTTCGGTTACTGCAGTCACGACTAGCCGAAGTGCGTCACTTGTTGTGGGTACCGAAGAGTCGGTTACCGTCGGCAACTCAACAAGTGGTGACGTGCAAGCGGGAGAGGACTCGACACGCCAAGAGGTATACTACATAGTATAGCGTTTGCGTTTGGGGATAAAGTTGTTCTTGTTTGCTTAGTTCCGCGTACTTTCAAACTCTTTCTCCAACTCTTCTAAAACAAGTAGATCTAGGATGAAGATGCTAGAAGAGGGAGAACAAGATGGCTCCGCACAACCTTTTTCGAAGTACCTCCTCCCAATTACATCAAAATTATATAACAACAAAGCTGCAGCCATCAGCCGCTGAAGATACATCGAAGACTGACGAGCAGGGCTCGCCCTCGTCCTCAAAGACTGGGGTGGTTGACAATGAGACGATTTATCTGAGAGATAAGTGGATCCTTGCTAGTCAAATCATGGATGCTGCCATAATCGCGCGACGAATGACCAAGGAGCAATACTGCAACTACTCTGGCTTCTCCGACGTCGAGATCCTGGATTTCAAAAAGATGTTCATGCGATACGCAATGAAGGCACTTCATCTTCTAGAGCTTGAATGAACTACGACTACAACTTTTTTGTAACAATGTGGTTGTTTATGACTTCGTCCTTTGTCTGAGACTCTTGGAGGAGGTCTTGAACTACTTACTACTACCTAGGGAATTTATATCAACTTACACTCGCTTTTGCAACAAGAAATGAGTTGTTGAAGATAAAATCAACAATTATATGGCCCACACGAATTTTTACCAGGTTTCCGACAGTGACACCGAGTATGCCTTATTTGGTGCTGGTCTCCGCAAGGTTTTGCTAAACCTGTTTCCGAACGCCACAAAGGACAAGGACGTGCATAATTTGATGGCTGATGTGCTGAATCAAGTGGATCGGGATCTCAGTGGCACGATCGATTTCGCTGAGTATCTCCAGATCATGCGTATTCACACGGACATCGAAAACGGAGTGGTTTAAATGTTGGCACGGAGATGAAGATGAACAAAATAGTCGAAAGAACACGACTACAAGACGAAGAACTTTAGAAGACGTGGACCTTTCTTCAATTTATTGATGGCGCCAACACCTGCGCTGTTTATGAGCGATTACTGGGCCGATTGCTTTTGCTACCTCTTACCATAGATAAGAAAAACTTGATTGCCAATACCATGTACGATTTGATGACAAACCTAATGATGATGTATACCTAAATGTCTTGTACTTCTACTTGTATCATCTAGTGAGTACTCATTCAGTTTTGTATTTTTGACATTAATAATTAGAGAAATCCACAATCTCCACGTGTAAAAATTGAGTTTGAATTTTGGTCCGTTTTTGGAAATTCATCTGTACACTATCATTGTAATATCGTCTTGAACATTCATAAGAAGATTCTCGACTAATGAAAAAATTTCAGGTACTACCACACCATTATACCGCCAAACATCAAAACGTCAATGATCATGATTACATCCATCCATCGCCATAATTGTAGAAGTTATAGAAGTCAGCCGTTTTACTTTTATTGTAATCCATTCATCTAATATCAAGAACATCGCGTGTGTAAGTGCAAGGAAAAAGTAACAATTCTGTTCCTCTGCTCGTAGTCTGTAGTCCATCTCGATCTCCGTGTTGGTGTATATTATCAGAGTTAGTAAATTCTTTAGGTTGTCGTTTTTTTGAGACTGAGAAGTGCTGAGTTATATTATTGATAAAAAGATGCTAATATGCGAATGCCAATCCCAATGCTTAGAACAAGAATGAATAGGTGATGAACCGGAACATGGAATTTCGACGAGAGCCATTTTTACCGACACTGCGAATGAATGAATCACGAAAATTATGTATGATTTCGATTATGTACACCTGCATCTACCACACAAAGAACAAGATGCTGGTTGAATATGGAAGAACACGTCCTACTTTACAAATGTCACCATGTTGTGCAAGCAAAACACGCAATGAGCTGCAAGCATAAAAAGACAGGCAGAAAATATTTAAACCAGCCACGACAAGACGCCTTACCAGGAGAATGCATATGGATGTCTTCGTGCTGATAAAGTTTTCACCACATCCACAAGAATGACGGCTGAAGATGGTCGAGAATGAAAGATGTTGAATGAGTATCGAGGAAACCTGGAATTAAGAGACTGAGAGAGGGGAGTAGAACTGGAGAGCAATGAAGTGGGCGGGTTGTGAGTATCAGTGTTACAACTTGCAGCGTTGGACTTGGTCTTCAAAAATAGAGTACTTACGCCACGTCCTGCGGACCTGAGAATAGTCCGTACCCACACTGCAAATCTGATACAAAACAAATTGGGAGGAGAACATTCTGATTCTTAGTGACCGTTCGTTGCGTTGCGCAAGTGCATCATCATCAACATCTTGGTGTAGGGAATGCTTAGGGAATCGGTTGTAGAGATCTACTGCTCCGAGTGGTTTAAGACACATCAGTAGAATCAAATGGAGGGCATTGAGATCGAGAAAGACGCCGAGCCTGCCAAGGATCCTGCTGCCCCGACCGATGCCCCCGCTGCCGACGCTGAGGCAGCTGACCAGGCGCCAGAAGATGCAACGACTGACCCAGCAGGAGCTGCCGCGGCAAGTAGCAACATACGAGGCTCCGCAAATTTTTCAAAAGCCGTGAAGGGAAGGGGTGACTCAGCGGAGCAACAACACTACGTCAATCATATTCACGGAGCAGAGCCGCCTGCTGAAGGTGGCGGAGGAACATCGGGCGAAGAAAACAATTCTAATGCGTCCTCGTTCTACGCAGGACATGCTTATGAACCACATGAGCATTCACTAGCGCAAAAAGATCCGAGTGAGAACCGCGACTTCGCCGTCATGATAGCGGCATTGAGAAGTGATAATTTCAACAAGAACTAGCCCGTGGTTTACATTGACAAAACTTTATACTACAGATAGGTACTTCAAACAATGATGTAGTTGCAAGTAATTAAGTTGATAAAAAAGTAGAAGAACTTGAACTTCAATATTACGAGTTCAACGTCTACCTGCAACAGGTTGCACTAATCACCTTCTAAGAACCACACGATTATGGCACTTTGGAGCAACCTTTGTCAAGATACGGGCCAACGGTCGAATTCAACTACAATCCTATTGCCCTTATGGGTCCGGGGTTCATCTTCCGGCTCGCGAACACTGTCTTTGTGTCTTGGGATGTGTGGAAAAACGTCCTCCTTGTGTGGTCGTACTTAATACTTCCTATTTTTTTGGATTCTAGACTCTCTCAAACCATACTACATCTTTGTATATTATTACTTTGTGCTTCTTGTCTTTTTACTCGGTCCTAGATATCTTGCTCGCTGAAGATCGATGTGGTTGCATTCTTGTGGTTGTGCCGATAGAAGTCTAGACGGAGACGATTATCATGATGGAAGAATCATGACTACTTTGCTTCTTGTAGTTGTGACACTGACAGCAGCTTCTTCATCTAATTCCAAATTTTTGTTATGCGGTGGTTTTAGGTAATTTTAGTGATTTACTGTTACCACCTCATCAAGTTAAGCATGCTATTGTTAAAACGAACATTTTCCAGGATCATGATCGTTTCGGCTTTGATAATGAAGACGCAGATCGATGACCCGACAAAACCGCAGGAACACGAAATGCTGGACAAAATAATCGCGTTTTTCCGAGCTTTCATCGCATTCATGCTTTATGCTTTTGGAGGATTGATATTATACATAGTTTGTTTGATTGAAGAACACGAAAGTTGTACTTCTTATAAGTATTACAATCGATCTACTTTTTGATGATGAACAACGTAGGTCTACTAGCAGTTAGGAGCTTCGCATCGGCAACAGCATGCAAATGTCTGAAAACGAGTGCAAATGTGGCAACCACAAGAGTCGCCTCTTGCTCTTCCTTGGTCGTACTACAACCATGCCTCCTCGTGCACAAGCCAGTCTCTTCATATTCCGGGTCTTTACGTGTCGCATGCAGCAGGCCGCTTTCACACAATAGTTGCGGAAATTCTCACGCTTTTTGAGCACATCAAACAGATACAGACGGATCTTATGATGTTCGGCATTCCAGACAAGGAGCTGCATTGGGTACTCAAGCTCCTACTGTTGATTTGCTCTAGAAGTACGTGATTTTCGCTGCCAGCATGTCTTTTTCCTCCGCGTATGTTCCCTTGAGCCAAAATGAAAATGAATGATATATTCATGATCGTGATTGATAATCATGATTGATTCATAGTGCTTGTGCTTTGTTCTCTTTCATCGTTATGACACTTCGACCAGGTGGAGCGATATGGAGTGCTGTCGATGCGAATCTTTCATCAGGAGCTTTGTGAAATCCATAATGACCCTCGGCAAAGGCTGGACGAGTGGACTATTTTTTTCGACGACCTGGAGGACAAAGGATACATACAGGAGCCTTCAGAACGACGGGCTCTCGAATCAAATCTCGTCGAGTCCAATGCAGACTGTTCAACCTTATGGGGTGTAGCCAGTCGAATAAATGGAATCAATTTTTCAGTATAACTTGAAATTGAAATATGTGTGCAACACCATCAACAATATGCATCACTTATTCCTCACCATGCTGCTTCCCAGCGTGATAAGTACTCACAAAGATCACAGTGAATAACTATATGGTGGTGCCTAGATGATCTTGACCACTCTACTTTGAGCACAACATGCCCCTCGTCCCTTTCATATCATCTTTGCTGGATATGGATCCAGAATCTGCTGATGCGACTCAGTGTAGACGGTTACGTACCTCCACCAGGAACTCCGAGTTTCAACGCCTTGTTTCACACCTCAAAATCCAATGCCATGCGAAGTATCCGGGTATGTAAACTTAAGGCCAGAACAAGTACTTTTATTTTGGTATCTACTTCACTCTACTGCAACTTTGTTCTTCGAGTCTAGAGGTGCTACTCTATTGATTGGCCCCGCACATCATGGACCTGATAGGCCATATAAGAGGTTGTGGCCTGCGTGAATATGACCACTTTCTATTCCGCACACTCCCCGTTAGGTGTAGTTTTTCCTACTTCTACTAATCTCCGTCTAGTCCTTACCTCCGTCATCATCTTGTTTCTAATGAATAGCTCACTGCAGTCCAGATGCCTTTCGGATATGCGCATATGCTGGCAGTGCTTATACACATGAACAACTGGCTCATGGGTACTTCTAAAAGTAAAGCTTTTTCAGTATAGTATTACAGCGCCATCTGAGTATCATGCAAATGATGCTTGATCATGTTTTACCGATTATATCTGAAAGCAACAGAAATTCATCATGATAGAATTTCAATTCATGTGTTATAGTCTTAGTCCTCCACCTTTCTCCTCTACTGAATCTGAATAAAACTCAGGTCTCAGTGCCGGTGTGAACATGGGCGTGAATGTTGCAAATTTTCAGAAGCGCCTAGAGGAAGGAAAGTTCCCACGAACACCACTATGCAATATAGCCTTGAAATTCCTGTACGGTGGCCTCTTCCCCTTCTTCTTCACCGGTTTCTTGATGGTATACTACATAATCGTAATTTTAGTACAGCTGCACGTCGACCGCGCCCTTACTAGGTTCTCTCTCGTCCCTGGGTCAAACTGACAAATCTTCGATCAGCGCTAACCTTCAAGAAGAAACACGAGCAATTATACTTCTACCTCCTGCTCCTTGTCTTAAATTCTTTCACTATCACTCAATCACAATCTGACTCTGACTCTACTCCCCTCCGTCCATCAACCATCTTGACCAGTCTGCGTTGCTGATGATGTCGCCCGCGCACATTCTTCCCATAGCGCAGTTAATACGGATATTAGAGCACGACTTGCTGGCGCAGGAACAGATCGGACTCAATCCGCCCTTATGGGAGCGCCCGCGCTTTAAGGCACCTCCTCCGCTCGAGAAGTAGACAATGTCGTCGTTCCCGTATGGGTAAGCGAGAATAGCTATAGCAAATTGAAGTTCTAAATGATTTAATGAAAATGAACAAATGAGGACTGTGATGACGAGAAACCAATATTTTATCAGATAAAAAACATCCTGGTGTTCTGAACATTTTGTATGACTGACTTGGCTTTCAGAAGAAAAAAGCGTAAGACTAAACATGTGCCTGTCGTACTTCCAAGAAATGAATGAGTTTACCTGTGACTAGGAATCGAGCGACAATGTCACATAGGAGATGTGGTTTTCTAGTTTCACCTGTTTGTCGAACATGTATCCTCTTTTTTCGTAAACGTAACCCTGTTCCAAATTGTAATCGATATATAAATATATTAAGTATGATCCTAATCGTGTTCGTGTACAAGAACGACAACTGGAATGGTCGTTATCTATTGAATGAAATTGACCTCCACTCTCGTGGAAGGAGCGCGTCGCGCCACCTGACCAAGTAAACACGGCTACGGTGAACAAGCTTGTTAGTACACCGCTTCAAGGCTCCTGGGCATACTGTGACTGTACGCAAGCGATGGCGCGACGGCGGTCCGTAGATATTATAATGAAAAATATGAGCACTGCTTCCGTCGAATGAATGCACACCTCGAGCTCGATGGGTCGTCAAAATTAAAACTGAATGACACAGAAACAGAAAGAACGACTCTCATGACATGTCGTTTGCACAGCACATCTGCATGTCACCAAGTGACATGATAGCCAGCTGCTTCCTTTTTTGCTCCTGGTGAATGTGAAATAAGTGTCTATCTTGATAAGTCACAACTGTTCTTCATCTCCATGCACTGCTTATTCTGTGTAAGGCAAATGAAATGAATAATCGAACGAAAAAGCATTTCTAGAGCCTCGTAGTGGTAGTCTTTTTACAAATAATGAATGGTGAGGACATACTAGTTCTTGCGCTTCGCGCGTTTACCCATGGAAATGCAAAATATGTTTCACAGGAGCGGACGAGAATGCAAAGAAACTGTATAGCGGCACCTCCAATCCATGATATAATTACACTAAAAAGCACTAAATGTGAGTCACAAGTTGTGTTGACGAGCATACTCATGACAGAAGTAGACGAGTCATTTTCTTTTACAACATTCTCGATCTCGAACCTTGCGTTCGCAATTTCTTGCAGCGCTAGCTGCATCGTCCACCATCTGATCGGACGCTGTTGCCAAGAACGGTCGCTCTCATGAGTCAGCGCTGGAAGGTCCCACAAACAGAATTAACTCTGCTGCAAAATGTATCCCTTCATGCAACGTAGTCTATTCTTAGGTGTATCCCTTCATGCAATGTAGACGCGTCCTACCAGACGTCAAATTCGGTTGCAGGCTTTTCACACGCATTCGGTTCTTGTCATTAACATGTAGAAGCTCGACGTTGTTCTACTGTACCTGCTTGCATCTCTATCCTATTTCATCTCCGAGTCTGAGCGAATTAGGGGAAGTTGACGAGATCTTTACGATCATCATGATGATCTCCCTAGTCGTCACGCGAACGACGAGGTCAACTTGCTAGGAACACTCAAATGATGTGGTGGAGTTCTTGTCAATGGTCTTCATGGACAGTATCGGTCCTTCTTGCACTGTGCAACTAACGGTCTGCTGCTGCTGTTACACCCAAACGCTTGGTCCTCACCAAACTCGGTCTTATTCGCATAATTAAGCTGTACCTTTAAATAAGCGTGAGAGGAAAATCTCACATAATTTCCTTTCATTGTTGTAAACATGCACCCGCCAGCACCAGATTCTCCACTCCCCCAACTAAGTCGTGGACCCTCGCAATTGTCTAGACTGTAGTTCTTTATTGGACCTTATTTGACGCATCTTCAAGCATATTCATTGTCAACTACTGTCCAGAACAACTAGAATTGTCAACAAAACCATTCGCTTTCACCTTAATATTTGAATTGCGGATCATTCTTGACATTCATAGTTTTAGTTGTAGTTCTCGTCTCCTGCCAGCTCATCTTACAGTTGATCTCGTCGTTTTATTTGAGGAGACACCACGACAAGTCGTCATTTATATTCGTTGTATTATCATTTGCGGGGGAGAGAAAGACGAGGACGTTGTCACTAAGATCAAGATCAAGATCATGTCGCTCATGAGCAAGGTCGAGAATGGGAAGCGACACAAGGAGAACGTCGCGCAAGGCACTGAGCCTCCGTCGCTGCCTAGGTTAGTCCCCCCACCTCCCTTCCAGCTGGATGAACAGAGTCGCAAAGCCGTTGGTCGCGGAACTGTTGATCATCTAGGAAATTCCATAGCCGTTCAGCAACACCTCGATAGCTACTACAATCCCGATGCCAATGTGCCGCCCACTGGCTCCAACCATCTGCATGTGGATCATGGTAATATTGGGACTGATGGTGGCGTTGGTGGTGGTATGGGTATGCTAATGCATGGTGCTCCTGGCAATACGATTACACCTGGAGGAGGTCATGATCAACATCTTCCGTCTGGAGGTGCTGGATTCAGTAGCGGGGTGCAAGTTGGAACTGGGCCGGCAGCTAGTAGCTCGTCGTCAATGGCGCAATTTCACTCATCCGCGCAAAGCCGGATGCGTAACTACGTCGGGGCCGAAGCGGTCCGCGTCACCATCCGCAAACGCGACGGCGATCAAACTTAGGGATGTTCACTTCGACTATTTTGAGCAATAGAAGCATGTAACATCGACAAGAAGAACTAGGCAAAGACTTCCGAATTCTTTGAATTGTGGGTTGATGTTGATCATGATTATGTTGTAAAGAGTACTAGTACTAGTAGGCACCGTCGTGCATCTTCCGTCCTCTATATAAATCTCTCGTCTAATCCTCAGCTGTTGTGAACAACAACAGCACTATCCAAGGGCCCCCTCCGGGCGCTGACCCCGAGACCTACAAGAGGCGTCCGCAGTTTGAGATCAACAGGCGGTCAGACATGCATTGGCAGATACAAACTGATGGGCAGGCTGCCAAACTAGTAGTGAAAGACGCGATTGCGAACGCTGTTGGTCAGTACGGGGACGATGCAGGGGGCGGGTTTTATGAAGACCAGGACGCATCAGCCTCTTTGTCACATGCGGCTGCTATTGGGGCCTTCAATTCTTGGGAAGAGAAGTTCTTGCCGTCAAAGCCAAGTACTTTTAGTTTTAACTGGCAAAAAGAAGAGAAGTTCCTGCCGTCAAAGCCAAGTACTTTTAACTGGCTATATTCATTTCTTGGGAAGAGAAGTTCATCTTGCCGTCAAAGCCAAGTACTTTTAACATGGAAGTAGAATTTAGCTCAAGTAAAATAGTACAGCAGGAATGTTTCTTTCCGTTGAATTTTGAAGTCAATATGTTGATGATCCTTGACGATTATATGGCACTGCTCTAAAACTCTGTCGTTCATGTGCAGCAATCACACCTGACTCCTACTTGAACAGGTCAGCAGCTAACAGAAGCCTCTACGCGTCTTCCGAACGAGATGTCCCATATGAGTTCAGTTAGTACGCAGTACGTCGGAAGGGGTAGCGCTCGGCGCGAAAATCGACCGGTGCCAGCACCTTAAGGCTTGAGGAGTCCGAAGTTTGAATTACTTAATCTCAACGATAAAAATGTCGAAGAGGAAGTGACTAGAGGATAGAGGAGATGGTTGTTGGTAACCGTGCTTATTACTCCTTTTCTTGTAGCCACCGATTTTACTTAGTTGATGATGCTGGATGATGGTGTTAGAAACGTTCCTAATTTCTCATCTAATTTTTGGGCGAATACAGATGGAATGACAACGTGAACAAACACAAGTCCGCTGTGTGGACTTTGAAGAGCGCTAATCGGGAGAATCTCGATCCCAGGGTACTTTTTTCCTTGAGGCAGGAGAATGAAGCGAATGCTTAATATCTTCTGTGTACCCACGTAAACGTAATAAAGCAAAAATAGAATCTTCCTGAAGATAATGAAGAAGTTCTTCAAGTTTGTTTTTTTCTCCTTTCTTCTTGCTCGTGAAGGACTTGCAGCACATTGCTTGCCTCTCCTCGTCCTCTTCTGTGAGGTATTGACATGGTCTGCCAAGCAGCTCTTCCTTACGTTCACTCATACCTCTGTACGTCCGTTTGCGCGCATCCTCCCTCCTGAGACATCCATTTCTTGCCACTGATGATCACTGAGCGTTTAGCGCCCAAGCTCTACATTGCCTTCCTTCACTTTTTCACTTCATTCTATGTGGTCGACCCATGTCTAATCTGAGCTGTGTGCCTATACTCGTCTGCGCCTGAGCAGGCGTCAAACACGAACTACTCAACACTGCATTTTTGCTCAGCAATATCGAAGGTGTCGTGGAACTGGAAAGTCTGCGTTTTTGAGCAACAGACACGTAGAATAACCCTGCAGCTGCAGGTCTATCGTGGTTCCAAGGTAGCACAACAATACTGTTGCTGCTCCTGCTCTACCACCGGCCGTCACACTTATAGATACCACTGGTAAATGCTCCTTCGTCTCTGAAGAGACGCAAGAAAGATCTCATATTTCTTTTTACCAAGGCCAGCATAGCTTCATTCTTTCATGGAAAAGTGTGCCAAAATATACCTTTTCTTTCTGTTTCTCGAGGATATCTGGTCGGGGCCTAACTCGCTCGACACCGCTTCGTCCCCAACTCCACTTTGCCGTGCAAATTGATTTCTTCTTGTCGGACATCTCCCGCCGAATCCAAACTTGCAAAACTCATTTATTGTTTGCTGCTTAACGGTCGTGCTTGGAGGTAGCTTCTACGAGTTTTGGCACCACTGACAGACGCGCCGTACTATCCTGAATGACCCATCATGTTTGACTGAAGATTGAGGACCGCTTTTCTTGGGCCATGCCCTTGTGCTCCTTCTATTGTCGATGAAGCAAGCAGCATGCTGCTTTGTCGTGTCATTACCACGACGCAGCTTGTACCAAGACGCTTCACTCTTCATAATCACATTTCACTTCCTGCTGTGAAAGCATGCAAGCCTAGCAGACGAACGCCACTCTTCTGGAAAAATAACAAGCTGATGCTCTTACTTGTTTTTGTTCAGCTTCAGTTCCACCCTGCTTCATCATACGTCAAGCACCCTCGCACCCGCCTACCGCCGCTTACTACTTTCACCTACTTCTTGTTCTACTCGTGTTGCAGCCCTTTCGTCAGTATGTTGATTCCCTACATGCCACAGACAGAAAAAGTCCAATCAACGTCGACATTCGGACTCAATCTTATCTCTAAATCGTTGAAAAACGGACATCTTTTTTTGTATCTTTCACGACTACGCTATTGGACTGATACTATCATCTACTTGCTGATACACTGCAAAAAAAATGAAATTTCTGAATCTAAAACTTTCTCTAGATATTGACGTCTGCATCCAGTCATATAGCCAGAATGAACTTAGTCTCAAACTAGTACGATGTGAGAATTTGAGGTATGAAAGCATCGGTTAAGATGAGATTCGTACAAAATTGCCAAAATCCCTGTTTTCGTCAGCTTCTGTCAATCTCTTCATCAGGAAATGAAATGAATTAAAAGTAGATAAAATCAAAATTTTTTGGATTTTCTGAAGATTTCAAATTTAATTTTCTTTGATTTTGAAAATTTTTGCATTGCAGTCGACACAAAAATTACGTGAAGATGGCATCTTATATATATTCGTATAAGATTTGAGAGGCAGAGGACCATTTTTTCTGTTATTCGTGCGAGTTTTGGTGTATAGAACCTTGTCTAGTTGTCCGATTGTCGAAAAACTGAAGATTAATATTTAAGCACTATAGTGTATACTGCAGTTATTATAGGATTGCCTTTACCACCAAGATCTGATTTTTCCTGAAGTATCGCTTTCTTCACGACCACACCAGGTGACTGCTTGGGTTTCTGCATCTAATTCGATGACGACGCCTCCTCCGGGAACCTACGGCGATTTGGGTAAGTATTGTCCGCGCGTTGGGAAAATCGAACTCAAAACCTTCAAATTTGGAAACTCGAAATCAGAGCGGAAACTAACGAACTTCCCGTCGCAGGATCTGATGTACAACATGCCGCCAATATTAGGTACGTGGAAGCACCCCACCCAACACGTAGCCGAGGGGTTCTCAGTTGTAAGCTGCAATCGGACGCATCTCAGGTAGTATCTCCTTCATCACGCATAATTTGATTTTCTTTTTCACTTCAACGGTGTAGGTGTTGGCTCGAGAATCAATATGATGATGATGATGATGATGATGATGAACACCTACTGCTACTGCTAACGAACACTCTCGAATTACTTATACTCTATTGCTCTTATTAAGCACGTCTGAGCCTTTTCTACAGCATGGTGATGGTCGTCCTTTATCGTACAAGATGGTCATCCTCTATCCACTTAAAACAGTAATCTTACGACTTCGTGGTTGCCTCTCCAGAAGTCGAATAGACCGCCAGGGCCAGGGATATTTTCGCCAGGTCGTTGGCCTGAATGTTCGCAGAAAAGCTTTCACAATCGGAAAAAAGTTAAGAAAGTCAAATTCTCAAACAAGTTGTAGAGAGACGAAGATCGTCGAAGTTAGTACAACTTACTAGTTTAATATGACTTGTTCAACAAGTTCTGAAAATAACAGTAATAGGCACTACAATAGAGTTGTTGGTGATTCTCCATTTCGCTGTACGAGCGAGCCTCTTCAAGTAGAACGCTTGCATCTTGAAAAGTTGCCTGATAGAAGGCAGATTCATTGAAAATGAGAGCATGCTCAAGCCGGATTCTAAGACAAGCCCAGCGTTTGGGAGGCGGATCGATAACTTGTCAACTCTTGTGCCTACGTGGATACCGGAGACGTTCTCGCAGCGGCACTTCAAAGCAACAGCAGGAACGTTCTTAGTGAAGTAGGGTTTGGCAGGGAACCCTCTCCTAGTAGTTTCTTCGAACTGAGAGTTTTGAAGTCTAGTTGTGAGGTACCTACAGGTCTCTAGCAAGTTTCGTTCTTGGCGAATTGCTGTTGCTCTTGTTGTCGTACTTTTGTGCGCGTTGTTTACTTGTCCTCTCTTGAATATTCTTTCTTTTTATTTCGCTTGATGTTGTATGGTATTCCTCGTTGTTCTTGATATATTTCTCCTTGCTACTCCTGTTGTCATATTGTCGAGAAGTTGCAGATATGTATTGCCTCGAGAGCAGCGTCAGATGAGAAACACCATGTCACACTCACACATGGTATGCATATCAATTCCTGTAGTCGCAGGACTCGTCATAGTAGAAGATAACAAGTAGCGCAGCGAAGTGAAGGAGGTGCACAACGTGACATAATCGAGTCGAATAGTCATCTTGCAGCTGCAAAACTTTATCATGTTGTTGTCATGAGGTTGCTCACGGGCTCTTTTCTCGTCATCTGTCACATGTTAGAACGCATCTTTCTACGAGTAGGAGTAGGGCTAATTATAACATGTTTGATCTCATACCTAATCGTGGCTCGAACACAGAAGTAGTGTCGAGCAGATAATTTTACTTGACTTATACCTAAACTTAAGTGAAGACTTTTCCGGAGACTTAGGTGCCATATCTGAGCTTGACAACTCACAGTATCGATGCAGGGGAACTATCCCCTACGTGCCTCCATAGGGAAAGACGACTCGAACCCCCTGCTCCTGCGCAATACCAATATTTCATTCACTCACGACTTACCTTCACCGTGGTAGGTCCTCCGCATATGCAAAAACTCGAGAGGAACAAGAAGTTCGAGAGGCGTCGTGCCTGTAGCCTGTGTACTCTTCAACTTATCAATCTCTGTCTCGCTCTCGTTCTGTCGGTTCGTTTGTACATGATTCACGTACAGTGAAGGTCGTATTTTGGTACTGATGAAACAGACTGACTACAACTGAATCTGAAATGCAAAGTATATGTATAATTAAGCATTCCATTTTATTTCATGTGACTCAATCTACTGAAAGTGGTGAGCATGCAAAGAATGCAACAATCGATGTACTTAGTACCTTTACACCATCTCGTTTTGAGAGTTCGAACTGCGAATACCTGGAATGCACTGGTGTCTTCTGAGCCCAGACTTCTGGAGCCCTGGCCGCTGCCTGTCGCAAGCCAGAAATCTCTTAATCTTAATCTTAAGCCCTTCAGTGTTTCTAGCGTATCCGCAGCTGCGCAGGTTGTGAGCTGCAACTTTCGCAGATCTGCGTCGTGGGAGACCAGACCAGCGGAAAAAGTTCGCTGCTAACGCGCATCAGTGGCATCGATTTTCCGAAGAAAAGTGACATTTGCACTAAGGCTTCGATTGTCGTCTTGGGCGAGCGGAAGAACGAGCTATCCTAAGACAAATATGAGGTGCAAAATCCGGAGACGAACAAGTGGGAAGACTGCGAGGCAGACAAGCTGCCAGCAAAGATTCTGGAACTACAAGAAAAAGCACTGCTAGAGTGCGGTGAAGGAGCAAAGGCGTCGCAAAACGTGTGGTGTTCGGTGCCCGGTATCATCAGCCAGGGGCCGGGCGTCGCGGAAGTGTGAAAGATGATCGAATATTACACGAAAAGCCCTCGCACGTTGATCATGCTGGTCGCGGAGGCGTTCATGGACCCGGAGCGCGTGACGGCCATTGGAATCGCAAAAGAGCACGATCCGCAAGGCGAGCGCACGCTGCGCATTGACACCAAATTCGACTCTTTCGACTCGAATAAAGAGGCAAAAGACCGCGCGGTTCGTTGGATTCGTAGCACGACTTCTACAAAATCAGGAGACGACGACTCGACACAAGCCGGATCAACTGATGGAGACACCGCTGGTGAAGAAAGCTTCGAACTTGTGCTCGCCGATGATGATGATGATGATGATGATGAAACCCAGCTTTGTCCTCACGTACTGATCTACCAACCAAATGGCAACGATTATTCGCGAGATGTGGAAGAAGCGGAGCTGCACGAAAAGCTCGGGCTGCCGCGAAATCGGAGTGGTGCTACCTTGCTGAAAGAGTGCCTTCCCGGTGTTTATGCTTCTCTCATTCGGAGCAACATCGAGCCCGTGGCAAAAACTGTTCGTGAGAAGCTTGAGGAGGCGAAGGGAGTCCTCGCGGAGGTTGGTCGCGGGCCTGCGAATAGATCAGATATGATCCGCCAGTGTCAGACACATCTTCGCGATTGTTTCCTGAAATACCAAGAAGAGATGGGCCCATTGCAGAAACATTTCACTGAGGAGGTGCCGGTGCGGGAAACAGAATCAACAGTCACTTAAGAGTGGACTGATGGCAAATTTCGTCCTAACCCTTATCAGGTTCTGTTGTTTCAAGGGCAGGAGGCTTTTGGCACTTGTGCCAAGGCGATTGCGACCGATTTTTGGAGCCCACTGCTGGAAGAATTTAGCCTGAAGGCCGCGAAGCATGCCCGCGAATTTTGCAAGGTAGTTTTGAGTGATCTGAAAGGTGTGCTCCAGAGACTGAAAAATGCCGTCGCTCGAGAGTGGAAGGCGCATTTTCACAACCTAGTGTGCAAGAAATTTAGGGACGGGTGCTTTGATATCTTGCAAAAGGAAGAGTTTTTTCTACACTAAATCACTACCTGGAAGATAAGCACGAGCAGCTCGAGATTTGTCCGGATGAGTACATTCATGCAGTCATAAACGAAATAGACGATGGATGGAAAGAACTTTTTATGCAAGTAGGTAAAGACGAAAAGACTTGGGAGTGGCTTCCGTTCCAGAAGCGGGGGCAAAACATGCATGACATGTTGTTGCGACGTCGCGAGGCTTTTCAGAAAAGACAGAAAAAAATGTGCCTCGAGGACGGACAACGCGAAAAAATTTACCATGCAGTAAAAGCTCACCGGGCAGTCGAATTTGAGACATTCACCGATAGCATCATGAAGATTTCGAAGAGATATTTGATCCGAGCCCGCGAAGATTGGATTTTGGAGCATGTAAGGAATGACCTGCTCCGAGCAGACCCTTGCGAGGATCCTCGTACCGAAAGAAAGCGTGTCACAGCACTTCATATGCAAGAAAAGATGGAAAAGTACCTCAAAGAATTGGCCAAAATTTCGTAAAAATGATCTTGATGATGAGAATTATACGAGAAGTAGAACTAGAACATTAATTATCTTCTACCTTATATTATGGTTTTAATGATTTGCTTATTTTGCAAATATTCACGAAGTCTTTGCGAATCTAGAGATTGATGACGAGCATGTCAAAGAGAAGACTCGATAGACAAATCAAAAATAAAGAGTTTTTTTTCAGTGCGGCTTGATGATGTATAATGATTTTTTTCAGGTGTACTAACTATCACCTTGTAAAGGTTGTAGAAATAAGAATGAAGCAAATACCTCCTGTTAGGCACATGCATTCATTCATTCAATGAAGCGAGCTGTTTTCAGGGTGTGCACATGATACAACTACCTGCTGGGTCAAGGTCTCGAGATTCGTTGTTAAAGATCAAACGTTGTTGTTGACTGTTTTCAAGTTCGCCAGTCGTTTTTTGCTTACTATGATATCAAACTGCAAGTCCTCACTCATCTCCATTCGTGGTATGATTGATTGCGGTGGTGGTTCTACAGTAGTAATGTATGCTTATCTGATCGAGAGTCGAGAGATTTGAAAACTACAAGAAGATGACAATTATATAGAGGGATTCCGCTTTCGTGCTGTCGTGGTGATGTGTCAGATATCTTGATGGTTGATAACTACATTATATATACGCTCACACTCAAACGAGTGACTTCCAACCTGGCAGACAGTGACCTCTTTGTTGGTCATTGTTGCTGGCTCATTCCAATTTCGTTGGACTGTCACGACGTATCTCATTCCTTATATCTGTAATGCAAAATTTATTACAGATAGTCGGGGAATGTTCCTTGTGCCATTACGCGTGCGATCTCAAAGACCAATAATCTTCCGTCGGGCAACAGGGCGAATACCACCACGACTTGCTGTTGAAAAAATTTTCCATCAGATGGAAATTGAAAAAATTGTATTCAAGAACGTTCATTGACCTGAAGCGTTCGTTTGAATGTTGTTGTCTGCCGCGACATCATTTCCATGCTATTATCCTGGTTAACGGTCTTTTTTCGGAAACTAGTAATCTGAGAAAAACCGGTTCCAATGATACTAGCTCAGCTCCCCTTCCTTCTAAAGAGTACTGGACGTTGGAAGAAACCGCAACAAGCTGCAGAGAGGAGATTACGAAAAAGGTCACTTCTTGAAACATAGAATAATGCAAGGAAGCAAACTAGCTACGAATGTGCGTCACTAAGACAGGTTTCATGTCCATCATTTTTTTTGTTTTTCCCTTCATTTCGTCTTGTATAGGCAGGGAAATGCGTTCTCCTCCAACGTTTCCAGCGTCCTAGACGGAATGCTTTTTTTTTTCGTACATCCTAAGTACTTGAAGATGTGGCGTTCTCAAGAACGTGACGAAAGTCTATTCTACCTCATGATTTGTCTGCAGAATATTTTTTTTACCAACGGAAGCAAAGACTGAAATATCTTCGATGAATCAATCTTCATCGACCATCAAACTGCATGATCGATCGATGACTTTAGACTTGATAGCTTCTTGGAAAATCCAGTGAGGCGAAAGTGAGGGCAAGAAAGCCGAACTTTTTTTTACGTCGAAAAGAATGAAAGACTATTGACGAAACACAACACCAGTGAATAACTACATGATCAGCAAAGACAAAAGAAAGCTGAAAAACTTTGTTTGGTTTCTTGCAGTTTGTCACAACATGCATAACTGATAACTCTGATGATCCGAGAACAAGAGTTATCTAAAGTTTAAGTTTTTTTAGTGCCTTCACCAGAGCCACCGGGAGTGGTCGTGTTGCAGAGGGTACGGGATTGTCCTCGAGAGCTGTGTTCACCGTTTTGGACTGTCTTCGGTTTGATCATCGGTGCTCATGTTGATTTGTATGCGCAAACGCAAAGATGAAGATTGCCTTCGGTGTTCATGATTTTCACGGCGTTCCTGGGATGCCACTGTCTTTCTTACGACGTCATCGCGTCATCTACTACGTCAAAAAAGGGACGCGGGCGCAGCTGATCCTGATATGATCTGAAACAAGCTGCATCGCGATCTGCGTATACTTCATCGGTTAGGAGCGAAGTGTTGTATAAAAGACAAGCAATTTCAATGTTTTTGAGTCTGATGCCCTTCATCATGCATTTTTATGTTTACTACCATATTATTGGGACTTTTGTACTCGTTTTACCGGCTATTCCCTCCTCCAAAGTTGTAGAGTTATCGTCACCCTCTTCACCGCATGAAAATCCCTCAGGCAGTGTCTTCGACATTTTAGTGATTTGTCCTTTTTTGGATTGTTTTTATTCTTGTCTTGGTTTTTTACTAGAGGGGCTTCTGTTTGATCTTGGAACTGACCTAGAAGTATGGCGGCTGTAACCTTCTCAGTACTTTTCTGAAGCGATTGTTGATCTTGTTGATACCAATGATAATATTACTCGATGAGTAGTTTTCTCTTATCCTCACCCTCATTTTCATTTCTGAAGTAGAACTACGATCGCTTTTGTTTGTCCACTTCCACTTACAAAAGAACCACAACATCGAGATCAACAAAATGGTGGTAACAAGGACGAGTAGCAAGGACAGCAACGATCGAAAGAAGTCGCCGCGTAATATGCTAGCAGAGGGGGCAAGTGAGGAGACACCAGGCGATGGCCAAGGTCTTGAAAAGAAGAAGGGAGGCGCGCGTACGAAAAGCGCAAACTCCACTCCAAAGAGTGCCACATCAGCATCCTCGAAAGCAGGTTCACAAAACAGTAGCAAGAGCAAAGGTAATACCACAGCGAGTGGAAGAGCAGGCAAGAGCACCCTTTGGTCCTTCAACGGTTATGATCAAGATCTTTAAGTACAAGTAGAGTAGTACTACTTAGTGCTAATCAAGAATATAGGGCAACAACATTAGCTCGCAATATTTTTGAATCTCGAAGTCAACCGCATCATGCCCAATCTTCTCTTTGAACTGTTTAACAACTACTCACCAGCGTAAGCCATTAGTTACTTACTGTAAAATAGAAGGTCTTGGTAAAAGCTAACGCTTATGGTAATTCTGAGCTCGTCCTCTAAAGATCGGAGCAAAACGACGAGCTGAATTACCTTTTCGATTTTATGCAGCTCTTGAAGCATCCGATAGTGCTGATAGCACTCGTAATCCTTGTGGTCATCTACGGACCTGCGCAGCCTCTCTCGCCTAGGGAGCAGCAAGAGATCATCGATGCTGTGGCTGAGAAGACTGCGGCACAGAATCTTAAGACTGGCGGGCTCGATAGGGATGTGGAGAATGAGAATGATTCGCTTTCGCACCACGGTTTGGTTTGCGGATGTCATCAGCCGGAATTCTACAACTACTTGAATACATACTTTTACATTTACTTGTTGTACTGTTACAAGTACCCTTTTAAGAAATTATCCATCGTCTATGAAACCAGTGCAACTACAGCATACTCTTACGCAGATTATCTTCAAAACCCACTGACCAGCAAGGTCTGCTTCTTCTTCTAACTTTCTGGAGCATTTGCGGAAGGACTTTGTAGACATGCTCGTGGAGGATCGCGACTTGGCTACAGCAGATCAAGTGCGAGCAGTCGAACGCGATGTCCAAACTGTCCACAAGGAGTTAGAAAAGACACAGTCCGTTGTGCTTGAAACAGTCCGCGATGAAGTGCGCGACGACTTACACCAATTAGAGGACCGCATGGGCAGCAGGGTGAATGTACTTCTTCTACCGCTTTAATATGTGTAGTTAAAGTCAGCACTCGCAGCAGGACCGGGCGGTGAACTAGATGATGACTTTATTGAAATGGTTCAAGAAATGTGTAGTCTCAAAATTTTACTTTGATCGAGATCAGATTGATCATTCTCGGTACCTATCGCTATCCACCATCTGGAATATCAAACCGCACCCCGAATTTTATCAGAACACGCTGACAAAGTTTGACAAGACCGTCTCTGGCTTGCAAGCAGAAGTAGAGAGTTTACGAGCTCTCTATGAAGCGGAGCGTAGCAAACGTCTCCAGATGGAGCGAGAGGCGAAGAAATTGGCAGCTGCGCAATTCTCAAATAAGGAGAAAATCAAGGAAAAAACCGAGATCGATGTGGAGCCCGCCGCTGATTACAGCAGCAAGAGCACATTAGGCAGTAGATCTGAATCAATAGGAGTCCGAGCAGACATCAGAGGAGGCCGTGAAGCAGGACTGGGTGAAAATCATCTAGGTGTAAACTGGGCGTCGTCTTCTCTGGGCGCTTCTATTGTGGATTCTAGTGCACCAAAGGGCGCAGGGTTCTGGCTACAACCATTGCAGGTCTTCGGGCGTTACTTTTTGGACGCCAGTGCCATGGCCAAGATGACCTTGCGGACATCGCGTGGCCCGGAGGAGCTTTTGCGTGCTGGACAGCCGCCGGTTGCAGGTGAGGCATTTTCGACCGCACTCACAAGTTCGTCCTCGGGAGACGAGGTCGAGGGAATAGTTAGTGGTACCAAAGATAACGAGGCAGGCGTCGTAGGATCATCTTCAAAGTCAAGAAAAGGAGGAGTCTTATGGCATTTCGAATTATCTGCCTCAGTTACACCTGTAGTTCTCAACCATTTTCAATGAGTGCAGCCAGTATCTGGACAGTAGCAAGTTGTAGTTGTACGGTTGTTGTACAGCTTCTTTCTGCAACATGATTCCACTCGATCATTGCTCCTGTACTCTCAATTTTTTGTTCCGTATCTATCAAAGTCAGATAGCATGCTTACCTTGATAGTACCGCTTTCATTTCCACAACCTGAGGACAACGATAAATCCGGAGACGCTTTCGTGCATATTCACTTGGGAGTTGCGCTGCGATCTGTAACGGCTGTGGCAATTCGACACCTTCCGCGCTCACAAACACCGAACCCGACCTCAGCGCCGCGCAAATTTTCCGTAACGGCTATCGGCACTAGTGGAAAAGCCTTTCCTTTTTCTACGAAGTTCGAATTCGCAGAGGAGCTAGGCTTCCAGGTTTTCGATGTATCAAAAGTCTTCTCCACGACGTCGATGGCTGCAGCTGAGTTGGATGAACCGGTGCGGGAGTTGCGGTTTGATTTCTACAGCAGTTATGGCGCTGAGTACGTCACACTTTTTCGCCTGGAGGTATATGGCGAGATGTAGGTGGCAAGGTTTGGTGATCTTGTTCTTGCAACCAGCAGTTGGTATTACAGACTTTTTTTGATTGAAATCAGATGACGAAAAGAACTATTGACGGTGATGTTATTTTCGGATTATGCCCGACAAAAATCTTCTCGAGAACAGAGTCAGAGGTTTTTACCACCATCTCACAAAAATAGCGACCAGTGCAGGACGCAACAAATGTATACCGTCTGACGGTTTTGTATTTTTCCCAGTGTTACAAAATGACGAAGACCACGATGTTGAATCACTGCGGCCAGGAACAGATGCCTGCAACGAGGATTGAAACGGATGGTTGACTAGGACGTAGTGTTTCGCAGTTCTGGTTATGGCTCTAGAATCAGAGCGGATGACATAATATTTTTGGACCAAGAATAAACTTGTGCTTCTGACTGAGCAATACAACTTGTTCGATAAACGTGCAGTGCTAAGCCGGATGCCACAGTGTTTGGAGTTGCATTTGTGTCGTGCGAAAGTAAGAGCTAGATGAAGCATTAAAAATGAACAGACTTGAGATTTCCAACTTCTCCTTTTTAGATGTCCAACATAAAAGACATAGAGCGATACCATAAAAAGATGGACGTTGAACACGGGACAAGTGGAAGTGCCAGCCACTCCTCATCTTTGCCCTCTTCAAGCAAGAAACCTGACGAGAACTGCGCGTCTGAGGTCGAAGACGAAGCTTCCTGCACAGCATTGTTAGACCTTCTGCGTCTCGAAGTGCAGAAAGAAGAGTTGAACGTTGTCGACCACGCACCTTGTCGCACGTCAGAGGAGTCGGCATTGGTTCGTGGTGTGCCTCTACGAACAGGCGCCAAGGCTATGTTGTACAAAAAGAGCAAGACTTGGTCTGGCTCCTCCTCGACCCTGCCCGATGCGTCCACGACGGATAATTCTACGAAGTCGCAATTTCTTCTTTTGGTTCTATCCGCAGCAGCGCGAATCGATAATAAGAAACTTCGAAAGGCATTCAAGGAGAGCAAGCTGAGTCAGGCGTCGCCAGAAGAAGTATTTCAAGTAACTGGATGTCGGCCAGGTGCCGTCCCGCCGTTCTGGCCAGGTCTTTATCGACGAAGGAGCACATTGGACGACATCAAGCACGGAGGTGCTGCTTGCCACAAGACTACACCAAATGAAGATGACGATGAATGCAAAAATCCTAGCCAAGGCGAGTTTCATAGAAATGGAGCCAGCGCGATTCTTGCTGATGTGCCGTCCCCATGCAAGAGTGGAGGTAATCATACGTCGGTGGGAGGTGTACACGTAATTGTTGACAAGCAGGGTACTAGAGGGGAAGCAGAAGATCATTATGTTGACAACAAGGATAGCTGTTCTCCAAGCAATGACTCGTCTGCTGTGTCTTTTGCAGTCGATTTTCGAGTAGATGCGTCTCTGTTAGAGCAAGAATGCATTAGTTTCAATTGCGGATTGAGAACTCGGAGTGTGGTCAACCTTGGGCTCAAAGACTGGAAAAGAATAAGCCAATGCCAAGAAAATACGCATCTAGTTGATGTCACTGTTGAAACTACGCCTTCAGCAATGGATAAGGAAGGAACTAAAAGCTGATGCACTGGCAGCACCTCTAACGCACCATCCAAGAAGGCTTACATATAACTTGCTACAAGGGCGGACGAGTCAAGTTCTCAGCGAACCAGAGACCAAGAACGGGGATCTTGGTAGAATTGTCCATTTTCCTTTCCTCGGTTGCGTCTTCAGATGATACAGAAGAAGACGGGCGTGGAGCCACCTCGAGACAGATCCTGAAGGCACGAGTGAGGGGTTGAGGTATTACGAGCGAATCAAAGGCAAGGCAGGCGTCAGATTGTCCTGTAGAGCTGTACGAAGATACAAGAAAAGTTGTTCTGTTCACTTCAATCTAAAGATCTGTTCGATGAAAATTTTGAATGGATGGATCCTGAGGACATGACGACCAGCAGACTTGACTATGTGGCCCAATAATGCGAATTCAAATTTCATCTAGAAGTTGTTGGCTACTTGAGCAATTTTCTGCATGCAAGTTTTATGAACAATACCAACGGCATGGCGCAAACGCGATATCAAGAAGTAAGAAGATCAAGAGGGAATACGAATAGAGGCACATCAAAAGCAAGAGCCATGTCCTTTAGGATGAGGAAACTGCGTGTGGCCTCCAGCACTGCCCTTCAGTTTGCTACTTTAGCCGCATTGACTTCGACGAGAGCAAACGTCACTGGTGGCCCACGTGCTACATACCTAGACGAGGACTTGCTCCGTAATTACTTTTCCACCAACGGCGTAGGCGTACATGATGTGATTGGTCATCAAGAGGATGCTCCTCCTGTAGCTGTTCCTGGTCAAGAAGAAGGAGAGGACCAGCAGTGGCAGAACGTAGATCATGTCGAGAGCATCAGCATACCTCTCCAGGATACGCGTGACGTACAGCTACAGACGAAGATTGGGATAGGGTCGCCACCGCAATGGTTCAAAATCGTTGTTGACACAGGCAGTTCGGACCTCTGGGTTTTCGCAAAAAACTGTACCACAACCAGTGCTCCTGGCGACATCTTCAGTGGTGTCACAGTCACTTCCAGTAACCGTATCGACGACTCTTCAACATCTTCGAGCTGGTCGTCCTCATACGATTTGAGTAAGTCAAAAACAGCGAAGGCTCTTGGAGATCGCGTCACTTTCCAATATGGTGACGGCACAAGGGCATCTGCGGTTTCCTTTCGCGATGATGTCATCGTTGATCAATACGCAACTACTACAAGCAGAAGTGCACGACGAAGAGGAGGTGGAAGATCTTTCAGTGAAAATAGAGGCGCTTTCAGCCCTAAGAGAACGAGTCTAGTATCGCATAATGTTGCACAGCAAATGCAGGAGGCAGAAGGTGACGCTGATAGAAGTAATAAGGACCAGAGCACGAGCAGCACTTCTTCGAAGTCTCAGATAGCAGATGCTGTAGCTTTACTAGCAGATGAAGGTGGTCGCGTCAATGTCAAGCACACTGAAAGTGTTGCTCACAAACAAGACGAGGACGCCACCCTTGTGAGGCAGCAATTTCTGCTGCGGACAGATCGTGTACGGCACACGCGCGCTGGATATGAGATGCACGCTGAAGGCGTTTTGGGCTTGGCGCACTATTTTGACGACGTGAGCGGCCCTAGACCAGCAGTGGCGAAAACGTTCCTCCGAACGTTTTTCGAGCAGCATCCTTACATGAAAAAGGAGTTCTCGATTTGGTTGTCCAAGGCGAAGACTTCCAAGAAAAGTAGAATCAAGATAACTACAGAAACAATAGAGAACGCAAAGTCATCAAAGATGCAGCTGCAAGATGAACGTGGGGCAGTGGTCTTTGGGCGCAGAAGTTCTTCTCGTAGGAGCAGAAGTCATGTTTTCGGTGGTGCTAGTACCGCTATAACGCTATTTTTGGGTTCAGAACAAGTACTAGAGGAGCCCTCGTATCTCTATGGGAAGAGGCACTACATGGAGCAGACGTCTTTGTGGATCACGAGTGTCCTGTCGCTTGGATGGGCGACCAGAGGAGAACGACAGAAGAGCATTCCTGAAACATCTAGTAGTGGTGCGAGTACGCCTTCATCGGGTTCAGCAATGGCATCTTCTCCGACAAGAACATCAACATCTTCTACAACAAGATCATCAAATGCAGAAGATGAATCAGAATCGTCCACGAGAGCCTCGCTTCCTCCGACCTACACGTTTTTTGGTGCGGGAGGTAGTGAGGGTGCTCCAGCTCTCGTAGATTCCGGTTCTAGTTTTTTGGTTGTCTCAGAACCAATATTCGACTACCTTTTCGAGACGACGCAACTAGAAAACTGCGAAGCGTATCCAGGGAAAGATACCGTGCGCATTTGCGACTGTCCCGTAGGTGAGAAAATGGCTTTGCTTGCACCTGTGACAGTAACGCTGCTAGATCATCACGGCGGGTCATTCCCGCTCTGCCTTGCGCCGCCTGAGTACCTGTTGCGTACTGAAGACCCGCGAACAGGAGAGGCTCGCTGTGTCCCAGCAATCGAACGGGGCTCCCCGAATCAACCGGTGCCCGTGATTCTCGGCCTCGTTTTCTTACGCACCTACACAACAGTATTCGACTTGGACGAGCACCGCATTGGCTTTGCCAGAGCAAGAATCACGCCACAGGATGCACTAGCTGCGAGTACTTAGACAAGGACAATCTTTTTAACGAAAACCTTTTTTTTGCTGATCTACATACGGTATACACTACTTACTACCTGAGGACATATATTAACATTGAAATCCCGACTCTGATCCTGCTCTTTTTTACATGATGTGATGATGAAGTTGATGCGCAGTGCCTGTGTCATTTGGCAGAGTTGTCATTAATACAGCAAGAGAGACGAACCCGGTCAGGGCATTGATCTTGATGCTTTTCTTCAGGTCGTGAGGAGCTAGAACGGGACGTTTTTCGAGCCTGGTGTCCGCGGTGGGACGAGGTTGTTGCCGAAGCTAAGGGAAGCACAGGCTTTTTTGCGAGTCACGGCTGGTCTTGGTTAGGGCTCGAGATGCGCATTGCGGGCCTCTGCTCTATGCCGCTCTTTTGGGCCTGTCTCGGTGTTGCAGCTGGTGCCGCGCTTTTTCAGCTAGTTGTAATGCGAATGCCAACGGTTCGTCGTGTTTTGCTTGGCCCAGACGAGTTGCTTGATAGGGCGACGCAGCCTGACGAAGCGAGTATGTATGTTGAATGAGCTGTTGTTGTCCTGAGCTTCGTAGCACGAGTTAACATCAACATCATGGTATTTTTGGTATAAACATATTATGTGCAACTACTTGCAATTGCATTGTCTTTTTCACGTACTCACCTACTGCTTTGGCGTCGTGTATCGTAGCGAATTTTTATTAGCCGACATGATAGCAATCTTAGCCATTGCTATACGCACATTAGAGCAAAACATGACGTCACAGAGGATAGTGCATCCAGAATGACTGTAGGGCTGGTGCAGCGTGACACTGCTGCGATTATGGCGCTCACTGCTTGTGTGGTTATGCCTCAGTCTTCTTCTCGTGTTGAGCGGCGAAGGAGGGCACAGACTGACTCCGCTGCATATTAGTTTTGCATCAGACAAGAGGAATGATGAGCGGACGATCGTCCGTTTTAAGGCGAAAAATGGATTGCGTTTGCGCTCTTTGTTCCTACTAGTTGCTTCTTCCCAGTTGAAGTCTGTTCATGATCATGCAGTTAGCAGTTTATCTCTACTACTAGTTTCTATTTCTAATTCTAGGAGAGTTATTTGCTACTAGCAGTTGTTTGGTGGTCTTCGAGGTGGCAGTCAGGAGTCTGTGAAGTTTGCAAGCACCAGTAGCAGTTAGCAGGTTGTTGCTCAGTTCCTGTTCACTGCCAGGCACGACCTTACTATTTCTATTATAGTTAAGAGCTGTTTACTGCTGCTGGTGGTTAGCAAATTGTTGCTAGACGCAGCAGCGGGGACCCGTTTGCTGGAAGCCAGCAGTTTGTCAGTAGTTAGTACTGCAAAAGTTTGGGATTGTCCGAGTCAAACTCAATTATGAGGCACTCTACAACCACGCTGGAGCCTAGTAGAAGCAAGAACTCGTAGAAGGCCGTTGTAGATGAAAGTAAAAGACGTTAGAATTCACTAAAGGATAAAAAGTAGTACTTCTAGAAGTGGAGCAGGCTTCGCATATTTTAGAAGTCTTAGTAGATCATATCAGAAGATAGTAGATGCTAGAAGTTGATAGAAGCTAGATGAAGTGGGCAGAATTAAATAGGAATCGCTGCAAGATGGATTTGGACGGAATTTGAGGTCTGCACCATACCAAATATCTTTGCTTCGCCAGGAAATGAATTCGAAAAAGATGAGATAAAATGAAAAATTCTTGGATATCAACTTGAAAACTCAACTTCAAAATCAAAACTTGACTTAGATTTGGCCACAATTTGAGGCGTCCAGCATATGAAATATTTTGGCTTCGCCAGGAAATGAATTCGAAAAAGATGAGATAAAGTGAAAAATTCTAGGATATCAAGTTGAAAACTCAATTTGCAATCTCAAAACTTGCCTTAGATTTGGCCACAATTTGAGGTGTCCAGCATATGAAATGTTTTGGCTTCGCCAGGAAATAAATTCGAAAAAGATGAGATAAAATGAAAAGTTCTTGGATATCAAGTTGAAAACTCAATTTCAAACTCAAACTTTGACTTGGGTTGGATTTAACCACAATTTGAGGCGTCCAGCATATAAAATATTTTGGCTTTGCCAGGCAATGAATTTCAAAAAGAAGAGATAAAATGGAAAATTCTTGGATAACAAGTAGAAAGCTTAGATTTCAAACTCGAAAATTAGAAGAATTCAGGTTTTCTTGAAGAATTCACCTCGTATGTCGTAGATTCATTCTATCTGATCTGCTAATGGGTTAGGATTTGGCGAAGCTTTGATTTGATTAGTATCGAAAATCTACGATGTGGCTATTACAGTTAGACACTGACTCAGTTGGATGTGGTCATGATGCAGCTATTTCTTGTAAAGACTACTCCAACTACTATGAATTGATTGTAATCATGATACACGTTGTAGCAAGCATTTTAGCTGCCATAAGAGTAAAAACTAGCATGAAGTGCATCTGCGTCCAGCCTAGATCTATACTCATCATACCGCTACCTGGTTCGTTATTCAGGGTGTCTGCTCCTGTTGCGGTTTTCGCTGCGCTGATGTCTCGGACCATGGCGAGGCTATCGAAGGCGGAGAGGCTCACCTCTTGGTTTTGCGTATCTCTTAAGAATATTGACTTCCTCGTCAACTTAGTACTAGAAGCCATGATGCAGTTGATGGAGGCGGTCAGAGTCTCTTGGTTGACTCTATGGCGTTTTCTTGCACAAGTTGCATGGCTGGCGTCGTCCCATGCACGCAAAAACATGATAATTCTTAATCTACAGACACTGACATCATTTTCACCATCTTGATGGTGTATGCATGGACGTTGTTCGCATAGGTTTTCAACAAGAGTCTGCATTTGTTTATGGGACATCGTCGGAATTGTTGTAGTTGGTGTTTGCCATCCCGACTACCGTGATACTCATCCTAGAACAACCAGATGAACATGAATATTTGAACACAAATAAAACTGAAGATGGCGTTTCGATCGTTCTCGTGCCCATCAGGGAGACTGGGAGGATGGCTCCTCGTTTGCTTGCAGGTAGCAGATTGGGCTGTATGTTCGCAGGCTCGGAAGGCTGCGGTCGCTGTTTTGCCACAGGACCCTTTCTATCCTGGGGAGAACTTCAAGACTATTGAAGACCGAGGAGCAGAGGGTGAGGCTGACGACGATCATCCTAAGGCTCTGGTGGAAAATTGTAGTAGTACAATCTTCAAAAGCTGCATGAGTAATGTAGTACAAAAAAGCAATGCAGAAGACCACGGAGGAGAAGGTGGATCATGTGCGCAGAAAGTTACAACATCGTCGACAAAAGAAAGAAAAGGACTATCTCCTTGTTGCCACGAAAAGGCGCTCGACGTCGATGGAGATGTGGAATCTCCCGAATCTGGCACGACTTTCGATGAAGGGTATCAGTCGACAACGCCATCAAACGTCATGACCATAAATCTCGACGAAATTGCGTCGCCCGATGTCCTGCCAAACGGAGAAGATCAAATGGTGATATCCGCGGACGTTCACGGCGACACGTCTAAGCATCAGCTGCATACTACGAAGCAGGAGGGCACCGAGACGACGGACCAATTGCAAATATCAACTTGTGCTCGAGACGCCTCCCATCAACATCAAGCAGCTACTCCAGAAATGGACGATGAAGTGCTGAAAGTGAAGACTACTTCTACCGCAAAGGCCCTTGAGCTTAGCGACGACGACGAGGAGCCTCCTGACGACTGCCGGCCAACTAAGAAGATCGACGATTCTTGGCTGTCTTCATCGCGATTGAAAAATATTTTCAGGAGCAGATCGATGAACGCCAACGCCAACGCAGACAAGAGCGAGAACCACCAGAATTCGGCTCCACTATTCCCGCCACCTCCAGCGTCACTCCTGTCTCGGATTTCGAACGCAGAGCCACTTAGTGATCTCAGACGTCGCTGGAAGTGTGGTGGCAAATGCGGCAAATGTCAGAACTGCAAGCGACAGATCAATATTCACACCAGAAGCATACCGCAAATTACGGCAAGTAGTACAGTGTTTGCCTTTGCGTTCTTAGTATTTCCTATTTTACCAATCAGAACATCTTCGACAGTCAACACCAAGAAGAGGTGAAGCGGAGTACTGCATTCGGTGTTCTACAGTCGTTGCACGTGGTCACTTTTATTATGATAGCTTGTAAAGCTAGAGCTACCTAAATCTGTGGTAATAAGCCTATATTTAATTTAAGAGTTGTGCAGCTTGTTCATCATGTTCTAATCAAACTCCGTCTCGACTATCAGCAGTGCTAACGCGAGCACGTCAAGCTACATCACGGAGAATCGTTGCTCCGTTTACCAACTATCCCTTAAGGAGTCAGTACAAGAGCTTCGCCTTCTGCACTATGCGCATGATGCCGCAGGAGCGTGGCTATCGCAGATTCATGTCACCTGTGTTACCGCAGCAGCGAGGATCATCTGGAGGACTCGGAAGTACTGTGAAGATGATATCTGGGGTGCCTTCTGCGTTACTGATGTCAGGAAAAACACTCTTTCTGCAGGGACAGAGAGCGCTCAGGGCAGCGTGTACAGCTAACAGGCAGCCAAAAAATCACAGAAATATATCGTCGACAACAACATCATCATCATCAACATCTTCTTCCGGCGCTGCGACTCTGCAAAACGCATCACCTACATGCGCAGTCGGTGAGTCGAACCGGCAGACCGGACGATCGTGTAGTATGTGCTTGCAGAGGTGCAAAAAAAGATGCTAGCAAGAGGAGAAGCATAAGAATTATTCGCTTTTGATGTTTTTATGTGGCCACGAAGCGTATCTATGTATACGTATCGACGTCCTCCAAACAATAGCACTACGTGGTCTACGTCGCACAGAGTTATTTTTGAAAACGTCACAGGTTATTGTTTATCACAGCTTTTTTGTGATAATTTTTTGTTGAAGAAAACGCATGGTTGTGGATCCAATGTCAAGCAGAAGAAGTGGAGAATCTGTGACTTCGTAAAAGGACCAAGCGGCACTTTTCGAAACATATGAAACTAGGTAACGTAAGGTAGAAATAGAGGTAAGATGATTGACTTTGACCTGGAATGCAACAACTCCTTGCTAAGTAGTTGAGAGAAAGTGACGGTGACCCATACTCAGAGCTACAATTTCAATCACTCTGCCCCTGTCGCTTACCCAGTAGTTTCGAGTTTTCTTCGATTGATGTTGAATCAGCATACTCATACTATGTTAGTCTTAGTACGGCGCCAACATAGCATCTATTTTCTACTCATCAAAATCCTATCTATCATGGAAAGATAGGATATCCTTTCATTTCAACTACATGGACGACGACGCAACATGAACATGCATATTCGACCGCGATTAATGCAGATAATTCGTGCTTGAGAAACGCCAAGTTTATATGCTAAGGCATTTTTTGTTTCTAAACATAATTCACAGCATATCACCGGCATGCACATAGTCTATATTTTGTAGACCTTTCTGACTTGTGGTTGATACAGGTACTTATTGGTAATAATGCAAAATGAGAACCGGTAGGCTTTTTTTATCTACAACCCCTTTTTTTGAGAAACGCTTGACTTGTTTCCTGCAAATAGCAAACTAATGTGCCACGATGGTACGAAAAGATACCGACTCCCACCTAGTCGGGCAGCACATGCTGCCCCAAGACTTTCACTCTGTGTCTAACATTCTCGAGTCCATAAAAATCGCTTCGTCCAAGAGAGGAGGCGGAGCTGTCACTTGGTGTCACAGTGGGAGAGCATTCTCAACAAAGGTAGGGGGCAGCATAAAAGTTCTGCTGTATGAGGAATTGACGATGATGTGAGATCTCAAATGAATTGGAAAGACACGACGGGAGGATACCTCCAAATTGTATAGAAAAATGTCGAAAGTGCGCGCGCGTCGTTTGAATTCTACAAACTGCTATTCTGTAGTGTTCAATCATGTTGAAGTGACTAAAACTTGTGTTACTATCGCGGCAGCCGCCGACGCCTGGTCGTCGTGGATTGCCAGCATCGTGCTAGGTGGAGCGTCGTTCGCTTCAGCCCCGTTAGAGTGGAGGATGTCTTCACTTCGTCAGATGACCATGCAGCAACGTTAGTGTTCGAAGATGACGCGGGTTCATCACATTCACGAGCAGAAGTATCAAAAACCTTGGGAGAGAACAGAATTTCAGCTACTGGGCATGCACGTGCTTCCGCCACAGAGCAGGTTTCATTCATGGGGTACGCCCAGTTCCCGCCCTACTTCCCCGAACAAGTCGGCGATAACAGTGCGCACCACGACCAGCCAGGATCCTTCAAAAGCACGCATCCGTCTGCGGTCGTTTTCGTATCTCGACGAGAATCACAAGATGCTGGAATTCGCAGATGAATTTGGTCGGCAGCGTACCTTTTGAGGCACCAACGTGGTGGTCAAGGTGCCACCGTATCTGCCCTTCCCGCCTAAGCATTTTGACCGAGATATCTCCCTGGTGGACCGCGATTTTAACCTCATGAAAAGCTGGGTCTCAACATTCTGCGCCTCGGGGGAAAAAGTGGGTGGGCGCGGAGCCGCAGAGAGACCAGTATGACGACAGGTAAATTTTGAAGCGATTGATGGGGTATTAATCAGGGAGGCTTCTGAGGACTATGGCGTCTACACCTTGGCAGATATGCACCAAGATTGTTTCTCCGAATCCTATCGCGGAGAAGGTACACCAAACTGGGCTTCCACCACCGAACACCCGGACAGCTTTTATCCCTCGGATGTTGCTTGGCGCTGGCTTGATGGTTTCCCGCGTCCCGTCATAAAGGCGGCAGCTTTTAACGAGATGAGCACGTATCAGATGGTCTCGCGGATAAGTGGGGTCAGTTCTGGCAAAAGTTTACAGAAAGACCACACAAGGATAGAGGCCTCCACAAATCCACCTTGACCACAATCCAGAGTCCAAAGTAATTATCCACGCGCTTGTCGACATCAACGGCTGGGGGAAAGTTAAGCTATGACTCGCGACCATCTTGGTCCAGCTCTCGTTTGTGACGTAGAGGGAAGAACGGGAAACCAAGGTGTATGTGTATGCTGCTCAACAAAACGAATTCTTGTACTCTGCTAGGTCTAACAAAGGTGATGCAGCTGTGTTGGGAGTCGAGCTGATCAACGAGCCCTTCGCAGGGAATATCTACAGCAGCCCTTTGCGTGCAGTGCCACGCTTTACAGACGGTTGGAACTTGCAACCCGCGTACGACGTGGTCCTCGCCGCACACATCCGCGCCGTTGATCCAGAGGCATTGATCTTTTTCGCGGGTGTCACGTGGGCTGACGTGCACGATCATGCGGCTTACAGTGGCTTTTCTCACACTCCAGATGGTAATCAATTTCGCGACCGCTCTGTGCTCGCCCACCACTACTACGCACCACCGCAGGCCGCAAACTCAAGCACAAAATACTTATACGCAGCAGGAGTTCCCTATACTTACAACACTTAATCAGGACGAGCTTGTGGATCTATCGTATATCATGTAGTTGCTGTTGTAGTCACCAGCACGACGACGAATGATATGACCTCGACGATAAGAAGTACACGGTACATGCTTTGTGAAAAATGCTTTTGCAATTGTGTCGCGGACAGTTAATTTTACATATGGGTCATTGAATGGCAATGGAAAAATTGGAAAAACAAAGAATCATTTGACTACAGTATCTGTATCAAAGTGACATCGGAACTCGTGTAAAATATGTACTTAGATAAAATGTGGAGTGCGACTAGGACTTCTACATCTACATCGAAAACTGCGTACCTCAGCAGGAATAAGGCTCAAATCAAAGTTGAAAATGACGTGTGTAAGAAACAACGGCAAGATGAGCATGATGAAGGTGAAACTGAAAGAAAGAATAGTTTCTACCTCGGTTTCAGAACAAGATGGAAATGCTGATGGCTGCGCAACAGCCAAACAGCACGAATCAACTTTCAGGTAGAGCGACTCGGCAATTCTCCGATTTCGCGACCACAAGAAAGACGAGCTTGTAGTTGTACTTGTTCACACCACGGTGCGCCATAGGATCCACGATAAGACGAAACAGGAGGAAACTTAGATGCGATGACGACATCATACGACGCAGTGTCGACATCTTATTTCGGAGAAGGAGTCCCAGGAACAAATGTCAGACATGAGCGTATTATCGGACGAGAGCGAAGAAAGACGTGTGCCAACCGTACAGTCACGCTTTGCCACTCAAAAACGGGTTAAAGAATAGTTCAAAATCGATGTTGATTAATAAATTTGTACCATACCGAAGCGAACAAAGTGGCTGCATGATAAATGCTCATCGTTTCTCTCCAATTGTGATGATTTATCTATCTACCAAAATAGCATCGAACAATGCGACAGATTTAGTAGCGGGAGTAGCTCTTGTAGCTTTCTAGTGCTGGCAGCTAAGCGCCCGCCCGCTCTGCTTGAAAAATCTTTTAGTAAGTCGACAAGGAAATAAATATTACATCATCGATGGCACAACTAGGGGAGAAAAATAGTGAAACAAGGACGGGCATGAACATATGTACTAACAAGTTCTAAGCATGAGCATTAGAACTGTGGAGTAGGGAACAATGAACGTGAACAACAACATGGTTAGAAAGCGGCAGACGGGCGGACGAGATGCGGATAGCGCGGCTTTCGGTGGGACGCTTTCTGCAGCCTCATCTCCGATTTTGCAGAGTGGCTCCCTGGGCGGGCGGACAGAAACAGATGACACCTTCGATTGTGTTGGCCTATCTCGAGGAAATAGCTGCTCGGATGATCAGACGCACGTCGTCGACGGCAAATGCCTATCGTGTAGTAGAAGGGGTCGTGGAGATGATGACTGTAGGAAGCAGTCTAGTGCTTGTTCAGAAACACTTGGTCTATCTTCGGAAAACAACGTCGAGGACCTTTACGATCATGAAGACGTGTCCCCCGATCGTGTATCGAAGTCGCAAGCTGGCTGCTCTGCGCATGATCTTCATCATTCGGCGGCTGCTGCCAGCGAGCGGGAGGACTCAGTATCAAACGATGTTCCGACATTGCTCTTGTGGATTCTGAACGTCGTTCTAGCTCCACCGGACAAGTTTCTCCATGCTCTTGCTGGCTTAGTTGGAGTAGGATTCGTGCTGTTCTGCCTCATGGTAGTGATCATCTGGCCGCACTTTTTCGGTGTGGCAGAATATGTGCTGTCTTCGTTAGTTTTCGGAAACTCTTACAACATGATGGTGGGGTCGGCGTCCTCGACGTTGTCCTCTTCGGCTCTTGGGTCCTCCTCAATCTCGTCAATGTCTAGTGTACCTGCTGTCGTGTTCTGTTCCACGTACGTTCCCGACCCTGCTCTCGAAGGGGACAACTGCCGTCCGTGCCCAGCATTTGGCACCTGTCGTCGTGGGTCACTGGTGGAGTGCGAGGCGCCCTACCGCGCCACGACGACGCGGTCCGGCGCTGCCTGTGTGGAGGACGACACGGTAGTGCGAATCGCAGCAGCAATGGCTGTAGATTAAGACTAAGTAGTCAGTCACTATCTGGCGTGAGGTACCACTACTAACTATCCTGACTGGCGTGTTCCGTGGTTTATAGTGGAAACCCACTCAGCCCCGGAAGATAGTGATAGATTGACTAGTGTTAAGTAGAGTTGGACGCGGAACTTGCGCTCAGTCGCGGACTCAAGGATTGTGACCCAGAGGTCAACGACTTCTTTGCGCGCAGCGAAGCTCGCGACTTTCTTCGTCTGCGTATGGACGCACTAGCAGACCCGCTTGCGGACGAAGGATGGCGGCGCACCGGATTCGACGACGCAGCATTTGAGTACCTTTACACTGTGGAAGTGGAGAACGAAGAAAGGGGGAGTCTTGTCGGCCTTCACGGTCTTGGAGGTCATGATATTACAACATCTTCAACATCGGCTCGTGCTAAAGGTGTTGGACAAGATTTAAGTAGTAGAAAAACAGCTTCTACTTCATCTTCATCAACAGGTCTCCATAGTACGTCCAGGAAAACGAACGATGAAGACGGTGGAGGTGGGCCTCCACGTGGTAGTCAAGGAGGCACAAAAATTCCTACTTTCTCATCGTCGAAGAGTGTGTTCCCGCCGTCTCTGCGTCGCTCTGGATCCCTGTTCTTCTCAACGCGTAAAGAGCCAGTTCTTCGATGTGTTTTACGAAACTTCTTTTGGCAGTATGTGCCTCCCGTGCTGATTTGTGGATCGCTTTTTGCCGGAGTCTTCCTACTCCTCACGCACTACGCGCGTGAGAGACAAGTAAGACAGGTCGTTGTACAAGCAATCGAGCTGCACACCTGCGTGGAGCCACGCTTGCAGGGAATCTACGCCGAAGACTTAGTAGAATGGACTAACTTGCCGGAAAAAAGGGTGCTTCAGATACTGGAAGACATAACCAGTGGGGGTGTGAGCTGTCAAGAAGAGACTTCATCATCAACAACAGGTGCTGGCGGACATCGCCAGGGAAGCATAAAGCAATCCTCTTGCTCTACAACTCATGATAATACCATCAACAGAAAACAGCCCAGAAGATCCTCGCTGAGTGTCTTAGCGCAACGTGCGATGTCCGGTCTGGGGTGTGCTGCAGGCGGGGAAGCAGATGGAGCGCAACAGGGTGAAGAGTACAGCGTCAGGCGTTTCTATGAGGACCTTCTTGATGACGAGAACCAGGACGATCAGGGCTACCAGCAAGGTTCTACTGATCCTAATGACGTTGCTGGAAAAAGGGGAAATCATCCGCAGCAAGAAAGAAGAACTGACTGGGGCGTCCGGAGAGATCCATATCGCGGATTTTACTATTCACAATATGTAGTGGACACTGTAGCGCCATCGAAAGAAGACATTCGCACTGCAAAAAATGTCCAACTATGCTAAAGAACCAACGCGAGAAGTCTTTTGCGACTCTTTCTTGTCCTTGAAGTGTAGAAAGGTTCGATCTTGAAGCAAGTGCTTACTCAGTTAGAAGTTTGTGCCTCTATTTTACATGATTTACTCGGGAAACCCAGAGCCGGCTAGTAAGGTTAATAGCTTCTTCAGTCGTGACTCTTTCTATCTTTCAGTCACGCGAACAAGAACTACGAGAGCGGGAGCCAATGCCAATCCTTGGCAAGAATGAGCTTCCGAGTTTGTTTTCGCCAGTCTCCTGGTGTAGTATGGGTGAGAGTGTGTTGCCTTATTCGCAATCTTCGTCTTTCATTATGGTTTGGCATTCTCCTGAGCAGCCAGGTCATAAGAAAGTATAATTTCAAAGGTGTTCTGTACGGTAGTACACTAGGTCGGAGTCGGTACTTGATTTGTTGATTTATTATGTCTGTTCATTTTTGAGAGATTCGGCGCCGCGTTCTCTCTACCCCTATCGTTTTCAGTCGAAATTCAGCTGCGCCGGTTAGACAATTCTGTGGGCGTGACGTAAATCTATGAATTTGACAAACGACAATAAGCAGAAGATACGAAATACATGCGAGCGCCCAACTCTTGATGTGCGTAATGTCTTGAGTGACTAATAACCTTGCTGTTTGTCAGCAGAGTGCAAGGCTTCTGAGTGATGCCTTGCAGTTGTGATCGAGGTTCATCTTGCTGAGCTAATAACTGTTCTACTACCTTGGAAGGAAGTATCACTGCAAATTGCCTTGGATTCAGCGAGGAAATATAGCTGCAAACTCGGTCAACAAGAACGTCCGGCGATCTATTTCAGTGTTCAGCCAGAGTAAAATTTCAGCATCTTGCTGATCGGTATGTTGATCGGAAATAAGTGCAATAAATCAAATCGGTTAGACAGTGTTGATGTACACGACCAGGAGTCGTCAAGGTCAGGAAGAAGAAGAAGAGCTGGTAAATGTTGGCTACAGTTCGCTTCTGCTGCTGGGCCTGCTCTGGCTCGCATTGGATTCGAGTGTCCTACTGCTATCGATGGATGATGTGCGCGCTATGTCTGTACTTGTGCAACGTCTCTGTGCGAGGCGTGTCTTGACGGCTACCTACCATTTTCCAAGCCCCCATACTTACCTCCGAAATCTCTCCGACCTTGTCCTGAACTCGCTTTATACCCTACCTGTGTAGTGTAAGTAAGTCATAGCATCCGATTGCTATAGTATCATTGAAGATGCTTATGCTGATTCAATTTAGATTGATGATTACCTCCATTAGGTTAGCAGAAACATCTGTGTGTGTATGTTTAATATGTGTCCGGCTGTAGTTCGATCTATCATTTTTTTGTGAATTGAGTGCGTACCATAAACGCTTGAGACATGGCACACATGTGGAATAAGACCAGGAACCTGTAAAAATGATGAAAATGAATATTCAAAGACGAGCATCATCATAAAACTACAAAGAAGATAATCGAAAATGCTACGATTACATTGACACTTTTCCGTGATCCCAAAACTAGGATAATTAGGGTAGATTCAAGATTTAGGTATCAGAAAGTGCTTTCCTTCATCAAGTTTTTGGCCTGATTTGTTCTTCGTGTTCGTCCTTCCGGTAGACTTCATACACATAAGCAGCCCAGTAATAAACAATTCCCACTCGTGGAAAAAACTACTTCCTTCGATTTCATCGACACTTTGGCTACAACAATCATCATGAAAATGATGGGGCTCGTCGGTGCACTATTTTTTGTGCTTTCCCTCACGGATTGCCTTCTGGGCGTCGCTTTATTCAACACCGTGCTGGCGCAAATCTTGGAAGGCCTCGTGGTCTTCGCCTTGGAGCAGGATAATCATGCGAAGAAGAGCTCGTATCTTCGAGGTGGATACGCGACCACGGCAGGGGGGGCGGATCACGGTTCTTTATGTGTGGTTTTTGTCATTAATGAAATATCAAAACTTCTTAGAAATGACAAGTAATTCTATACCGTAAGCAAAGTCCTCGAGTAGATTCACGACGTCTATTTTTGCCGTTATGTTGTGAATTATCATGATCATGATGCTGCTCGCACTTCTTAGCTAGAACCTTACGAAGGCAGGCCCTCTATGAAATCGCCACGACATTTGGCCGCCGATTGCTCCCTAAGTCGGCGAGCTGTGGGAGCTGTGGCGGATCTTGTTGCAAGTCTCAGCCCTATTGTGACAGGCCTCGGGCCTACTGTGACGGGCCTCAGTTTTACGGTGACGGGCCTCGGCGTTATAGTGACAAGCCTCGGCCCCACTGTGATGGGCCTCGGCCTTGCTGTGGCGGGTGTCGGTCTTGCGTTACTGTGAAGGGCCTGGGCCTTACTGCGACGGGCCTCAGGATGGTTCCCGGTCTTACCGTGCTGGGCCTCCGCCTCACTGTGACGGGCCTCGGACTTACTGTGATGGGCATCGGCTTTACTTGGAATTGGAGGGCAGGCGTCCCCAAAAGTGGCCCTAAGTAAGGCGCGAGTGCCCTTCTCGTTGGCGGCTCGAGAAGGGCGTTTGTGCTTGGAGGCATTCTAGTGGCATTAGGATTCAAACAGCCCGAGAAACTAGGGGGGCGCCGCCTGTTTCTCAGTTGCTTCTCGAGCTGTTCGAATCTTGATAATACTAGAATCGCAATGCCCGCCGGCAAAAACGTCAACAAGGTGGCGCAGGCGCTCTTCCCGAGCCGCCAACGAAGAAGGCGCCCGCGCCTTGGGCCGTTTTTGGGGGCGCCTAGCTTCCCGTTCCGAGTGAGACTGTGAGGCCCGTCACAGTAAGAGTAAGGCGGAGGCCCGTCGCAGTAAGGACGGGGCCTGCTGCAGCAAGGCTGAGGCCCGTCACGGTAAGACCGAGGCTCGTCACAGTACGGCTGAGACTTGTCACAGGAACAAGACTGAGGTGACAGCTTAGAAGTGATAAAGTGCGGGGAGCTCTTGCTTTCGTAGCTCTTTGGCCTCGCTAGCTTTTTCTTAGCTCTTTGGCCTCAGTAGGAGCGAGGGTATCCGATGGTGTTACACTTACAGCTTGCTAGTACATACGTACAAGATGGCGCGCAGGGAAGTATTTGCTGTTTTTTCATCACGAGAGACTCTCCATCAATGATGACTAAAACAAAAGCTAGAGGAGACCTCTAGCAAACAGGCCATGGACAGGAGTAAAACTGTGAATTTGCAGAAACATATCACGCATAACGGTTGCTAGCTGTGGGATGGCTTCAACAGTATTACTAGACTCTAACTCTGCATGATCGCGCCGAGGGTGTGCGTTTTCTGAAGCAAAACGAGACTGCGATGGCGGTGGAGTTCGATAATATCGAAGAAAGTGGTTTTCTGCAAGAGAAGCGGGTAACTGGAGAAAGAACAAAAGCCAGCTTGACGCTGCGTAACGGAGAAAAGAAAGAAGTCGAGTATATCTACGACGACAAAGCGTGTAACGAGATTTATGCTGAATGGTATTGAATATTACTCCAAGCGATCCTTTTTGCATAGCTAGGCTGTTCAGCGGCAACACCGTTTCAAGTGATTCATTCCCGATGACTTCTATGTCTATCCTTCAACAGTATCCAAGGGATACCCTTGCAGGACACTTCACGGGGATGAGCGGTGCATTGCTTTAAAAATCCCTATCGGACAACGCATGTCACTCAAAGAGCAAGGGGACGAAGTGCCGCAGCGGCATGCGGGGGATATTTGGCTTTCAGACGTGCGAAGGTGAGCTTGTCTGGACGCTGAACAATGTGGGTGTCGAAAGCTGGAGAACTGAGGCTTTGGGAAAGCTGAGTAAGTGGTTCCAAGATGAACGACAGACACTCCGTTTAGATCGTATTTGTAGGTGTTCTCGGTAGAGTGCTAGTCGGTAACTAATGGCTGCTTGGTATAAGAAAGGTCACGGCTTCACCTGTTAAATCTTGGCTAAATTGAGGTCGTCCGATCGATCGTCTTTAGCGCTTTCAGCGCTATGGGTTTTCGTGGCAAATTAATAGACATCTAAAGGAACTTTAGATGCTGTTCATTTTTGGGTGGAATAATGGAACTGAAGCGTATTGGTTGGCAATAGCAGGCTTTTTTTATATTTAAGTGGGCCCGGAGTAAAAAGGCCCCAAAGCTCCTTAGTTTAGTAAGCCTATGCGCCTTTTGTTGTAACTTATTGTCTTGCACTTTTGTTCTACAAGGAGCTGCCTCCTGTTTTTTATAAGGCCGTTGCCTTATTGTTGACGGCTTCTTGTGAAGCCTGTTTGAAAGTGGGGTGGTCACAGCCTTTGCAGGCTTGTTGATGTACGCCCATGCTATCTTCATTTTGAGTTCTTGTTCGTTTGATTTGTGTGTTTGTCACACAGTTACCTCTTTTCCTTGGTTCCCGTTGGTTTCCAGATTCCTTTTGTTTGCTGGTCAGCGTGGCGTCGTTGGTCCTTCCGAGTCTTCGAGTTTCTCGTCGGGCTGTGCCAGCATGGAGTGTTTCGACGGCCACATGTCCATGCCTGTGTTCTTTAGTGTACATTCGCGGTTCTCAGTCATTGATCTCGTTCATACTTTCGCACTTCTGAGACTCAGGCTTCGCGCGGCTAGCTCGGGCGACACTCGCAACAGATCACTTCGTCGCGCTTTATTTCATAACTCTCACCCACCTTTACACTTTTACAATAAAAAACGAAGTAACCATGTTCGAGCCTTTATGGCGTGGCGTGCTATAAGTTTACGCAGTACTACTTGAGGAAAGCTCGACGACGGAGCACCCACCTCGAAAGATCACACTAATCAGGTCGCTTCCCACTGGAGACCCAAACGCGGGCGGGCTCCTCTCGTCTCAAGTATGCTGATCCCCCCACGACTTCAAGAAAAGTAAGCGAGATCCCTCAGCGCAGGACAGGAGCGAAAGTTCTCGAAATGTGCACCCAGAGAGATCCACGATCATCAAAGTCCAGGCGGATTCACAGCCTGAAAATAATAAACAAAGCTGAAGCCTTTCGGCCGGGAGGCTTCCTCTCAGGTCTTTGCTGATCATCTTGGTCGCGTTCTCTCTTTCAGATTGTGTCGCCAGTCTTTGCACCCTAGCAAATTCCTGACATTGCAGGCCCTGCGACCATCCAACACGTTCAGCTACATCATGCTGAAGACGGTGGCCCCTTGGCTCCGGGACACCGCGCCCGAGGGCGGCCCCGTCTGCCCCGGTGCCCGCGCTCTGACTGTGGGTCAAGCTCAAGCATGTATGCTGCAGCGAAATACCCGGCGGCGCTGACGTTGCCGACGTAATCGGAGGCGCCCCCCGTCGTAAAGCGTTCGGCGCTGCTCTTTTCGAAGTGAATGAAGTCGGCGCTGTGCTGCAGCTCAGCGGTAAAGAAAAGGCGATCGCGGTCCTGGGGGTCATCGCTTTGCCGTCCTTTCAGGATGAACGTGGCGCGCGCGAAAGAGAGCTGCAACGACCTCAAGGAGGTGAAGGCCAAAGGCGTCGCTTTTTCAGCCTTGCAGCTGATCCAAGTGGCGCAACGTAACAAGGAAAAGGAAGAGGAGCGCGGGCACCGCAATGATTTGACGCGCATCGCGATGGCGGCTTCCGCTTCGTCTCACTCTCATGGTTAAGCAGCTGAAGAAAGTCGCGCAGCTCGGTCCGCGTTCTGCTGGTCCTTGGAATCTGAACCGTGTCAGATAAGACTAAGAGCAGCGTGACCCCTTCACAGAACCGAGCGAACCTCGTGCGCCTTCAGATGGGGCGGGGCTTCTCCTTCCATTTCGCGGATTTCATTTGAAGGCAAGCCCTTGGCACCCTACGCGGGGCGGCTGGGGTATTAGGCTCGGCTTATGAGAATGAGAACGAGCGCAAGACCAACGACAGAACCCGCGGAGGCTCTGGCAGCTCTGGGATTGGTATAGGCGCCCGACGCTCCGCGAAGCAACTGCTGGCAAAGGCAACTGCAAAGAGCAAGGGCGCGGGGCCTCCGCTTTCGCAGTGTTTGCCTTTTCACGGCGGGGCGCCAATCGCTTGGGCTGTAGCCAGTGAGGGCCGGCCCAGCAATCGAAAACCAGGTCGCTGCAGTCAATCTCGCACCTGTACACTCCTGCGATTGTTTTGTAGAAAGGCGCCGCCAACCACTTCGGGCCCCGCGCTGTCACGGCTATCGACGCCAAGACCCGCCAGGAGAGGCTTGGAGAACGCTGCCAGGGTGGCTCTGATATCATGGGCAAAGAATGTTCGCGACTTCTGTGGTGACGAAGGAACGACTTCCGCGTCCGCGAGTGTCTCAGGCCTCTGCAACATGAGGGAAGGCTGTCGCCGCGGCAAAGGAAGCTAAAGCAGCAGACGAGGAAGCCAGGCGCCGCAAAGCTGCAGCTCAATAAAGCTCCAGACGCGGGAGGTCGCCGATGGAGAGGAAATGCCAACGAACCCCCCGGAGCAGCCATGCCCGGGAGCTTCGAGAGCGGTCAGAGTCAGACAAGCAGTCACCCCTAAGGGGAAGCCGGTTGGCCGCAGAGAAAGGTGGGGGCGCTCTATGTGGGCTCTATCTGCAGAAAACTAACAACGGAGGACACTTCTCCAGCGAAGTGAACAAGCAAGGAGAGCAAGAGCGAGGGCAGCACTGCCGAACGCCTTCAGACAGTCGCCCCCCTCTCGTCGCGCCAGAATTAGCCACGCCACCCTGAGAGGGCGAGAGGGATGCAACTGGTGGCGAGACAGCTCGCTTCTCTCAGGCAGACACCCCCCCCCCAGGCCAGCACTTGGGTTGCTGGGTTTTGGTTAAAAGATAAAGTAAGGGTCGGCTTCCTGGGACCGCGGGCCGCTTGTCTTGAACTTTTGCCTCCCCGCTTAACTTCGGCGCCTTGCGCGCCTCTGTTTTTCGTGCCGTGTTCGTTGCGCTTGCGGGGACATTTGCGAGCGACTGAGTGCGGCCAAGGGCCGGTGGGAGGATTTGGCCACAGTCAGATCTCAATCTTGCAGCGGATTGAAAAAAAAAACGACCGGAAAAGTCTGGGGGCTTTTGCGTCTCTTTTTTTCAGCTTGCTTCGCTTCGATGCTTTTTGGGTGACTCGGGGCCCAAATCGTAGGGGCCTCGGGCGGCTTCTTGGAGGGAGTGCTGGTGGGTGTGCCTAGTGTCACCGAAGGGGGGCGGCGGTTTTCGGGTATGGTGCTTCGGGTCTTTGGGCGCCCCCGTGTCGCGTTTCAGTGGGCGGGGCTTGCTTGTGTCTGCCTTCCATGATTTGGTCGCCTTGCTTTGGTCCACGCGCAGGGGCGGGGGGTATTTGGTGGCGCTCGTTCTTCGTATGGTGCCCGCACTAACTGGTGACTGCAAAGGCCGCCCGCCTATGAAATCGCCGCGGGCTTTGTCACTCGGTTCTTCTGGAAATTGGAAAGCTGTGGAAGCTGTGGCGCCTCCTGTGACTGGCCTCAGACTCCTTGCGACTAGTTGTCGGCGTCTCAGTCTTTTCGTGACTACTCGCAGGCTTTTTTACTCTGACTGGCTTCAGGCTTCTTGAGGGCGCTAAGATTCGAACAGCCTGACGGACAAAGAAACTCAGCCAGAGGCTAGCCACAGTAAGCGCGAGACTAGTCCTGTCACAGTGGGCGCGAGGCTAGTCGCAGTGAGTCTGAGGCTAGTCGCAGCAGGTCAGAGACTCCTCGCGCCTCCCTTCACAGTGGGCGTGAGACTAGTTCTTGCAGCAATTCTGAGGCTAATCGTAGTAAGATCGAAGATAGTCGGAGTACGTAGGTCTTTGACCTCGCTGGGGTGAATGGGAGAAGTCGCTGGGATGCTGTGTGGAAGTTTCCTTTTCTGAAGAGTGCGCAACACGCTTGGCATTCTGGTTCTGACGCACCCGAGTGGGTGTCTCGGCTGGAACTTTAGGCACTTGGAGTAGCCAAATTGGAAGGAAGCTCTCCTTTCGCCAGCACTCAAAGCAGATAGGTTCCAAACTCCAATCCTGACCCAGACAGCACTCTCTCAGTTGGCAACTTGTGCCCGCTCTTCCCATCGCGTTCCACTTGGTCTGGCGGATGCGCAGAGCCCAATGAGCTCGAAAGCTGGCTCGTCTTGATGTTCGAAAGGCAGCACGAGCTACAAAATGGAGAATCCGTCGACCATCTGTCGGCCCCTTTATTTTGTCTTCGCGAAGAAGCTTGCTAGCTCCTCGAGGCGCTGCTTCTTCATCGGCGTCTCTCTCTTTCCCTGCTGTGTGTCGGGTTGCAAAGCTTGCGCCCTTCATTCTCAGAGCTTCCAGGCCTTTCAGTCGGAAGCGCTGTTGTTTGGGGCCCATCTGCAAGAGTGTTGGGGCAAGAGCGGAGAGAGGGACTTTCGTCCGGGTGTTGTTTGGGGTTCTGCCAGGCGTCCCACTTTCTCTTTCCCAAACAACACCCGGACAAAGTTGTCGGCTGTCTGAGGAACATGATCGGTTTTCACCTTCGCTTGGGTGCCGCGCATCCTACACGCGGCGTTGCCGTTCTATGGTAACGATTTGCTTTCGCATTCGCCTTCACATTCGTATTCACATTCTCACGCGCACACATTCCCTTTCTCTATTCTCTTTCTCTTTCACCCTCCATTCCCGCCTTGCTTCAGCTGCTGCCTCAAACTCGGGGTGGGCCTGTTGCGGGGGCGCCGAACTTCATCTCGGCACAGCTTCGTTTTCACATTTCGCTTCTCTTCACGTTTCGCTCATGTTCCTTTTTCGTGTCCCGTTCTCCGTCTACGCTCGCGTCTTCATTGTGGTCCCTTTGCAATTCTCACGATCTTTTATTCCATCGTGCTTAGGTTGATCCTCAGTATGCAACGAAGTGCGTAGGCTGGTGTGGAGTACTGGCGACCGCAGGCAAAGTAACGCCCTCTCGAATCGTGTTCCTTCATTATACTGCGCGGCCAAATCTATCATGTGCTACCTTAAAAATAACAAAGATGAGTATTAATGTTTTTGATTGTCACATAATTAAAATCTGAGAGCAGATGATCGCCCAACATTCTTTCACAAAGCATCTCATGTTCCATATCGTTCATTTATCTCCTACATATTCGACGTAACAATTCCACTCCTAAATTTTGATTTGAATGCATGAAAGTTAATTATCGCATCTCAACGAGAACACAACAATGAACAAACTAAAGGACAGTCTAACAATAATATCATCAAACTAGTAAACTCACAGTAGCTGAAGACATACAGGCACACCAAAACATACGACGTAAATACATTCAGCATTCCACGAAAGCGAAAGAGTTCGTTATATCTTCATGTGTACTTAATCTTAAATAGAAAAGCGACGAAATTAAAGACATTCGTTATACAAAAAAGGAGGCAAGAACGAAGTCAGGAGCACAGCCACACCTCGATGGGTTTTTTGACTTGATTAATTGGTATGAGGTCGTAACACTCGAACCGATCATGTCGTGATGCTGATGAGACTGGGTGTCCTAATATTAAATTATTGTTTTAATTCACTTGAGGTGGTGTAGTGTATGAAACTATCGCAGAGAAGTCGGCGCAAAAACCACTTCCCTATAGTTTGTGACCATACCTAATCCATGAAGACAAGAATCACATAGGAGATGCGTGTGCTTTTTGATGTGCCAGACGCCTTGAGCAAATAATCAATTTTTGAATAGTATCTCTCCTCTTTGAATAGTATGAAGGTGGGCTGTCTAGTCACACGAGGAGGTGGATCAGTGTCGCACCGCGATCGCTGGCGATCCTTTTTGAGCTAGCTTTCTTGGCATTTAAAGTAGTAGGCCAGATTGATGAGTAAGACGAGGCTCCTATAATATTCAGAAGAAGTAGAACAAGTAGGCCTCTCCTTCCATTTGTGGGCTATCCTGGGAAGGAGGTGGCGAGCCGTCTTGATCATCAATGACACGCAGATGCGTGCGGGGAGGCCCTCTTCCTCAATCTGTTCATGGAGGACCCCCTAGTCGCATAAATCATATACGTAAGCCACAGGTCTAATTGCTGACCTGGTGCTGATCATAGGTCACGCTAGCTTGGCAAGATCAGCCGGCTAGGTGGGCGCATGTGCGCGCGTTTCTCACGCCAAGTAAGACCAATGCAAAACGCATGATCATACATTTCTTGACTTTCGTTCCTTGTTGCCATGATCGATGTCTTGCGCAAATAATAACCTTGCTGTTTGTCAGCACAGACACTGGAAGGTGTCTGAGTGATGCCGTGCAGTTGTGATCAAGGTAGGTTCATCTTGCTGAGCTAATAACTGTTCTACGTTGTCGCAGTTACGTAAGTCAAGAATGTGAAGTAGCGTTCTTTCGGTGCTGCTCTCGGTGATTCAAGAAACGAAAATGAAAACCCAGAATTCCAATCGTTCCTCAGAAGTCTGTGCACGTTGTGCCTCTTTGATGTCTGCTTGAAGGCGAGCGAGTGTGGCTGGCAGCGCAGCTCCTATTCTTAATAGGGATGCTGATATTCACAGAATGAGCCGAAAGGGGAGGGAAGACTGATTAGATTGCCTTCGCGAGTGATATGCATGACGCAATCTGAACAACAATATAGGAGATTGTCTTTGAGCGTCTGCAGTACCCTCCGATCGGTGCTTTCATTTTCACTCAAGTGTAATACAACAATTACAACACGACACGACAGATTCATTTATCATGATGAAGATCTCCTTGTATTCATTCATCAACTGTAGTCACGGCCTTCCAAAATACCACGCTGGTGTCCTATTTGTGGCCTAAATATAAATATAAAAATGATGAAAATGGCAATGGCGAGCTCCTGCTGGGGTACGTTGCTTCTGGTTCTGTCGACATCCAGTTCTTGCAGTTCTTTCATCTTATTTTTTTCAAGATTTGCAGACGCAGTAATCAAGCCAGGTGACACCAATGCTCGCTGGTATGCCGATTTCTCGCTGCAACTGAACCTAACTGAAGTGACAAATTTGCTGGAATCTGAGGACGCTGCAGCACTACAAGAACCTTCTGTCGTGGATCTAGGATCGTCTTCAGCAGTTCGGTCATTAATTTCTCGAGAAATCGCACCGCTCGCAATTACTAAAAAGGTTAAGGCTACCTGTAAAAATTCATCTCTATGCATAGGAGTCGATCCACCTTCACGAGCTGGTGTACGCGATTGATATTCGCCTTGATGCATATTCGATACGGATAATTTGAATGGGTTGGTCGTCTAAGAAGAGCTTGTTGCAAGTGCATGCTGCCGTGTTTCAGGAGGATGTGCGGGAGTATTGGACGGGCCAGGGATCAGGTGTGGGCTGTCTTCCTTTGGCACTCTTTCTCTCCTCCTCTCCCTTGGCGCTGCAGCAGCAACTGCTACAAGAGTGCCCCATGCTGATGGCCGCAGCGTATTTGCTCAGTGCTGAAGTTCTCGCGTACACCCACGACGACCTTGGCATAGCCGCGCACAAGTACGAGGTCGCGCGTTACCTGGGAGGAGAAAATCCGGACCACACAGCGGCCTGGGCCTTCCCCTTTGGTTTGCGGCGCTTTGAGGCGGCCGCAAGGTTGAAGCGCAAGTCTGCAAAAGTGGATGTCGTAATTTCGCATTGCCGAGAAGATCTCCTAGAATGGTTGCCGACACAGTTCGCGCCGCTCTTCGACCCGTCCTCCGATCTGCCACCACAATATGTGACGCGATTCCGAATATTTGTCTACCACAAGTGTGGGCCGCTGCCAGTCGAACAAGAGACTGCGCTTTTCAACAAAATGGGACTCAAAGTTGACTCGGCTAGCGAAGTGAGAAAGATGCGGGACAGCGACGCAGCAAAGCTCGAAGCGATTCAGAAGGAGTATCAGAAAGAGTCTTCTTCTCCCTCGAAAACGGCAGAACACCGAGATGATCCTAAAAGATCTAAAACAAAACATCAACCTGGTCCTCCAACACATTTGCCTCCGCGGGTCGTGAAACTTTCTGCCGCTGGCGCACATCTTGAAGTGGAATTTTTCTTTCAGGAGTTGCGGAATTATGCCATGGAGAGCCTCGGATATGCGACGCACTTAGCCGTATACGATGATCACAGTTCTGACGTGCTTTTTTTCCTGCAGGGCGAACCGATGCACCATCAGGTTCCGCAGTTGCTGCAAGCTGCGGTATCCATGGTTCAAGCTGGCACGTTTTTGTCCTCTGGAATTGGGTTCCTGCATCTGAATCAGAGACGCTTTCTTGGAAGTTCTCATGAATGCGTATACGAACTCCTAGAGAAGATGGGTTTTGGCGAGGTGCAAACCTTTGCAGGCTACTGCTGTTCGCAGTTTGTTGTCGCACGAGAGAACGTACTGGCACCCGAAGACAGTAGAAAGGAAGTAGATGAAGATGACAACCATGATTCAGTCAACAACAGCAACAACAACATGATAGGTACTTCTAGTACAACTAGTGCTTCGAAGAAGGACCAGAAGAGTGCCTACTCTTCCGTACTAGGTGACATCGTGCGGAATGTTGCATCGGCTGAAGCGCAGGAAACGCGAGTCGATGTCTACGCCTTACAGAGGTTGGAGGAAGCAGCGACGCATGGTGGACCGCAGGACAAGGTGATCACGAGTCTTCAGAATGCAACAAGAAGTACTAGCACACAGCAAAACGCGTATGGCTATAGACAGGCAAGAAAACTTCTGAACCAAGAGATCCGCATAAAATGCAGCCAAGATACTGCGCACGACGCCCGACCCGGAATTCATACTTCGGCACTGTACTTATGGATGATGGGAGGTAGTGCTTGTTGTTGTTCATCATGTCGTTAAGTGGGGTAGAAATACAAATATTCCAGGTTATGGGATCATCCTCTTAAGTGAACCCTCTAAGAAGGAAAATCTAACAGGGAGAAATGCATCAAATCAACTAACCCAACGACCATAGTTGATGATGAGGCACTATATCACACTACCCAACGACCATAGTTGATGATGAGGCACTACCTCTAATGTACGAACACATGTGGCAAGTCCTGTTCAAGCGCGAAGGTATTCTTCCGATGCGTAAGAACGACTTTACCCTTCCTTTTTTTATGCGGAACGAAGGCGAGGACTCGGTATTTGGAAATTTCGTGCTGGAGAGCATTGCAAGAAAAAGCTTCACCAAAAGCATGTTTGCATAATTGTACAAGATACTGAAGATCTTGACTATAATCACCACATCCGCAACAAAATTAGTGATTAGAAAAATTATTGTGGTTCTTGTTGACGACGCTGTGACTGCCTGAGAGATCTGAGCCATAGCTTTGGGATAGGACAAAGACATCCGCTCGTCGTGATTTGCTGATTTTTTTCGCGCCGCTAGGTGGCTAGTATTATCTTCTATCAAGAAAATCTTCAACGCATAGCAAATATACCTATAGCTGCTACAACTCGCTCTCATCATTGTGGATGCCACAGGCTGCTGTGAGTACGTTCGTACGTTTCATCAACCAAGAGAAAGAGTTGTTCCCTACAAAGACCACTAACAAGAACGAAGATATGATCTGGGCAATGACATGATGTTCATCTGGTTCATCAAGAAGATCATCATGGAGTCTCGCTCTACGCATGAGGTCTACCTGGATCATACTTCAGAGACTGCACTCAGTTGTATGAAACAAGATCAGGAGACGTATTTCGAAACAAAAGTGGCGGATCCGGATGTTGGGTATCTATCTTTATCTCTACATCCTACTTAACAGGTGGTCGAACAACAATTAGTACGCACAGGCGGCCGCGGTTGTGGTCATTTCTAGGACGCGGGCGAGGGAAGACGTCTACAAAAACTTTTTGACGTCGGGATTTGACTAGTTTCACAATGTACTTGTTTGATTGGACACAAAGTTTCAGTCTTCTATGGCGAAGATCCTAATTAGCTATGAGATAGGTAGGCACATTATTGAGTTTGAGTGTGTCCTTGTGGTATATGTAAGTCAGACCTCGCCCATCTTGTTCAGCAGGGTACTTACTTCTAGTATCAGAACAAGAAACAAAAATGTCGCTTCCGTCAGCCGCTTCTGTGCGATTGGCACTCAAGTCCCTCAAGAAGTTTCATAATGGGCAAACGGGTCGGGGTCGAGACCGAAAAAGATGCTTGACCGACGTTGCGGTTTCTGACATCAAGATCCAAGCGAGCAAAGCTGATGAAAAGACGGAAAACACTAATCGTAATAAAGCCGCAGAAGATAAAGATCATGCTGAAGCTGATACAGAGGAGCACGAGGAGGTAATAAGAATATGTAGGCGCAGCAGCAGTAGAGCTAGAGAGGACTCGTTGGTGGACGTCGATTGCACGATGGACGAGGTGCTGGATGTCGAAGTAGAGTCAAAAGAAGAAACCAGTATTGCCAGTAACGCTAGAGCTAGACGAGTAGAGCACGAAGGTGAAGACTTGCCCTTGCGAAGGAATCGGCTAGCATCCGACTCGTGTGACGAAACTCGTGACCAGTCTTCAGCAGCAAATGAAACGTCTTTATCGCCTTCGGCAACAAGAAAAATCCGAGCCCGACCTCCCCCGTTGCCACTGCAGGAACAGCGAATGATCGAGTTTCCTCGGGAGTTCTCAAACCGCTTTGCATCGGCACTGAGGCGAATGATGCGCTTGGGACCAGACGACTCTTTGGAACGGTGGCACGACACGATTGAAAACTTCGACCCTTCGAGAAGCGTGCGTGGAGCCAAGCGCGACTTGGGCTTTCTTTTGCGCCAAGCCGAACGACGGGGAGGTACTCGAACGAGAACTGAAGAAGAACGGGAGGAAGAGAAAATTCCTGAGCAGGGACACGATGTTGCTGTTTCTGGAGGACACGGACAGCACGTTTGTGGTGGAAATGTTGCCGGGCTGAGCAGTCCAGCTTCGACGGCATCTACAGCGGCAGGGGAAGTGGATGCAGAGTCGTGTGAATCCTTTCAGGATGTGTACCACGATTTCCTGAGAAAAGTTATCTTTCCGCATTTGCGTGCTGAGTGGAGACAAGGTGAGGAAGAAGACAAAGGTTCTTTGTTCGAGCCCAACAGGCCTACCTCTTCTACATCATGCGGTTCTTCGCTAGGTTATTTGCTGGAGGGGGCATCCACCTGTTCCCAGATGTTGAACGCCGAGTGTTCCGCTAGTACAACATCATCGTCATCCGCGTCCTCTGCTTCATTCTTTGTGCAAACTTCGCCGTGTATTCGACTGCAGCCGCCCTCAACGCAGCGTCTCACCCTCCCGCACACCGACGCTATGTACGGACACCAGCCTGGGCAGATCAACTTTTGGCTGCCCTTGAACGAAACCGACGGCGCGGTTTGCGGCTCCAATTCCCTGTATGCCGAAACATTTCCGGGACGCAAAGACTTCCGCAGTTTCGACCTCAACCGTGGACAAGCGATGCGGTTCTACGGTAACCAGTGTTTGCACTTCACAGAGCCAAATAAAACGCAGTTTACGAGGGTCAGTCTCGATTTCCGGGTAGTGCCAGGATGGTGCTTTGAACTAGACTGGTGGGGCGGCTGCGACCCAAAGGGTAGACCAAAATTCCGTGTGGGAGACGGAGAGTACTACACAGAACTAAAACTACTCGAATCATCAACATCATAGAAGAACAATTACAGTAAATAGGTGCTTGTATACTCAAGACCCACAAATAAAACGTGAAGAGTGACTGGAATCAAATTCCTCCGATCCCATTTTTATGACGCTGCTGCGACCCAACATCTCCATATTCCCTTCGACATGCTAGACATTTACGAAGTTCGGAAATGACGTTTGTTCCATTCCTCTCGAACCTAAGTACATCAACGTTCTCGTGTTCTTGGCTTAGTTCTCGATCTTGCGCGTTGCAGGATGTCTCAAAATAAATGGCATCTTACTTTGGAAAGGCCGTCGTGGTCAGCCAGTCAGATATAGCGAATCAGTGCTTTCGTACCCCTCAGCAGGGGTAACCTTCAGTCATTTGACCTTGCTTTACTGGCAATATGGCGACATGTAAGCAGATACAAAAATAGCACGACAAGCCAACGATACTCGACAGGTTCCAGGTCGCTTGATGAGTGAAGAGAGAGAGTGAAGCAAGTACCAACGGAGGACGAACTCCGTTGTAACGTTTCGGTAATATTAAACGAGCAAGAGCTATAGGTACAGCAAATTACTTACAAAAAAGCAAACGCGAGGAAGATGAGAGCCGCAAATAAGAAATCATCAAGTGCAATTTTTCCGTACCGTACTATATTTACTTTCATATCCAGCAAAGCGATTATACTTACCTTATCAGATGGAGGAGTGGAGCCTGGTTTGAAGGTCAACTCGTAGTGGGTGCACGACAAGCACAAGAAGTCTTGTCGTGATGATCGCACGGCGACGCTGTATGAAGGCGTAGGCGATATCAAATAAATTAGAATTTGTGTAGTTCTTAAAAATCTCACTCGGTAGATATAGATCGAGATGTAGAAGTCGCACCAGTTGATACATCGAGGAACATGCAGCCACATTCGCGCATCACGCGTCGGAGACCCTCAGGGGTCGAGAGTCTCTCAGTAGACTACGCATCCCTAGCGCATCCTAGTAGGAAGACTTCTTCGTCGTCAACTGCATCTTCAGTTGCAGCTGCCACGGCAGAGTTGTCCAGCCGGAGCAGAAAAGCGTCCTACAGCAGCGGCAGCGGGGATGCCTCGCATGGCGTCTCAGCCACTAGTGCGTCATCGCGCGACGAAAGAAGCGAGAAGAGCCGCACTAAATCGAAGTCGCGCACTACGACCGAAGGCAGAAAAGTAAAGGCGCGAAGTCGTACGTCGTCATCAAATGCGGTTCTGCTTGTATGGTTTGGGTCGTATTAAGCAGGACACCACATGCTGAATCTGAATATTTCAACGAGCTAGGTGTACAACTAGCCGTGGAATATTACTTGAATGTTGATGAACCTTTGACGACGTCGAGCAAGAACTTGGCTTATTACCTTGATGATGAAAAATGACTATATATATCATGAGATTTCTAATTGCAGACGACTTCTTACCAGGACCGGACTGGTGGAATCCAGTCGAGGACCTGCATAGTCGTGATATGCTGTCGGAAATGCAGTTGAAGCACCTTGAGTGGCAGCGCCTCCGGGATGCTGGGGCTCCAACAAGAGCCACGGATAGGAATATTAAGGACTACAACATCTCAGCAACTACGACAACTTCGAAGCGAAAAACGTCAAAAAAACGGGCGGTGGCCACAACATCAGACGTCCAGGCTTCTTCTTCCACCCTCTCTGGAGGTCCTTCGACTTTTTCAACTACTACTGCGTTTTTGTCGACCTCTTCAAGTCGAGACGATTTTGATCTTGAAATAGAGCAAAACAATGCCTCCTCGACTCATTACATGAAGGACGATTCAGTACGCGAATATCTGAGTAGGAATACAACGAGCACTGGAGGAGGTGGATCTACTTCCGTGCATAATTATGGTGGAGAAGTCACGAATACCAAGAGCATGATGAACAACATCATCAAGCCAGAGTCACAAGATCTTGAAGAACGAGCGCGACGTTTTCCTCAACGAGGTGGCGCAGCGGTGATGCAACAAGATCTCGAGCAGCAGCTAGAGGTAGGAGTATTGCCATCTTCATCTTCCTCAGGGCCGCGTGGATTTGGAAGGCTGCAGCCAGACGGTGGCCACGCTCTTTTTTAAGGCTACCGCTGAAGCATCCTCAGCACTACCCTTAGCCTCCTTTTCAAGGGCAAAAAGGGCTCAAGGATGGGGTCAGGGATGCGACGCGGTAGCTCCAACTTTTAGAAAGATGGCGAAGTATTCCAGCAGACGCTGTGGGAGTTCATCTCCAATCGTCGAGCAGCACACGAGGATCGCATCATCGAGACACGACGAGTGGGGGAGTGAATTTCCAGTCCCACGCACATGGCGCGAAGGCAGCGTTTCTAGCTCAACGGCAGTCGCAATTGAAATCCCTCTACAACTCTCTCAGTGGAGGAGGTAGCTCCTCAGGAGCATCTACGAATTTTGGAGCAGGAGGTAATAACACGCATTCGCAAGGGTTTGGCGGTGGTTCCGGCTTAGGTGGGAGCAGTTCTCTCGGTCCCAACATACCGTCTGCGAGCACTCTCTTGCCGCGTGCTACAGGGTCACCGCCAGCCAGTCCAGACGAGGCCGAGTGGCACCAATTGCCGAGTGAAGCGGTGCAGGGCATTCAGAGGTGGCGCGCGGGTCAGATTCCTGGGCGTTTATGCCTGTTGCTGCTTCTCGATAGCGTTTTTGGGCAGGAACCGGATGACGGAAATTTTGCCATGAGCGGTGAGGACGAAATGAAGACACAGCAGGGGAGTACTAGTAGCACTGCGGACGTGGAAACCGATAACGATCAAAGCGGAATATCAAACAATATGAAAGGAAGCTCCCCTGGCGACTCCGAAACTGGATCATCTTCAACTGGAAACACAGGCGGTCCGAGTGCACTTATGCGAACTGTCGCGACGTCTACCGGGTTCGGGACCGGCGCTGCCCTCGCGCAGCGGTGGCTGTACGAACGCGTGTTCGCATTACCGCCACTGCAAGCGCTAGATTTTGCTTTCGGTTTTGTCCGACAAAAGACGGGGCCTGGCTCCGTCTCTCCCGACGCGCTGTGCCTCGCGTGTCGCCAGATTCACCTGCAACTCCAAGACCGGCCTTTTCGCGAACGACTCATGGCACAAATCCTTGCCGAATTGATCCGCGCACACGTCGCAACCTGTGCTGAACTAGCGGCTAGCGGGAGCACGCCGCAAGCGATAGAGCAGCAGCTTGTCAACAGCGGCGGATTCGCTGCTAATAGCGCAGGTATGATATCTGGCGGACCTCAAGCGCTCGGAGCAGGAGCGTCATTTAAGACTCTTCCAATGTCGAACTTGAATCGATTACTATTTTGTCTTCAGAAATAGTGCTAGCAAGAAGACGTCTTCTAAGTCATCTGCCACCTCGTCTAGTGGAGCAAGCGGAGGCACTGGATCCTGGACAGATCTTGCGGTGTGCGACCTGTTGGCTATGGAGCTGGGCCTCACGCAATACAACGTGGAGGCTGAATGCCGCGGGGCAGCCTGGAATAGCATTATGAGCTATGGAGCCGGCAATGCGGACCGATACAAGTTCAAGGCCAGCGCGATGGCCGCTGGCGCTGGACGTGCGACTAATGGCTTTCTCAAAAGCACCTTTTCCACACCGGGGCTCGATAACGCAAGTGGCGGAGGCTCGTCCTCGTCTTCCGCGTCCTCTGGCCAGTCATCCACGTCAAATCCAACAGCAAATGGAGGAGTTCCAGGTGGCTCGAACAATAGTACTGGCACAGGAGCAGGAGGAGCTGCTTCAAACAACAATGGCCCAGGAGGCTCTTCTGGCTCCTCCTCCAGTTCTAGCGGAGCGACAACGGACATTTCCCTTGAGCAACTTCGTGTCCAAAACAACTATTTAGAGCAGTACGTGATTAAAACCGCACGTATTCGGGACGATCTCAAGGGCATTCTGCAAACTTTGCAGTCGGTAGACGCCTACGAGACGCTTGGAGTCGCACGCGCGAGCTCACTGGATGAAGTCAAGAAAGCCTTTCACAAGCTTGCACGCACCATGCACCCCGATAAGGGAGGCAGCCCGCGACGGTTCCAGGCTATACAGAAAGCTTACTCGTGCATTCAGCAACAAAGACAGGATCTCGACAAAAACGCGGAATTCAAACTGCAGGAGGTCAATAAAGAAGACGGCGCGTGTCTTGAACCAGAAGAGCTGGAGCGAAAAATGGCCCAGCTTAAGATGGTGGAAGGTATTTTTTCTGAAGCAGTACTCATTTAGCACAAACACACCAGCCATCGCCACTTGCCATGAGTTGCAGAAGTTAGAAAAACAACTCAATGTGTCGAACAACATCTTCGGGACGTCGAGTCGTTACAACATAATATCATTGAATTTTTTTTCGACCTCCACCGACAGACCAAGTCAAATTGGCACGAAAGATAACCGAAGAAGCATCTGAACGTGCGAACGCTTGTGCCGACTTTGCGCATCAGATGCGACAAGTACCTCGAAGCAAACCATTCAAGCAGATGCGGACAGAACTCCTTCGAGAAGTGGAGGTCTGCTCTCGACTGCGCCAGATGTTCGCACAAACGGCGCGCGCCGCGCAAGGAGTAGCAAAAGTCGGTGCTGCGGCAATGACCAAACTCTCCGAAGACGCGAACACAGGCGACATGATCAACTGCGAATTTGTACTACAATGCTTTGCATACCCAGTTAGAATTATTTATGCTTCAGTGCCACTAGTACAAGTTAGTGGTCCGTCGAGTTGTTGAAGATGTACAATTCGCCAATAGAAGAAGGTACTACTAAGTGCAAATTGGCAGATTTCTGGTTCCGGCATGGTCAACTTCTCGAATAATCTCTGTCAGGTGAACGCGACTGCACTGAGCGACAGAATACGGATATGTCGAGACGCAGCCTCTAGCTGTTTAGTGATGGCCGACAGTTTGGATAAGATTCGTGGAGCTGTGCTTGCCACTGTCGAGAAAGTCGAAAGCATAACAGATGGCAAAGCAGGGTCGCAGAGCGACAGAATGGGTATAAGAAGCATACTAGCGATGTTGTTCTAATATGAGTTTCAATATTTGAGCCAGCAGTCTTCAAGATCAACTGCAGGTCGCCCCTTTTTCAACACTAAGATTCCATATGAATACGAAGGAACTTCCACATCCACTACTTATATCTACTTCCTCTTGTGATAGGTAAGAAACTGTTAGTTTCGAGCTCGGAGCGCGTGGAGCAGACCGGTAGACGGGCGGCCGACGAAGCCATTTCCTGTGCTATGAAAGCTGGGGATGTCGTCAAGGGTATGAGCGCTTTGGTGCTTGAAATGCGAGACCGGCTAAAACGCGCTAACCGTCCGTCCGAGCCTGCGGAACCACCCACGGAAGGCACAGGCGTCGACGGAGACGGGCCTAATGCAGGAAATAAAAACGGTAGTAAAACGAATGGTGAAGAGGGGGACGAAGATGAAGACAGTGACGTGCCCGGTGGGAAAAAGAAGAAGAAAAGCAAGACTTTAGCGGCCACGACTCACCGTTTGCGCGAGCGGCACCTTCTGCTGCGGAGCAAAAACCTCAGTTTTCTATCGCAAATCAACGATGAGGCGCGAGAATGTCAGTCCTTGTTGCAAAATTTAGTGGCCTCTGGATCTAGTAGTCTGCACGTAGAGGAAAAAGCCGACCTAACGCAGCAATTATTGGAGATATTCGACACCGCATTGGCAGAAATGCATCAAGATAGAGACACCACGTTGGCCAAGTATTTGAAGATCGATGATTTTGATTGTCTTGTCATTGATATTTCTAGTCAATGAATAGCCGCAACGTGCATGTCCTCGGTCGAGGACTACAAGGACATTTTGGATTTTTTGTAGAGACAAGTCTTCAAATTTACAGAAATAATGCTCATCTGTATCTGATCTAGTAGTATCACAACTTATTTACTTTCAACACACGACGCGACAACACCACAAGGTTAGAGCGGCATTTGCTTTTTCTGCTTCACCTCGATACTCGCTTGGCCGTGCCGACTGACGTGCGAAGCAAGGTTTTTTTGATGGTGCTTTATGCCGACTCGGACCTTGCCGCAGAGGCGATCGATATCTTCCGCAGAAAGACACTCCAAGTGCTACTGCGTAAAGGCGCGTGTCTGGGCAACCGCGAGAAGAAAGACCGTGTGCGCGACTGGGTTCACTCCCTCTTCACGAAAATCCGTGGGAATGCCAAACTTACGGACAGTACTTGTTTTGCATCATCCTTCGTCCTTCGAAGATCTGAGGTCGTCGGCGCGTCCTGGCCGCCCTGAGTAGAAAGTGCCTCCCTGAATTGTTCAACTTCATGGGAAGTTCGATGTTCAGGGTAACTAAGGACATCAACAGAATATCAACCCGACCACTGATTTCGTCAGGATGTTCAGGATGATGTGAGGCACTATCGCTAACAAGCGCTACCTTCAGCAAGCAGGCGTCGCGGACCTTGCGCCTTTCGAAGATAATTACTCGGCGCCAGGGCGGGGAGGAGATATTCTACTTTAAAGTGACTACTTATATGAAGAAACAGATCATTCATTTTATCTTCGGTTGATGCTACCTTGAATCTAGTCCATCCACATCATGTTTGTTACCCGATATAATTCCGTCTTGACCTTCAAACTCAAACGTACTCAAGGGTAGTCTAGTAAAGTACTTGTCAATCTAAGGATACAATTTTCTCATTGATATGCGCGCTTTTAGGGACATGTTTTGTCGATCTGAATGTTCTTCTCCGTTGAAGTAGACAACAAAAGTAGACGCTGTGCAACTACGCATGAAAAAAGGTGACTGCGCATGATAATGTGTCAATTTAGGACCACTACGATTCATCTACTGCATCTTCGCATGTTGGACGAAAAATAACGAAAGCGGGCGCCGTTGAAGTGATGATTCGACTTTTTCTCATGAAATGCACGTACCACGCGAAATCTATACGCATAAATATGAACTACAGATATCCACAAGACGATATTAGACTTCTGATGAGGAGTTGTTATTCTAATTTTTTAGACACCGAATCCAAACCCTCACGCTGACGCACATCACGCTCACTGCCACATCTGGATCATCTGACTGACCACGATTTTAGCACGCTCTGCTAGAACTTCCGACACTGGCTTCCGTCGCAATAGTGTTGCTTCTACATCTACATCAAGTGGAACGTAGTCATTCTCGTGGATGACCCATCCACACTCTCTTCAGCGCGTTAGTTCGTTGCAGTGGCACGAGGATCAAACATCCTGTTGCCTTGGCAGAGAATTCCACACAGTGTTGCTCGCAGTGCTCAAGATCTACATGCATGATGATGCTTTGATCCCGTGTGGTGCCCTCTATCAACGTTAACGTTGTTGTTGTTCTCCTTCTCTCTGCAGGATCCCGCACCCACGACGACGTTCACAAGTTCACCCGGGAAGGGAAGGGTTCTTGTAACACGTTGTCACCCGTCTTTACGACGTGCTGCACGTAATCGTAACTACTTCGATCACCTTTTTTAACATGTCTATCAACATCGATCGTCTCCGTCTCCAGAATATCTACTTGATCACCCAATGGCGTCCTTCTTCTTCGATATGTAAGTGCATCAGGATCATCACGCGAAGACTCTAAATGTTGTGTATTTAGTCATTTATTGAAGATGTTGTTCGATGTGAAGGATCCAAACCTAACCTTGTTACTGAGGTCGTTGAGCATGAAGAACTTCAAATGATTCATGGCTGTTAAAGAGCTTGAAGTTCCATGTAGTCAAAGTACTAAGCGGTTCTATATCTAATTTGTGAGCTAGAAGTCTCGAATTCTGGTTTCTTACCGAGCGAAGTCTATTTCTGCGATGAAAATATCGATGAAAGAGTACTCGTGGAGGAACACCACGCGACACTTTGCACTATGTGGACACGATCAGCAAGTTCGAGCTCAACATGTGTGTGCCAGACACGAGCCCGAGCGGGTTGGCTTTCAGGTGATGGAGGCTGGTTTAGTACTAGTTGTAAGTCTGCTGGGACTGCCCGAACCCGAAGGACGCGCATAAGTTTTCTGCACAATGTGCTTGGTTGCCCAAGGTCTTACGCAAGCACGGCAGCAGAAACGCACGAGGAGTCTCATGATCCTGAAGAAGATGACAGGTATAGACGATACTATACCGATCGCCGTGTTGTTGACGTACAAAATGGATTGAGATTTGGTGACGAGGGCGACCAGCAGGCTGCAGTCGCATTTTCCTGCACTCTCGCGAATTATGGGATAGAAAGACCAGGGTTGCGTAGCATAACCGATTATGGTGACAAGGGACGTCGGCTCGAGCCATCAACTTCGAGGACTCCAATATTATACGAGAAAAATGCGAATGCAGCAACACGAACAGCAACAAGCACCACGCCTGGCGGTCCTCGTGCTGCGCGGAACACACGACAGGAGAAGCAACCTGGGCGGATACGAGGGCCGCGCATGAATGAGCTGGAAAGTGCGGGAAAGATTCTGGAAAGATTCTTCGATGCTTTCCATTTTCCAACGCGTGGACTTCGAGCATCTACTGCGACGAGTGTTGCGGCGCTCTATCACTGCCGGCGCAGCGTCCTTGGAGGCACAAGAAGGAGAGGCGACAGCAGAATACTGGAAGAGGATGCAGCTAAAGTAGCAACGGAGAGCAACATGAGACGGGCGGAGCGAGATCCTAGCTCAATAGCTGACACTGAGGGCCTAGGCTTTCGCGGATCGCACGCGTGCAGCCGTGAGGGAGAAACAACGCAGAACTACGAGAAAGAGAGTCGTGAGAGTCATCGGACACCTCCAAAGCAAGAAACACACGTTGCTGGAGAAGAGCTCGAGATGAAGATTGAAAGTAGCGCCAGGACCTCGACGTCCCCTTCGACCTCGACGTTCCGACCGGTGAGACCTTCTTACGCTACGGCTACCAGTGAGGAGAGATATTTGGCCCTGTGCAAGCATTTGGAGGCCAAAATTGCGCGAGGAAGCCTAGATAACAGTCCTCGTGAGCTCGAAGCCGTTTTGATTGCGCTTCACTGGCAGCCACGAGAGGAGCCTATTGAGCGACTAGCTGAAAAGGCCGCTGCTACGCTTGCTAAGAGCCTACGTGCGGAGCGCATCAGCAGGTCTCGCCCTGCTGATCGCAGTAGCACATCTACTAGTCGTGGAGCGGATGGAAGAGACGTGCTTAGCCTTAAGCGAGGACGAGAAGCACCACTGGAAATTTGTCACTCAGGAGTTATGCAGTCTTTTGGATTCAGCGTTTGCGATTCCTTATCCAAAACTAGAAAAAGTGCTACCGCCGGTGACGTTCAGCTAGTCAAAGAAATCGAGGTACAACGACTTGCTTGTGCGTTGAATAGTGCAGCCGTCTTTGGGTTTTTAAGCAAATCTCTGGCTGACGAAAGCGACAGGCGCTTTTATTGGTTGGGTGAAATTAGGCGGACGACGACGAACGAAACGCAACTAGACGAGCACATGACGCAAAAGAGTGAAGAACGTGGTAGTGAAGGTAAGCGACTTGTATTCGACCGAGTAGTAGAATCAGAAACAGAACATCAAGAATCGGGAATACCAAAAAATAGCAGTTCATCTCATTACACGACTGCTGTGCAAGGACACGGCTGCAAGAGTTCGAGCTCGCGCTACGTCGCGCAGTGGCTTGCAGCCGTGACTGGCTCTGGTCACGCTTTTCCAAGACGCTGGGCGCATCGCCTCGGGAAAGCTCAAGACCTGTTTCCTTGGAGCTATGATGCGTCAACAATTCTCAATTTTTGGAGGCCACGGGAAATCGTTGATCTAGCATTTGCTTTGACTTTCTTCCCGACTGGAAGTGGTAACAAGGAGCACCGTTGTCGTACCGGTACCCTCGAATTGGGAAAGCAAAACAAGGAGGTGTCATCAACTTCTACTTCTTCTACGCAAGTGGAGAATGGAAAAAGGGTTTCTCCAACCTTGTCAGTCTCTCCTGCCAGAAAACTCTCGACTAAGGCATCGACGAAGCAGGTCTTGGAAAGAAAGATGCTACCTCTTCTCGATGGTGCATTGTCTAGCTTCTTGCTGCGGGCTGCAAAACAAGTACTTTCGGAAACAGCCGAATTAGATTCTATGTGCTTTGCCGCCCATGATGCACCAGACGCGCAGCATGGAAAGACCGAAGATCCTCCAGCCTTCAGTAGAAGTCTTGAACCACTAGTATCAGATGCACAGACAGTAACAGAGTCCCGAAATGAAGTAGACCCCAACCACACTGCAAGAGCATCAACATCAGCATCAGCGCCCGGAGCCTTTGCTCTAGATGCGGACTTTTTTGCACCAAGCGAACTGGATCCACCTTCGTCTGGTGGTGACAATAGTGGAAGAGGAAGCACGACCGCGTCAACGTTAGCCAGCAACAGTATGGACCGCATCTTGGCACGGGAACTCGCGATTCTCCAGCATGATCGTTTACGCGTCGTCGTAGAGTATTACAGCGGTTTGGCGATTCCCGATGAAATTTGCAAAGTTCTAGAGCTCTTTCCTCCTGTGAACTCTTTTTTGCAGATACGCAAGTAGCATGACAAACGTTGATAGTTGGTGTGTTCTACTTACTATGTTCTTGAAGTTGATGAAGCCGTTGTTGACAGCACGAAACTCACGCTACGCAATGCACATAGTGAAACTCCTTACCAACCATAGAAGGAAGTAGTGTATCTACTGTACTAGAAGTGCAACTGTTACATCTTCCGACACCACGCGAAAGCCGTATTAAGTCCATCAACAACAGGGGACAAGTCTGATGAAACAAGTATGTCTCTGAAGTGAAAAGGCCGCTTGTCTCCTTTTGATGTTCAGGCAAGGAGCCGTAGTCCACTGGGACGTTCTCGCTCATCTCCTAATGTCGTCACGCAGTTGTGACTCCGCTTTCTGCAAGTTGGTGACCCTCACATCTATTCTACGATCAAGACAAAGCGTATAATTGTTATCGGTGAGCACGAAATAACCAATTTTTTGCTTGTTGTACACGGAAATTACTTATAGTTTGAAAATAAAGGTAATGGACGTCAATGATTTTTGCATATTTTCCTGACACTCTTGTTCGTGCAAGACGAGCCTTGGGGAGTAGGAAAAGAAACATCAACATGTTGTTCAAGAGAATGTCGATTAGAGATTAGACATAGGAATAGCAAGGAGAAATAGCTGCAATAAGTGTAAAATAATTTCATTTTAGGATGTGGGAGTCCCGTGCGACTCCGCTTCGGCGGAAGTCTGCTGTAGTCTTGTCTGCCGCTGCAGCGCTTTTGCCGGCAATCGTCGAACATGACTTCCTAATTGCTGCAAAGAAATTCAGAAGCGGATCCGTAAAGATGTTATCTGACAATGCTAGAGAGTCTCTGTCTCAAGCAGTCTCTCGTAGTCGAACTTCTGGATCCGGTGAGCGCGTGGTGACGAAAATCGTGAAATTGCTCGAATCGATGCAAGACCAGCTAGAAGAGGATCAGAAGACTGACGATGACGCGCAGACGAAGATGGAGTGCTGGTGCAAGCGCAATAACTTGGAGAAAACTGATGCTGTGAAGAAGCTAGAAGCAGACATCAAACAGTACAATCTAGACTTAAGGCTCCACAAAACCCAACCCCACTGCGCTGGTGGTGCCTTGGTTGTGGATTCTCGGGCTGTACTGAGGCAAGTATTGGGACGAGTATTCTCACGGGATGTGGCCACGGCCGGGGTGGGTTAAGGGTAGCGCTAATAGACATCACTACGAATGCAGCGGCAGCTGAAAGCGCCAAGCTTTCCTTAGAGGAGCTGGAGAGAGATCTCTTGGATAGCGCGAAGGAAGTCAAGGAAGCCGAAGATTATGGCTTTCATCACATTTCAAATACGCATGTTCCTCTTCCTTGATAGATCTTCTTGAACTTTATGTACTTGTACCTCTAGAAGTACAATTTCGCAATCGATGGTAAGTGCTTGCTCGACGCGACAGCCCTTACTCAGTCACATTAATACCATCTCCCTCTTCACTTTCCGCAACGGGATCGAGAACATGTCGAAAACCAGAAGAACATCCTTGAACTCACAGAGGCCGTCGGGCAAATTAACTCTGCGATCGTCGTTCTGCGCAACAGCGGCGGCGCAGGAACTGAAACTGCCGCTTTGATGGACTTGAGGCGGAAGTTGTCGGCAAAAACGTCTACTAATGGCATAGTGCAAGGCGAAATCGACCGCCGTCTCAGCACCACTGTTCTCGCGCAAGCTGGTTCGTCTAGTGCAGAATCTGGCAGCGCAACTCTCTCCTTTCTGCGCAAAAAACTTTCGTCATTGCTCTCCTCTTCCACCACGTCCTCTAGTGTTTCGCGCCAAGTACCTGCAGGCGCGTCCTCCGTTGCCGGTATGCTGTCGGAAATGGCCACCACGTTCCAGCAGGACTTAACCGACACGCAGACCAAGGAAGCGCAGGCCGTTACCGCGTACCTAGAGCTTCGACAGAGCCGAACCGAACAAGCCGAGCACATGCGAGAGCAACGCGCGCGGAAGTCCGAGGCAATGACAGCCGCGTACGCTGGGGCTGCGGACGCGAAAATTGCTCTAGGAGAGGCGGAAGCATTGCTCGACAACATGGATGGATTCATCGCTGAAGCCCGTAAGACCTGCCTCGCGGCTGACGAAGCCTACCAGCTGCGCCTGAAAGAACGCACGGACGAAATTCGAGCGGTCTCGCAGGCTGTCGAGGTACTGACTCGTCGTCCAGTTCTTGATGTTTTTTATGCAGCCGGTTAGTTTTCACCTCTATCCCTAGGCTTATCCCTTCAAACAATATATAACCACTGCAACTTGAAGTTGGAGGCAAAACATCAATAGGGAGCACTAGTCATGATTTAACAAAAAGAGCGACAGGGGTGGTCATATTCTACTTATGAAATGTGACTATTATAGTAAATAAGTCCACCATGAGCTTCTGTCCCTCCCTCAACATCCGGCCCACGTCCACCTCCTTTCCTACTTCCAGATTCTGTCTTCCGACGAAGCCCGCGATACTTTCAAGAAAGTGCACGAGAGTCGCCCAGTGAGCTTCCTCCAAGTGCTAACGTCGAAGACTAGTATCACTGGTTCCCGTTCGCTATCTTCTCGCCCAGCATTTGTTGAGAAGTCTAGTGCTAGTAGTCTCCTTGGCTCCATAGCGAAAACCTTTCCGAACGACGGCGATCGTATCTCACGCCTCTTAGAAGTCGGCCAAGAACCATTCGCCTCGCAGACGAGTGGGCGTGTGGATGGCGTCGTGGCACGCATTCAGATGCTGGTGCAAGACTTGAAAAGTGAGAACTACGAAGAGCAAATCCGCAAAAGCAATTGCCAGACGAGCATGCATGCGAATGAACTTTTATGATGTGATGAACGCGATCAATTTGCAATTTCAATAAATGAGATTGAGTTCTTTGAATCTGAACGTTGTTGGCCACTACAAGAAGCCCGAAATGTCGTTATTGTAAGTAGCTGCTGGACCTGAAGGAGAGTTTCTTGGCTTGCGTAGACTTACGCGACTTATCGTTTCTACTCTACTTTGTAGCAATCCTCACTGATCTAACTTCCGAGGACCAGCGCCTTTCGAACGAAATAGAGAAGACGGAGACGGAAATCGCGCTCCTCGAAGGTGGAATCGAAGGCCTGGAGAAAGAAAAGGCAGAAACAACTGAGCAAATGAAGGAAACGAAAGAAAATACGGAAAAGGCAACCGAGAATCAGGAGACCGAGAAAAAGGAGTTTACTTAAGGCTATTATAGCACAACGTGATCATCTTGGGAGTTGTCCAGTAGAAAGATTCACTCTCGTATTTCCCGGCTCTAATCTCAAGCTTACCAGGTACGTAAGGCTACAGCTTGGTGAAGTAAACTTTTGTGATACTGAAGGTAATCGTAATTCAGTCTCGATACAGCATTTCACCTAGTACCTTAGTGGAGTTTCATAAACAAGTAGGTCACTGTCGCTCTAACGCTTAGAGCAAATTGCTGACCAGGTCGCTGCACAGGGCATCATTCTCAAGGCTCTCAACGTGTTGCAGGCATACTACGATAGACCACAGGGGGCTGCATCCTCTTCGGCTGGTGTGGACGAAGACCACGTCGCTGATGTAGTGGATGCCAACCTGGAAAACGGGACCTCTTTTTTGACCTTCAAGCAGGATCCGGCTCCAGTAAGTCCGTTCGCGGGAGGAGATCACGAACAACATGCACATCGCCACGGCGTTTTGCAACTTCTGGAGAACGTGCGAAGCGAATCGTCTCGCGTCCAAAGACAGGTTGAAGCATCTCTCGAAGAATCTGTCAAAACCTACGAAAAAATCATACAGGAAAATGAGACGACGATACAAATGCTGAAGTTATGACACGCTTGTGCGTAAAATCATTTTCACCTTTGAACAAGAGGGAGATGCTGCAGAATTATCAGCTGCACATCTTCTTTGTCATCGTCTTCAACATGATCGTAAGTTGTTCGTGTTCTTTTTCATCGCTCACCTTTACTCGAGTCGTTGTCGTTTATGGTTTCCCTTCTTTGCTTCTGTCTACAGCATCTTCCTACTCTCCAGAATCCATGGCACCCTTTCTTCATGCTTTTCTTCCCTTGCTGAGACCGATGCACAGATTGCGTCAAAGCACAAAGATTTCGATACAAAAAAAGAAGATTAAGGCACCCGAATATCATAATACATTTGCTCTTGTTGCACTTTACTAACCATTCACCTAAGTAGACCTGTGGTTTGTTTCTGTCTCAGAGTCAGATAATCATTCTAGGTGGATGAAGTAGAGGATTCATCAGAGGCACAGCTGATGAAATTAGAACTACAACTACTAGAAGAACTAGAAGTAGCAAATGTTGAGTTGCTATCGCAATCGATACCATCTAAGAAGAGAAGAAGAATCTGCAAGGCACGCACTTTGCGTTGGGAGATACAATGATGAACGAGAGGAAAGTCTGTCTGCCTCTACTCGAAAGTTTTGATCGGATGCAGGAGACGCGCACCCGAGAAGCGGAAGCACTGACTGAAGCCATTGCGATTCTACGAGGCGCAGACATCGACAGCGGTGAATTTGCGGAAACGACACTTGGAGGCTAAAAAAAGAAATATTTATTTAGATTAATAGTACTTGTAAAGAAAGAAGAAGATGGAGATCTTCATGCAGTTCTTTTTATCACAAGACGGGTTAGGGTACTTCTAGATCATCAGGAAACTACAAGTACAAGTAGGAGGACAGTTCTTATGAAAATAGATCTGGACAGATACATACAGATTTACTGAAAAGTCTGCAGAGGCAAGTTGAATGCACTACGACTAACTTTTTTTTCCGACCATGGACATGGACAAGTAGACCAAAGTGCGCAATTTTCTAGTGTCTAAGACGAGTTTGCCTGGGCACGCAAACAGCGTGTTGTATAGTTCATTTGCGCGTCAACAGCCTCTTACAAACGTATCACAATCTATCACGTAGATTCTGATTGAAAGGGAAACTCCTGGCGCTCTCGTCGCGACATCAAATAGGACTAGGGGAAGCTGCAATAGATACTAGCATACAGAAACGAAGATTGCAGCTCGGCTATCAATAAACGGCGAGTGACGTCTCTCATGTTGTTCGTCTCTCATGCTGCTTTGCAAGCAAAAACCGGACCTATCAAATGGAGGAGCAGCATCAAAAAGATTAGCTAGGCACCACATCACCTCTGATTGTAGTTTTCGGTAAATTTCAAAAGAACAATCTCTAGAAGTGTGACCACCTTCCACGCATTGCTGTTTTGCGTGGTATTTGCAAACTTCTCAAGGAACCGTCGATACTAACACTGTGGAGAAAATAGAAGTTGACTAGACACGGCGAATGTAGTTTGCTTCTTTCAGCAAAGCGAGATGTGAAGATTTTTGGTGGTCAAGAAAGTTGATTTAGGCAAGTAGTCCAAGCAAGTAGATTTTATGAAATTTGAGTAGAACATCAACATGAACAACGAACAAAAACAAAGCTAAGGACAAGGCTGTCTTTTTTATATAAATTTTTCTTCTAGAGGTCGTAAATAGAAGTTTTCCTTATAATTGAAGTTTTCTTCAAGTAGCAAATCAAGTACTTGAAAATGCCGCATTATCCGGACGAGATTGAGTACTCAGAGAAGTACATGGATGACACGTACGAGTACAGACATGTCATCCTACCCAAGCACGTCGCAAAGAAGATGTATGCGAATTTCGGGTACTACTTTTTAAGACGACCGCCCACGACCGAAGCATGATTATGATTATCCATCTAAGTATCATTTCTATGATATATTGATTTTGATGAGTGGCGAGGAGCTCAACAACCTTGCAGCTCAGGTTATCCACGACTAGCCTGATAAAATGGTGATTTTGGTCATGATGCATCCGATACGACGGCAATTCGTGCTGATATCGAAATAACTCTACTTGATACACGGATTCTTCTTAGAAGATCAGATCTGCATCTCAAGATGATGATGATGATGATGATGATGATGATTGGTCACAACTTTACACCATAACACAGTTACGGCAACAAGCAGACAAGAACACTTTTGACAGAGGATCAGTGGCGAGGTTTGGGCGTGCAGCAGAGTCGAGGTTGGTGTCACTATGAAACGCATCGGCCAGAACCGCATATCTTGCTTTTTCGCCGACCTCTAGGAACGAATCCACTAACAGGAATGGTTGAGTCAAACCCCCAACAGGCAGTCGCGTGAACGATTTCCGCTCGTGTTTGAAGGTACTGATTGCAATTTCAATTTGAACTATTTTTTTTACTTCAAGGAAGAGTATAGTTCTAGTGTGAAACTGTTGCAGTAGATGATTTTTAGGTAGAGGTGTATTGCAACTTATGAAGTCGATACTGCTGAAACGTGAGTAAATGAATCAAAGAAGTCACAAAAATGTGAAAAATCAAAAACCCAGCTGTAGAGCTGGACAAACTCGAGCCTTATCTCGTTCCGGGTGTCTGGTTTTGCTTTTGTGTCGCCTGCAGTAAGAGACGAGCGAGATTGACACGGTGATCACTCTGGAATTAAACAGAAACCACATCAGCATTCATCTACTTGTTGGTCACACATCCTGCTGATCACTAGGACCTCACCATGTGCAAGTAGGGGTCCCAACCTACTGGAATTCGATGACAGTATCCTTCCCCCAACATTCCGACACAATGAAATAGTGAAGATCTTCATAAAAGAAAAAACTACACAGGAGCTCCACTAGCTACTAGTCGTCACCTTCGGACTCTCATTCCCTTGCTGTTCGTGTCTGTTTCACAACTGGTGTTCATCTCTCAACCACAGCTAAGAATCAGATGACTTCTGTTACTCTTGAGGATCTATAGTACAAGTGCCTACAACTCCTGGAACAATTGCAAAAGCCACCTGCGGCATCTTGGAGAAGATGATTCCATCCGTGATTGTACGTATGGATCTGCATGTGCCAATCACATCTGCAATCAGTTGTCCAGTGGAAACAGCATGAAGTCTTTTTGGTTTGATGGAAACTTGAGTGCTGGGAACAACAAGAAGAGTAGAAGAGCCAGAGCGATGAATTGTCAGTGACAATACTGACAAGTTGTATCAGAATTTCATGTTTTTATCCAATGGAATGAGAGGTTCAATTATGAAGGTGTAGTTGTTTACTTCTAGTGGATATTTGCTGCAGCAGTAGCGCTCCTCTGTAAATATAGATTTGACTGGCTCGTCGTCGTCCTTCTAAGTCAGACAGCCAGGGATCGTGTCCGACAATGTCTAATGAGACAAGTTCATATTTGCTGACAAGGAGCGCAACGTAACTGAATGATTAAAGTTAGGTGCTACTACTTCTATTCCTACTAAACCGAAAAAACTACGTCATGAGTAGTTCATCTTCTACGAGTAGCCGCAGTATGCCTTTTCTCTCGGTTCGACCAGCACCGCCACCAAAGGTGCAAGTCATATTGGTGCCCGCTGGAAGTGGAAGTAGAACTGGATCTTCCGAATCAACAACGCAACAGCAAAGAGGAACCGCACAAGGTGGACACTACAACTCGACGGATAAGCCAGAAACGCTCAAAGTTTCGACAAAGAAAGCCTTCCAAGATGTAACGAAGTATTACGCGGGCGTGCGTGGCTTAGGTCTACCACAGGATAGATCTCACTCGTTACGACTAGCCCCTGCAGTGGACTCTGCCTTTTTTTACGTTCCGGAAGATGCTTTGAACACTGCGCCATTGCTTCTCGAGCAAAATGCCTCCTCAACTGGGCCTCCGTCGTCACGGCTCTACGTGCGCGAAGCACCGCAGCGGCCTTTGACAAGAGTGCAGATATGCACGACTTATCATGGCCATGGGCAGAAGACTTCTTCTTGCTCGTCGGCTCCCTTGTCCTCCTCATCCAGTAGACAGTGCCTGTTTCGCGCGGACGTCGATGCTGGGCTGTGTGCTGTATCCGCACTGGTCAAGCAGATTTGTGCTTCCAGATCAACAGGATCTTCTGACATGCCACCATTGCAGTTGCGTTCAAGCGGAGGCAGGGTCGTCTACAGTACGAAGACACACCGTGGAGGTTCTTCGTCTACTCGTCCTTCAGAGGATGATCCTCTGATCTCATCGCTGGTGACGGCAGGGCCGGATGGAGCTGCAGCGAAAAGTGGTCAAGAAGTGTTACTGTTCCTGGAAGACGATGAAGATGAAGACTATGCCAATGCCAAAGTAGAAGACATTAAAAAGGAGCAGATTCATCTAGATCACGGAGAAAGCACACAACAAGTAGAGGGAATACCTTCGTCTTCTCAGGATATTCTTGGAATTGAAGTTGATGAGCCCAAAGCAAAGCGGCAGAAAGTGCTTGTTCCTGGTGGAAAAGATGGAAACGACGGCAAGAAAAGGGAGGAAATTGAGAACAGTGAGAAGAAGAACGTGAACGAAGATAGCTCATCCGAAGAGGACGAAGACGATGAGGCTTCATCCTCGTCAAGTAGGAGCAGTGAAAGTGAATATACCTCGGATTCTGAGTACATGCGCTCTGGTGGAAAGAGTCCCTCGCCGCACAGCAGGAAACGCAGCCGAAGAGACAGCTCATTCACAGCTAGTTCTCTGGAAATTCTGGCGAGTCCAGAGACGAGCCCACAACTACATCGAAGTGCTGGTATCTCGGCAAACCAAGCGCTAGATGGGCGACAAGCAGAAGTGGGCGCTGTTGCCGAAGGGGAGGTGAGAGACACACAGACAGTAGGGCGCCACGAGGGTACGACAGCAGCGGCTCCGCAAAGCCTCCGAGCTCGCCCAGAAAAAGTAGAGGATAAGATGAGAGAGAGAGACGAGGCTGCTGCGCTTTCACGGAAGCTTCTGACTTCGAATGAAGAGCGACGTCGTGCAGCACAGATTGTGACAGCTGCAAAACTGGCAAAGAGAAATAACGCTAAGGCCGCGGCTACCCCTAACATAATAACCGAAAAGTCGGCTATGAGCATGCCAATCCCAGCAACTGCTTCTCGTACAGGTGAAGGATCCTCTGCGTCAGCATCATCTGGAGCAGCTCTGCCAGTAGGGGGGGCCTCGAGAGCCTCTTCGAGTCGTGGTCCTCCAGGAGTGATGCAATTGAACGCGAGCTTCGCTGGTGGGAAGGCTAGGGAGCAAATGAAGGTGGTGGTCCAAGAGGATGGTGAAGAAGATCCCAATGCCGAGTTAAAACTGACCCGGAAACCACGATACCCGGATCGAGGCACCCCACCATTGAGCTATTTTGATAAGCACACCGCGAAGGTAGCGATGCCAAAGGCTGCTGTAGCGAAGCACAGAGCGGCGCTTGCTGCTGTAGTGAACACGCAGGAGATGGATCTGAAGACCGGGGAGTACAAATACGCTTACGCTGGCGTGGAGGCGTCGAAGCGCATTACTGCTGCGACTGGAATCACGACTGCGGACGGTGCAGTGCCCGCGACCTCGTCAGCATCGTCTGGAGCATCAGCTTCTTCGGCGGTACCTGCTAGATCAACTTCCGAGTTGGTGTCGCATCCGAACAGGGTGGAAAGGAATTCCAACAACCCAATAGTTGCCGGTACATCAAACGCCTTATTCGGTCGCCAGCCTACCGCGATGCAGCAAGTTCGCGCGCACATTGGAGGTGTGCGGGACCTCATAGATACAGTCGCTGGCAGCACTGGGGAGAGTGGAATTGGAGGAACTCGACCCGCTGAAGCGAGAGAGAGGGCGCCTAGTGGCTGGATGAACGAGAACAATCCTCGACCAGGGCGTGCCGTAGCCCCAGGACAACAACCCTCATCCTCATCAAATTCAAGTTCGGTGATGCCAGGAAGCATGCTCGCCAAAGCCGCAGCAGTAGCCGCCCAGCAGCAGCAGCAGCATCAGCAACTAGCCGCGCATAACTCACACGCGTCGAGGTCAAAAGGAGGAGCAGTAGGACAAAAGGAAGCTCAGCCGGACGCTTTTTCACTTCGCGTCAAGGGAATATCAGATCGCATAATCGCCGCGCTTGTGCAGGGTGCGCCAAAGAGTTACTCTGAGGTTGCTAATGACCTCCGTGAGCTAGAAGCAGTTAAAGGGCGCATCGGCAAGGACGTGCTCAGGGAAAGCGGGGTGGGTAAGGCGCTCTCGGAATTGGCAAAGGCGGGGACCAACATGCCGCAGCGCGTCAAGACACAAGCCCAGGAATTGGTTACGCACTTGAAGAAATCGGTTCGAGCAGAAGGATCGGCGTCATCAATCAGCGACGCGCAGCAGCTGGCTCTAGTCGCTAGTAATGTATCGAGAAACAAAATAGTCGATACAGCTAGAGTGCCAAAACCGAATCAACGTCAAGAACAGACGCAAAATTATAGCAACGGCATGGCTAGCGCTAGCGCTAGCATCAGTACAACAAGCACGCAACAAATTGCCGTAATTTCTGGTGCAGGATCTTCGGCAAACACTAGTAATCCTCGCATTGGGCAACCAGTGGTCAGCGCAGCCGCAGGCGCTCCCACTGGGGCGCCACCGTTGTCGATTGCGCAAGCCGCGACAAGTCTGCAACTTGCACGGAAACTTCCGGCCGGCGCGCATCGTGAGGCGGGTATCACGCGCGAACACCGCGACGAGTGCATCGCGTTGCTGGAGAAGTCTGGATTTGGCATACGCGATGCGTTTGACCTGGAGAACGCCATTTTTCACTATGTCAGCCGCAAGCAAGACCGCAAACTCTACGACAAGTACGTGAGGGACAGTCGCGCGCGCATACGCCAGCAGCCGCGCATCCTCGACATGCTTCGGAGGAGTGAGCTGGCGGTGGAACACCTTTTCTTACTTCCTGTAGAGTTCTTCCTGCCCGTAGAGGAACAAGATAAACTTCTCCACGAACAAGAGAACAAGTCTTTCGTCAACGAATCCTACGGAGATGACATGAAGGTACAGCTTATCAAGATAATATCTGTTATTTTTGGTGCTATTCTTTGGCTTCAAAGCTTGATTTTGGACGCTTATTGGAACCTATCCTTCCACAAACGAAGGAGAACGTTCGAGCGACTAGGAAGTTGTGGTGGAAAAAAGAAATCGATGGTTTTTGAACAAATACGCATCACTGGAATACTTCTCATCTTCCGCAGCAACAATCACCATCACCATTTACTTATTCAATTTTGAACTGAACAACAACAATCATGAACAATTTACTTTTACAGGGAACGCTTATCAAAGACGGCACAAAGTGTCCGAAGTGTGGCACCATAGGGCGCATTTACTCGAAAACGGTTCAGCGTGGATGGCATAATGACCATGGCGACCCTGTCACTAGTTATCGCTGCGATGCTTGTGATTACCGCTGGCGGGAAGGAGCGGACTGATATGCCCTTAACGTCGGAGTTGGACGACGCTCGATCCCCTTAACGTCTATGTCGCTCTCCTCATCTCGTTCTCGCTTCCCGTTCCCAATTAAGTAGCATCGCGGTAATTCATTCGCTTTCCCTGGACTTCTTGACGGTACTAAGCATACCCCTAATTTTGTCCCGCACGCTTTCATTCTCATTAGCCTTACCAACTCCAAGATCAGCACATGAAATTTTCAACTTTTTCTTGAATCGCGCATTTCAGCTAAAGAGGCCGAAGAGGCTAGTATTGACTCGTTCTTCATCTGATTTTAGTTCTGTTCTTCACCACAAAGGAATGCCTGCCGGTGTTCGCTTGTTGTTCGTCCCCGTGTTCTGCTCCTGAGAAAGTACATTAAAATAAAGTTAGCAAAACATTAAGGAGAGCAAGATGCTATTGCTAAATGCGCGAGCGGGACTTCATGCCTGAAGCAGATCGGTTGGAGTGGATTTCTTTCTACTTGTACTGTAGTCAGATGCAAACAATTATGCTTGATGCTGGAATGATACGTGTCAGCAACTAGTATGACAAGTCCAAGTACTCCTGATATATTCTTCGAGGTGGCGACAAAGTCAAAGTATCTTTGTTGAAGAAAGGGCGTATCTATGTTTCCTTGATTGATAACAACTTCAACTACTGCAGCAAGTATAACAATCCAAGAGAGGCACAACCAATATGAGGATAGAGCTTTCTGGCGGTGCAGTTTCGTCCGCCAGCGCAGGAGATGACACGAGGACAACCATGTTGCAGATAAAAGAGCAGACGAAAACGGGAACGGCCGAGCCGTCCTCATGTTCGCCACGGAGAGGACAGCGTTCTTCTGGGGCGCGCCGACGATTGGTGCGCACTCTTGCGTCCATCGTGCCGTTTATCAGCGGCAGCGGTGCAGTGCCGTCTCCCGAGTGGTATCTCCCAGGTGTTACACCTGTGCAATACCAGCAAGGACAGAAGATACCTCTCTTTGTCAACAAGCTGACGAGTGTGAAGACACAACTACCCTATCGCTATTACACACTACCCTACTGTCCACCGGCAAATTTGCGTGAAAGCAAGCTATGGAATTCCTTTTCTACTAGAAGCGAAACTTGTTGTTTGTTCAATCCTACATGTTCATCGGGTAGAGGAAATCATCCAAATGTATTTGTTGATAGTACATTTCCAAAACTACAACATCTTCGTCTAATCATCGGAAATCTTGGCGCCTCACTGATGGGTGACGTAGTCGAAAACTCGCCGTACGACATCAAGATGCTGCAGAATACGAATTGTATGAGTCTGTGCAGCAAGGCACTGACAGCAGAGGATAAAAATTGAGGCTCAGAATAATTCTTTATCTTCACAGCCCACTTGTCTTGTCTCAGTGTCCTTCTTGGATTCTGAGCCTGTGAATGTAGAGGATGAATTATTGTGAGCGCTAAGACAAGCTGTTCAAATTGATGATTGATGAGGATTACCAGGTGAACTGGATCCTGGATAACCTGCCAGGAACTACGAAGTACGCGCGAAAAAACAGCGTAGCAACGACAGGTACTACGGAGGACTCCTCGTTCACCTACATGGTCGGCTTTCCAGTCGGCTTGGAACAAAGAGGTCGCTACTTTCTCCACAATCATGCGAAGATTATCATCGAGTACCACTCGTCGCCAAACGAATTCAGTGGGTTTCGCATTGTGGGCTTCGAGATCGAGCCCCACTCCTTGGCGAACCAGGGCAGTGAATGCGCGGACGGACCGAACGCCCCAGTGTTGGACATTGACGCCACGGATGCGGTCAGTTTTACCTACGACGTGCTGTGGAAGTACTCGGAGGACACCTGGTCCGACCGCTGGGACCGCTACATGCGTGGAGCGAAGGGCAAGATCCACTGGTTCAGCATCCTGAACTCACTCATGATCGTCCTGTTCCTCAGCTCCATGGTCGCGATGATTCTCCTGCGTACACTGCACCGCGACATTGCGCGCTATAACGAGATCGCTACTAGCGAAGACGCAGCGGAAGAAACTGGGTGGAAGCTGGTGCATGGCGACGTCTTTCGCCGCCCACCCCACTCCAAACTTCTGGCGGTCAGTGTCGGCTCTGGGGTACAGATTCTGGGCATGAGCTGTGTCATCATCGTCTTCTCGTGTCTGGGGCTGCTCTCCCCGCAGTACCAAGGCTACCTGCTCCAGTCGATGCTGATGCTCTTCGTTTTCATGGGCAGTCTCGCGGGTTACTACTCGGCGCGCCTCTACAAAATGTTCAACGGGCAAGACTGGAAAGCGACGACGCTTCTCACCGTTATGCTTTGTCTGTGGACTTCGACGTGATAGTCAAAATTCGATTTTTCATTGAGGGTAGTTACAAAATTTCAAGTCCTCTGTTATCGTCACCACGAACTTCGTCTACGGTTTGCTGGAATTGTAACTACTCTCATAGTAGTTAATATCTTCGACTTCGAGGATGATGCTGATCCTGATGCTCGTCCTCCTGAAGATGTTATTGTTAAAAAGTCCCTAATATAATATAGTTACACAACAACAACTCCTTTATCCTCAACCGGTCATAAAGCTCCAGCTCTAATATCGCGTTTTGGTTCCCGGGAGTTGCATTCGGGGTCTTCTTCATCATCAACCTTTTTATCTGGTACACCGGGAGCAGCCGCGCCGTACCCTTTGCAACCATGTTCAACCTGCTTCTTCTCTGGTTCGGCATTTCCGTTCCCCTGGTTTTTCTTGGTGCGTATGTCGGATATCGGCGTGACGCCATCGAACTACCAGTCAGGACGAACGCGATACCACGTCACGTCCCGGTTCAACCGTGGTTCACAAAACCGCTGATCACAAGTCTCATCGGAGGAGTGTTGCCCTTTGGCGCGGTTTTCACCGAGTTGTTCTTCATTCTATCCTCGATATGGCAGCACCAGTTCTACTACCTCTTCGGATTTTATGGCAAGGAAAAGGAAATTGTACTTGTGTGTAAAACTTTGAAATTACTGACATAATTGTCATAGTTTTGGTGATGGGCAGTTGAAGTGGTATCTCCAGCTCTTAAGGCTGGTAGTTCTGTATTTCGTCACTTTTAAACACACTGGCAATCATGCTGGTGTTCGAATAACTACAAGTTATTCTTGAACAACATCAATCTGGAACTACCGGAGAAATTACTACTACTCACAACCACCTCGTCCACTCCCCAAGATGATGCTTCTAACTACCTCTCTTCTTGGTGCTTATCATCCTTGTGGTCACGTGTGTGGAGATTTCGATCGCGCTAGTGTACTTTCAGCTCACTTCCGAAGACTATCATTGGTGGTGGCGCAGTTTCTTCGCTAGCGGCTCATCTGGGCTTTATTTAAGGCTTGTACAAAAAATGCATATCAATGACAACATCGATCCACTTTTTTTTCAACTTCATCTGACGCAAAAAATTGATATTGTCCTGACAAGTTAGTGCTTGCGCTTGGGTAATCCCCGCCTTTGTTCTCGTTGTGCTCTAATTTCCGTTTTCCTCTACGCTTTGTTGTACAAGGCAACGCGTATGCAGATCGACGACTTCGTGCCTTCCCTGGTGTACGTCGGCTATATGGCCTTGATGTCATATGGGTTTTTTCTCCTCACAGGCGCCGTTGGGCTCATGGGCGCTTTCGCTTTTGTGCGAGTTATATACGGAAGTATCAAGATCGACTAGAAGAAGCGTTGATTTAGATGAGGAATTTCGGGTTGTTGGCCTCGTCGTGACGGATACACGAATTATAGTTCTGAAAAACAAGTTAAACAAGTTAGTACATGATGCAGAAACACGACCAATCAATCATATCGATCAGAAAACAAATTGAAATAATTAGAATTAGTGCTATGGGTCGAGCCAGAAACGCCGGTAGGCATCTTGTATCAATTCTATATTCTCTGTTGTTGCTTATGCTTTTGATTTCATCCTGCTTGAACATTGTTGTGTTGCCTTGGTTTGTTTATCTCGTTTTCCAACAAATAAATGTTAGGTACATTTATTATAGTTTGGACTAAGAGTTCTTTTTATTTTTTCAGGACATCAAGTAGTAGGACGAAGAACTACCTTCTAGACGCAGCGTCTGCCGTGCTTACAACTACGTTTGACGTATTTTGCAAAGCCGAGGATGAAACCTTCCTCGTCTGTTTTCATTTCGCAACAAGGACTGCGACTGTGGTTGACGCATCCGTTGTGGATGTAATCTTTATCCTTGCAACAACAACAGCACTTCTCTATCTCTCCCCACTTGAAGATTATCTTTTCCCCGATGCTCGCAGATGTAAAAACCTTCTCCTTCTCCAAAATGAAATGTAGTGCGAACTATTACAACTCGAATTCAGATTCACAAAACACTGCAGGCGTAAAGATAGCAGAGTCACTTTTTTTGTAGTTTTTTGGGGTAACAACACCTGATGGTGAAAAAGATCTGTCATGCAGCAACGACAGTACCATAGGACTGAGGATGTATTTGAAGAATTGGAATTTTCATTTGGTATATGCGATACAGAAGGAAAGTGTTCTACCCAGTTTCGTTCTGGCTTGCGATGATATCGATTAAGAGACTGACAATAATTGAGTATCGGTTCTTCAATTTGTTGCCACGATCATACTTTCGGAGATGTGAGGGTGGGATGATGACCTTGAAGAGAAAGAGAGTGATAGCAGTTGTACCAAGGCGTCCACACGAATGAGTGATGAAGATGAGAGTGATGCACGGCTTCCATAATGAAGAACTTGTTGTTGATGTTGCCGTGACACCTTTGTTTTTCTTACAAGCTGCTTGGCATAAGAAAGTGTTTCTTATGCTAAGAGGTTCTGCTCGGATGCGTTCTCGCATTAACACCTACTATGCATCAATCTGGATATCGATTCAGATTCAAAAATGACGCATCGTGATAACCAAAGATGTCCGAGCAAGTGCAGCCTGGATTCTACTCTCAGTCAAACCTGCTTAGCGTGTTCAGTAAGAGGTGATCTACGCGATAGGTCTGCTTGCAGTCATCCCCCGTTCAGGTTGGAGACTAGCACGAAGGAATTTGCGACTGCACCACCGTATGCCGATGTAAACTTGTTGCGAAGACGAGAGGAAGTGCCAGCTGATCGGCCTAGTGTCCGCCCGGATTCATCGTCCTCTTCCACATCAAAAGATACAACGCCGATCTCCACTGGGCTGCGACGTGCGATCGATGCCGAACTGCACTGTCCAGCTGTCCTCCGAAGAACATGCTTGTGGCCGCTCTTCAGACGAGAATGGTTGAGGAAAAGCCTTTCACGGCAAGAGCAGGAGGACCATAGATCATATTCGTATTGTAAATCTAGGCATAGCACAGGAGATGGGGATGTAGCGCCTGCTGGAGGAAATGTACAACTACAGAAACCGCTGATCTTCGTGTGGCCCTCCGCAATAATGCAGCCGAGAAGAGCACAAGCAAAAATGAGTCCAATTTGGCGAATATCGACTCTCCAGTGGTGCTGGGTCGTACTGGTGTTGCTGTTTTTTTCGTCCTTGATTTTACAAGATCTGATGTCTCTGCTTTCTTGTCTGCACCGGATCGGGATCCGCAGTTGTGGCAGTGAAGGAGCATTGCACTCACAAGCTCGAGAGGACCATAGTTGTAGGAGGAGATCCTGGCAATGGGGGCATGGTGAAGATGGTCAGCAGGAGGGTCCAGCGTGGTCCTGCAGGAAGAGCAGTGGCTTTCGACAAAACCGGAACGAAGAAACAGCAGCTGACTCCACCCTGCTTCGTGCGATGTCGTCACTGACAACTTGGCCAACATGGACGACTACAGAGGTAGAAAATGACCAACAGAGCCCCCTCAGGCAAGATGATTTTTCCAACACGTCGATCTTCACAAGAGCGAGTTCATCTACCTGGAGTATCCTCTCCTCTGGTCCGATTTTGTTCGCAGCCGCCCAATCAGACGCGCTGGCGATGGCGGAGTTTTTTCACATGGTTGAGGAGTCCATCGAACATGTTCCAGCACACATGACGATTTGTCAATTCGGGTTGCCTCCATTCAACGAGTTGCTCACTCACCAAATCTTTGCAAGGTTTACAAAACCCAAATGGCAAGAGACTTACGTCCACTTTCTCCATGTAGATGGTGATACAGATGAGAACTTCAAACTGCTACAAGAGACCTACCGAAAAGAGCTTGCGGACGGCGACGAGATCGACGACGCGAAAGATTTGAAGATGGTGAATGTTATGGTGTGAATGTCGTGAACAAGGAGTAGGAGTACTAAGACGATGGTCTACTTATAATAGATTAGTTTATAGAACGGATGTAGGATGGACTTGGATGGATCGGATGGACCCCCCTGATTCTTCCGATCCTACTTGAAATGGTGGAAAGTCCATCCGATCCATCCCATCCCGGATCTGGCACCCCTATAAACTGCTCTATTATAATTCATTGTGGTACCCAGTTTAACCCAAAACGTGTAACTGTAAGTAGCTGCTCCTGATTATAACAAGACAAGTCCTGTGCTGCTTCCTCCACCTTCTCGACGACCTCTGCCTCTAAGAACAGCATCCGTTCGATCCCGCGTGTACACGCTTTCAAGGAGGTGAGTGAGTTCGACTCCTATTGTTCGATGATCATCCTGTCACTGCATCATCCGCACGTCAGTTTCGAGGACGTTTCCTTCATCGCGAAAAAGATTCCGTCGATTTTTCTTGCCTACATCAAGACGGAGACTAGTTGCCACGAGAACCAGCTGGAATGTCGGTGGATGTCCCAGAGCTGGGAAGCTGTGCTTGGTTATGACATCTTCAAAAGTATTAGTGTACTTAGTTACAACATGATTGAGTTAACTCGACGTGGTCGGAGTTGCAAAGAACGGGAACGCTATTGCAGTTGAAATTATATCGTCGTGTGGCACTTCAAATTATATCGAACTTTGATTATTTCGTAATGCCGTTGTTCTTCTACATTGCGAACTGCAAGTAGAGCCTGCTGCTCTAAGAGAGCGAAGCCAGCAACTGTGGCAGCAACGTGTGCCTAGGTATGGTTCCCAGTGACGCTGTGTTTGACCAGGTGCAGGCGCAATCGCCCATGATGGATTGCACTGAGTTTCTGGATAAGGAGTCGCGGCCCGCCTCCTGGACGACCCAATGGCAACAAGATTGGTTTGTCTACCATAACTTCTTTGTAGACAAATTCAGCCGGCCAACATCTGAGGAAGATGACAGGGGCGATCAAGATCATGTAGTTGGAGGAGTTCACAGATCCTCGAAATCGGCTGTACAAACGATAGGGGCCTCGCGTGGAAGATCAACATCGGAAACCACATTTCCGCTCCTTGGCTCTGCCTTCCCGCACATTGAGGCGGCGGACGCAAACCGACAGGCACGCACGAAGTTCTACTTTGCTGAGGTCGGAGCATATCATCCGTTCAAGTATTCAAACACGCTGCTGTTCGAAAAGTGCCTGCACTGGGATGGGATTTGCGTAGAACCGAATCCGTACCACGCTCACCTTTTCTATGGATGTTGTTTTTTGCATCTATCAGACCATCAAGGCTCCTGTTAAGACTATACGTTTTTATGGGGAAAGGGATAGCCGTGATGGTCTGCCTAGATGGAATTATAGACGCCATTCATATTCTCAAGACCTACAGACGCTGCCAACTAGTCCCACATTGTGTCTGGTCTCACGAAAAAACTGTAACGATGTCCTTCGCAAAAGACATTATGGTCCATGATGATGATGACAACGCCCTATATCTTGTTACCAAGTACTAAGGACACAATCTTCAAGCTCACAACTATTAATAGTATGTAAATGTATATAGAAAATTACAATCATCAATGTCGTCCTCAAGATCATACTCATAGGCACTCCGAGAATCAATACATATTTCATCCTCATCATGAAGTAGAATTGTAAGTATTCTACTTAGAGGCGCTAGAATCTACAACACGAACACCAAGATGGAATCTCGTCTATCTCGTGATTACAGCTCTTTCATAAGCCTGATCGAAGCAGCTGTGCCAGATGACGACACCGGAGACATTCCGGACATAAACAGCTACGATCTGCAGCAGCAAGCGAAAAAACCTTCTCACCAATTTTTAAGGCTTCAGTCGATATGTGCTCATGACACCCCTCAGTAGTTAATCATCAGCAGTGATTTTTTCAGTTTCGAGTTTTACTAGTTCCTCCTTCCTGGAGTCCAATATTTGATCAGGATGTTGAAGAAAGAGCCACAACGTTGTAGAACAAAAGTAATGGATGGTCGTCGTAATTTCATCAAATTCTAAAGCCGGAAGCCGTTTGCTACCCTCTAGATCTGATTCTGTCTGCTTTTTTCGACTTTCCGAAAAACGAATTCGGACAGCGCATTGTCGATTACATCAGTCTGGACGCAGAGCACGCAGAAGTCGAAATCCTCAATTATGCTTGCTAGTGCTCGCAATCATGCAGATACTTGTCTTTGCTGTAGTCCTACTTGAAGATCGACATTAGCGCTGGCGACAACATAGGAGCATAGAAAGAAAGCGTGGTCGAGACCATCTTCTCAAATGTCGTAGCTCTAGTGTTTATCTGTTGATCGAGGAACCGGAGGCATTTCTCTAAACTTCAGTTTTTCCCTTTTCCGAGTACGATATCCAGGTCTGGTTGATAGAGGTACAGCCGGACAATTTTTACGCGGTTGACTCGATCCTGTTGTCGAACGGTTTCGGTAAAGTAGCGGTTTTGGGCGGCGACCATGTCTACATGAAACTGGGAAACCTCTTCACGCGATTAGTTATGGACTGCTTTTTACAGTTGGAATTTCAATTTTGAAGAATAGATGCAAGAACAAGATCGATGAAGATGGTAAGCAAGTCGTAATTCTAGCTCTGCTCCTCCTGCTAGTACTACTTGACTAGAGTTGTGCTCTTGACTAAACTCATCATCTACAACTTCAAGTTGAACAGCATTGTTCCACATGATTTTTCCTCTGACTCATCTCTAATCTTCACATTCCTGCGAGCGCGCGCAAAGAAGCAGACGCGATTATGGGCAATAAGACACATGGCTTCCACGAGCACAAGAAACCGAAAATCGATTATTCTACCAACCGACCGCGCAGCGCGTTAAAAAAATCTACCGGGAGTGGCTCCTTAGGAGAAGATGCCTCTCCACCTTCAAAACAAGATGAACTTTGAAGGTGGAGGATTGCCAGGTGAGCTCTTTTAGGAAGGGAATACTAGCAGGTGATGAAGATGCACAAAATCAATCGTGACGAAACAATTGTTGAGTATCTACACGGTCACGTTGAGTAGTTGTTCTTGAAAATCATCGATTATATAGACTAGGGTGTCCTCCGCCCTATCGAGGAATAACTTGATATTGTTGAGCGAAAAAATCTGATGACGTTTTTCTCACACTGATATGTCTGGTTGAACAGCACTGGGAGCGTGAACAGCTTGAAGTTTTTTCGATCTCGTGAAAGTCGCTCAATGACTATAATTTTCTGGTGTCAGTGTCGTCTGTCTCAGGAGAACATGATGACGAAGATCAACTTGGCAGAGAACAGGATAGAAAACTTTGTTAACAGGGTCAAAACTCGATCGAGTTCTTGAAAGTTTTAGAGGTGTGGGTGACCACACCTCGTCACCTGGCTCTCACCAAGCTAAGACCATAGTACTACAAAAGTTGGAGTTCCGTTTTCTCGAGCGCAACTACAACCGCAGTTTTCAAAGGTATTTGACAAGGATACGACGAGCAAGTTGTTGTACATTGACATGAACATGTTGACTAAGAAGTACTTACATAATTGATAGTATCGCAAACAGATAGTCCTCATGCAGCCCCATCTTCCATGACAAGATCACCAAAAGGACATGGAATAAAGATCAACCTCGAAGATCACAGTGAAGTAGAGGAGCGTAGGCAAGAACATCGTTTGTTCACGAATCGATTGCTTCATTTCATTTCAAGGAGTACAAGGCCGAAACGATCTTGTCATCATCTTGTTCCTTTGAAATGAAAAATTTACAGGACAACCAAAACAACGGGAATCAAAAAGCAACATCAGAAGAAGTGCAATTTGTACCCGACAAAACCAAGAATAACTAGGATAACCGTAGCGAGCGATAACAAACGAAAAACGTAAAATAATCTTCCTATCAATCTGAATACAACATTGCATAAAATATTAACGTGAATATAGCAGAATTCTGCGACTCCCGATATACTACATACCCGACCACAATCAGCTATCGCAGCTCCTCGTCCACCATAATTTCGTGTTTTGAAGTCAGAAACAGAACAAGAGGGTCGTCGGGAACGATCATTACATTTTTGTTTTAAATTGAGAGCGGACTACTACTACTTCTAGATAAAAAAAGTCAAATACAAGAACAAGACAAAATGCCGGAAGGAGTGAAAACGAGCCTGAAGAAGAATGTGAAGCCGACGGACTTCAAGGGTCCGCAGAAAGCCCGTTCTGCCTTCATGATGTTCTGCGACAAACACCGAAGCAAGGTCATGGCAGACCTGAAAGTCGATAACCCAGCCCCCAAGATCAGCGACAGCGCCAAGAAGTTGGGGGAAATGTGGAAAACTGCGAAGACGTCCGACGAAGGCAAGCAGCTCGAAGAAGAAGCTAAGAAGGAAAAAGCGCAGTATGATGCTAACCTCGAAGCATGGAAAAGCTCCGCGGATTACAAAGAATTCATCAAGGTACAACAACTCGTGGCTCTGCTTCTTCACTTTGACTTGGCAGTAGACATAAAGAAAATATGAGCGAAGATACGAACTATGGCTGATGCCGATCATTTTGCTTTTGAAGATTATAAACTAGAAACTTCTTGACAACAGCACGTAGTCGATGTTCTCGATTCGACCCCGTGTAGTTCTAGTTCTTGGGTAACTTCTCATTATCATCATTGTCAACATGCAACAATAAAACGGGATAATTATGTTGTCCTACAACCGTCACAAACAAGGCTGACAGCGCGCACAAGAAGAAGCAGGCAGTCACCGCCGCCACTAAGAAAGCGAAGGATAGCGGTATGCCCAAAAGACCACTGGGGGCCTACATGTCATTCGCTGCGTCGAAAGTGGGTGAGGTGATCGCTGACTTCAAAAAGAAAAACAACACTGAAAAAGCTCCGTCCATGGCTGAGCGCACGAACCTGATAAAGCCGATGTGGGAGGCTCTCGGCGAAGCAGGTCGCAAGGCCTGGGAGGACAAGGTACAAGAAGAGAAGGTGAAATACGAGGAAGACCTGAAGAAGTGGAACGAGTCGGAGGATGGAAAAGCGTACTATTTATTTTGTGAACGTCTTATTTACATTGAGACCACAGACGTGACGGACTTTCTTTTTTACAACAATATTCGCCCCGCAGTTTTCAAGTTCTTCGTTTGTGATTTTCATTCTTGTGAACAAGACGTACTATCATCTTCATCTATCAGACTCTTGCTCTTCCTCTTATCGCTATGATCGGACAACTACTACTACATCATCAGATACGCACAAGCGATATTGGACACTGATCCGAAGAAGGCTTTGAAAGCTGCTGGCGAGCCGACCCGACCGCAAAGCGCGTACTTTCTCTTTCAGGCCTCCATTGCAGAGGAAATCGCAACCGAATTCGCTACCAAGAACAACGGAAAGAAGCCTTCACTGAAGGACTCTGCCCCGCTCGTCAAAGGTGCTGATACTTACACTTAAAAAGAACTTCTGGGTGCTTAATTTTTTGCCTCCTCATCACCTGTTAAAGTTGTAGCTTGCATAGCAGAAGGAAACGTGAGCAGCGGTGACTTTCTTCCAACAACGAGGAGCGCCACGGTAGAAGCAACGGCTTCAACATCAGAGAAATCCGTAGAACTCAGAAGAGACTCAGGGAAGTCGTGGACCCAATCCGAACCAACTAACGTCATCGCGTGGGTGTTTCCTTATATATAGAATAGTTTATAGACGGTGGGAAGGTGGGCAACACTGGGCGGCCGCGCTTGGCACGGTGGGCGGACATGAGGGGCACGGTGGGGGCACGCTGGGCGCATATGCCGTTGCCTCGGTGCTTGCGGCAATCTGCAGGGCCTCCTTGCACTCCTGTGCGAAGTGGCCTCGTTCTCGCTGCTTGCGTTGCTGAGTGCTCCGCTGCTGTATGCAGTGCCGCCTGGGTGTGTAGAGTGCGGCGCTGCGCTGTTGTGTGCAGCGCTTTGCTGCTGCAGTGTGCGGCGCTGCTGAAGGGTATTGCCGGGTGGGTCAGTAAGTGGGAGCCCTGATTCGTGTGCAGCTCGCTGCAAATCCAAAACTCTTGCCGTGGGGTATCAGAAACTGGCGCCCGGAGGGCGCCTCTATTTTTGGCCCCCTGCCTCAAGGTGGGCGTACGGTGGGCGAAATGTCTGGCAGAAGACGCACTTTTGGGCGGCCCAGCGTGCCAAGCGTGCCCACCGATACGATTCCGGGGAAAAAGTTGAAATATGGTTTTCTATTGGCGCTAAGTCAACTAAGAACTGCACAAAAACGGTCTTTATTGTCGCCTCCTCGTCATGCAAGTGCTCCGCTTAGCGACTTTTGTAACTTGTTTCCTCTTGGTTTTTCTGTCGTTTGGTTTCGTTTCATGTGAGTCCCCGCGCCCCTCCAGAGTCCACCGCACCAGCCTGCAAATGTATGCTGGGGGATTCTGGAGGGGCGCGGGGATTTGGAGGGCGCCCGAGGTTCTTGGCTCGCAATTGGGTGAGGGTTTTCCAGAAGGGAGCGCAGTAGGCGGCGAGTGTTCTGCGGATTCGTATCATGCCCGAGAAGATTGAACTTTGTCCGGATTTTTGCAGTCCTTAGTTGAATTTTCTCCATTCTAACTCCACTTGTCTGTGGTCGAATTTTTCGCCATAATCGGAGAGGTTTGAGACACTCCGCCCGAGGTTCTTCGTTCTTGGGTCTTTTCATGTTGTTAAGTGTTAGACTTTTGACCACCCGGCGCCCCGAGGCTCTCGCGCCGGGTGGGATTAGTTACAAAGAAGAAAGACGCACCGCCGCCCTTAAATGGTCAGACCACTCACGCGCGCCGCCGTGTGTGCGCAGATTGTCGGGGGCGTTTGCTGGCGTTGTCCGCACTCTTTTGAAGTATTTCAGCGGACAACTTTGCGGAGGTTTCGCCGGAATTGAGTAAGCCTCTCTATTGTTTACCGGGTTCCCGCTCGCTAGGCCATTTTTGAAGAAAAAACTGAAAAGATGTCTTCAGATTTTTTTCCAAAAATGGCCTTGCGAGCGGGAACCCGGCAAACAATAGAGAGGCTTACTCAATTTCGTGGCGTTTTTCAAGAAGGGCGGGACCGGTTGCCGCCTGAATTCCCAAGGGCTTGCGCCTCCTCTTTTTGTTAAGTTTCGATGGTGTGGCGTGCTCGCTGTGCCTCTGGTGCTTCCGCAGGTGGCTGATTAGAATGGCGCTAAGTCAACTAAGAACTGCACAAAAACGGTCTTTATTGTCGCCTCCTCGTCATGCAAGTGCTCCGCTTAGCGACTTTTGTAACTTGTTTCCTCTTGGTTTTTCTGTCGTTTGGTTTCGTTTCATGTGAGTCCCCGCGCCCCTCCAGAGTCCACCGCACCAGCCTGCAAATGTATGCTGGGGGATTCTGGAGGGGCGCGGGGATTTGGAGGGCGCCCGAGGTTCTTGGCTCGCAATTGGGTGAGGGTTTTCCAGAAGGGAGCGCAGTAGGCGGCGAGTGTTCTGCGGATTCGTATCATGCCCGAGAAGATTGAATTTTGTCCGGATTTTTGCAGTCCTTAGTTGAATTTTCTCCATTATAATCTTAATGATTTGATGTTGGATTCTTATCGACTCTTCCTCTACTTTGATCTTCCATATCAACAACAGCTAAGTGGGATGCTCTCAGTGCGGATGAGAAAAAGCCGTTTGAGGAGAAAAATAAGGCAGCCGCGAAGAAATATGAAGAAGATATGAAGGAGTTCAAGAAAACTGACGCCTATAAGAAGTATTCCAAGATGCTGAACAAGCGAAAGAGCTCCACCAAAGCGATGAAATCCAGCAAAAAGAGAAAAACTGACAGTAATGAAGATTTACATTAAATTTGGACCTACTATAACTTAAACTTGTCTTTGGTCTTCCTCGGTTCATCAACAGTACTAACTTAAACTTGTTGCTGCCCACCCGCACTCCACTGATGCAACTGTTGGCATCATGATGATGTTGATGTCTTCTCATCTAGTATTGATGTTTATTCTGCTGGATGTTTTCTTGGCTCATGTTTCAACACCAAGAACAACGTGTACCCTACTGCTCACTCTATTGAGTCTTACCCTTTCCAAATCGAAAATTTCTGCAGATGGCGACGAGCCGCAACCGGAGGAGAGCCCGGATGGCAGCAACGAACACGAGGACGAGGAGAGTCCCGAGGATAGCCCCGAAGAGGAGTCTCCGGAAGCAGATGGTGAAGAGGGAGAGCAAGAAAAAGAGCAGGATGCTTAAGTGTGCAGCACGACCTAGAAAGCTGCTGGATTATTATTTCATCTCATCAACATGGTTACAACGACTTTTTAAATATGATGATCGGGGATGTCCTCTGTACCGAGATAGACAGACGTGGTCTTGCTTTTCAGGGGTTGATGCCCTGCTACAAAAGTATGAAAAATCATGAATTAGCATTATTATCTCATTCTTATATAAACTCCATCGGCATCGACATCGTTTGAAAGTTGTATTTTTTATGAGACTTCTAAAGTAGAAAATCGACATCGATGTCGATGACTCATCGATACCAAATATTAGCTCAAAAACCTTTTCTATCATAATCAAATGAATGAATATTAACATTATCTCAGAATTATACGCGCGAGGAATGAAATATAGCGATGACTATAGTTGTTTATCGACGGCTTAGGAACAACGACGTTGTTCCAGGCTTACCCCATCAAAAAATCAAAATGAAGCAATCCCAATCACTCGCTGGCAGGATACAAAATTGTCCTCCACATCTACGCAGGTGAATGACATTCTATATGACCAACTAACAAAATATGTTCTTGTAGGAGGTCTCTTGATCCTCTTCTTGCCATCAGGAGAACTTTTTCTCTAGCAAACTTATACTGTTTTCTATCTGTGGTGAAATGATGAAAAAATCACCTAACAAAGGGACCACGAGGCACAGGTAGACAAGCCTCGTAATAGCGGTCCTTTTTGACGTAGAACAAGAGGCGCAACTAAAGTAAGTCACTCGTTCCGCATCGTGAACGAGGAAGTCACTTCGTCGAATGGGTGTTCTAAGTAACTGCACGTGGTTCATCTTGTTGATTTTCACCTCATGAAAGGCCGCGAGTTATACATAAGAAGTATAATTGCTTTACCTAGCCCTAGTCTGTCAATCTGAGAAGTGTGATGTAGTTCCTCGTTGCAAACTCACAGTCACTCATTGATCATCCCACGAGGACAGATCTCTCATCAAGCAGCATGTTCCCATCGTACATAGATCCGTCCTAAAACTTGAAGATGATGGAGTAATTGCTCCGAGTCGTGTTTCGAAGAAGAGCCGCATGGTTCCGGGATCATCATGAAACTGGGATTTACGGCTACATCAGGCTTCGAAGTGCACGGCTTTGAGGGAGCTCGTAATCTTCAGAATCTGATCTCGCATAAAATCTCGATGAAGATCGATGACAGTGGAATACATGATGAACATAAGTACTTAGTACAACCTGTAGAGATAGTACTTCTAGTCAGTAGTGAAAATGATCTTCATTCAAAGAAGGAAATTATACTACTGAATCCTACAGTGTCTAGAGAGCTAATTAGACTTACGGATCTCGCCTCGAAAAGACAGATATTTCATGTAGATGAGGTTCGTCCTCCCAAAAATATCGCCTTTTTGGGAAGGTGTAGGACCCGCGATGCTCAAAACACACAAAGCAAATTAGCCTGCTAATTTCTCTCAATGGTTCGGAGATGGGGTGAACACGTGCGCGGAAAAAAAGTACTCAATCAGAGAGATTGAAGAAACTACTTTTCTCTTTTTCATCTCTTGTAAGATAAGATTTTTGACTCTCTAAGGTTAACAAGATTATTTGAGACAGGCTTTTATTTTTGATGTTTTGGAAATACTTACCTAACCTTACTTAACATCGTATATCTTCGCAATTCTACTTTTGTGTAGCTATCCATAATCATTCATTTCAATGCAAACATAGCTATACGCGACCAGACAAAACTAATTCGTTCGCTGAGTAAATCGTTATCTTAAAAAGCAAAGAATGAATAGATCAGCATTCGCTTGGATTCTTTTGAATAGAAATATGGCGTTTGTCATCGTGATCGTGTCCGAAAATCAAAAGTATTTCGAGTAGAAGAAGAAGAAATGATGTCTGGCTCTCGAGGTGTGGCCAGCGCTTCCGCCAAGGAAGTATCATCAAGACCAATGCCCAGAGGTCAGGCTGCGTTCCGAAACCCATTGTGGTTGATAATTTCTACCCGTTAGGTGGTTGAAGACTGCCCACAGGCTCATAGACTGCCAGTGTGTAGCGCATGAAAATCAATGAATGAATTATGATGAGGTAAGACTAAGTATAATGTAGTACCAGTTGCTTGCAATAAGTAGAGACAAGAAAAAAATGTCAGAACCAGCCGGAAATAACGCGACGACATGCGACTGCCCTCCTCGTGTTTGGCGTTGCTCCGGCATGAAGATGATTCTTTTCGCATTTCTCTTGGGCGAAGAGCTTTTTTCACCTACATCTATTCGAGGTGCTGAAACTAGGAGCTTATTCAGATGTACCACACCTTCTCCTGGTTCCTCTCCCAACCCTAAGATTCGTGAAGACTACGCTAATGCATCAACAACACCCACTGGTGAGTCTAGTAGGAGCCCACTAGAAAGGACGAAATGCGTCCCTGTCGCCGAGAGCTTTCGACCGCCTACTGCCTCTCGAAAACCAGAGGTAGCACCTCACGACGATGAAGCAGAGTGGTTTTCTGGCTCGAACTTTGCTGCAGACTCGATGCTACACACAGCCTCTAGTGGAGGTTTTCCTGCTGATGCTCGAACTCAATACAAAGATGGACATGGAGCTGGCGGGCCTTGCCCTGCTGCTGGACGAGATGATCATTTGTACTAAAGCTGTATTAGCGCTGACAACCATAACTATAACACCACTACCTCCTGCTTTGAGGAGCTGTTTCTCAAACAAGAAAATGTAGTTGCTGAAAATTATTGAATTAAAAGAAATTCAGATGAAACAAAAGATATTTTCAGGTCGCTCCACGGAGAATCGGGATCGCGTGCGCGAATTACAGATGATCCTGATGCGCATAAACGAAGTGATGACTTTCCAATGCTGCTACGCACCGACGAGTACACGGTGACATACGCCGATGCGTTTCGCCATTCTGCAGATACCATATGGCGCAGTGATAGGGACGCTCGTACATACCCAATGGCGCACAATATTGCTCATCTGCGACGTCCAGAAAATGGTGAGAATGCGGATGGTCAAGACTGCTCCTACTCTGCTTTTTCATCGAAAAAATATCAAGAAGAAAATGGGCTTGCAGAGCCCGCAGAAGAAGATGCTGAGCTTGAGCATCGTACATCTACTCACGTCCGCATAGTGGGTCATTATGAGCCTCCTGGTCTTGGTCGCCAAGATGCTGATGCATCAAGAAGACGACGGGTACGTTTTTCCCGGTTGCCCGCTGAAGATTCAAAAATGCCATCCTTGGGACTGCGAGGAGACGCATTCACTAGTACTCCTCCAAACGAGGGCGTTGATGGCAGACGAAGGATCCTGCGCGTTTAGTATTTTACGTGAAGACGTTGCAGTTGCTTTGTCCTGGAGTCGCTCATGAAGACGTCGAACGCTTATCGGATAAAAGTTGCTGCCTTCGTGCGGCAATGCTCGCACCCGAACAAACTCTTTTCTGATTTTGCACCATGTGGTTGTGGGTCTTGCTGGCCCCCAGCGCCGGCCCCGTGGTGTTAATATTTTTTGCTAATTTTGATCTATCGCGGTTGCTTGGTATTTTCTTCGTCTGTGAATTCCTTTTGTGTCGCTTGTACAGGAGTCAGATCTACATAGAAGGACTGACTTATGGTCATGACGAAGATCACTCTCATTCAGATATTAAGTACTTCTTTCCAATAATGAAAGAGGTTCTCGCTGTCATGCTACCCGCAACACCTACTTTTTGCGTCCCAGGAGCACAAAACCACAAGAGCTCTCTCGATACCTCAAGCAGACGGGTAAATCTAATAGATCGAAATCCCACTCCAAGTACAACAACTAGTTGTTATCTTTTGCCTATTTTCTTCATGGAGGAACAACTTCGTTCCGGAGGACTTCTTTGATGTTCTTTTTGCATGTTGAAAGGAAGGTTTCATCCAGCACATCAGCCTCTTGAGCTGGGTGCCGAGTAGTTCTTGTACTGACCTGGTGCGCGATCACGTAGTGTGGACTGTTTGGATGCTGTTGTTATTCTGGTGCGATTTGTCTTGTATTTGGTTTTGGATCTGTCTGTGCACGTATAAATATTGCTCTCCCAACGACGAGAGTCTCTTCTTGACCATGAGGCGCATGATGATTGATCTTGATTGCTGTGTTGTGTCGATATTGATCCTGAAGGTTGCTTGATGTCTAGCTTTTTCTATCCCCGACCTGTTGAAGATGATACTCGAGCAGAATAAACTGCAAAGATTCTCAACCTAATTTCTTAACAAGCAACACCGTCAACGTCATGGTCATCTCTTTTATCCAGCTTACTAGGACTAAGCTCACTTATGGACAATTGAACGACGACAAGTATAGTATCTCTAAAAATCATGGAAGAACACAATATTTTTTCTCCATCTTAACACCTGCAGCTGCAATTGTAGGCCTTGCCAAACTTTACGCCTCTGAAAGCTTTCAGGCACCCATCTTATTTAAAACAGCCTTGGCATGCACATTGCACGACGTGGAGATGTTACAGATCAAAGTCTTTTTCCTGCAATTTGCAAGTTCATCTTGACAGATGTGACTGAATTTTTTTTTGAACCTGGATGAAGTACCTATGCATGGTCGGACATAATCCACCGGCGCGCGATGCTGGACGTTCGTTTTTTCCGCAGGAAGATAACCCTTTCAACGTGAGAAATTCCACTACCACGAGAAAATAACGAAGACGTCTCGGGTTTCTATAATACTAGATCTTCGCCTCTGCCCTCTGTTGGCTTACAGTGAGGGCAGTGGGCCACTTTTCCTGATCCGTGACGATTAAAAATGGGTTTGGGTATCATCTTCATCGCGGCGCACCTCATCTTCCGTCCACTCTTGGTACTTGTGTCGGGGCGATCGTTTTGCTTCCTCCTGCTTGTCGGGGTACATGCAGCCATTCACCATCGTGGCGGGAGTTCACAAAAGGCGAGTCATCATTATGATGGAGGAGGTGATAGTGGAACAGCATGGACGAATCGGGGGAACAAGAAGTGGCAGAAATGGAGGCCTCGTGTTGACGAATCCGCACCGTCTTCCTCCGACAGTTCGGCGTCGTGGGGTTGGAGGAGGCACGATGATGAACAACCATCGTGGCCAACGCCATCTTCACATGGCAATATGAAGGGAAGACGACAACAGGCGGAACTACATCAACGGGGGAGTGACTATCATCGAGGCACTCCTCCAGGTGGCAGACCTTCCCGTGGAAGTCACGCGGTGGAGGAGGAAGTTGCCTACGTACAAGTCGGCCACGGAGGAGGACATTATGGGGCGCCGTTGCATGATCCTGCTATCCACTCCGTCCTAGGTGGCACTCACTTTGCCTGGCCGTCTCCAGACGAAATGTTTCGCGCTACCGCACAGCAGTGGTGGAACAATTCAGGCCAACTGATGTTAGATCATGAGAATATGAACTCAAACACGATGACTACGTCGACTAGACAAATCGTGTTTGAGGACAGCACTGCAGGTGGTGCACGAGAAGGCGGACGGACACGTGGATCACAATTGTATCAACAGCATCAGCTTCAGCATGAGCACTTCTTTCCTATATCTGTTGGAAAGACGAAAAAGCAGCTCCAAGCACAACATGGAGCAGGGCAATCCTCCAATTATCGTAGCGAGCGAGATTCCATCTGGGGAGATCAGGGAAGTCAGAGCTCGTATTACTGCGATCGTCGAGCGCCGGAAACGACGTGCACACTGTGGCCGGAGCCTGAAGATTGTGATGCTGACAGTTCTTATGGAGAGTTTCGGCAACACGAGGAGGAGCTACATGCAAATAGTGCTAGCGCGAACATGTTAAACGTTGATTTTTTCGGCAGCCATAATATGCTCGGAGGAGGTTGTATGCATCTACCGCCTGGTCCTCCGAACTCGCTGTTGTTCGCGTTCAATCCAATGTCTGAGGCGCTTACTCGGGCATCGCAAGTCGCAGCAGCTCCCTCCGCTACGGCTAGCGGGAGCCGCAACCCGCACGCTACAGGAGGAGCCCAGACGGGAGGACCTAGTCTTCTTAGTCAGTACAACACATTTATGCATCAACAACATTCGTCAAACCAAGCTCTGAATATGATGAATCCTCATCAAGCGGGCATGGCATCTTCTCGGCCAGCACGGCAAATGGGAGGGGTGCATCAAGGCGGGGGGCCAGATGGCTTTTCTCCTCTACTGCATCCGTTCTACTCACCTGGCGGAGAATACAGCAGCGATCCGACACCTAGCGAGGATTTCGAGGACTTCGATCTGGACGCCCCGCCGACCAGCTTGAACTCACGGGCCATGATGACCCTGATCGTACCAGCTTCGCAGAGCTACTCTCGTTCGTCTGTTATGTCTGGTTTGTCAACAGGAGCAGCCGAGGCACAGTCAACGCGTACATCTCAAACGAATCCTTTAGAAGACCACAACTTTGAGGTGTCGCACAGTGCGCAGAAGGTGTACGAAGACTTTGTAGTTGCACCTGGGGACACGATTACGATCGGAGGGACTAGCGCCGCTGATGGACAGCAAGAGCCTACAGTCGTAGAAGTCGAAGGGCAGGCTTATCGCCGACTGCCAGCCTGGTGGGGCCAAGAACACGGGGTGTTATCTCCAGGTTTATCCAACGCCAAAAATCGATATCGCATGCACGCTGTGTACGTACGTCTTCCGGACGGGCTCCTATCAATTTTTGATCCGGAGAAACTAAAAATGGACTTGCTCACCTTCGTTCTTGGGGGCGACGATGACAATGCTAAGGATATTGAACAAGATTCTGTTGGACTTGGAAAACTCTCAGAAACAGTTCCTGCTACTGGTTCTCAACCTCGCTTGCAGTGTGAGATTTCTCCTCCGGGGCACGACCTAAATACCAACATGTCTTCCGATCAACCGGTTAGAAGCACACCAACGACGCATAGTATCACTACCACGCCAGCGTTCGTCGACACCACGCATACCGCAGCCACAACCGTTTTTCCTGAGCCTGCCAGAAACATGACCCTGGCAGCCACTAGAGACAGCCTAGCATCAACTGGTGGTGGCACAGGTTTGGGTCATGTTGACGCTCTAGCATCTTCAGCTGGGTCTAGTAGTGCCTCTTCGACGGTACTTGATGTAGACCAAAGTCAAACTGTGACTCCTACAGGAGAACTTTCATCTGGTCCCTTAAAAAGTGTTCGATTTGACGAGGGTGCGAATGAAGTGATAGTTGTAGATTTGGAAGAGGAATGGCCACCTAGAAGTTACACCAGTATAGGAGTACGAGGAGAGCATACCTTCAGCACGGCCGCTATGACATCAACATCTGGCAGCACAGGAGATACTAAGCTTATTTTCGAATATGCTCGAAGAGTTGCTGCAGCGTCCTCGCTCCCTGGTTCGTCATCATCATCCTCATTAAGCTCGTCGTCGGATTCGAGCTCTACCGCTAGTGAAGATGCTGGCCTCGCAGAGGACGAAAGTGGCTCAGCAGCCAAGGCGGTGGATCTACTTGATGTTGCTTCTCGAGCAGATCACGGTGATGATCGAGATGTTGCTGGTGTTGACGAGAACGGCATACAAAATGGGGACGGCAAGGTGCCAACAGGTCACACCTTGAAAGAGATGACATTGACGAGCGCAACTAGAACTGGGATCTCATCCCCCCGTGCTTTCCAACGTGGACCAAAATCCAGAGGCGCCGTGCCGGATGTGGTCGAAGATGCTGCTTCATCACAAAGCCCCTCAGAAGCAAGCCCGCCTGCGTTTCAGCAAGGACAAAGGAAAAAAGAGTTGTTCAAGCACTTTAATGCACCTGGAGCTGCTCCCGGTGAAACCAGCCCTCCTCAACCTATGCAAGGAAAAGACTCTCCGACTCAACAAAAACAGGAGTTAGTCCCAGACAGCCAGAAGGTATCTCGTGCAAACGAAAGCGCTCCGCCTGCGGAAATTATCACGACAAAGGGAGCCACCGACTCCGCAGATGTTGAAGTCGATATTGAACCGATAATGTTTCTTCCTCCAACACATGCTGCAGAAGATGATGATGACGATACATTCATCCCGGTAAACTACGGAGATCTTCAACATGACGAAGCATCTTCAACGAGGTCTACAGTCTGTTCGTCCCCATCTTTGGTATCTTTATCAGCAAGTGATCACTCCAGGTCATCGTCTGCCACTTCTAGTGCATATTCTTCGCCAAACTTGGGGGGTCTACCGTTTGCCCATTCAGCTCCTGAATTCGAACCATATGCTCTTGATCCTAATGACCCTGCAGCTGCACTTGCGCAAGAAGCTTTACCGTCGAATGTGGATCTTCATCGCCATGAAATGTTATACACGGGAGAACGTGAAGGTGAAGAGCGAGAGCAGAAGCATGGGAACAATCCTCCAGATCAAGAGGACCTTCTTGGTTTTCCAACAAAGGTGGACGCGGATAAGGATATTGAAGATGAAAGAAAAACCAGTCGCGCAAACGAGTCCACTGGCCGTGTAGATGAAGCCGCTCTCTCGTTGGCGCACGCAGCTCGAGCAAAAAAAATAGGAGGTAGTAAGAAACGTAGTAAAAATTCGCGCGGCTCGAAAGCGAGAAACTTTCAAGAGAATGAGATGAGGAAAACTAGTACATCAGGAGTTGTCTATTCAGGAGCGCCTGAAGAATCAGAACCTGCTCCTCCTGCATGCAGCTCTACTGGAGGGCGTGCAGACGCCAATTCTCGTGCTGAGGTATCTTCAAGCAAAGCGAAATCTTCAGCACATTTAAAAACTACAAAGCAGCAAGAGCAACAAGATGGGGACGGAGTTGTATTGAAGCAGTCTCGTTGTAGTTTTTCTACTAATGCGGAGGCGCAGGCGCAGGGTGTCAGATTGGATTCGGACGGGGAAGAATTGCATGAGCCGATGGACATTCCGAAGGAACATTTGAAATCGTGCTTGAAACAACAAGGAACGCCGTTTTGTGGTCACGCCGCTACAACCAACCCAACAAAAGGGCTTGTCGAGGACGAACCAAGCAAGGACCGGCAAGATCAAGTAGACCACGAGTGTGAAGAACATCAATCTTCCTCCTGGCTTTCTTTCTTTCTGATTCGCCGGAGTATATGCTGTAAGCGTCGCTCGCGACAGCTAGGCGTGATAGGGTCGGTTCTCTATGACGAGTTTTGTGGCGTTGTCCGACCCACTGACTCCGACATCAGGTGTGACAACATCGAAACAGCAGAGCAGCTCTTCTCTGCTATGTCCTTGTTCAACGACAAGTCAGGAGAAAAAGCTGCGCACGAGCACGACGAGTTGATGAAACGTGAACAAGACCATTGTGCTCTATCAGCCAGTCGTGGTGTACTTGCTCCTAGAGCTGGAGCAAGTTCTGCACCCACTACCCCTTCTGGAACAATAAACAAAGCCAAAGAAAATGGGACGTTTCCACTGGTTTCACGGCTGGCTTCGAGGAGAAATCTGAGCGAATCAAAAACACGCAGACTGGAAGAGATGTTGCATGGTGAGAAAGAGGTAACGAAGCAGATATGGCAAATTTTACGTTCCCATGAGCTAACCGCTGAAGAGACTTCAAGCGCCTTCGAAGCACTCTGGGAGATAGACGAGTCAATGCCACTTCTATCCTCACCAGTAGCGGACGGGGATCAAGAACATGCAGAAAAGCAAGATGAAGCGGTTGGAGGTGTCGACAAACAAAACCAAGATGAAAATACAACGACTGCAGCGGCGAAGGCAGCTAAAGCTAATGCTAAGAAAAGTCAAGAAATCGCGCGTGAACTCCTTAAGGTTTTTCCTGTACGAGTTCGAGCACAAGCGCAGGCTGCGGCGCAAGAAGCCATGGACGCAGCTCAGCTGGAGAAGAAGCTGCGGATTGACAAAGTTGAAGCTTTAGGGAATGTTGACTCAGACACACATTTTTTGAGTCGCAAAGAACGTCGAGATCTGAAGAAAGGCCGAGAGGGAGGTAGCAAAGACGACCATTCCACCAGTCGCGATAGCGCAAATCCGACCTCTCGAGGGTCGTCAACTTCCACAGTGGATACGAGAAATCGCAAAGTAGAGAAAGTGCAGGGTCTTCTATCAAGATTCACGACCGGACGCAGGCGCTGGCTACGCTTTGGTGTGCCGGGTGAGTCGAGATTCGATACTTCTGATGTCCATCGATTTGTTCGTGGTAGAAATGCAGATTCAGCTAGCACAGGAACTAGAACTCAAAAAGCGGAACTTGCAGCGGACGACACGATGAAACAAGGCAAAAGTCCATCTGCTCCGACAACAGATGTCAACAAGGTAACTTCTCTGTTCTCTCGTCTTCGGCTAACTAGTGGCAATCCTGCCTCAGTCGGTGGTGCTACTAGTCCAGTTCAACGTGGAGGAGAAGGCGAAAAAAATCTTCAAGTTGAAGGAGCTCCAGTAAATCCGCTGTATCTGAGCCTTAGAGAAGATGCAAATATTAACAAAAGCGTCCAACAACAACTAGAAGGAAATTTATCTGAGCGATCGTCTGGAACTGGATCTACTACGTCGTCGCGGAACACGACTCATTCATCTTCATCTCAGCGTGGGATACGAAGTAACTCATCTTCATCTAGGACGAGCACGGCCACGAGCGCGAGCGGTAAAGACGGTTCGTCTGCAATTCCGCTATTACCAGCTCTTGCAAGCACGAAGGAGTTGAATAGGCAGAAGCATAATGCTTTTCTAGCACGGAAAGAAATACTTGTAGAATTAGCACAGAAACGAATGGAGCAACTAAACAGCTGGCGAAAAAAGTTGACTGAGAAGCACCACGCTCAAACCGAGGCAACGCAAGAAGAGACTCGTGCGCGAGAAGCACAAGAGGAGGAGAAGCACGCGAGGCACCTCGCACATTTAAAGTGCGAAACGAAATACCGATGTGAAGCCGTGCAGGATTTCGTCCGTTCCAATTCGTCCTCCGTCAAAAGGGAGACGCATCAAATAGCTGGCGCAAAGCACCAGGAGATCGACACTGAAGCAAGAGTGCCTCTCCGTGAGGACGAACAAGACAGAGACGATAAGGCACAAGATCAAGAACAGCATGGCGCGTTACAACCGCAATTAGAAGATGGATGTGCTGGACATGATGGAGTTGACGAAGGAGACGCCGCACGAACCTGTACGAATAAAAGTCGAGATCATGACAAAAATGAAAAGACTCATTATAGTGCTGCGTCCAACTCCACCGAGGGCAACACAAGCAGCACCGCAAATAGTATTTGCACGACTGCGGCAACCAGTTGTACGGATGTCGAAAGACGCTCCACAGCGGTGGACGAGCAGGTAAAAGACGAAGAAAGGCCTGAAGAAGTCGTGGACATTGTTCCGAGGGAAATAGAGGTGACAATCGAAGGAGAGGACGGCTCTTCGCGACATCAGCGCCTGGTCTTAGCGCGTCCACCAGACTTTCCTGATCGGCCTCAGCCCCCTGCTCGAGCAAAAAAGGGACCTTTGCAGCCTCTTCCACTTGCCGATCTGCAAACTCGAGTGCAGAAATTTTATGGTAGTTTTCCAGTAGTAGTTGTAGCTCCTTTTACTAGGTAGAAGTAGAACACAACTATTCAAGTATTTAGTGCACTCCTCAGGCCCACTAGTTAACAACCAACACCAGCCTTGCAAGTACTTAGTCGGGTTTTTTTCCAAGAAGAATTAGAAGTAGAAAAGTGATCCTCGTCGCCAAGGATTCAGCTCACTAGGAATGCAATGGTTATTGTGTGGGTGAGCCCTAAGATGAAATGCGTCCGCTGCAACGCTTCGCAGCTATTCCGGAGGGGTCTGCTACACCCGAGGATGACGTTTGGATCGAACAAGATTTTTCCAAGAAAGCTTCCAATATGAAGATAGAAAATTATGAAGATTCAGTCGTGTATCACAAACCAGAAGTAGGAGAGGCGCCAGCACACGACATTTCTTCTGCGCTGCCGCTGCCTGCAGAGTATCTCAAGAGTCTGAGACGCAACAAGGACATCACTCCCGCTGTTGTCGTTGCGAACAACCATCTCTGCTGCTACCCAGACGGAAAAGGGAGAGAGGATATGGATGTTCTACTTGGAGGTGGACCTCAAACTTCAATAGCTAGTGGCGCGACGTCTGTCGGCCAAGTAGACAAGGAACATCAAAAAGTACCAGCACAAGAGGCCGCCCCATACGCAGAAGATGAAGATGGTCTTCATGATTCCGTGAGTGCTGTTGAGTGGAAGCGGAGTTGTAGTGATAGTTGCATGTACATAACCCGTGGAGGGGATGTCTTCGCAACATTACCATCACCGGTTCCGATTTACGGCACCGGAGGCAGCAACGTGTTAAGAAATTCAACCCATATTGAAGTCCAGGAAAACTACCTCGACACTCGTCGTGATGAAGAGAAGCAGAAGCAGAGAGAACATCTTCATCTTCAAGATAATGGCCAAAAAGACTTGCATAATGCAGGAGTGCCGAAGTTTTTAGACGAGACAAAGTGCGACGTTCTTCCCGCTTATTGTACTAACGCCTTCAATGGGGAGGAGTCTATACCCTCCGCCATCGCGCCCTCAAGCAGCGCAACTAGTTGGCGCAGTGCTGCAGCTAGTGGGCATCTCACTGCTCACGTTGATACCTCCTCCATCTGCAGGTACGGAAGAGAACAGATGCTCGGACTTAGAGTCAACGTCAAGGGCGCTCTTCGTGGTAGCGTAGGTAGAAAACGTTCCCCTGCCCACCCTGGCAGCACGTCGTTCTTATCTCTCCCGCGGATCTTGCACATACCTGACGAGCGTGAGACTGCCAGAGGAGCAGTGGAGGAACGACATCAATCACAGGATGCTAGAAAAAGGCAAAAATCACGTGGAGGTAGTACAACACCTTCGCATTCTTCAACACCTTCTCCAGAAGTAGAAGAAGAACTTCAGCACCACTGCTGGACAGCAAGAACCCCCGCCGATCCGCGTTTGGAGAAACAGGAGCAGATGCATCCACATCCTGGTTCGCAATTAGAGTTTTTACATGCTCAGCGACAACAGGAGGAACCATGTGGACGACCTCAAGAAGGACCTTCTTCCGATTGTACAGCTGTAAGACCTGATGTTGAAAGTTTTACTTCTACTCCACCTTTCTTGGCACATCACCAGGCACCTGCAGCTCCTGGTGCTGGACATCATCATCAAGCCTCGTTACCAGGCGGGAACGGAGTGGGGATAGCCCCCGCTGCAGCCATCTTTCTGCAACAAGCACGCGCTGCGCGCTTGCAAGCGTGTTGGCAGCAAGGTTTCGCTGCGGACAATAGTTGCATAACTTCAATGCTTGCAGCACTGCTGAAGCAGGCGCCTCGTTTTCCTCCAGCCCAGCAGCGGCAGTTTTTGGAGGGTGCTTTTTTTCGGACCTTTGTGCCGCTACGGCCAGACATCTTTGTTCCTGTAAGAAATCCGCGAAATGAGAGCGTTTCTGATGTAGTATCCGGAACCGGAAACCAGCAGTCTTCCACTCAACGCTTCTATCTTCGCTATGATCTAGAGAAAGAACGAGAACGCAACGAGCACGTGTTGAAACAAATGAAAATGATGAAGAAAAGCAACAGGGCGGATGATCCTGTCGACGTATGCGAGCAACTGATGTCGTATGATGACCGTCATGATTCTGGTGAAGCCTCGGACTCTCTTGGTCTATTGGAGAACTTAAGACTTCTGATCCCGTATTACGGAGACGATGAACTATCTGGAACGCAACCCGTAGCAAACGAAAATGGCGGCAGCCTGATCATCATGAACAACCAGCATCAACAGCAACGTGGGACCACTGTCGACCGTTTGCTCCCAGAACAATACGATAGCTCTGTGCTTCGAAGACCATTACATCCTGTTTCTTCTGCTGCATTTGACTTCGAGGCAAAACAGAAGTGGAGCGGTTTGTATCAGCAGGAAGGAGGATTCTTTGGTCGCGGCGGGTGGTTGTATGGGGCTGATCAGCGTCGAGATCATCGAGGAGAACATGTTGCAGTCGGTGTAGATCGCGTCGAACAAGCAGAAATGGATTACTGGTCATGTTCACCCAGTCAGCTTCTTTGCCCACCTCCTAGAGAAGAAGCAGGGCAAGAAGCTCCGAACAACGTTGCGCCATTAGATGCCATGTTGATCAAGACGGATTTAGATGAAGATGATAGTACCAGAAAGATGAAGAAAACGAATAGATCGATCGTGAAGGAACAAGATGGTAAGAGCATCATGATGCTCCCCGTTGTTCCCGAAGAAGACATACTGCACCAGAGTCTCGCCACGCATGAAGCCTCAGATTCACCCGCGTCGTCTCTGCTAGTCGACTCTGTTGGGGGTGTGGATTCACTTCTGTCTTTCCTTTCGACCGTGACTGTGACGATTTCGGTGTATCAAGAAGATGTTGCGTGCCGCAAGGAACAAGCAGTGGATGAACAAGATTATGACAGCACTAGAGCTACTATTACTTCATTGAGCGGACGTGACCAGTTGAAGCTTCAGGAAGAAGATCAGCGAGAAGCTAACACTGGCCGTCTTCGTTATTCCACAGATGTAGAGCAGGTCCCGGACACGGTCTTTCCACATAGCGAAATAACGCTCATAACCGAGGATCTTGCGGCTGCAGTCGGCGCTGCTGCCCTCACCTTTTCCTATGACAGTGACGTTGCGAGCGTAGTTGCTCATGCTAATGATCTTCTGAAAGAGATGTCCCCCGCCTCTGGAGGTGCATATGCATCTTCTACCAAGGAGAAGCAGGTGGTAGGTGAACAAAAGAACAAATATGAACAAAGAGCAGAACAAATAGTGCATGTTTCGTGGGATGAAAACCAATCAAACTGCTTCAAAAAATCGACTCCATCTGCTGCAACTACACAGTCTAGGACGAGCACTGTTTCGTCTGGGTGTTTAAGAAAAACGACTGCTGCCCTACAAGGACACGACCAAGAACAGACCAAGACGGCACCTAGTAGGACTACAGCGCTTATGCTTTGGACACACCGTGAGGCCGATCATCCTAAAAAACTGTGGCTTCTTCCTCCCGAGGCAAAGTGTGGAGTAAAATATGCGTACTCGCCACGCAGCAGCACGAGAATTTACGAGCTGACTTCGAGTGGCTCTCTTCACTTTTCCATACATCTGGGATAAACGTCGTGGAAAATTCATCCAAGTTGTCGGTTACCCTATGATGAAGATGAAGTACTTAGTTGCACTACATGCAGATGCACATCTAATGAGAACTAATGTATGAATACAACGAAGTACTAGTGGTGGCGGTCTGCCTCTACCCACCTGAAGATTATGAAAGGCTTTGAATTTCTTGATATCAACATGTTGGTCATCAACATTCGGCAGGAACACTATCACTACGGTGATCTCCTCTCTCACCCTGTTGCATTTTTGAGTTCGAGATTTTGGACGACATCACGATCAACTCGCCTGGTTTCTTACTTCGTTTTTTTATGTTACCCTTCTCCAATTATCATCCTCACACACTCGATTTTCGTCATCATCTATTCAAATACCACCACTATTTGCTAATAATATCACTCGCATTATTTCCACATTATTGACTCAGAGGCTACAAAGCAGACAATTTTTGATTCGAAACCTATACTCCTGATACATCGAATGATGATCGTGTTAATATATTTTTCCGGTTTAACTTCATCTTCTACATGAAGAAACAGATACACTATTGCGAGCATACATCTGCTGCAATGATTTTTTGGTCGGGAAATATTTATATATACCTGATTTTTCATCAGCGTCATTTTGTGTCCAGACGATGAGCTTCGTTCTCGTCGTGAATGATGTCTGTGCAAAACCCTTACGCATGAAATTTTTCTATCATGTGATGTTGTAATTGCGTGATGTTGTAATTGCGTGACATGGGAAGTCGGCACGCTGTCACCCGATGAAAGTATCATGGTTTTTTAGCAAGGAAAACTAAAGAACCGACGAAATGAGGAAAGCGCTCGGTATGCTTCATGGCGAAGACATCCGGTTTATGCGGAATTTCTGCACACGAGAAACGAGGCACGCTTCTCTTGGCACTCCCTCCGCTCCAGCTAAAATCATGTCAGCTCCTGCTCTGAAGAGAAGATGCTGGAAGACAGTCTGTGGTACTAGTCATGTCCCACTAGAAGTACTGCAGGCACACGGGCAGCGCTCGAGCTCGAGCCCCGCGTACAAGAACGAAAGAAACAACTACTTGCTTGAAGAGAGATGGCGAGAGAAGCTGAGTTGTAGCAGTTAGTAAACATATGACCACCGCAAAAATTGCGATTTATTTGAAAAGTGTTATCGATATCGAGCAAGCTAACAAACAGCAGATACAGAGAAAAACGCGAAATGGGAGTCAAAGATGAAAAAAATAGACTTAGATACCGAATTTACTTACTTAAAATTCTTGTACTATTCTGAGCCGGACAGAGTTCCGATGGAGGGATCAGCATTATTCATCATCATGTTAAAAAAGAAGAGTATGATAACGATGCGACCACCAAAGATGATAGGCCATTTATTGTGAGTCATGTAGGTATACCCCACCAAAACCAAAAGCTGCAGCTTCAGTTCACGACAATAACAAGTGAGAACGTGTAATCATGATGGTAAAAATCTCGAATACTGTTGAAAACGTCGTGCAATAGAAGTTCTGGACACAAATTAGTGGTTGCTTTTGGACGCTTGTTTTTATTGAATATAGAAGGGTGAAAAGAAAGAAAGTCATCATGCCTGGACGCGGAGTTCGTGGACGGACGGCCTCCACAACTCCGCACGGTCGTCCTGCGTGGACTGACATGCCGTCGACATCAGATGCTACTGCTCCGAACCTCGGTAATTACAGACTCAATGAGCATGGAGGCCATAGTCCCTATACTAAGCGTGAAAATTCGGACTCGTTGTTTTCCTCCTCGTGGTCAAGTACGAGTACCTCCAATGCAGCTTCATCTACTGGAGCCTCAGGACGAAGATTTGGTGATGTTTACTTCTCCCGCGACATGGAGAAATTACGATATTACCTTTCCGAAACTGGTTTTGCAGACCATCGCCGCAGCTTGTATGAGGAAGTCATGCAGAATAACGCAGGGCATGGCGAGGGAGACTTGGATGATTTTGATGACATAGACATGGAATACGCGACGAGCACATCGACGAGCGCTTCTTCTGCAGCATCAAGGCCGCTTCCGTCCGCGTCGTCGCATGGTACGGGAGCAGCTGACGTGGAGTTAGAGTTTCTGCACCGTGCCTTGTTGACCGCAAGGCAAATCGTCAGAGACGAAGACTTACCGCTACCGCACCTAGAGTACTCGACACATGTTCCGAAACAGCAGTTACCCACGACAGGGTTGCGAGAACGAGGATCTACTTCGCTAGGAGTAGACGGCTTAGGCGGAGCAAGAAAAGGTGGAAGATCGAGTCAGGCCCAGCGCTGGCTGGCGGAGATTGAGTCTGAGTCCTCGCGGACTCCCGCTTCGTCATCGACATCCCGACGCTTACCCAGCAAAGGATCGGCCGATATTGATGGTCATGGACGACCGAGAGGTCGAGGGATGGGCGTGGAAGCAGATTTGGGGGAAAATTCGGGTAACAATTTTCGCGGCTCCGCTTCACGAAGTCTTGATGCAAGAGGAAGTAGTAGTACACTAGAAGATGCTTCCTCGACTGGGAAGACCGGGGGCAGCACATCTTCAATGACGCGAGGAGTGAGCACAACAACTACTAGTAGCGCGGAGATGTTGTCAAACGACAACATATTTGCGACCCCAGGTGTTGTAGCACACCCTCGCGAGCAGCTGCTAGCGGCTCGAGGGCTGCAACCGGTACTTCAGATCTTTACGAGGCCGGATGAAAACGCAGAGACGACAACCACGACGACTACGACCACCATATTGACAACGAGCACAACGCCGGTTCCAGAATTCATACTGGCAACCCCCACCGCCACAACGACTGGCGTGGCCGACTTCGGCAATATGATCTACCCGAATACTTTTCTTTATGCTCAGCAGACCAACCACAACCTTCCCTAAAATGAGAACGGATCCCAACTAGACCAACAACTCGTGCCCTCGCCAGTACTACTAGCACCCGATTCAGTTTCAGATGTTAGCGTAGAAGTTAGTAGATGCAGATGATGATGAATATTAGGCTTCGATACTCACTTCACGTCGAGGTCGACTTCGGCCCAACATCCTCCATCTTCTTCATCCTCTTCTAATATTCTTGTCATCCACGACACCAGATCTGCTTGTCATCCACTTCTAATATTCTTGTCGCACCGAAACTTGCAGTTATTATGACCGCTACGTCATTTTCAAGAATGCGACTGAACCTGACGAAACAAAGCACTGCCGCGAAATTGTGAAGCACGAATTATTCAAGGCTTGGGAAGACTTGCGACCTGGAGAACTTTATCGGGCGTTCCCAGACACGAAAACTGGGCATGTCCGCGTTACCCTCTGCTCTATTTAAGGCTAGTTTATCACTATCCCATGTCTGTGGGATATGCTGAGTGAAGTCCGCCTTGTCTGGACGCTGAGTGTCGTCCTCCTTGATTCAAAGGGGAAACAAAGGGGGACGCATGACATATCACTCAACCTGGGATAGTGAAAAACTAGCGTTAACCTACGTACGAGAATCTGTTCAATCGCGTCAGGCCTTTCGGCGATGCGCGAGTGTACCAGCACTGCGAGCCATGGACATACTTTAACGCGACCCTCTGTCTGTCCGAATATCGTGATGTACTCTTGTTGTTCTTATGATCGCTTGATGAAGCTTTCCACTTTTCAATCACCATGACCTACGTATGCATGATTGAGATTTACTCTGACTTGCTCGTCATACTGGTACGCCTGGCACTTACAACCAAAAGACAAATCGCACCATTCGCCCGCGTACCACAATAGGCTACAACCATTTATTCTGTCTAAATGTACTTCTAGGATCACAACACCTACAGCTACTTGTACGTGATTTTTGAATGACGACGTTGCTCTGACTTTTTCACATGCATGATGGACCAGGTGCGAGTCTTCTCGGATTGCTTCTGGCGTGGCAAGATGTTTTGGCCTGAGATGCGAACCCAGATGGACAAGGAGATGATTCAAGAAACGTACAATGACATGACCAAGAACAGCAGAGAAGCAAAGAACGTTTTTGATTATGCTCCATCTGTAAATTTGATTGCTTGTTCTTGTACTTTTATGTAGTAGTTGTAGCGATTGAAGTTGAGCAATTATTTTTGGTATATCTTCATCTTTCTCGTCTGATATCTGCAGTTTCTAAGAATTGAGTTTGAATTAATTCAGATAAAATCAAAAATTTTGAGAACAGTTTTTTAATTTTTGTCATTTGAAGATGCAAAATCCTTAAATTTTTGATTTTACGTTGCCTAGGTCAATTTCAATGTTTATCTGCTCCAAACGTTGATCGTGTCATGACCATGTGGATGTGTCATGAATTCGTCTGTTGCCCAGATCCTTTTTTTGGGTCTGTAGCCTTTGCTTTAGGTGCGCTCCTGCCAAAGGGCAACAACCTACTGCAACTAGTACCTCCAACAAAGCTACTTTCAAACTCACTTCTAAACTCACTTCCTCATGGTTTGGAAACGACATATGACGAACGAGGACATGCAGAATGCCGTTAACTTTGATAGTATTCAAATTAAGGCTCTTACCGTTTCTTCCAACGCTATCTAGTCTTCCATGATACTATTTCACCAGTCACAACCACGATCATTATGTATAATTATTAATATTGCCTACCAAAACCTTTCCCTCCCTAATTCAGTGTGTGCGTTTAAGATTGGTCCTTCTAACTGCAGCAAGGTTAGTGAAGTTAAATAACCTGCAATCTATCTCATACTCCATTATTTAGGCGTCCATCTTCCCGATGCTGGTGTTGGGTATCAGTCTTCTATCCTGAGTGGGAAGGACGCACCTGCTTGTTTTATAGGGCGGGAATTGATACGAAGAACAACAAGCAAATCACTGATACTATAGAAAATATACATCCTTTATCGCGAACAGTATCAAGTCAGTATGAATAAGATTATCAAAGGACCCCTACTTCTAAGGAAACGTATCAAGCTCTGTGCAATTGGATGTACGAGTTAGGGGATCCGATCCGCAAGGTTTTCTACATGAACTCCGCAGATTCGCTCTATATTCCGCCAGACGAGTGTTACGAGATGGCCGAATTCCCGACAGGGACGACGCAGTGCATGAAAATGATGCAGATTATGTTGCCATTTTTATCTCTTGTTCATCGTCTAAAGGGACGAAACAAGAAAGAGATTAAGATACTCATACACATACTGTTTGAATTTTTTAGATCTTGTTTCATTTTTTTTTCGGAAGCAGCCCCATGGAAGTTCGTTGCAGGAGATTCCAAAGGAATCTTATAAATCTAAGGTACGAGTGTCAGAGGTACTCGAGGTAATAGGAGTACTACTAGAACCATATTTGCTTGTTCTTTGGGGTTGGTTTGGAGCAAGAAGGACTGCTCAAAAAGTCCTTGCAATCGACATCGAGGAACTTGGTTGTAAATAATGAGATGTAATGAAGTCCTCCGCTTCTTCATGCTGCGTGACCCATACGACGTTTGCCCATGGACGCAACCTCCCAACGATATGGACCCGGACGACTTGGTCCGCTGCTTTGACGGTTCTTATGATGAATCTCCACCTGATTCAACACAATTAGTATCATCGTCTGTACTGTGTTCGTCGCAGCAATCGCATTTCACTGTTAGACCATACTTAGTCTAAATCGCATTTCACTGTAAGATCATAGTCTATTCCTTCATGGGCGCCCTGGTCTCCATTACAAGGTAATTGTCGAGAGCCGTCTCCTCCTCCTCCAGCATTTTTTCATAGCCCTTCTGCGCGAGTCGATATTTCAGGACACGGCTTTTGCTACGGCATGCGAGGTGGAAAAATGATATGCGAACCGCGGAACCCTATTATGTGCAGAAAGCCCTACGCGTGCGACGGCCAGACAGATCATTGCTGTGTGCGATTCATGTCTCATTGCGCCCCGGACGGTTTGCCCCGATTGTGCTGCCCATCTTTAAGAGGCAGGTGGTGAAGTACTATTTCTTCATCATGATCTTCATAATGTTTCGATGATGAGTCATCAGCATCATCTAACCCTACAGGCCCCGAATTCTTGCTACACCTCGTACGAATGATATCTCGCACCGACGGACCCTTGCTACACATACAAATAATAGATAGTGCAACGGACTTCTTCGTCTCTAACGTGCATTAATCCGGTTATCGAAGAACAGCGTGGTGAAGTTCCACTACCAAGGCGACCAAGCTATTACAACGAACTCGTAGAAGCGCAGATGATCGAGGGACCGGGTATCATTTTTAGATTTCTTTAGCGTCACCTTACTTTAACTTCTTGTTTAAAAGTTGACGAGCCATCCTTGTTATCCTAAAAATAATCTTGCGTTTCTTGTCTACACTGCTCCTGCTCGTCACTAGAAGAAGCTACACCGGCTAAAGAAGCTTCTGCTTTACATCTTCAACATCTCCAGATGGTTTCGCAACAACGAGTCCGATGACTACGCGACTCACCACAACAACTCCTGGTGGCGCGATACAGCAGATGCAACATCTTGGTACCGTATGACAGGAAAACGTGTACTCATGCCCAACCAAAAAGGGAGCAAATAAGCTCCCTGTTTGGAACTTCCTTGTTACTTATACATAGTACGCACTTATCCTTACTTCTTATACTAGTACTTTTCTATTTGATATACATATACAGTATAACTGATACTTCTTTACACGTGCCTAGTCATTTCGATTTCGCCCCTGAGGATCATAAATCAAGCTAAACGCATTTCCCTTTTTTCATATACCGTGGCTGTGGTCGGTGCATGCATCGCGGTGTTTTTCTTTTTTGCGTTGATGCGTGCAGGGTGGCGTCAGAACTGGGCGAATTGGATTCGCGTGAATTTTTCTCTGAGCGGCAATGTGGACAATCGCATTCAGGTCATGGAAGACGCAGAATCCAAGATCAAAGCAAGCGGAAAACTCGGTCGGCATGAAATTATGATCACGTTTATAATTTTAATTACAAATTCCGTGGTCTGGTTCCTCTTCCTTTTCTTCAGCAACAGGTTAAGTATATTAATTTAGGTTTTCTTCGTACTAGCGGGTAAGAGTAAGTATTATGAGCATAATTAGATTGATCCAGCTCCGCTAATGTGTGACAGTACGCTGCTCTCGACGAAAAATACCAAAAACAGAAACCAGATACCTACCGCGGAAAGGACCGGGGCGACCGCGATCTATTTGGAGCGTTTAATCAGCAGACAGAAGGCGAACTCGAGAAATTGAAAGAGATCGAGTCACAACTACGAATGGAAGAGAGGCCCGAAAACCTTTCTTCTTGCCTTGAAGAGGCAAAAAGGCTTGGGGCAGATCCGGCTGTAATTCGGCTCGGAGAGGATAGATTGCTGAAAATGCAAATGACTGAGGTATTCTTGAGTCTTCACTTTATTGTCCTCCACCTTCCGACGACACAAGTGCAGTTGTACTTAACTGATGTTCGACCTCAAGGCTCTCCCTTTCTCTCTATCTCTCTCATGACGACCCTAACCCTCTCGCACGGAGGACTAGGAATGGAATGGTGTTTTATTTGAGAAGTTGTCCTCGGTATCTATGCATACTTCATCCTAATTGGAAGTGAACTGAAGCCACGCCTAGGCGTGTACAACTACTACATCTTGTTCTTGTTTTATACAGTTAATGGCTGACCTCGAGGAGGCGGAAAAAGCGTTGAAAGTGGGCTACCCTGCAGAACGGAAGATGGCCATAGCGGAACGCCTCTATAGATTAAGGCTATCGACACTAATATATCTTCAACAATGATTGATTGATTGACTGATGATGATGATGATGATGATTGTCGTCCTGTTGGTCGTGGATTCTTGTCGTGGTCATGGTCATACTGTAATATAATGCACGAAATAGAATACATCAGAGGATGATAGCTTCTCTAACTAGGGCAACGGTAGCACGCACAGATCTGTCGATCGCGATTCACGACCGCGCGGGCAGACTACGGCAAGAATTGCTCACTGGCATGAATCTGCCGGCCGACCGCATAATGCTGGATGAGAAGGCGGGTATTATGCGAGTCCTGGCTCCAGGAACCCACAGAATACCGCACCAGCACGCACAAATCTACGCGACAGGCGAAGGAGCAACAAGTAGCAAGTTAAGGATGTGAAAAAATATCAATGTGTTGTATCTGTATGTTGAAGTTAATATGCGTGTCGTGTTACAGCAGGAGCAGCATACGGATTCATTTCGTCAGCATCTCACAGCAGCTGCAGCATAGTCATTACCTTCGTCAGCACTCTCTAAGACAAGCCGATGCAGGAAATGCGGCGCCCGAGCCCGAAGTGTTGATGAATCTTCAGACCGCGACAGGGCCATTATGGGGTGGAAAAGAGTCCTCATATATTCGATACTGAAGTAGAATGTCTAATGCGATGAATCTACTAACTTCTTCTACTGGTGCCTAGTGCTAGTACTCGTACTTCCTGTTCTTCGTGAAGATTATCGTCCCGTACCTGGCCGATACTCTTTTTACACATCGGCTAGATCTAGAAGGAACATCTACATCAGGTATGAGTGAACTTTTCCCTGTCATAGCATTGCTGCGCTTTCTACGTCCAGAAGGGAGAGTGTGCGTTCGGCAAGGACTGCGCGTATCGACACGTCATGCCGGGGCCTCACGATTCCATAAGATTAAGGCAGATGACCTACCTAGCAATAGTAACAACATTTAACGTAAACGTATCTATTTAAAAGCTATTTACAAATAGCAACAGTTGTGGACGATAATCCTACCTACATCGTTTTTTTGTTCCACCTCTACTTCTACAGAGTCAAAGATCAACATGGTCTACCTCTACATACTACGGTCTGATGATTACTCTTCCCAAAAGCCCGGGAAGATAGTGACTCCTACTCTCTTTCTCTTATTTGTAGTGTAGTTGTCATTTTCGAAGATATTGGGATGAAATCTGTCTAAAAACAGAGCCGATCGACACGACAGGCAACAAAAAGGAAACACAGGTGCGTAACTCGAGGCAGGGTCGGTACGGGCTCGGGACCACATGATTTGAACAAGGTACAAAGAAGGAATCCTAATACAAGGGTGTTCCCCTCGAAACTCCTAGTACAAGGGAGGTGCGCCCCTATCCTTAAGTTTTTTTGTAATGGTACCTACGATTGATTTTTTTACAACTTTTTGGTGTAGTTGTTGTGTGAGTGATGTACCTGTACTGTGGAAAAATCGGGTCATTTACTTAATCGGCTTTGGCTACAAGGAACAATGTATCAAAACTTTGTACAGCGATGCACGCTTAAGTCCTTGAATGAATACATTTCTATGCAACTTTTTTTTTGTTCTTAATTTTTGTATGAGTTTCATCTCGGAGCATAGATATCGAAGATTGACCTTGAAGTTGCTAATATTGTAAATTCTTATGTATAACGCTTATCGTGATAGTAGAGTGACGGTTATGGTCGTCCAACCCCTGTCCGCGTTATCAACTAAAATGATAGTCCTCCACTCCAATGCTCCGAAAATTATAGGTGGTCGCATCAGAGACTCACGACATCATGACGTTAAGTAAGGAATTCGTTATATAGAGAAAGAGCTAGACAAAACTGTTTTAATCTCGTCGGAAGATCAAGGTGAAATGCCTTCACTTTGAGCTCCTCCCAATCTATTTCTACGGTGGTCAACATCATATGGATTTCATTTTGGGTAGAACGAATGTGAAAATTTCCAGCGGGTAAGTGTGAGAACGTGAACGGCTTCATCGACTTGACGACAAAGAACTACAACAAGATCTCAGGACTTCTATCTGAAGTGATTCATCCACGAGATGCTGGCAGGCTTCGGCTTTTTAGATCTCCGACGTACAAGAAGATAAGGAAGAAGATTTTTTTATTTTATGGCTTATATACTAGCCTCCACAAGCTTCGCCCGGCTTCAAGTTAGTTTAGCACTTTTCTGCGGCCTCCCACGGGCTACAGCCGCTAGAGTAGAGACAGCCCGCGGGTGAGCTGTTGCACTCTACGAAGTAACTACGACAAGAGCCGGGCGCCGACGGTGGCCGACTCAGGTGCGTCGACTCATGTGCAGGGCATTCCGCTCCCTTCGGTTTTTTTATGAGATTGCCGGGGGGGTCATGCAAATTCTTGGCGCCCTATTAGATTCCCACGGCTAAGCCTAACCGGTTCAGACGCTATGTAATTCCCTGAGACGCTATCGGTCGCGGCGAGACTGCAGCAGAATTACAACAAGCCCTAGTAGCCACTATCTCGGACTCGGTTTTCTATCGTTGTCCTGAAGGAGAAAGGGCATCTCGGTCACGATGAGAGTGTCCATGAAGAATCCATCGTCTGTTTGTCGGTTTTCATTGTTATCAATTCCTGCAGTGACTGGCAGAGAAATTTGGGAGCCCTTTTTTCCCTACAAGTCTACTTCGGTTTCCCCCGATCTTCGTCCACGTTCATCTCTTGCCGCTTCATAAAAAAAGTGGGCCGCATGCGCAAGAATTTTACATCAATAAATAAGAAAAACCAGCACTGACGCCTCTTCTTAGTATCGTGTGCCCAATCTCCCGGTTGTTCTGTTTAACTTCAAGATTGTTGTAAGTATGTCCCTAATCGACTTCGCCTTCATCCATCGATCTTCTAGTGGTCATTTGTTAACCTAGTATTTTTGTTGTATCTCCTCGTCAATGTCAAAAATCATAATCTTGATCTTCAGATGAAATAAATAGAAGAACAAGTAATAGTAAAGCAGGAGCAGTAGTTCTGGTCTTGGTCTTCTAGTTCAATCTCTTAATAAAAGAACAAGTAACCGTAAAGGATAACGAGCAGTAGTTCTGGTCTTCTAGCTCAATCTCAAAAAAAAGTAGAGAAAAGAAAGCTTAGAGAAACACTGAAAAATATACAAGATGGCTAGTGCTGCCGGCGCGGGGGCGGGAGAACCCGAGCAGGAGTTCGACCCGTCGAAGGTTGCCGTGAGCAGGCCTTTGTGTTAAGGCTCAAAACATTTCATTTCCACATCTTCTTTTCCTTGGTTTCCTTCTTGGGAACCTGGAGAAATGAAACGTCAGCATCATCATCTTGGGCCTCTTTTTCAAGAGCAAAAAGACGAACTAGAACCCAACTATTGATATGACTTTGACTCTCAGGGAAGATGAAGATGCGAGCGCGGTAGCTCTAATTGTGGGAGCTACACAAAAAGGGCGAAATCATGCCGGCGAACGACTTCATCAAAAAGTATTACAACTTCTCCTCAAAGCACATGCGAGATTCATATCCAGCAGCAGTGGTTGGGAAGTACTATTTCTTGACTTGTTTACTAGAACGCGATCATTCTAGCAAGTACAAGTAGGTTTTCAGTCACTTTTCGTATTTCCCGGCTCTTCTCTCACGCTTCCCAATTATTAGAAGTAGATGAACAAGCTCAAAGAAGCGCTCGAGAGTGAAATGTACTAGTAGTTAATTTGTTGTTGAGATAGAATACTAGAAGGTTGTTATATCGTCTAAGAACAACAACTTTAAATTAGAAGATGAACTTTAGAATTATGTCCAGCTTTCGCTTTCAATGCATTCTACCAGGTAGCAATCTCCCTGGCAAAAATTCTAATGTTAGTAGAGACCGACGAGTATTTTCATACTACTTGGACTTACCTCGTTCCTCGTTTTTAATTTCCAACGAACATGATGATCATTGTCTAAAAATTACAACATCAGTACTAGCCTGAATAGAGTGTACTCCTATTTGATCTCACTATAATCGTCTCTCCACATTAGCAGAAGAGGTTCAATACAACTTCTTACACTATTAAGGGAGTGTCAGGTGAGAATATTTAAAGTGGAGTTTGAAAAATGATTGAAGAAATGATGGATTTTTATATAATTGTGTGTGAACATGATATTACAATAACTTCTGCGGATACATCCATGCCATGTTGTTACATTCAGGATAAAATACTACAAGAAGCTAGAGGAGATTCGAGCAGCGGAGCCACAGGACGACAGACCAATATCAGACGACGGAAAGGCGTGGTCGGATACAAGCAGTCACCAAAGCATGTTCATGTATTATAACTAAACGTCGTATTTCTTACCAGCGATGAAGGATGTTGTTTACAACGATATTATTAAGATGTCTCTTTTTGATCATGAGATTTCCATTTCATGTACTTATGGTCTTCCTGATCCAGGTGCAGAAATCCTGCTTCTTATTATCAAGTTTTAACCTACTCCTACTTAGCGGGACCGATGTTAAGCGATGGAGAGGTGTAAAACTTCCACCAGCCACAAGTAAACTCGGAGAATCGGCAGCGGTATCTGAAATTTTCGACAGACTCGGGACGCTTATTGAGACGCAGATGGTCCAGGATGCATGTACTTAGACTTTTTTAATTTTCATCGCTTTTATCTGGTATTCATATGAAGGTATTGATACAGGTTGACTTCTAGGTACTTGTTCAAGTAGATGAAGTTGAAGATAGTAGAATAATGTCCGATTTTACAATCAACTACATTCGAGGCACACACAAACCGCAACCGGGGACGAAGTACAAGGCTATGGGTGGCGGTAACAGCGGAGATACGTACTTCAAGCGCCTGTACTCCCGCGAAGATCCATGGAACTTTCCACAGCCAGCGCGAAATGCAAATAAATAACAGCACTACACCAGCACTTGTTCCTCATAGCGATTCAAGTGTGAAAATTTGAAAACTATAATACATAGATACCTACATAATCTTCGTTTTCCTTCTTGTACTCTATCTCTTGATCATGAAAGTCTCTTTCTATCTTGTTCAATCATGCTCACTGCGTTTAATATCTCTTGTTCTCTATCTTCGTCATCTCCAACAACATATTGCTAAGGTTGTAGTAAGTACAATTCTGCGTTCATTCACAGTCTTGCCAAAAACATGTGCAAGAATCACGAATAAAGAATGTCAATGTCTATGTTAATGATCTCATCTCTGTGTCATGATAAAGATAAAGCTATGATTCCAATCTACTACAACCAGCACTGCTCCTAAGTGCAACAAAATACATTCTAACACGCACGATGCACAACAAAATCAAGTGCTGCCTCACAAACTACGACAGAACACATCGTGCTTCTTCCACTACATCATGCAAAGACTATTAAAATTCGTACTCAATTTTGGGCTCACAGCAACAAGATCAATGTAGAATAAATTTCCTGTTTTCAAATATTTATCCTGCTTCAAGAACAAGGGCACTACGTGATCCACCGGTCCAAGGGAGCCGAACCATAAAGAAGCCTCAGCATGCTACCTTTCCTTCTGTGTGGAAGGCAGAGAGATGCCTTACGAGAACAAGGAAAGAGTGGGGGATTTCAATTTCATCATATGTACTTAACTAAAACAAAACATCTACAAACTAGGTAGTCGTAAATTGTTCATTGGCTTGAGGCAGAAAGAGGCGTAACCTCGATGTTATCAAATCAATGAAGATCTTTTTGAGAATGTTGAGATGTAGTTCCGTGTCCTCAGATCTTTCACTACCAAAGAAGAGATATTTTCAAAGGTGAGGATGGACTTGTATATCGTCGAGGATCAAGAATCTAGTCGTCCATGATCAGAAAAGGTTCGAGTTCGCTGTTGGAAATATGAGGGAAGAGCGGAGGACTCACTCTCTCTCTCTCGTGCTACTCCTTAGTTTATTGGCTGGCATTTAGTTCTGATCTCAAACGTAAGGGTAAGATCACCGTGAAAATTCTAATTTTGAAAGGTCCAATCTTCCCAAGTCAGAGATTCGCATCTTTGGCCGCAGATCAAAAAGAGCCCCGAAGATCCAGAAAAAGATCTTGTCTGCCTCTTTCAGGATCCTTCAGGCCTCTCGTTGGTTACTAATACGAATACTGTGCGCATATTTTCGGTGTCGAGTTCCAATATCATTATGAATTATTGTTGTCAGCTAGGTCTTTTAACACATCAATGTAAGTAATTTATTCAATCATGGATCAGGTGGTGTTCTCGTTTAGCATTATTTTTCGAGGCCATGCTAGTATGTTTATTAAGGTAGTTTGATATTATTGTGGTGAAAGAAAAGAAGCCTACCACACGACACACACCAGAACAATTGTGATGAATATCATGTGAGTATACGCCTTCTCAACAAATCAATGTTATTGCATTGACCTACTCACATTTCATCTTCACATGTGTACTATTACAAGTGTCACTCAATTCTGTATCCGTACAAAGTGAACAAGAAAGAGAGAATGACTGCGGGATCAAGAAGCGATAAAGTAGCACCAGGAACCTCATCCATGGCTTCACTGGCAACTGGTGGAGGCTTCACGGAGGCCATTGAGAAAGCTCTGAAGCGACGAATAGATGAACGATCTTCCGACAATGACGTCGATATGTTTGCGACTCTGGTTTTGGCATCTTCCGAAGAGGCTGCAGCTTCTGGAGCAGCTGGAGGAAAAGAACCAAAGAAAAAGAAACAGAAAACGACACGAAATCTAAAGGACGATGACGCTTCGTCATCTTCTACGGGCAATGCTAAGAACGTTGTCGTAGGAGTCGCTCCTCGAGGTGCACCGCGGTCTGCGTGGAGCCGACTTCAGATTGGGAGTGCCCGAGATCGAGCTGCGGCTATGGAAGAGCTTTTGGCAGATAATGCCAGCCCTCTGTGGCTTATGGACGCTTTGGGGCGAAAAGTTTCAACTTTGGCAAAGGAGGCTGTTTCTGTCACTTTCTTGGTTGCACTCACGAAAGTTGTCCGCAAGGCGGTCAATACTGCACAGAACAATCAGGACATTGCACGAGAAGATGACTCTGGCTTTCAGTCTCAGCTGCATGCCGGACATAATAATAGCGTTAAAAGCATCCACACGGACACGGAGTTGGAGCACGACAAGGAAGATGCACATGGAGTAGGAGGTAGACATGATCATCATCGTGGACCGCAAGCTGAAATTGGAGGCGCATCTATGATCTCATCACTGTCGCTGCTGCGGCAGCCACTCTTACCCTGTCTTCGGCTGTTCACCATCGAACGGATTGAGGCTGCAACTTCCAGTACGAGCTGTAGAAGAGTGTGGCTCGAAGCTATTTCAGACTTAGCCGAAGCCTTATGCAGTGACTCGTCAGGCGCTTTGTTGACACTCGAGATCGTAGAGGAACTGTCGAGACTGGCAAAAGAGCTCTTTTTATCAACCACACACCACGCTTCTACTTGCAGCAGCAGTATCCTTGCAGACGAAAAAAATATTGAAAACGACAAGAAGAAAAGAAAGAAGAAGAAGCATACTGCCATTACCGATATCAAGATGACGACTTCTGAAAATATTTCCAAGCAGGACGAGCAGACTACTCCTGAAGAAACTCAGGATGCTGTAGAAGGCGGAAGTACAACGCCAACAACTCCCATCGAATTTTTTGAGAGAAGATTGCAGTCGCAGGTAGCCGAACTGTATCGACGTGTCCTTCCTTCAGCTACATGGCGACGGCGTCAAGGATATGCGTCCATCTGTAACGGTTTCCTTCCCTTCCTTGCAGCTTGCCCAACGAAATCGCTGGAGGCTATGGTCTCTAGAGGAAGAGCACCAGGAGCTGCAGCTTCTGCGTCCACCGAACTCGGAGACGAATTTTTTGTGAACGCTTTGGAAGAGATTTTTTCAGAGCTGTTTCGCAAGGAGCACCTGCAGCAGGGCTTTGGGATGCTTTTGACTGCGAAGAAGGCGAAGAGCGAAGGACGCGCAGTGCGGGATGAATACAAATGCTACCAAAAAGTCCTTTTCGACCGCCTTCGAGCTTCAGCTTCCTCTTTGATCCCCGTTTTCCCGTTGCTTTATAGAGTTTTGTGCAACGCAGCGGACAAAGTTCAACTGGGTTCTACTGCAGCTGAAGGCAGCGCGACCACGATAAAAAATGCCGCCACCAATGCTAGTTGTAGTAGTACAGCGACCAATAAACGGCAGCGACCTAATCGCAGCACGGGAGGAAGCGACTTCAATCCAAAATTCGTAATGCTCGAAGAAATGCAGGAAGTCCTCTTGAGTATTTTGATCGAGTCTCCTCCTAACGCATCCTCAGAAGATGATCTACAACAAGCGCAGGGCGGCTCATCATGCACAGCCCGTCTTCCATCGTCCCACGAATCATCTGACAAAACAAGCAAGGTTTTACGCTGCCTATGCGACATCTGGGATTGCGCGCGTCACCGTGGTGGCTACCGGCTCCGACACGAGGACGACACAAGCCTTACGCTGGTACGCGATTGTGCTTTCAGCGAAATCGACAAAGCAACAGGCGAAGCGTGGCGTTTGCTTGCCTTAGTTTTAACGCTCAACCCTGGGCTCGTGGTTCTCGACGACGCTCTGTGGAGGAGAATATTCTTTGTCCGTGAACAAGCTGCTGGTGGCGACTGTGCGGCTGTCCCTCGTCTGCGTTTCATTGGGTTTTTATTCACCACCTATGCGCAACTATGTGAAACCACCAACGTGCTCACTTCGCTACTCGGATTTTTGTGGCGGGAGAAAAATAATAGCAGGTCATTGCAAGAACAGGAGGCATTTTCAACGGAATCGTCTCAATTCCAGTTGGTGCTGCGTCAAGCTGTCAGTCAAGTACCCGCTGCCCAGCTAGAACCACTCTACAGGGAGCTTCTAGTGGAGTTCCTGTCATCACCGACGTCGCCTTTGGTATCGTCTTCGACGTCCGGCGCTTCAACGTCGCCTACGTTGGCTGGCTCTTCGCAGGGACTTGGCAACGCAGCAGCAACGCTCGAAGCAATCCTTGGTGCAAATGTCTCGATGACGGAGCAAGTTGCGGGTCCGTGCCTGCGCGTCTTCAAGCAAATCTTGAAAACCTATCTCATGAACGACGCGAGAAAATCCAAGGACGCGAAGAAACAGGAGATATTGAAGGCAAAAAACAAAAAAATGATGAACATCAAGAATGCGAACAAAACTGTGTCTGTGGATCATGGAGATGAAGGTTCTGATGGTGCCCAACTGCAAGAACAGATATCCCCGATATCACAGCTTCTGGATTACAGTCCGCGTTTGCTGAGCGCACTTGTCGATATCACGCTGGCGTTTTCGCGATGGTCAGCGGAGGACGTGCGCCCATTGTGCGACAAGGGACGAAAATTAGTGCAGGCAAGGACGACGTCGACCTCACCAAAACTACCTACAAAGGACGTTATGGAGGAAGACAAAGGATCTTGCGTTGCGGCTCATCAACATCAAAAAATGCTCGCATTGTGTCACGACAATCCCTTGACAGCCGCGGCGCAAGTGAAGGAACTGCTGGCGCGGTCATTAGTCTCGAAGAACAGCGATGTTGTTGGAAACGCACACGCAGACTCACTCCAGATAGAAGACGTAGTGCATTGTCTCTCGACTTTGCCATCCAGCGTCCTCCAGCTAGCCTCTTCGGATCTGAAAAAGGCAGCGGAGGCACTGTGTAAATGTGGAAAACCCTTGCAAGCGGTACGCCTCCTTTCAAAAGTGCCTCCTTCTTCTTCTTGCTTTTTTTCCTCTACTGCAGACTTGGAAAACGATGATGAGCAGTCGATACCAAAGACTCTGGCCTCTTGTATTGCAGCATGCCTAGGCGTCAAAGATCATTCAGCAGACCGCCTTTTCCAGACCTCAACAACCTCTATAACTGTCACGGAAATGAGCCAGCACCACGACAGGTCTTCGTCGTCGTCCAGCAATAAGAGATCCAAGAAATCAAAGAATGTTATTGTTAGCGCAGCAGGAGGAAGAACCGTGTCACCAGATGCGATTCTGGCACTTATTCGCAATCGAGACGATGCGTTGGAAGTCGTTGCTGAATTCTTACCACTTGTACAAACCGCAGCAACTAAAACTAAAGCGTCGAACAACTCAAAGAATGCTGACGAGGGCGAGGAAAGTAAGTTGGTATTGCACCCGAATGGCGTGACCTCTGGGGACCTGCTTTCGCTGATCACTGGGCTGCTTTTAAACGGAGCAAAATCTTCCTCAAGCTCAACCACTACCACTGCAAAAAATGAAAAGAACAATTATGATGCACAAGGACCAGTTCCAGTGGATGTAGACCACTCAACAGCACCGCTCGATAATTCTGTGGACCACCGTTCCGATAAAAAGGATCTGGATTATGACCTTCTAATGCAATTTGGGTCAATCGAGCTGCACGAAGAACTTTTTACCAAAGCCACGAAACAAGACGAGGGAGGACCCATTTTCTCCTTCTTGTGCTGGCTGGCACCCATTTTGCTCGATACGACGTCAAGTGCCACAATCCTGGGGAGTCTTCTAGACCGAGTAAAACTCGTATCTAAAGCTGATGAAGATGCCGAAAACGAGAGCAAGGTCACCTCCAGTAAGAAGAAACCAGACCACAAGAAGAAAACAACAACGGACGAAAAGAGTGAAATTTTAAGGCAGTGGTATACAAAACTGCTCGAACAACGAAGAAGTCCTCTTCTCGTAGATGCCGGCGAAAGTACAGTTCTCCGTGTCAAACTTGCATTGGGAGCTTGGCGAGATCCGAAAGAGTTGGCAGCCTTGACAACCTCACAATTGCAAGCGACATGGAACAAACACTTTCACACACTGCTTTTAGCAGAGGAAGGGGTGGTTTGTACGAGTTCTACTCGTTCTGGAACGAGTAGCTCCTCTTCAACATCTACAACGAGCTCGTCGTCGAATAGGAGCTTGCGTCCGACTTTTGCTGGCTGTCTCGAAGAATTCTATCAAGAGTCCATAGTTTGCGAAATTGGCGGTCTCTGGATGCAGTGGCTGGCGACCTTGGGCGACGAAAAAACTTCAGAGCAAGCCGAATCAGCTACAGCTGCTGAAATGAAAACAAGTAGTAGTTGTAGTAGCGTAAGCGTTACTACTTCTTCCTCCGGTTCTTCCGGTTCTACGTCCTCTGCTGGAGGGACGCGTGGGAGCAGGAGCATCGATATCTTAGACATTGAGAATCTGCCTTTGCTCCAGCTCTGCGTTCTTTACCGGTTTTGCAAGACCAGCGGGATTAGTTCCAAGCGGGGAAAGACCTTGTGGCACAGTCTAGTAGATCGGGGAGTCCTGCTGGTTCAAGAGAAAGTTTCGAAATTAACCACCACGACCACTGCCGCAGCCGACCTGGAGATGCTGTCTTTGTCTACCTCTTCTACTTCTTCAAGGAAAGACAAAGAGCAGGAGCACAGGACGGTGGATTGGGATCTCCATGATATCGAGGACAATGAAGTGTCTACCGCAGTCCTGGTCCAATTGATTTTGGCTCTGTTCCCTCGAGTCCAGCGCAAAGACGAGAACCAGCAGCGCCTATGTCACACTGCTTTGTCCCTTTCCATGCATCGTCCGGATTATGCGCTTCCCTTGGTTTTTACCGGTGTCTTTTCGCATCTTCGCACGACAGTTCTCTCTGTGACGTCGAGTAAAAACGACTCGAGTCGACATGTGCAAGCCGATCACGCAGGAGAGTCCTCCGTCGTCGTGCGACAACCAGTCTGGCTAGCACAGATTCACCTGATGCTGCAGTCAATGTATTCGCTTCTAGACCTGGCAGCAGCGGGATCGCCAACACCGGAGGACAGCCTGAGGCATACGCGAGTGCTTTTGAGAATATGCGAAACGCTTGCAAAGGGTGGCCCCAAACTCGGAGCGGATAGGTACTTATTTACTTCATTCTCCTTAGGTGAATTATACTTACGTTAGACTTAGTAGGTTACACAGATGAAACTTGGTCTCAGGTAATTCTCGGCGTTATAATGATCATGTTCTTGTTCATCAAATTTATTAGATGATGGTGAGTTTTCCTTTCACCCACTGCTTGTTAAGTATACTTTGTTGAGAACACAACTTCATCTTCAGGCTTGTTGACAACACAACTTTATCTTCAGGCACCAAAAAACGCTTCCAATGGGTCGCTATGTTGGATGTTTCGTGGGCCACTACCTGAAGGCGGAAACCCGCTGGACCAGCGCGATTCAGCAATACAGCAACAACAGAAGCCCGAATAGAAGTCGATGTCTAGGAGGATCTCATACACGAGGACCATGTTTAGCTTTAGTATTGAGCGAAGAGGAGCAGCAGACTGCATTAGAAGCACGGAAACTGTTGCCGCATTGCTTACATCCGCTCTTGGACGTCATGGACGACTCGGACAGGCAAGTTCTCTACTCCTCCTTAGACCACAAGCTTCGCACTCGCTTCCAAGAAGTCTACCAAGAATTCAAGAAGCGATACCGATACGCGGGTAAGGTGTAATACCAATACGGTCTTCACTTCTATTTCTACCTCTACGTCTAAGGTGTAAAACTAAAAATATATACGGTGTCTTCACTGTATCTAGTTATACTTCTACGTCTAGGTCTATGGACTCTGTCTGATCACTTGAAACGCAATGATGATGATATCATGGACGAGGTGGAGGGGGCCGGAGATGCAAATAATTGGTTAGAGATGAACGAAGGGATATGTGCAACAGTGGAAGATCATAAGGACGAAGAATTGCACCTAACAATCATCTGATACAAGCACTTGAATTTCCTTCTGATGCTTTGAATATCTCTAGCAATGACCTTAACATACAACCCATGCACAGCCACTATGCCCTTGAATTTTCGGGGTAAGCACGAAGATTCTCACCCAGAACAACTTCATAATGTTGAAGGCCTTCACCAACATCTCCAACTTCATGATCAATCTCACAAACTTTTTTTATGTCCTGCTTTTCCTACTTCTCGGAGAAAGGAAGAAAAGTACTTAGCAAGAACATACGTGTGCGCGCTAGGCTTGCTACGTGAGTGAAATCATGAGGGCATTTGCGCATGATGATTTACCATTGTATTCTTACGGTCATCCTGATGGTGAATCATGTAAAAAGAGAGTGACTGAGACTGTCGATGGACGTGAGGCGAAAGATAGCTATTAGCGCATAAAAAAGAGCTTCGTATTAGTCGTTGATAAATGAAAAGAGAGCGAGAAAAACGTCCGGGTGCACACAACAAGGACGCACCCGCACTGATTCCTGTGGCGCACCAGATATAGTAGATGAAACAAGATGAGTGGTAACGGGAACCCACGCTGCGCAGCAAAGGAAAATCTATACGGTCAATAATCACTTGACTTTCTGTAGAAGTAGATGCAACTAGAGGGAGAAAAAAACAAAAAGTCGCAGAGTAGCTGAACAACTCCACGAATAAACAATAGTAAGTTGCCCTACTGCTCTGTCCCACATCCAGTGATATCATCCATGGAGGAGAACCACGAGAAGTTTCAAATTCAATTTGTGGACAGCAGGTTGAGGTTCAGGTGAAGAAAGATGTCCTCTTCTCCGACGGGGGCGGCCTCGCTCCCCACCTGGAAACCTGGGCAGCAGCAGATGACATCTCAATTTCCCATCAGTGCCGATCCGTTCCTCGAGAGCAGCGTGACTTTTCTGGAAACTTTCAATTAAGGGTTGGAACTTGACCTCTCATCTGTAAGCGTATCTATGACCTTTTCAAGTAGGAATGTCATAGATTGATATTAATATTAGAAATATGCGACCTAGATCGGTCAACTTGCAACTCCTAATTCCAGTTTTTCTTGAAGGATCGTCTGGATTTTGAGCCCGTAGTGAAAAAAGTTTGGTCGGACCAGCTAGTCTCCCTACCAACCGCCACCAAGCGACTGAACGCGACACTGCAGGACAAAGCGCGTGTTCAGGGCTACGCAGGCGAAAAGGACTTGCTAAACGAGGTTGAAACCTACTTCGCCAAGCGTGCAGCAACGCAGCTTAAGGGCACATTGAAGATTCTTGATTCTTGACAGCGTACTGGTGCTTACTAGTTCCTCCTAGAGGATCATGAAGGATCTTCGTAGTCGTACAACCACACGAGAAGCAAAATCTAAATCAATGAGCTAGAACTAGATGAAGTAAAACAACTAGGACTTGTTCTTGTTGAGATTTAGATACAACCATATCAATCTAGTATCAGCGCGACTACTCTTCATCTAATGAACGAGCAAGCCTCAAAAGCGACGTCAGCGGTGGTCTCTCGAAGAGCTCGGCACCACAGGAGGTCTCGACCATTCCGCCAACAAGACAGACGAGTGTCTTATCTTTTGTTGGTCCGCACGGGCTGAGTAGCGGAAAATCTCATAATTAAGGCCGCTTGTCTTTGTCTTCCATCGCTAGTCCTCTTCTATCGTGGGAACTACCTAGTCTGGCTCTGAGCTATTGTCGCTATCTTGAATGAGAATTCGACCCCTTGAACATTTCAACTTGTTTAAAGGGTGAAAGATGCGAGGCGAGTTGCAATCGCCAGCAGCCCACGGGATCACTTCGGTAACCACCGATCGTGTTGATAGGCAAACACGACTCTCTCTAAAATAAAAGAGGGAACAAACGGAGTAAGAACGCTTCTGGGTCTGGCGGATCAGGCACTGCAGATGATTCAGCGGGTCAGGAGCCCACAGACGGTGGCGGTTCCGCAGCGTCAGCTGCAGGAGGTGCGGCTGGAGGAACTGCGAACTTTCCACTTGTTATGGCTCCCTTACTAGGGGTCGCTCGTTGACGAACGACGAGTACTTCTTAATGAATTACCGAAAAAAGATTCTCAACCTCAACAAGAAATACAACATCTTCTACCAAGAAGATCAAGGTGAAGTAAGTAAATAACAGAAAGAAAGCAGCAGGTGCTTTCATCAAGGAACCACGAGACAAGGAACCGCCATTGGAACGGCCAACGTGCACACGTTGTCGCATAGTATCAAGTATTCCCAGCAGAAGCAGTAGGAGTAGGTAGTACAAGAAGTTTTGCTTCTTGTTCTAATATTCGGCCTCGAGGCAAGCCGCGACGTGCACCGCAGAAGGGCCTCGAGGACTCGGAGACTGATAGTGACGAATATGATGCAGACGACGTTGCGGGATTTGTACATCCAAATACACGGAGAGCACTGAACGGTCGTAAGCCGCCGGCTCTGGCGAAAGGGAAAATCCCGTTTAGCGATGACGAGGACGCTTTTCGCACGTTTTTGTACAAGGTTGGGCACGAGAATCCGAATTTGACCATGAAGTATGTGCTTCCGTGCTTTTATCATCTCAATTTTGACGGTGTGGCGTCGCTGGAAGGTGTAGTTCGTATACCGAGCAGCTTCTCAAATTTACAGCGGGTGTCGCTCAACCGATGTGGTATGGCCTTATTTTTGATAAATATCGACCGTTGCTTGGTTCATTAATGCATTTACATCAACAAGTAGAGTGATCTTCGCATTCAATCCACGACAAGAGCAGCTTCAATCTACTCAAGGTGTATTACCCATTTTGTTTATGTGCTGAAGGTGGTGTTACTTTTGGACTGCTCATTCCCATTCTCAATTTATTCCTGGTTTGTCTCTTGATCTTCTTGAACTTCTTGACAAACAAATTCCTCTCTCCTCTGGCACTTCATTTTCCGACTGCGGGCACTCGCGCCGGAGGTTCTGCACGCTCCGTGTCTCGAGCGGCTGTCATTGTACAACAACCAAATCACGCATGTTCGGCCGTACGATCGTCGCGCTCACGCGCGGAATTCGAAGCTGCAATTTCTCGGCATTGGCTGCAACTTTCTGGACGGCGTCGCAGTAGAGGAAATACTGGAGTGGTTCCAGAATCTCCTAGTTCTCGACGTCTCCTTCAATTTCGTCGTTGAATTAGACGCTTGGTCAGACACGCTAATGTCCATCGAGTTGACCGGCAATCCAATTTCCCTCTGTGCAGACTTACCAGTGCTGCTGGCGGACATGTTTCCAAGGAACGCTAGCACGGAAATTCTGAGGGATATCGACAAAGGCAAGTTAGGATCAACTCTGCTGGGATCGACGACAGGAGCAGTTGCAACTCCAGAACCAAGCTTGGCGTGCAAGGTAAGCCTGATGGTGTATCATCTAACTATGAAGATGCACATTTGCTTTCCTGATCAACATGATCATGTTGTTAATGAGCATGGGTTAGACAAGAAGAAGTTATTGCCTTCTGATTTCATTTTTTTCCATGAGCATGACAACCAAATACGAACAGCCTCGAAATCGAAACACTGTCCTACTACGACTACAAATGAATTTTTTTCAATCACCCCCTTCTGTCAGGCGCTTCCTCTGCAGTTCGTCGTGCATTCTATAGGCAACTTGCATCGATGCTCAGTCGATGCAGAGGTTTTGGCCTCTGTAGTAAGCCAATTGCATATCCGAGTTGAGGTTCCGTCAGGCAGTGTGGTTTTCCTGATTAAGGCTGTAAATAGGTCATTTATCTTTTTGTTCCTCATCAAGCTTTTCCAACATTTGATCGCTCAACATCATCTCGTACCTCTACACTCACTTGTTTCTTTCTATCATGTTGAAATTCAAGTCCCTGAATCGACAATGAATGAATGGTAAATTCTAAGCTGGAGCCAGAGTGTGCAGCTGCGCCCGACCTAGCGGCACAGCAACAGGCAGAGGTTGACGCCCAAGAGGCAGGAGAGCCGGCACCAGCGGTGGAGGCCGTAGCCTTCGACGAAGCTAGTGCGCTTTTTCGGCAGAAATTTAGTCCTGCTCAACTCTGTGCCTGGATCTTGTCGGTGCCGCATTTCGAAATCGGTACTGTCAGTGCACAATACGTACCCCCAGAGACCACGCCGCCTGCGGAGGGCGAAGAAGCACCAACTGAGCCAACTGCCGAAGAGCTGGAAAAACATAAGAACGCGTTTTTAGAGGAGAATTTCGTCGCGTTAGCGGGAGCAAGCGTCGACGTCCAGCGATGGCTGTGGCATAGCCGACGAAAACTCAAAGAAGTGACCGCACCATTAAGGCTTCCTCTATTCTTCCATCTTCCGCGACATCCTGGAGACGCTTACTTTTCAACTTCAAGGGGAAAAGAGACCCTCCAGAATGAATGTACCATCAATCTCAAGATAAATCAATTAGGGCGATCTCTAATACCACTGGTACTTGGAGCGGCCAACGCACGCATGGCGAAGAACCGGATGCCGCACTTCCGGAAGATCCGAGAAGCCCCTATGTCCATGACGTTGAGCTTATTTTTGGACTATGACGCACAGGACGAGGCGGAGAGCGGCGAGGGGCAGAGCTGAGCGGGGGCCCTACGTACTTCACAATACTTATCATACTTAACAACATCTGTATGCGTCCCACCAGGACCAGGTTCTGCAGAGCTGCGCATGATATGAAATTTACTCGTCTTCCAGCATCTAGACTGAGGTACTGTCCCAGAGGGTATCATAGTCCCTCACACAGTTCATCTTCAGGTTGAAGACACTTACAGCATAAGTTCGGTGGTAAATACAAATTTCTGGGTCCATTCTTATCTTTTATCCTGTGCTTGCAGTCGATAATATGTTTCTGTGTTGCAGCAAACACGACCAAGAATAGAATGATCTTGCATGTTTGGCCGACAACTCCTTGATAAATATAAGTTGATTTATCATGTGGAACTGATACACAAACTTGAGCGCGTACTTACTCTTTCGATTATGCTGTTGACAAGGTCGCAAATTCTAGTTCTTTTTTTAATTCTTCAACATGCTGGTCATTGATTTGGGATTTTCGGGAACGAATGAGAAATGAGACACGGGACCATCTACGTACAGCTTAAAATACAATCAAAAATGCAGTCTTAATGATGATGCTAATGCTCTGTGGTCTGTGGACAACGTCAACTTCTCAAAAATCGCGAAGTATCTATAATGGTGGAAATTCAAATTACATTACAGCAAGATGAATCATTCACAGTCACCAGGAGATGCTGCAGCAGAAAGAAAAGGATCTTGTTGTTCATCCGCTTGCTTGAAAGAGCAAGAGCATCGCCGAACAATGTGGTTTTCTTCAGTTCTCATCCACCACGTTTTTCGACAAGTGAACTCGTCCTGCAATGCTTTCTGATCAGTCGTGTGCTACGTGGTTGAATGTGCTGGTGCGTCCTCGGTCTTGGACAAACAACGTTCCCCTGAACCACCTGATGATATTAGAGACAAGTTGCTGGTTCTGGCGATCAGCAGGTTCTTACAAGTACTAGTACAACTGGTACAACTAGCGCCTGCTATGGTCTTGATCAGAAACAGAATGATCCTTCTGTGATCATTATACTTTTGTAGATATAGTTGACATTTTCGACGTGAGCTTTGGCGTCGTTGTATTCACGCTCCAATATTTTTGCACAACACCTTTGATTATGTCACCTGCTCTAGTGTTGCCTGATTAACTCACTCTTTGGATTTCATTTGACTAAACATCTGTGTTGATGTTTCGTCTGCTTCTGGAGTTCGTCTTCATTATTTCGTCTTGGTGAGCAGTTTTCAACAAGACCTGATTGCAATTTGGTCTTAGTAAATCTAGAAGAAGTAGATTTCTATTTCGTGCTTGCATGAATGTTTCTGCAAATCGATCCAGGACAAATGTTCTTGTTGTAATGAATTGTTTGACAGTGTGTGACGACGATGCTTCTTCTGTGTATGTCGGTCCATTGGTTCTTGTACACTCGGCAATGGGCGCAGTACGTCGTGAAAAATATCTACTAAGATGAAGGGAACATGAATTTCAGCTGAGAATTCTTCTGCTCCAAAATGTTGTAAAATAAGAAGGGAAGACAGCAACACCGCTAGCAAGAGCTGCGACCCCTATTCCAAGACTGTATGTTACACGCGCGCGCACCGAGAGAAAGAGGAACATCAGCACGGTCACATGACGGCGGCAACCATCGAGCTTCTAAAACTATCAAAACCACCCACGACAACTCCGACTCGTATCCGAAGCGCAATGTCTTTTGTAAGCCACGGGCCAACGAAATAGTCCTGGGGATTCCGTGATAACTTCGCCACATGGTCCAGTGCCGGAGTCATCTGAAAGCCGGCACGAACGTACACTGGCACCTATAAAAGCTCGCTTGCTCGATCACCTGTTGTACGAGAGAATCTACGTCTATCGCCTTAAACTTAACTACCCAAGTGGAGTCAGATCAACGTCGACCACCATGTCGCATTATCATTCTGGTGGGGGTTACGGCCGCTACGGTGGTGGTTACGGCGGTGGACAAAGCAATCAGTTCGATGATAGACTGCAAGTCACGCTGCCGAACCCGAGTGATCCTTTCATAAAAAACTCCGTCTGTGCTCCAATAGCTCCTTCGTGTCTCCTCGGACATCCACACGTCTCTATCGCAGCAAGGAGATACAACTTCATGTTTGGTACTTTCCAATTTCTCCAATTCTGGCTGTTCCGGAATCTTGCGTATTCATTGTCATTGACCACATTGACATGTATAATAATGAACGAAGATGATCATGGCCTTTGTTGCAGTGCAGAGCCAGATGAAATATATTCAGATTGAATTTGCTTACTTCTACCCCTGCCATAGCCATTGTATATTGATTTTTTCCCTTCAATTATCATACCATTCATTGCGACCACGGACTACATCAACCCACACAACGCCGTACCTACCAGAGCACGTCCTCGGAGCGCACGAGATGTGGCGGGCTGAAGGAAACGCAATATCTGGCGAGAGATATGTCCGTGATTTCAGGCACGTGATAAAGGGAGCTGTGAGGAAGAAAGTTCGAAATATCGATTGGAACGGAGACGGAGATAGACTCCTATACTGTTTCGACAACGGGTCAATAAAAGTGTACGACAGCGAGAGGCTCGACTGCGTCAACACCTACGAAAAGACATCCAGCTCGTCGTCCTATCTGAGCAAAGACGCAGGTAGTCCTACTGGTTCCGATAACAGAGTTTGGAATCTCATGAGCAATACCAGTAAGCTAATTGAAATTTGTGCACTGACAACTTTATTGGGCTCTTCAGTACTTTGCTGCCCCAATCCGTTCCGGTGTAAAAATAAACTGGAGAGCATTGTAGACGTTTCCGGTTCGAGATGTTGTGATACCTCAAACTTTCATCATACTGCTATTTTCCTTTCCCCACGCCCACGGCCACATCTTCATTTATCAACCATTCATTAATGACCACAGGGGCAACAAGCATCAACACGACTTCTACAACCACAACAGCTACCCGTGGCGGTGGTATTCAGTATGACTTTTCGTCGGCGTGCTTTGACCCGGTGCACAATACTATCGCGTGTATTTCAGACAAAGGACGCTTTATGATGTTTGATACCAGAAGAAGCTCACGCGACCCGTCTCTTCACGACGCGGATCTGACAAAAACGAGCCCGAACATGGTGGATTTCATTAACATTCAAGCTTCCCCAAAAGGCAGCGAATTTGCCATGCATACGTCACAGGAGAGGGTACTTCTCATCGTTATGAGTCCTATGTAAAGTTAGAGAAGTGGTGGTGGTCGACGTCGAGAGTTCTTGTAGTCTTAGTTTTAGTAGTAGTGCAGATCTCTGTCTCTCAGTAAATCCACTTCCCAAGAACCGCGCACCAACAGACAAAAAAAACCTCAACAGACATTCGTGATGTCACGGGACAACCCTGGCAGCGGCAAGGCTTCTTTGAAGTTGCCACACACTTTGGATCCACATAAACCACATTATCCCGGCGCAGAGACGTCACCAGTGAATTGCTACAGCTACGCAACAAATGGCACGATCCTTACAGGCCACAATAACGGCACCCTGCAAGCTTTTAAGGTACTTTTGAAACCTCATGTATGTTGCGACGATTGGTAGAAGTAGTACTACTAGTACTTTTCGTTTTTTACTAGTTTGAACAGACAAGAAGTGCATGAAGTAGTTGAAATTCGGCATCGTCCTCCACCTTCATCCAAATGTTCAGGCTGGTTCCAGCGCTAGTGTGCCTTCTAGTGCTCGATTCCGCACCTGGACAGCGCATAGGGGTGGCATCAGTTCCATCGGCGTGTCCAAAGACCTAATTGTTACGGCGGGTTTTGACAACGCTGTGCGTGTATGGAACGCAGCCAATCCGGCTTTCTGCGAGAACTGCATTCTCCAAGGTGTGCAGGTAGTCAGCTCACTCAGTCTGAACCACGACGCAAACGTACTCGCGCTCGGATACGGACCAGTCCTGTACAAGTCCGGAGCGGACAGACTGAAACAAAATCACTGGTCGCTGTGCGGCGGCAACCACGCCAACACAGGTGCATCTTTCTCTTCCCGCGACCCGAATGGCCCGAATGGTATGTATGATAAGCAGATATGTTTCGTAAATCCACGCAATGGGGACATGTATTTGGGCGAAACCAGTGGTGTGGAGCCTCTTAGCCTACCTGGTTCGGCCACCTGCCTCAAATTTCACCCTCGCAAGAACGTGCTGGCGTTCTCACTCAACGAAAGTCAGTTCACCGACACCTTACCAGAAGATGGCACCACGAGCAACCGATACGGAAGCGCACCCTCACGAGCACAAGCCAGTCTGAAAAATTCCATGGCGCAAGTCTTCCGACTTCCAGAGCTGAAGGAAATAGACCCCGCTGAAGAAGCTGGATGGTAAGGACGTGTCGCAGCGCAGGAACCGAGGAGAGTGCGTAAAATCACTACACGGACGAGAGGAACCGAGGATCATGATCATATGTTGCGTGCAATCGGCTGCGTACATCCGAAGTTCTTGAGTAGAGCTCAAAGAAAGTTCAAGATACATACTTACACATTCATGAGCAGTAAGAACAACACAAGTAGAAGCAATTTTTTAGCCGACACGCTTTCGCTTACCCGCCGCCCGCAAAGCTCTAGCCATTGACCCTGTTGTAGTTTGATCCTCCTCGATTCTGATATTGTGCAGTTCTTTCCAATTGTGCAGGTCTTTCCAAGAAGAGGAAGTAAGAGCGCAAGCAACATTCATCACGATTGATGCACAGGTCAGATGAATGTAGACCTGGGAATCGAGCGCAAAAAAGACACATGAAAGGCCACCTGTTCACGAGGAGAACGTTAGAAATTATCCCGGTTCTTTTCATCATACCCCTAAATAACTAGCGACTAGACATCGGAGATGGAGTTGGAGCGTGAAAAAAAAGATTCACACCTTCATGAATCTACTCAGATAGGAACTAAATCTGGCAAAGAGAAGGAGTGATCAGTGACGCGTTTCATTCAGATCTGTAGTTTCGAGTGAGGACAAGATAGACATATCATTCTGTCGAAGACGAGCGCGTATGCCAAGTAGTTGAATACCGTTTAGAGTTAGACTTGTCAATGCAAAAAATCTGTGTCTCTTACTGAGTTGTGCGATTGCGAACCGTGGTGAGATAGAGATCATTGCTATCGCATGCAAGGTGACATATGTATATATAACGTCAAGCAGGACAACATTTTCTGTCTGAGGAGGTAGAGCTAGCACGAATCTTTGAGTGATAGTGGACCGCAATCTGTCGAGAAGATGATCACGCTTCTGTGGCAGCGCAAGTTAACCTATACTTCTGGTAAAATGATGTTGATGTTGACGGTTAGCTATTTTCACTAGAGAGCTGTAATGTCAATCAATGTAGTCTCCAAGATTGCAGCATGATCTTCTTTGCAATGCTAGTGGTCGCAAGCCATTTGAAAGATTCAAAATTGTCTTCATGATCTAAGTCTTCTGTCTTCAACCACCTGTGTGATTACTCACTACTTTGAACAGGCGGCCCATGTCTTCTTTAAATCCTCCTCTCTCTCTCTCTCCCTTTTATACTATTGTGCCCATGCTGCAGTTGAACTTCCCATAATATTTTTTGTGAACTACTTTTTTACACTACGTTAAACTTGTTAAAGTTGATTGTTCCTTTACTTCTCATAGATACTCATTCTTAGTCGGATGATCTAGCTAGTACTCTTACTTCCATTCCTCGTAATTTTCCGAAAATTTCTTTGTCTTCCCGCCCACTGCTCGTTGCACTCTCATAGCCTAGTGAATGTGTGTGCATCAGTTGTTTTCTCCAGCGAACGCGCATAAGCGTGTGCTTGCCGAGTCGTCCATCTTAAAGCTTGCAGTCAACCGCCGCAAGGCGTAAAAGAAATCTGGGGCACGATGAATCGCGACAAGGGTAGCGGTATGGTGTACGGCAACAAGGGGGAGACCAGTGTGGCCCTCCAAAAAGCCTTGGATGACCATCAAAAAACCAAGCAGATGGCCCGCAAAGCGGCTGATGCGATGCTCTCAGATATTTTCGTAGGTGAAGCACGAGACAACGTCTTTCGATATGCTCATGAGAACGACTGGCCTTTTGGCATTCAACACGTTACGTGCTTCAGGGAGGCGAACCCTGATCCAGCAGGTTTTCTAGGCTTAAAGTCTGCACTACAACGCAATCTAGACCATATAGTGGGGGGAGCAAACGCGAAGGAGAAAATAGTAGACGTACCAAGTCAAGATGCCGTCTTCGTCGATGCAACACGGGCGAAAGAAGCAGGTTTGTTTTATTCAGGATCCGAAAGAATTAGAAACAGAATTCTTTTCCGTTTCATCATGTTTAACATGATCTGTTTTCCTATTTCTTCAGGTGTAGCTGTGGTTCTAGTTATACAGTGTGCCTGATGCAGATGAGTTCTAAATGATTCAAAATACATCCCAACATAGCAATAGATATTTGGTTCCAAACAAATGTGTATCACCATTATCATCTTCAGATAAGGAGCACATGCGACGGCTGCAAACGGGATCGGCGCTTTTGGTATCCAATGATGTCGGTGAGAAGCCAGACGGTTCTACCGTACAGAAAATCGACTTCATCATGCCAGAGGGTGCGGCGGGTGCGCTACCCCATCAACGGAAAGTGCCTCAAGATGAACGGCGAATGGAGTATGAAGCCAGTTTGCCTCGACCAGCACCGGGTGCGGACCCCTTGCTGGACGATGCGGAACGTGTGCAAGCGATGGGAGGCACGCGACGAGCCGGCTCAGTTGACGGTTTGGTCGCGAGTGGAGCCGGTCAGGGTGCGGGCCAGCGGAAGCCGCAGACCGAGCAGTCGGCTTTTCAGCGCAAGAAGCGCACTTTGGCGAGAGTGAATTTGAAAGAAGCAGTCACAAAAGGGTATGAGGTAGGGGAAATCGCGATGAAAGCCAAAGCCTTTGCACGAGAAACCATGCAATTTCACCTAGCGGCGCAGGAGGCAGCGGAAGGGGGCTTCTTCTACACAGAAAACGACGTGCAGACGGCTAACGCGAACACGAAAGCCGCGCAGGAGCTTCTCGCCGCTGGTCGGGCGAACGAGGAACGGAATCCATTAGCGGCAGCATCTGCGAACCCAATCAAAAACGCCTTTTGGGAGCATTACCGGTCCAATGTGTCGCATGCTGACGTGCGGCTACTGGAGGAGAACCAGCAACGGGTAGCGCAGCAGCAGGTGCTCTCCTCCGAAAGGATTCTCGCTGAGAGACACATCAAGGGCATGGAATTCGCCACTCACGATCCGCGCGGAAGCAAAGTTGGTACTATAATAGACTTTGTGCGCGGCGATCGGCCCAACACAACGCGGCAAGGAATCAGTCCCGAGATCCTGGCCTGCGCCGAGGCGCGATCCGGTGCGACCTCAGGACTGCAGCACCTGGAAACCGCGAAGGCAAGCACAAGAAGGTGGCGCGAAGAGAACAAAGAAGCCCAGCACCGACTGATGAACAATACAAACAGCGGGAGCGAAGGTTTTTTTGGCAATCTGAACTTGTCGGGTGGAGGTTTCCCGCGAGGCTTTGTCACCTGCACCTCGCACTGTCCAAAGCAGCAGTCGCTTGACATAGAAATCATTCGGAGAGATCTGGAGGCGAATCCGGGTCTGAAAAAAGCACTACAGGGCAAGGAAGGCGTGACCGAAGAGCGCGTGCAAGTTTATCGCGGAGGAAAGCGCATGTCCCTCTTCCGATCACGAGTCAGGGCGGAGGATTTTTTGGTGCCTCTGCCAACGGCGGACAGGTCCCTCGTGAAGTTCCTGCAGGAGACGTCGCTGAGCGACGGCGTTGCGGCCAAGGTGGCGGCCTACGCACAGTGGGGAGACATGCGGTTGTCCCAGCAAATTCGCCAAGAGCTGGATGCCTTGTACGATGACAACACGCATCAGGCGCTTCACGATGGAAAGACTATAGGAGAGCGCTTTGGGGACAACAAAGAGTTCGAAGAAGAAGAGAAACGCTTAAGAGCAGAGAAAATCAAACTTGCGCCGGTCCCGAAGCAACGAACCAAGCAGATACAGATGTCTCCAGCTGAGGCGATGGCGCAGCTGCGTGGGGAATTGGAAGAAGGGGACGAGGGTGGTGACTCACCGATCAATGCAGCACCGACAAGCGAGGAAGGGGGAACGGGCTCCGAAGGCATGTCGCAAGCGATGCTGAAGCGGCTAGGCGGCGAGTACAGCGCTGCTGTGGGGCAAAGCCCGGAAGAGGTCGCCAGGCTACTGCAGGAATCACAGGACCTTGCACAGCGTGTAGAGCAGGAGCGTTTGCGCAAGGAAGCACACGAAAACTTGGAGCGGAATCGTGAGGGACGTCACTTCTTCCCGCATTTTAAGGAAGTGAAAAATTCAGACCGAATTAAGTTTACACGCAAGCAGCAGAGTTTGCCGCAAATTATGGCCTTGGGGGATGCGAGAAAAATACGCAAGTTTCAGTTCGGACAGCACAAAATGCACTGCGTTCTCCCGCGGAAGGAAGAGAGTGCGATCAAGTACCTGGATCGCAAGATCCGAAACCACATGGCGCTCGAGAAGCGGGCGGCGCGAGCACGTCACGAAGGCCCGAATAGCGACGCCGGTGACTTTTCTATCGCCAGTGAGGTGAGCTTTTCCGCTATGAATCCTCTGATTCGCTCTACCGGTGGAGGTACTGCGGGAGGTTCAGACAATTTGAACTTGAGTTTGTCAATACTATCAGGGTCTGGTGCTGATCATGGAGTTAACATGCCAGTGAGTCCGTCTCACACTGCGCCACCCGGTGCGGGGGGCCCGCCTTCCATGCCCGCGTCTCCCTTCGAAGCGACCGGCGGTAGCATGTTCGGCAAGACAACCATGAGTTTACCAGCCGATCCGCGTCTCGGCCGTGGGCCACCGGAGTGGGGTCAGCAGGACTACCAAGCGGACTGGTCAAAGCAAACTGCTGGTCAGCCGGGCCAACTCCAAGATCTCTACCAGAACGCGCACTTTGAGGATGCGGCACTGTCTCCACGCGCACAGATGTTCAAAAACAATGCTCTGCTGAAAAGCCTAAGCTTCGATCCACTTCCAGCACCACAGGGTCGTTCTCGACCACCGCCCAACGAAGTCTTGCTTTCGTCTCCAAATAGAGGAAGCAACAACGGCGCAAATCAGATGAACAACGGGTCAAAAAATTCTTTTATTGAAGTCGTGGACCAAGCCATGATCATCGAAGAGAATTTCAAGACGAGAAAGTCTGCAAGGGAGGATTTGCTTGGGCCCAGCAGAACGGGCGAGTTGCTTAGCGGACGACTGTCGGAGCCGAACAGTACACTCCCACACGGTCTGGCGAAGCCCGGCGAAACAAGCGGATATGACATGGTGCAGCGCATTGCGAAGGAGGCGACCGAGGCTGCACGACTCAATATGAACGCAGCGGGCAAGACTGAAGGCTCGCTCGGGCTCTCGACTTCCCACACTGTCGGCAACGGCCCTTTGAGTATGGCCGCGAAGCTTGAGAAAGCTAAGCGTGAGGAACGGCTAGCGAAGCAGAGAAGTGAGCAAATCGACGAGCATTGTCGAGAATTGCTCACGGCAATAGCACCAGAACTAGTCAGGTCCAAAGAAGGGCAGAGAATCAACAGTCTGTTCCACAATCCAGTGAATAATATCCCCCAGATGGAGAAGTACGTAGCAGCGGTGGCAAGTGGATTGCTAGACTTGGACACTTTGCGGCATCTGCCTGGAGGCTACTGGTCTAGTGAGAACTTGCACACAGATATGGTCGGGTTTACCCACAAGCGCGCCTTGTTGACTATGGAAGACGTGCAGCGGCATCTAGAAGGCTACATTGGGACGAGGGCTGCAGAGGACCACCGCGAAGCTACCTTGCTTTACGGAAAGCGCAACGTGGTGCTGAACACGAAAAAGAAGGTGATGGATCTCCTTCTAGGACTCGGGAAGACAGAACCGATTACGGCGGAATCTATAGCGCGAAAGGCTAAGAAGCCAAATCGCGCAGGAGCAAACGGCGGAGCAGACACCGAGGGAGACGAGGCAGACATGAAATCAATGCGCGATGCAGCCCTAGAAGACTTGCGGGATGTCACCGAAAAGGAAGCAGCAGAATACCTGAAAACGCGGCAAGTGAAAGGCGTGTCAGAATACCGCACGGACAAAGAGGAGAGGTTACGACGACACTTTGATCGCACACTAGGGGCTCCGCGAGTCACGGGGGGAGAAAAATTGCTCCGCGAAAAGCCGAGCAAGTCACGGGTAGAAGTCCTCAGTAATCTTTCGGCGCAAGCGGACAAACTCCCGCTTGTGGTGCAGCCTGCGAAGACTTTCAAGCCCCCAGGCGGTCGGACGGACGAAATGACGAAGAGCAGGATGAATCCTCGAGGAACGACTTTGTATGCCGAAGTCTGCGAGATGTCGCATCTGGTGCCTCGCTTAGACCAAGTCGCGTTCCCGGACCCAACCGTATTTGATATTAGCGGCACGTACGCCACAGACATAGACCTGCTGTCGCTTTCCTTCCTGTTGTCGAAACGTGCTCTGAGGGTGTTGAATATTTCGGATAACACCGAGCTGGACGACGAAGCGATCGTGGAATTCTTGGACCGAGTTTTGTCTCTCGAGTCCCCGTCGGTGCCTACGTTGCGAACCATCAATGTCGCTGGGTGCACACAACTCGGAGACTATAGTTTGACCAGTTTCGTGAATCTGATGCCCTCGCTGCGCAATCTAAAGGAAGTAAACTTTTCGAGGCTGCGGGAGGTAGCGGCAGGCACGCTGTTGCGTTTGTCGGAGCGCATGGGTGAGATGGTGCTCACCAGAGTCGAACTCGCGGACATCGAGATGCCTAGCAGTCTAGCAAGCCGCGTCCTGGGGAACATCTTAGAAAATGGGTATCTAGTCGAGCTGGATGTGAGCTGGAATGCCTTCGGCGAAGAAATTTTCTGGGATTTGCGCCAAATGCTCACGACGCATAAAAACTTACGCGCCTTGCGAATAGCGAATTGCGCGGAGGTGGTCACAAAGCGGGATGACAATCCGATCAACATCTTTCTAGAGGGCATTCGGGATTTTCCAATCTTGAGGTCCCTAGATCTGTCGTTGAATCGCTGCAATATGAAGAGTTGTGCGGTCGTGGAGGCAGCCTTGTACGTGAATACAGCCTTAGAGCACATCGACATGAACAAAAATCCCATCGGTGCGGAGGGTTGCCGGAGTCTCTTCCGTGCTTTTGCGAAGCATTCGAAGTTGACGCATCTAGGCGTGAGTCTGATGCACGCCGCGGCGCCCATGCTGGGTGGAGAGCAGGAGCCCGCAGGGAACGACGAAGCCGGTGGCGGAGGTGGTGCTACGAACAACAACGACCCAATGGGAGGAACGCCTGATGGCAAGGCAGAGAAAAATCCCTGGGACTTGCCGAGCCGCTCCATCGTGAATCCAAAGCTTAGTCAGAAGTACGGCGTAAACTACAGCCTCTACTCCTTCCTCTCGTCCAATCCTCAGAGGAAATACACGCTGAATCTTTCAGACGTAGGCGAGCGCGCGATTTTTTACTTGCTGTTGCGCGTCCGGGATCGCGTTCCCGGGTGTGCGTTCGTCGGCCTCGACGACTCGTACTTTCAGTCCGTCTGTGAGTATTCGGACAACCGCTGGACCATCAACCTTCCCGACGCAAACACACCGGAGGGCCGGAAGTTCAACTATGTGATCAGTTTCCAGTTCAACGTAAAGCCGAGTGAGACGGCGACGGAGACCAAGTCTAAGAGTAACATTTGGCGCTACTGCCAGCGCCAGGAGGCGTTGGCGCAGAATCCTGATGCCGAACCGCCAGCCGATCCCGTGGTTGGAATGCTCGCTAGCTTTAACACCTGCGCTAAGACGGTGTTCCCACGTGAAAAAGAGGTGTTTCTGGGCAACATCTGGCTGAATCTAAAACATTTAGATGCCGACCTGCATGTTTTCTTACATGCCTTGAGCTTTGATTTTGATTTAAGCCACGAGCTAGTTTGTTTCCTCATTGCGCGCATGCCGCACATGAGGCATCAGATCCTGTACCAGCTTTTTGGATCCTTGAAAGGCGGCAAGGCGGCGCAAAGACTCCTCTTCCTCTTCGAGGCACCCAAGGACAGTGACTTGGCGAAAATCTACGTGTACGCGATGAAGCTGATGAATTTTGTGCCCGAGAATTGCTCTGGACGGTACCATCTAAAGCTAGACTCCCTCTGTGACTGGTCTGTGGCGGACAGCGTCATGAAGATCGACCAGTGGGAGTGGAACTTGATCTACTCCAACGCTCGCGATTGCAAGTTTGGCCCACCCAAGTACGTCATTTCGCAGCACGGCAACAAGAGCAACTTCCGTAACGAACAGCTGAACGGCACGTACTTCGAGATGCACCCAAGCTTCCAGCTCCCTTTGTCCAGTTGCAGCATGGTCTTCGACTACTTCTCACCTCGACGCCCGCCTGTGAATGCGCAACCCCTTGACGACACGAAAGTAGAGCTGATTTTACGGGCCCTTACCGTATCAAATTGCAGTCTCCGCGATTGCCGGGACACCTTACTCCAGCTCTCGCCGCAAATCTACCTCACGTGTCGCCAATTGCGGCGCGCACTCAATTTGTTTCAGACCGGATCGCAGGGCGTCATGCTTGACGTGATTGTCATGTTCATCAATCGCACGGTCGACTGGTACGTCAACGAGAAAATCGTGCGGTCAGCGGTCTCAGCAAAAGTGTGGAAGGAAGAACTGAACAAACGAGTAGGATCCTACGCCTTGATGCCGTGGGTGCAGCCAGAAAACTGGACATTCGACATGGACTTCCGCTACCACGAGGACCGTCTCGTTCTCTTCGCGTTGCTCAGCTTTGAGGGTACAATAACTTGTTTTAGTACTACTAGCTCTTGTCAGTAGTTACTGCATTTTTGTCTCGACTACAAATATCAGGTATAGTGTCGAAATGATTTCATCTGTTTTTCATGACAAATCTGTACATTGAAATAGATCCCACTGCTTCATCCAAAACAAAGAGAAAACCACCCAGTCAGTATCTTCAAGTACTGAACTACCGCTCTCTTATTTCGAGGTTTCCATGTTATAATGTTCGACATCATCTGAAGTCTCACCCTCCTCCTACACAATATTACCAGATAACGAAGAAGGACAAAACATCTTGGATGTCACATGGGACAAAGACCACGATGGACAACCAGATCTTTTAGTGTCTGGAATTCCCAGATTGTGGTTGGACGAAACACCAAAGGCAGGCCACCTTCAGTTGACATATAGCTGTGCTCCGGAATACGTGCAATTACCATTCAGGTATTTTTCTGCTCGGCAGGATTTTAATTTGAATTAAATGCGATAAAATCAAAAATTTACGAATTCAGATCATATTTGGTTTTGAGGTTGAGAAATTACAAGAAGCACATGAATGGAAGTCGCTTCAAAAACCAAATGAAATTTGAGATAAATATGATGGATTTGCGTGTGTGTGTATATCTATTTGTGTCAAAGTTTAAACACATTTCTGTGAACTAATTCGTTTGAGCTCATCTGGATTGAATTTTAATGAAAATAGAATAAAGTCAAAATTTTAATAGCAATTGGTGATTTCGCAACGTTCACTTTCGTGAATCTCTAGAGCTTTCAGAATTGTGGGATCCTTTTTGATATTCGTAAAAGTCCTACCTTCATTTAAATGAACCTATGTATAACGAAAGAGGCAGAAAGTTTCAAGGAATCATCGTCCTCCACCAGGTTGAAGCATGTAGCACGTGAGGGGCTCTGGAACATCAATGAGGATGATGTTGAGAAGGATAAGGAGCAGCTCGAGTGGTGGATGTCGATCGAGGAAACACCAGATTGCATGCTGGATTTCGCCATTATGGCCATGCATAAATTCAGCAATCTCAAGATGGCATTCAAATTTTGTGACCGGTATAAGCGCGGCCGCATCAACCTGCAGGACATGAAGGCCCAATTTACGAAGAGTGGGGCGAATACGCGTGCCTTGAACGCTTTGACCGATTGCTTTCGGTTTTTAGACCGCGGCGGCGAGGGTACAGTCAGCTGGGATGAATTTCGCGTGGTGCAGTACTTGTGGAGCGAAATGTTCTTAGGCTTAGAGGAATTCATATATCATTTGCGATTTAAGATGGCGGTAGAGCAGCGTGCATTGTTGACAGGGTACTCGGACCCTAGGAGAAGAAAAAAAGTAGACGCCAGAGAGGTCCTCCGGGGAGTCAAGAGTTTAACGGCGTTGCCAGGCCAGTCGTCAGAGGAAGCGGGCAGTAGCATGAATACCTTCGACATCGCACCAGGCGAGGGTGGTGAGCAAGGCCAAGGAGGAGGCGCCAGTGGCAGTGGCCCCACATCAAAGCAAGCGAAAGCGGCCAAAAAAAAACGGAGGCGGAAGGGTGAGACCAACGAAGAAAAGCAGATGAAGATGCGGAACGAACTGAAAAATCTACGCGAGCGTCAGCAGCCCCAACCAGTCGTAGCCTTTATGGACCACGATTTCGAGCTTCTATCCTTGTCTCAAGTCTGGGACCTCCTGGATGTCGACGGCGGAGGGTCCATCTCCTTCGAAGAGTTCCTCGAGGGCGTGTCCAAGTACGAGTACCGGAGGCAAAACGTCGGTATCCTGTACAATTTCCTCGATGTCGACGGACGCGGGGAAATCGAGCGCCATGCGTGGATGGATGGACTCGAAAGCATGATGCGCAAGATGCACGCTGGCGCACAAACTGCTGCCGAGAAGAACCGCATGGACAAGATGTTGCAGTCGAAGAAGAACGAAGACGCCGATCTCTCCCAAACACTGACCCGTACCATCGGCGCTAGATCTAAGGCCGCTCCCCTAGCAGCCCGTTCTGGAGATGTTGAAGCCGAAGACGATAATGGGATAGGACGAGCAGGAAGTAGCACAATTAGCAGGCCATCAAAAGCTGCAAAAGCAGCTACTGAAGGAGATGCGGGAGGACGACAAGTAACACGACAATGTTCTCAGCAGAATGCTCCACAAGCGGATGATATTGATGAGGAGGCTGAAGAGGAGGAAGAATACGATGAGGAAGACGACGTAGAACCTTGAGGTTCTTATGTCTCTTGTTCGAATCGTTTTTTTTTACGAGTTGTATGTCAGGTATCGCTATCGGTTCCTCCCTCCTCACCTCTTTCCTCTGCTCCCCTCATCCAAACCTTATGTACAATAGGGCTTTTTGGACGTGTTTACTATTTGTTATCTGTATTTCTACTTCTCTTCTCTTTTCTTCCTTTGGTCTTATTACGCCTCTGCTTTTTTGCCAATATGACCTTTCCCCGTCTGCAGCAGCTGATTGGAATAATAGAGTATTCTGAATCAAGTCCTACATTTTGCGAGTAAGTGCTAAACCTTCGAAATTGAATATACCTAAAGATACCAAGCAAGGGGGAAGTGGAACACCTACACCCATTCATGCAAACGTTAATTGTATAAGTGGTACATGGAGGACGGCCACAACTGAACAGCATGCTACTATCTAAACAATCAAGCACGTCCACGGCATCTATAGTCAAGCATCCGAAATTAGAATCATGCCATCATAATGTTCATTTGGAGGGAAGACTTGTGATCATAATACCAATGTACTAAGCAATTTGCCAAATTGTAAGTAATTATTCTACACATATTTTGGGTTTGGCAGTACCATCCTACGAAAATCTTCATCTACATGTACAACCGACAGAATGATCACATGCCACGACCAATTGCCATATCTACTTTCTTGGTTTATGGTGCAAGCACGGCTAATATCATGCAACTGTAATCTAGCTGAAGACTTCGTAGAAAAAAAGGTCATGTTGCATTTGTAATCTGACGACATTTACTCTTCATGATATATAATTGAGGCACATTCATACATTTACACATTACAGTACCTTTCACCAGCCACGACACGTACCCCGAATCAATGATGAGAGAGCATAAGAAATGCACAGCATTCACATTCTTCGCTTGGAACAGAAAGATGAGACTGCAAGTTGCAAGAAGCACGAGATGACGATGAACGAGATTCATCGACACCAGGAGGATTCGACTCATGGCAGTCAAGAATAAATGTACCAAATTCCCAAAATGAGGATGATCAAACCATGTTCATGGTGTCATTGTGTTCTGCTTTTTCTTCGACTTCCTCATTCTGGATGTCGTAATTTTGATATCAAGAAGTTGGTGTACAACTAGTACTGATGGTGCGTCAACGTCGTGTTCTGGAGCTAACCGCGACACTAATGATAAACCTTGATGAAATATCTATTTCAGAATTGGCGAAATCAACAGATCGCGTTCTCTAAGCGTCCGTAGTTTCCATTTGACCTGCAATGATACCGATATTGACAGAATCAGAATCCGCTGCTCAAAATCAAAATGGCAAATGCGTAAGGTGAAGGAGTGAAGTGATTGCGCGCAAAAACGACTGCTAATAAAAGTTTCTCCTGCTACCTTTTCGCTGGGCCAGGCTTCTTCAACTTCTATTTCTTGTTTTTGTGAAATTCAAATTTGTTTTTCTGCCTGCTGCTCTCCTGTTTCATCCTTTATGTGCCTGTAGAACAACATTTCCTCCATTAATAAACCAAGTAGACCACCTCGAGCATTCTTGGGCTTGCAACCAAGCATGCAGAACAGCACAAATTCAAGTTTGTTTCTAGATCTATTTATTATAGCTAAAACGGCTATGTATTGCAATAGAGTTGTTGAGTTTTTTTGTGGGCTTAAGCTTTGGTCCTCTTGCAAATCAACACCGAAATCGACAGGAGCCAAGAATAAAATCAATAAGAAACGTACCATTTGTATCAACATTGTTGTAGGAGTGCAGCTGGTAGAAGTGAAATAGAGGTGGTTGTGCGATGTAGAAATTTTTTCATTTCATGTTTTCCTCTTCATCCTGAGCCTGATCCTCATCAAGCTCAATAACAAGCTGTGCGGGTCTTATGATTCAAATGTCCTCATGACTGGTGATTCTGTTTTTCATGCAACATGATCATGGGTGCAGACCGGCAGGAAGGACGTGAATTGCCTGTAGAAGTAGTCTGAGGGGCTTTTTAGGGTCTTCAGACACCTAGAAAGCTGCTGATCAGCATCAACAGTGGCTATTTTACACTGTTGCTGCAAAAACGTCAATCGTTCGTGTTCGAAGAACAACAACATGCGAACGAACTGAAACGTCTTGTTCATGGTTAACAAGATACAGGACAAGAAGTAGCGCGCTGCACTAGAACTGGTTCAACATCCATCACAACATAACGACACTGCATCTGCAACATCTACGACAAGTTCATTACCGTCTGGTGTGGGAGGAGCTTGGCGAAGTAGGACACTTTTTGCTTCTTTTGTTGAATTCATCAATTGACATCATCGTATTACCCCCTGCATAGTGGAGATTCATCCTTCGTCCCACCTGCATCGTACTTAGACTGAAGAGGACGACGAGCAGCAGCCTCGGTGTCGTTTGCGAGGGTTGATACTGTCATGTACAGAAATATCTCCAATTGTGACCACCTACGAGTACTGGAATACGCAGCTCACGTATCGTCCTGACAAAACCAGCCCCCCCGTGTCAGAACTTGCACAGTCCCCATAACTTGTCAAACTACGCGGAGCACGACCAGTCCTGTTGCTTTGCAGCTAATACGGCGGACACCGCCAGAAAAGCAAGTTGCAAAGGCACAAGGAGCTGATCTTCACCAGTGAAGACATACATCAACTTCGCACGAGGTTGCAAGAAATACCACTAGTACAACCAGTTTGTTAAAGTAAACTAACAGAAGATACAACAACTACAACAGAATGTGGGTCGAACTACTGGTTGCCGTCGTGATCGTCGTGATCACGGCTACGGCAGTGAATTGGTATCTCCGATCTAGTGAGGACAAGAGAAACACGTGGCTCACGTCAAATCTCGGAGTGCCAGATATCTACGTGTGGGACGGTAATTTTTTCTACTATCTTGCCGCTTCTTTGTCTACTTCCTCCAATAGATACAAGGAATAGGAACAAGGTCGACGCGCGTACTAACAAACAAGTGTGTTACACCAGCGATTACGATGTCTACTGTAGTATTCGGTTTCGGTTTCATCTAGAAGTTCCTATAGTATATTGATTCGCAGCCAGTATGATAGTACCCGGTCAAATCAAACAACGGCTGTCACTACCTACCAATAAAACAGAGAAGCTGATAAAGGAAAAAGAAGACGCATATTTTGACGCTTTGGAGGATGCGGAGAGGATATATTGCGAAAAGAACAACGTAGGACCAGACCAGGACTTAGACCCGAAGTGGCCCAGCCAGCTGGATCCAGTGATCAAAAACAAAGTCAAGTACTTATTGAGCATGAAACTTAACTTCGCTTCTCGTCGCGGTCTGTACCTTCGAGCTTGGTGTGTTTTACTTTCATAGCACAGGTAGGTTATATTAAAACTGAAGACTGTTGTGCTGCTGTATTCGATTACAATTTATCAACATCTATTTGTATCATCTCCAAATAATCGCTCAAAATCTACACGACAACTCATTACAACAGGATGAAGTTGATGGATCGGACGATGGCGTGGGTTCATACATATAGGCTCATGGAGGCCGAATTGAAAAAGAGCCAGCCGTTGTGGAGGCAAAATATAATATCACCCAAATATTGGACCAGCCTTAAAGACGCGGAGGAGAAGCTGGAAAAGCAATTCACGCTTATAAAAAAAGAAGTGGCGATGGTATACTGCTCTATACAAGAACAACCACGAATTGTAATCAATTTTTCGCTAAATTGTCTATAGAATGGAAAAAGCTCATCATCATCATCATCATCATCACCATCATCATCATCATCATGACGATAGCCAAAAATTTTTGCAGTGATGGTTGTGCCCCACTAGTCTTCTTGAGATTGACAGTAGGTGAATATCATTGCTCCGATAGGAACTTCTTCGTTTTCATTTTTTCCATTCTCTCCACTTCAACAAAAACAACAGATCGACCCAACGAACCCGAATCAAACGGAAATTTTCCGAGAGTCATGTCGTGTCATTGACCAATATGGTTACCCACCGAAAATGCCACAAGAGCAGCCGAAACCAGCAGAGCCACCAGGCGTCAACAATGGACGAATCATAGAACGAGTCATCGACAACAAAACGTATTTGCTTAGAATCTACTTAGTATTCCAGCTAATGATCATCGCGAACATGAACACAGCCTTACTTATAATTACACTTGATGAAATAGTACTTGTACTGAGAACATGTTCAAGTACGAGATTCTTTCGTGGTGTTGTTAAGGTTGATCGACCATGACCCCACGCTCTCCTTTCCATCCATCTACTTAGGTTTGAGTGTCTTCAAGGGCCAAATGACTCAGAGCTTGTGGTGTATGTGCCAGCGGACACAACCGCGAAAGACTTGCGAGTTAGAGGGCAGAGGAATATGGTGCAGATATGGAGAAAGGGCGAAATTCATTGGGAACGTAAACTACACGAGCTCGCTAGCTGTAGACCAGACCCGAATTGGCAACTTGTTAGGAAGGTACTGTTTTTTTCTTTTTGTTTCGATATACAACTTTCAACTCATACATCTTTTTGGTTTATTGATGATCTACTAACTTTATCCATGATCAAAAAGTAAAGACATTCTTCTAAGCAAAAAGTAAAGTCGTGCATTCTTCATTCATTCATAATAAATACGAAATAAAATTTCAATGAGTTGCTGTTAGTTTAGACGACAGTTCTTCTACTTCTTGTACGGTATTATATCAACGACGTGATACATCGTACCATTACAGACCGATTTCGAAGTCGGAGATGAGGTTATTTTAGGCGGACTTAGCAAAGCGGAGCTCAACGGACAAAAGGGAAAGTACACTTTCTTATACACTTGTTCTTCAGGAAATTTTTGATCGTGATCAAGATCATCATCATCTTATCGTTCGTGGTGTTTTGATAAAATGAATTGTGATGCATCCAGTTTTTTTTTCTTAATTTTCATGCATTTTTTGCATCAACTTTTTTATTCTTAAGATATCACAATATCAGTGAAAATTATGTCCCCGGTCAACCCCAACTCGAACTCCACGACCTTCGTTCTCCCTCCCCCATCCTCTGCCAGGGTACTCAAGGGTACAAAGGACACGATCGCGAAGGGGCGAGTGCGAATCGACCTCGGTGCGGGTATCAACCCACTTAGCATCAAGAAGGAGAATCTGACGAACACAGAAGAGTGGAGGAAATGCGCAGTTGTGATGACACTGGAGAAGGAGAAAAAAGCAACGATCTGGCCGATGCCGCCATGGGCTGAGAAGATTCCCGATGAAAAATGCGAGCTATTTTACAAGGCGATGCCCGCTTCTTCGAACAACAAGTAGTTGTAGTACTAGTAGTTCTGGTAAGATGAATAATATAATAAGTAGATATACTAGTAAGATGAGAAAGCACTCACAGTGAGTGTTGGTGATCATGATGTTGTATCTAAACCTCCCCATCGAAATCGAGGACATCTGCAACTTCATCTAAGTACCAATCGAGCTTGTGATTGCTTCTTTTTTTCATTTCTACATCTGCTGTCATGATCACAGAGCTGGTTGACCAGCACGTTGGGGCGCTGCTCGTTCCACTGTCATTTTTTTTTATAGATACTAACATCAAGAACTTGAAATATCTGTACTTCCGCTTTCCTGCTCCTGGGGAGGTGTGGGTGGGATGCTGGAGGAAGTCTGATCTTTTCTACTTATTTACAAGTAGACCGTCGATCAATTTCAGCTAGTCGATCATCTTCTGTCATTTCTGAGTCGTAATCTCAAAGTCACTTCGAACTGGTGACAACATATTAAATGGATGTAAATGGCGAAGGTGCGATGCATCAGGCGGACGCGTCGCTAAAGATCGAGCGGGTGCAGCACCAGCACGCTAGAATTTTTATGGATGTAACTATAATTCTCCTACCGGATCATGATGTTCGCTCTTCCTACGCACCGCCCACCCAATGAATGGAATGTCTCCCTCCCCTGGATGCCCACGACGCCCACCACCTACGCCTACATTGTAATGTAAATGTTACTTCTCAACTCATCTCTCTACTTTTGAGTACTCATCAACATCTGATGGATCGTATGGATGTGACTGATAAATCAAACTTTTGGGATCATGAAGGAAATACAAAGTAGCATCAGAAACAGAGGAAACGATGAACAAATACAAAAGCATGTTATGAATTTCTTTCTGCCTGTTAGAGGAGTCTCGAGGAAAACTCCCTGCTCAGGTGATTCAGGTGTCATCAGCGTTCCTCATTTACCTTGTATTTCTGTAATTCTGGTGGATGAAACGGTCATAAAATATGTGGGTTAAAGTAGAGTGTTCTGCTGCTCATGATGCATGACGCCGAACGATGTCGACACTACAGTAGACGAGAATATAAAGTTAGTAACGAAGGTTGGCCGCGAAGGACCGCACGCGGCCAGAGTAGTTACCAATTTTGATATTCGCGTTCGTGGAAGTGGTGCATTTCTAATCACAATAAAACAGTTCTTAGGGATTTAAGATAGGCCACATATTTACCATCTCGCACCCAGATCTTGTTGCAGCAGCGATCGATCTAGGCGAGGATCAAGAATCACAAGGGAAACTTGATTATTATGATATATTAGTAATAGAGGACAAGAACAATGCGAATGAAAATAATTTTGCATTCTCTGGATATCCACAAGGATCCATGCTCGAATAAGTAACAACTATCGATGATTTGTTCACATAGATGTGGTTTATTTTTCAACATGTTCTTTGCTGACATTAATTGACAGAAGCAGGAGTTTATGCTAGGTAATTCATGGTTCGATTCCTCCGCGTTAGAACTAGAAGCCAGTAGTTGCGCTTGTTGACTAAACCGCTCGTAGTGTGAACTAGTACCGACACGTAGCAAAAAGTAGACTATACTAGTACTTCACAAGATGGAGAAATATCGACAGTTTGCTGATGCTACGAAGGGCGTGAACCCCTTCGTTCCGGTGTGGAGCAACCGTCGTCTCACTCTGCTCCAGAGGCTGATGAAACTACTTGTCTGTGGCGGCTTTCTCGTCCCTGTACGCGCTGCCCTCTTCGTTGTCGGTTTCGCATTGCTCTTTTTGGCGTCTATCATTCTGAGTCTGCTTTCGTGCGTCCCGGCGGTGCATGATATCTTTGCTACGCTGTTGCTACCGATACCATGTCGCATCTGTCTGTTGGCCTCCGGGTTCTTCTGGGTTAACTACGGGGAAGAGACTGACGCAAGGAGACTGAAGCTAGCAACTCCGGATAGTATGGCAATTTTGAGTAGAATAGCGAGTGCCTCACACTCGCCAGGCGTGCTACAAGATGATGCTCGCATTTTGTGTCCTTGATATTTTGACATTGTTGTCCTCTTAGAAGTATATCTACTGAACCGATTGCAGCATCAAATCGTGTTAATAGAATACTGCATAGCAATCGACCCCCTTCTGCTCTAATCGAAAAAAAAACGGTTCCAAGACCACTTTGGGTGCCACACACGGATGGTTGCTTTTTACCAATTTCCAGGGTCCGGTGGATGTTTTGTATTATGGGATGTTGGGCTACAACAGCTTCGTTTTCACCAATCCGAAGACTTTGCGATTCGAGGCAACCCGTACTTTGATAACCAGTTTTTTTCGTGCGATTGAGGTTGGGGATGTACTAGTAGGTGCTGCCGGTGATGATGAAAAAAAACAGGGCGCAAGAAATTCATCAGGCAACGCTTCTTCAACAGGAAGCGCTGTAGTGGAAGAATTGCCAGTGGATGGATTGGATGGTAGAAGGACGGTCGTATTCGCGGAAGGGGGTAAGACGAACGGCACGTGCGTGCTTCCGTTTACCGGAATTGCGTCTTTTCTTAGCCGGGGTAGCGGTTTGTCGGGACGTAAAAGTAAGCGCTTAGGAGCAGCGCAACTAGACTTTTATCGAGTCACCTGCTCGACACTAGTGTACGACAATAGCAATGCTAAGGCATCTGCAGCGGGGAGCAATACGTCAAGCGCGACGGCCGTACTGTTCACCCCAGCCGCAACGACGACGACTAGCCTCCTTGGCTACCTTCTTTCTTTGCAATACCAGTATGCGCATACGGTGGAGCGGTACCACGTTTCTCCAGAGCTTGTAGGTTTCAATTTGACTGGGGAAGCACTGACTACCTCCATCTCTACTCAAAGTCAAGACCAAGAACAAGAAGAAGAAGACGACGCAACCACATCATCAACTGGAAGTCGGAGCTTAATAATAGCAGAGAAGCTGCGAAGTTGGGTTGCAACGATGCCATCACCGGTTCTCCATGAGGTCAATAACAGCGCGAGTGACCTAGCTCTATTCCACAAGTATTGGACAGATACGCAAAAAAAGAAATACACCTAAGGACAAGGGGACCATTCTAAAAAGCATGATCAACAAACACCACTCAAAATTGTCAAGAATCACTTTTCCTTTATTTCGCAAATATCGCCTGCACGACTCCCCAAGGATGCTTCGAGTTCGATGTATAAGAAAGTAAAAATAACTTACCACACCCTGGCTCGCACGCCGCAAACAAAATTCTTTGGGTGACATACGCGTCATTCCTTCAAAAGAACTTCCTTCAAAAGAACGCCAAATTTGGCTGATGAATGAAAGCAGCACCAACACTGGAGTTGTTCCCCAATCGATTTGCCTAATCCCTAAGACCCAAGCCTCCTTGTATGTCAATGTCTTGCATGTTAATTCGGCTTGTGCGATTGCCATGCATCGTATCCTTATGTTGTCGCACGAGCACAGCTCGTCAGCCTTAGCGCTGAGATTCATAGAATCATGGAGTCTCGAGGTGCGTCACATCAATGATTAAGTCAAATAAATGAGAATCATTTTATTTATCTATCGATTATCAAGCTTAAAGTCTGATCCCGTTCCTCAGTGTTCGCTTGTTGTTTTAGAGAAGAATTTTGGCTGTGATTCTCGAGTTGTAGATGAGAAAGTATTCGAATTTAACGTATCAACGAACGTTATTGAGAGTAGAGATGAGAGAAAGAGGACGATGCGGGAAATATATGGGGAGCGCGAAGAAGGAGAGAGGTAATCCAGAGTTGAAGAGGCCTTCTGTGAAGAGTAGAGCGAATTCCCCTACAGTTGTTCGGTTGGTGCAGCGAAATATATTAACCTTCACTGGTGAGACCTCAGGTGGCAGTACTGTGAAAAGTCTCTTTAGTCCTTATATAATTAACTACTTAATTCTTGTCTAGTCTTTCTCCTTCTCCTCTCCCGGTCCCTGGTCGATGGCCAGTGGATTATCCCTTTCCAATGATATGAGTTAGACTCTTCAAAACCAACTAAAATACCATAGAGCACAATGGCGGGAGCCACTAGTGGAGCACACGATCCTTCTGCTGACCGAGTTCTACTTCAAGCACAACAAATGATCACTTACAACTAGGGTTCACAACTTTATGATAATAGTTTAATGATTGAGAAAATGAACGAAACATGTTGAGGAGAGCGAGAGGTGGAGAATGATGGACTCATTAATGAATCCACCTCACTTTGCTAAGCCTCAGTTTTATGCTCAACGAAGTCCTTCCATTGCCTTTGTTGCCAGCGACCTACGCCGTTTTTATCTGTCCCCTGTAGAACCGGCGTAGTTGTGATTACAGAGCCAGCTGTATTTGCATCTTTTTGTTTTCTAGTTTTTTTGTAGGTCGATGCATGTAAACGTATGTATGATGTAGTTTTTTTCGCATTGCCTGGGTGTGGGCTAGCAAGTGGAACCACGGGAGATAGCTAGCACCAAGATCAGCGAACCCATAGATGTACACCCCACCACTTGAGTTTCGCCACGACAGGCAAGGTTTTGATGATTTTGGACTTTCTTCGTCAATCTCAATACACACAATCAGAATAATGATAGTTGTAAGTCAATAATTCATACAGAACAACAGCTCAAGCTACAGCTGTACTGAGCTACTCTATGGTGCATCATTATCGATAGAGAGGTAGTGCGTCGCACACCTGAATCAGTTAAGTTACACGTTTTTTTACATAAACTAACCGTGTCGTTCTTGCCGTAGCTTGGTCTATCTTGCTTTTCTTTGAGGTTGTTGATGTGATGTCTTCATGTTTTTAGACCATGAGCAAGATCGGTTATCAATACATTTTGTATCAATCGGAGATTGTACTTTTAGCCCACGATTTTACGAATATGCCCGGTAAATAGCTAGTCATCTTAATTAATTATTGTTCTATCAATCTAATTGTTATTGTTTTAGTTTTTGTTTTTCGTTGTCCACCTCGAGGTCGAGAACTTGGACGAGATGTCGTCTGAAAACTCTCCGGATAACAAAGACGGTGGTCGGGGTGGTGGTGGATCCCCCAAGCAAGACAAGTGGTGCACTTTGGCAAGGCAGCAGATTATTGACTAGAGTGACTTCTGGTTTTGCAACAAGTGGTCAGCACCAAGTTCATAGCAATATCACTGTCTCTCTAGTTCCACAGGCGTCAGGGAAAGAAGAAGACGAAAAACAAACTCCAAGAGCTCTAGGTCTCCCTGCTGGGACGAGTGTAGTCTTAGGGCCCTCAAAAATGCAGAAAATCCTTAGCGGCGACAAAAAAGGAGTAGAACTCCTAAGAGATCCAGTTGCAAATAGAGAATTGGCTTTCACGCAAGCGGAGCGCGCACAACGTAAAGATATTTTTTTTTGAAATTGGAGTTGTAATTCATTGTTTTCTTCAAATATGTAATATGATGATGCACATGAAGATCAATACAATGTATGATACTTACATGGTTATCTGTCTAACTAACGTATCTATACACCTTCACGCTAGAAATTTCATCATTCGTCTTATAATCATGTTGAAGATAACCGTATGTGAAATCGAATCACGAAGCCGTTAGCGCGGGTGTGTACCTACCAACAGTATTCGTTTCTCGTCTCTCTCGTCTTGTTCCAGTTTTTATGGTTAAGAAAGTGAATGATCTGCAACTTCTATTAGTATTTCTACCAGCCGCGGTGCCTATACGTATACCGCGCCCACTCTTCCAATTTATTTTTAGTACTAAGTCATAACTTCGTAACAAAAACAATTACAATCACTAACGCTACTTTGCTGCCTCCTTATCAACAGATGGTTTGCGAGGCTTATTACCTGTAGCTGAACTGACCTTGCAGCAGCAAGTCGCAAGACAATTGGAGCTTTTTCGCAAAAGAAAAACGGCTTTGGAAAAGCACTCGTTCTTGGACGACCTGCACAATAAAAATGAAACGCTCTATTACCGCTTTCTCCTCGATCACTTCTCTGAGAGTCTCCCCTTCGTATACACACCGACAGTCGGAGAAGCGTGCCAGAACTATTCCAACCTCTTCGCGCAACAAAGGGTACTAGAATTTTTTTATCTCTTTGTGGTAGTGCTAGAGTAGGTGTAGTTCAAGAGTAGCCATGTGCGTCTGCATCTTGTGCGCGTCGTCTTCATGTCTATGCTTATCCTCGTCAATTATTGTGACCTTTAAAGCAAGCGTCGTGATTTAGCTCCAGCACAAGCATCTAGAATATTATGTGATGTGCTCTACCAGTACGATCTCCACCTCGTCCTACAACAGCCGCGTGGACTTTTTATGTCGAAGCCTGACCGCGAGCATTTCGACGAGGTATGTCGGAACTGGAGCGAGGATGATGTGGAGATCATCGTGATGACGGACGGTAGCCGTATCTTGGGTCTCGGCGACTTGGGTGTCAACGGTATGGGCATCCCAGTCGGAAAGCTAGCGCTCTACGTCGCAGCCGCTGGCTTCCATCCAGCTAAAGCACTACCGGTTACCATTGATATGGGGACCAACAATGAGAAGAACCTAGCGGATGAGGGCTACGTTGGAGTGCGAGAACGACGGCCGCACGACGAAGAATTTTACGCGACGATGCGCGATGCGATCACTGCCATATCCAAGCGCTGGCCCAAGGCTCTGTTACAGTTTGAAGACTTCTCAAACGAACACGCGTTCGGACTGCTGGAGGAATACAAAGATAAGACGCTGTGTTTCAACGACGACATCCAGGGCACCGCTGCTACGGTGCTGGCGGGACTCCTGGCCTCGTTGCGCATTCAGAGGTGCGCACCTCCGGGAGCCACAGATGTCCCCGTGAGGCTGCGGGACCAACGAATCGTCTTCCTCGGCGCTGGCTCAGCCGGGGTAGGGGTCGCGGATCTGATCGCGGAAGGTATGTATCTAGAAGCAATTGCAGCAGGTGAAGACCCCGCCAAAACGAAAACAGTAGACTGGTATCGCAAAAACAATTTTTGGCTCATCGATTCGAAAGGCGTTGTCAATGCATCAAGAGGCGACAAACTGCAAGCCCACAAGATTCGCTACGCACGCGAGGACGCGGACAGCGCAAAACTCTTACGCTGTGAAAAGTCTACTTTCTCGTCTTTTTAGAAGTAGAAGCAGATGTAAAATCTTTGAAAGAACATTGCCTTTATTACGACATCGAGGACAGCAGGAGCTACAGCTTGTTGCCTGCCTCTAATGTTTCGTACACTTGCTGACGCTGTTGCTGAAGTAAAGCCGACGATGCTTCTCGGCTTAGCGGGTGTTGTCGGGGGAAGCTTTACGCAAGCGATCGTGAAGCGTATGGATAGTGACTGTGCGGATGTCTGGCGCAGGCCAATTATTATGGCTTTATCCAACCCCACGAGTCAGGCGGAATGCACAGCTGAACAGGTGTATAATTGGACCGAGGGACGCGCGATCTTCGCCTCCGGCAGTCCCTTCGCGCCTGTGACGTTGACGACCACAACAAATATAGGCAAAGGAGTTGGCGGTGAGAGGAAGGTAATTCACACAGGCCAGGGAAACAACATGTACATTTTTCCGGGAGTTGGGTTTGGGGCAGTTCGAAGCGGTGCGTCCCGCGTCACCAACAGCATGTTCCACGCGGCTGCACGAGCACTCGCAGATACAGTCACGGTGGAAGATCTGCAGAGAGGAAGTGTCTACCCGGAGCTGTGGAGAATCCGCGAGATAACCTTGAAAGTAGCCGCAGCCACCTGCGAAGTTGCAGATCGTGGTTGTTTGACCAAATCGCGCCCCCCGCCCAATGGCTGGCTCGACCACCTGCAGCAGACAATGTGGTGGCCGACTTTAACCTATCCGGGAGCCACGAAACCTGACAACGAGAGCAAACTTTGATGCTGCATTTTTTGAAGATCATTTTTACACACAAGACAATGACAAACCATGAAAGAACTCAGAAAATTTCGAGGACAGTTTCAGGTGGAATCCACGCATGCTGCGGTGTGAAGAATGCAGTCCTTCGAATAACGACAGGCTTGATGTGCTTCTTCCTCGGACAAAAGTCCCGTCAAGCGCTCACGTGCTCCTTATGGTTTTTTTCAGTGCTTAATACCCGAAGCCTATGTTGCTGAACTCAATAAACCCTATTCATTTCCCTGCACCTGTTGCAGAATATTTTTTGAACTACTTCTACTAGCAATCTTCCAGAACTACACCTCTGATGCTTGCTACGTAGGCTTACAACTATTCTTAATTTTTGTCTTTTCCTTCCAACGTAAACTTTAGGCGAATCATCCTCGTCGGCACTCCCTTTCCGGCGTCACTTCACTAGAATTGGAGTACGCTCCTGGTACTACACTTTGTATAAAATGTGTAAGTACATACTACTGGATCATCTACTGTCTGGCTGTATTAGTGTGGAATCAAGGGAGTTATCATTTTTCCATGAGCATGAGCATGAAGCTGAAAATGATCATCATCATTTTGGAATTGACATGAAAGCGATGACAACTTTGTAAATATTTCTAATACAGATATGATAATGAACGACAATATTTTCTTAAGGTTGTTCGACCTGCATGTTGGAGTTTTCCAACATAAAAACTTTGCAGCTAGAGCTCCTGCGCGGTCCCAACGCCATAGGCCTACTGCATGAAACTATATCTAACTCGTCAGGTCTAGGGGTAGGGCACCGTTGAGGTGATAAATTTTCGAGGAGCTTCTAGTTCTTTTCTTAATGACCTCATTGGTACCGTCTCGGTCTCTAGGTTATTTTCGTGTATTATTTTCATGCTCTCGTAGCCACGGATTCTGCACTCTTGCTTATGCTTGAACTTCAGCAAGGCCTATGCACGAGTGCTTATACCCCCTCGCAGGGGCCGCTAGCCTGCCGGCGAAAACCACCGCGTAGCCCATCTGTTCTGCATGTAAGAGAGTGCCAGAAAAACACCAAATAGAAGGGAGACTGCGGTGAAGGGCATACGCATACTGCTGATTGGGAATATGTTATCTTCCAGATTATACTGGTAGTACAACTTCTATATGTGATTGGTAGAAAGTGATGACGAAGATATTTTTTCTTGCCCGCTCTTCATCACGCAGAAAGGCGTGAGTATTTTTTCTCCACCCTTTTGCTTTCGCTTAATAAAAAGATGAGAAGCAATATATGGTTTCTCATCTGCTAATGGAAGCTAAACAAGCATCCAGAGATTGAGGTGAGCGATCGCCGTATTCATTGCGCGATGAAAAGTTGACCAACATTGAAACCTTACGATGAAAATGAGAGGGCAATGATGATAAAATCATCCTTGATTATCTACCACTCCCAGTCGGGGGGACAAATTCAATACTTTACGCGTCGCGGGTCGTGGTTTTCTATGTTGCGTTCGTTATGGGGCTCCTGAGACGAACAAGACAAAATCATGCCAGTTAATTCTGTAACAACGACTTGTAGAAGATGAGAGGAAGAGGAATAAGAGTACCAATAAAGCAAAACGAATCAAAATAAATCTGTCATCAGCAAAATCCAAGTCGCGTGCACGGGGGTGCGTATGTACGTGTTCTTTGCGACTGATGAAAGAGAAGTGGTTCCTGTTGTTGTTCTGAAGGTTTAAAGCGCAATGAGGACATTGTTTATTTGGAGGTGTGTCTATTGAGAAGATCTACTTGATATTCGTCGGATTTATTGCGTGCTGCATGCTCACAGGAGAAGAGTCACTGGTGACGTGCAGGAGATGAGCAGAGAATTCGATCAGCATGATGAAGATGGGGATCATCCTCGTTACTGTTCATAGCGATCATTTCGGAAAAGATGAGTTCACTCGTCCCTCCCAGATCTACCTAGATAGTTTTAGTTGCAGTGAAGATGATACGCATTTACCTTATTGAACCTGTAGTTGCACTTGTATTTCCACTGTACGTAGAATTGGTTTTTTCTTAGTCTTAGCTGTGTGATATTGCGAAAGTGGTAAAAAGTCATAATCGGTTTTCTTATGTAGTTTGTTGTACTAAACTTAATGCTGCGATTTTACATTTTGATGACAAGCACACCACCGGACACGCAAGTTCATTGTAAAAGTCGAGATCTACTGTAACGGCACTCGCCTACTTTACGTGTTCGTTGACATAGACGATAATGCCAATAATAATTCTCCTCAATCCCGTGTTCCGGCACGTGGCGCCTTGGGATACGAAAAAAAAAAAACGTGGCTGCGGTGGGGACCCCCTGAATCTGAATCTGATAGGCATCCATTGTCCTGATTTCTTGGATTTCTTCTAACTAAGTGCTGCGTGGTAACCTGTTTGTTGTACTTATTCATTCCACTATACTTGATTACAACAGCCCTACTGTGGTAAAGGTAATCGCTTAGAGTGACGAGACCTCTTTTTTATCTCCTCAGTCATCCTCGACCTCGTGTAGACTAAAAAAGTCAATGTCAAGATAACTACTAACTCTAACAAGTACTGTTCTCGTGAAAGTGACGTGTGAAGGTGAACATCCTTTTGTTGTTGAATGCCTATACCTCTATCTCTCTCGAGCTATCATTGAATATCGTCGTTCCCTTCCAATAGAATCCTTTCTTCCTAGAAGTTTTGGTTTGGCAAAAATTGCCTCAATATCTTTCATCTTTTCGATGTTGAGCAAATAATTTTATTCTAGAAGACATTAGTATAATCATCATACTGGGTAATTTGTATCGTAAGCTTGCATCTAGTGCAAGAAAAATGACGAAGCACAAAAATCGAGCCATGTCGCCAAGGGGAAATGGCAAAGCCCCAACTAGTGCTGAGATGCCGGTCGCAAACGGAGGAGGTCATGCCAAGAGGGAAGACGTCGACGTGGACGACAAATTGCAACAAGCCAGTGCGCTTAGCGCGCAACGCCTCACGCGTCTTCGCGGCCTCGATGTACTTCGGGATCCATTTTTGAACAAGGGAACCGCATTCACAGAACGTGAACGGGATATGCGTACAACTACTTTGTATTGTTCTTGTTACGTAAGATTGTGTGAAGAAAAGGATGATATTATGAGATAGATGAAATAGTTGTTGACGAACAATATTACATTCTTTCTGAATAATGGGGGACGACCCCTGTGTGGGTGTACACTACCTATTTACATAGTGGGTGGTACCAGCAACATGACTCTTGTGTTGGTTCGAACGTTATTAAGTACAAATGCGTGGAGCTCCCTTAGCAACACAACATCAACATGTTGTGTCTCCTCATCGCAGTCGGCCTTCGTGGTTTGTTGCCCCCAGTCCACCATACGATCGAGGAGCAGATGGTGATAGAATACAAGATGTTCAACGAGTGCGCTTCGAACATTGAAAAGTACAACTTCCTGGACAGTCTCCACAACCGAAACGAGACCCTGTACTACCGCTTCCTCCTAGAATACGTGAAGGAGTCAATGCCGATCGTCTACACGCCGACCGTTGGACAAGCCTGCATCGAGTTCTCGCAGCATTACTTCCAAGGACGGGTATAACTCTTCGAAATATTGAGTGCACACGACTAGTGGTTGTGGTTGTGGTTCCTCCTTCTATCTCAATGTCCCGTACTTCCAGGAAAAGATCAGGGACAACTCTGGAGAACTCTTAAAACTGCACGTTCTTGGTTTTGTAGTCTCGCAACATGGTGAAGAAAGTCGTTGCCGTGTAAACTTGATGAAACTGTTGCGATGCGCAATGCCACCTTATGATAGGTTTATGAATACTTCCTTCACTATTTTCATGATTTTTCTAGGCTCGCGGATTGTATTTGTGCAAGAATGACAAGGAGCATTTCCGAGAGATCTGCCGCAACTGGCCGCAGCACGATGTGCAGATCATAGTGATCACTGATGGAAGCCGTATCTTGGGTCTTGGTGATCTCGGAATCAATGGCATGGGTATTCCTATTGGAAAGCTCGCGCTCTATGCGGCAGCAGCAGGTTTCCTCCCCTGGAGCACACTCCCAATTACTGTCGACTGCGGAACGAACACGGAAAAATATATGAACGATCCACATTATATCGGTACTAAAACTAATATAAATTTACTGTAGTTAGAGTGGATGACTTTGACTAGTACTTTATTCATCATTTGATTCTTCATAAGTCGTGTTAATGTTGTCAACTACTTCGTGTTGCGCGAGCACTAGATGTACCTCTTCCCGGTGAATTTCCTGGTACTAAAAATACCTACAGGTATCAAGGAGAAACGTCCTGAGGATCCCGAATTCTATGGTATCATGGAGAAGGCCATTGAGGCTATCAAATGGCGGTGGCCGAGAGCATTGATTCAATTCGAGGACTTCTCGAACGAGCATGCTTTCGGACTCCTCGATGACTGGAAGGACAAGATTTTGTGCTTCAATGATGATATTCAGGGAACAGCTGCTACTGTCCTTGCAGGACTTTTGGGAGGTACACTTTTGTTGCTAGATGAGCTACAATTGTAGTGAAATGATTAAAAAAGAAGTATAACACACGCGTTTTCGATGACTCCCTATCCTCTGTTGCTCCTACTTCCAGCACCTAAAAAAAGGCTTAAGATTAAGAAATAAGATTTTTCTGAGTGCACTCCACATTATGTATCTAAATCTATGATCTAAATCTATCAGCTTTGCGCATCCAGCAAGCGGGTGGTGCCGAGCGCAAAATGACGTTGCGCGAGCAGCGCATTGTGTTCCTGGGTGCTGGTTCGGCCGGTGTGGGCGTCGCCGATTTGATCGCGGAAGGCATGTATCTCGAGGGCGTCGCGGCTGGGGAGGGGTGGAAGACTGTGGACGAGTATCGCAAGAATAACTTCTGGCTGGTGGACTCCAAGGGTACTGTCACAACGACGCGTGGGGACAAGTTACAGGCGCACAAAATTCCGTTCGCGCGCTCTGACGCTTCCATCCCGACGCTCGGGGAAGCCGTGAAGCAGGCAAAACCGACCATTTTGATCGGGCTCGCAGGGATTGCAGGCGGCAGCTTCACGCAGGAAATCGTGCAGACAATGGACAAGGACTGCACCTCCGCAGGACTCCGCCCCATCATTATGGCCTTGTCAAATCCGACGACAAAAGCAGAGTGCACTGCTGAAGAAGCCTACAAATGGACGGAGGGACGCGCAGTTTACGCGTCTGGGTCGCCGTTTGAGCCTGTCACTCTTGACGATGGACGAACCATTCACACCGGACAGGGAAATAACATGTATTTAGTCATTACAAGTACGTTATACAAGAACTTCTTACACGTACAGCGACTATGTCATGTTCAAGAATCATATCCTGTCAACACCTGCTTTTCCTTCGCTTTCAACCCTTTCTGCTGCTGGTGCTGTGCTCTGAGAATCAAAGTCTTGGAGCGTCACCGTGAAGATTTTCTCAAACTTCTCATTTCATTTTGTCGACCCACGACAAATTCAGGTATATTTTCCCTGGTGTTGGCTATGGTGCTGTGCAGTGCAATGCCTGCACCGTAACGAATAGCATGTTCTACCAAGCCGCGAAGGCACTTTCCGATGAGGTGACCGTGGAAGACCTGCAAAAAGGAAGTGTCTATCCGGAACTGAGTAAGATCCGATCTATCACCGCCAACGTCGCTCGGGCTGTGTGTGACGTCGCAACCAAAGAAGGCCTAGCAGGCAGAAAAGAACCGAAAGAAGGCTGGCTTAAATTTCTCACGCAAAATATGTGGTGGCCGCGATACGATGACTTCATCTAAAACTTCTACAACTTGTTCTACTACACCCTACAACAATTGGTTCACCAGGAGGTGCAGTCCGTCGTGATAACACTCTGCAATAACTGGTTCACCAGGAGGTGCAGTCCGTCGTGGTAACACCCAGCAATAACTGGTTCACCAGGAGGTGCAGTCCGTCGTGGTAAACAAGAAGATGACGTAGTTGGGCGATGAAGAAATTATCGAGAGCTGCATGTTCGGACGCGAACCATCATGTAAACACACTCAACATATCAATATCATGGATGCATATGATTATATTTACCAAAGCCGTAATCCTAATGATCTTGAGTGGTGAAGAAATTTGATCTACAAATGTATTGCGACATAATATTGATGGCAGGATTGGCAGCAAAACCCTATTATCCCCTTATAGGCAACATTGAATTGCAACAAAAGTAGGAGGCGCTCGTCGCTTTGTGTGTATACTGTGCATGTGTATTAAGTACATTTTTCCTCGATTCGGATACGAGGACTCCTGTTTCTACTTCACTAAATGTTGATCAATAATTTCTTGATGAGTGAGTGAGTATTGAAGACGAGGCGGGTAGCGGAGGCCGAGCATCTGTAACTTCAAATAGACCTTGCTTCTAACCTGGATGATTGGTTTTTCCACTTCATGTGTTCTTATTCTTCTCCTTGATGTTTTCTCTCTGAGTGAATCTTAGGCTTCTCCCTTCATGCAATATTCTTTTCCTTGATGTAAATATTCTTGTTCAACATTATACTAGAGAAGACAACAAGATTATAGAATAAAACTCACTATGAGGTAGCTCGTAGTTCTCCATTCCACTTTGGATGTGCAGCTGAGAACCTGGAGTTGTTGCCTCAAGTACAGTCATGATTACGCAGCACTAAAAAAGTGGTCCTGATTTTTTGGGCTGCTCAGTATGTTGCACCACCTGGGCATCTTTGAGTTTTCTTCATTCTCTACCTCACTACGGCCCCTCCAGCATCGCGACCTCTATCCACCTTACGGTCACCGATGATGTTGGTTGCAGTTTCATCCTGCAGTTATCTTCGTCGTGATTACGAGGTACCCCTTCATTGTACTAGTCTTGCGCTGCTTCTTGCTTCTTATCAGGAGTTGTATACGTTCATTATCTCTGCTGTTAACTACTTACTTCTTTCTTGTTACTAGATCATTTTCCCCGTAACATCGCCGGTTATAGAGGATTATCGCTAGCGATGCAATGATGAGGATGCTACAACCCATAATACTTTCAGTATGTTGATTTTTTAAAGTAGATCATGAATATGAAACAAGTCATGAAGTATTTATGTTTAAGAGGCAAACCTTGCTGCAGGGGGAGCTTAAGAGGGTTTCCCGGGCGCCCTTCCGCTCGGTTGTTTTTATCTGTTTTTTGAGAGTCCCCTTCCCCTAGTACGTAGTCCAGATGGATCCGCTTCTTGGTAAGGCTTGCCTATTTCTTGTCTTCGTGGCATGTCTCGGTGCTATCATACAGCCTTGACCTGTATCGTGGAATAGCACAAGTGATCCATTCTCATATTTCTCGGCTCTTATCTCAAGCTTACCAGATATTAATGTTTATGATCCGCATGTTGACGCAACATCATGCGAAATCAAATCTGTTTGCATAGGTGCATAGATACAAAAGAAATTGCAGAAGTTTTTGGACTGAGCTGATCTATGAGATGACTTGGTTTCGCTCGTTTCTCATTCTTTCTACCAGCAGAAGATAAGTATCTTCAGTAGGCAGATGAGGTGGACCAATAGTATGCTATCGATTTTTGATAAATAACTTGACGCCCATTCATATTTTGATGTCGCAGCCCGCACAACCCCGGGCTCACCTCGCCCCCGCTATTATTATTATATTTTGATGTCGATGCATCTGCATGTAGATCGGTGGCGAACAGGCAATCCACTTCGTTTTTTGGAAGTGTGATCTTTTCGTTGTGACAAATGTTAACTGCTTCGAGCATCAAGTATTCACTTTCATAGTCATAGGCTTCCATGACTTGAAATAAAAATAAAGAAAATATTGTTCTTAGAAATAGCAGGAGGCGGAGGCGGGCGCGCTGTACATCCGTCCTGAAAACTCACTTCTAGAAAGGCGAAAGCCAAAACATCAACGATTACGATGAAAATGCCAATTATATTTTTTATATATAAGGCACGATTGATATGTCTGTTTCTTCGTGAGAATGATCAGAGGAAATCCCTCACAAACCTAGTATACCACAACAATTCATAGTATCAATCCCCCCTTGCTCTGCCTCCCGCGCATGGATTTGATGCCTGTTGTAGAAAAAATGCATTCGCGTCCATCTTCACTTATTTTAACTTGGTCGGAGGGCATCGAGATTCATTAGCTGGCACACGTGGCGCTGGACGCAAAGGTTCAAGGAGGGAGTAATCAGTGGACTCTCTACCTAGCCGCGATTTCCGAAGTGGGCTGTGACGCCGAACAGCTCTGCACTTTAAATCTCGTGACGTCGGTGAACACCTGGCGGCCTGACTCGATCGAGGCCTCGGACGAGCTTGAGCCTAAACTTGTAGTAATCAAGGGGCCGCGATTGATCTTTCATCTGAAATCGCTGCAAATTAATTTCTACCCGGCAATATCTGTTCATCATGTGTGTCTTCCACAGCGTGTCAGTTCGTTTTGAAGAAAGATGATGAAGAAAAATGTTGCAATTCTGGAATAGTCAAGGCCAGTTTTCTGATGCAGGAGTGGACTATTACTTCTTCTTGTACTTCTTAGTTTCACGACTTCTCAATATTTTCGATTTCGATCGGCAAGAGATGGAATGCCAATCAGAAGACACGGAAAAAGATCACGCGTGTTCATATACAGCAACGACTAGAACACTCACACGAGGAAATTATTTTAAGTACAGTGTATGCTATTGCTAAGTACTCAACGACGGAATCGGAAGGTGCAAAAATGGACGCCAATACCATATTAATGAAGAGAAGAAAATGATGGAGAATGTGTTCAAGATGGTGATGGATCCTTCCAGTCTTATATAATATGATGTTCCGCGCCTGTGGCTGTGTCTCTAGTCGTGTAAACAAGTGTAAGTATTGCTGTGGTAGCACAGGAGGAGAAACGAGAAGGTACACGTTCCTTCATAGAACAAGATGGATAGTTTTTTTTGATGATCTCGAACACACGGTCGTCTGCTCCCTCGTGGGTTCGTTGAGAAGTTGTAGACAAACTATAACCACAACTACTAGATCTAGAAATACAAGGAAGTAGGGCTTTGACTTTGCTATAATAATTTCAATATTCTGCTTTTTCTGCTTTTTCATAAGCACCACAACTAGAAGACTGCAAGAAGTAAAATTTAGTTGCAGTATTCCCACGAAATTACCATGGCATCGTCTACCTCGTCATCAGCTGGTCCTGGCGGTGCAGCGCCCATGAATGTAGATAGTGAAGCGGGAGCTCCTCCTGCACCAGCAGCGCCAGGATCTGCAGCAGCTTCGAGCGATAACGCACCAAAGTTCGAAATAAAAAAATGGAATGCCGTCGGACTGTGGGCGTGGGATATCATCGTCGACAACTGCGCGATCTGCAGAAACCACATCATGGATCTATGCATTGAGTAAATCATGATACACTTCATCTACTTGCAGAAACCACATCATGGATCTATGCATTCAGTAAATTACACATTCCTGCTTGTGCTTTCCCTCGTATCTCTACTACTAGTGCCCCCACTTCTCGTTGTGTTGGTCATGATCATTATCCTGGAAATGTCACAAAGATCCACAAAGATCCAAAGGACAAAGATCGACGAAATGACCAAGATCGCCAGGCGAACAAGGTGCCCACCGGCACCACTTTCAACGCGTTGGCCTTAGTTGGCGCGGGTGTCGGCGGTTTCTCCCTTCTCTCTCTCGTTTGTGGCTCAAGCCTCCCAACACAGTCAAGGACAAAGCACCACAGGAAAGACCTCAGGAAAACCTACAGACCTAAACGCATATGGTTCCAAAATCAATGATCAACAGGCAAAGGGCTTTCAACGGATTCAGATAGCAGAGATAACGAATGTTCATAGCTGTAATCAGGTCCGTCCATAACGTCTTGTCAGTTCTGACCAGTTCAAAGTGCATAAAGAGCCGCCATGTAGGATGATCGTACGCGATCAATGATGATAGCATAGGCGTTTCCATATGAAGCACGTGAAAGCTTCCCCTCATGATATCCCAATGAAGAAGCTGAGACTTCCTCCCTGCAACCCCAACGAATATCCACAGGGATCAAACCAGCCAGAGGCCATCAGTCTCAGGCTGTGAGGTCAGTTTGCATCTAACTCAAGCGTTTCTCACCGAGAAACTACGCGCGACCTAGCAGTCTGTGTTCGAATGGTCCAGAACGTTGCATTTACGAACGTTATCAAAAAAAGCTGTACTTCTGGAACAAGGTGAACAAACTCTCTTTCAGTAGCTGTACATTCTATTTTTTTTGTAATAAACAAGCAACGCAGTAGTTCTGATCTGGGCAACTCACCATAACCACAATTCCACTGGTTCTGGACATAATATTAAATTTCTCGTCAGGTGCCAAGCCAACCAACACGCAAACCCAGAGGAGTGCACAGTCGCATGGGGTGTCTGCAATCATGCTTTTCATCTGCACTGTATTTCCCGGTGGTTGAAAACGCGAAATGTTTGTCCGCTTGATAATGGCGAATGGGAATTCCAAAAGTACGGACGATGAGCACACCACAGGATGAGGAGGAGGAGGAGCAGCAGCAGCATGTTTTTTCCCTTTATTGTTTTGTCAATTAGTTTCTACAAGAACAAGGAGAACTTCTATCTTCAACCTGGAGGAACCCAGAACCAGATGACGAGATTCACTGAAGATCTTCTTGGAGGAGGGGATGCAAGAACATCAGTTATAGCGAAAGTAGTTCCACCTCCAAGTGGTCCACACGAGAATAGATACGCAACTAGCACACTGGTGAGCTGCGGTTGCGTAACGCGGGTGTTATGCCCGCGAGGATGTTAACGGACTTACGGATGCTATATGAAGTACTTTATGAGTGGTCAATAATTAAGAGACTTCCAAATGCTCCTCCGAGTCCGACGTGCACGTTCTCCATCTAATCAAGTTAAAGATGACATGATAGAAATCATCTTCAGGATGCTGATCAAGATCATGCTCAGCTTCATCTTATATTTTTTCCCTTGAATTAAACGACCATCTACCAAAGAAGCACCGACAACATCAAGGACCAAATATATGTTCCCGCCCGCCCAAAGACAAAGTTTTGACACAACCCTCTAGCAAAGACACTCGTTATGAGTTAATATTCTGGTTGATGTTATTAATGATAGGTAGGTACGAATAATATTTCTGCCAATTGATTCACGTTTTTTTCAAATTCATTTAATTAAGAAGGTCAACAAGTCAAATCTTCACTCCTCGGATGTCTTCATTGAATAAACATGAGGTAAAGACTCATCTGAAATTGCGACTTACAAAGATGAAGATCTTAATATCTGGTCTTTTTCTAAAGCAGTTATTTTATACTCTCCTCGATAACTAATATTCTCCTCAGTTATGTCCTTCGTCCTCTGCTTTTTTCGCCGAAAGAGCAGCTTGACCTGCTTGGTGACGTGTAGATGTAGTAGAAAAGTGCGACCCTCCTGCGACGTCCCTCCAAACATTATCTCAGTATGCCGCATTTCATCAAAAGCAAACGACCCTTTCTCGAAGAAAATGGTGAAAATACACTTGAATCCGCGCAACCTAGGTTGATGCGTTGATGTTTCCTAGCAGGCACAGGGTAATGTTGTAGCTAGTACAGATACAGTTTTGCACTTGCAGTACGAAGCAAAAAAGAGTGTCGTCTTGTATTGGCGCCGGCACGTCGAGTTGAAAAAAGAAGACCATTGTGAGACTGCTCTAAAAGTGTTGAAAAGCGAACAGAAGCTTGAGAGCGAACAAAATAAAACGCCATGGGTGCCGCATTTCTTGACTGGTTTGTCGGCGAGCCTGTAGAAATGTTAAACCTGCGATATTTTTATTTTTCGTGTAGTAGTAATAGTACGTAGAAAGAGGAACGCAAAAGCAACGAAGAAGCCCTCAGTACTCCTCATCTAGACTTTGCCTTCTTAGAAGGTACTTCTAAGCGTTCTAATATCCACGGCTTCGATCCTGAATAGCAGAAAAAATGACAACGGTTCATCCTTCCTTGGCCTCCTCTGGGCCTGTTGACGTTTTCGCTTGGAGTGATGGTCACACGCCGCCCTGTGGCGGTGGCGGCAGGTCGACGTCCTCCGCAGCTTTAGTCGATTCGGAGGGCGGGTTTCATCCTGTCTTGATGCGCAACTTTGACGACGTCGTTCGTCTCACAGAGCTAGCATTACGCAACTACAGGGCAAAAGTTGTAGATGGAGCAGGCGTCGGACGAGCTGGAGGACCGCCTCGAGATTTAGTAGGCGGTGAACAAGATCGTGGTGACGAACACATCATCATAAACACAAATACAGCAACAAGCAATAGTACGAATACTTCTTTTGTCCATAGCAGTACACGGGAGTATCGAATAGGTCTCGAGCATCGTGGTTGGAAGCTCATACCTGTTGGGCCAGATTCCTATGGCCTAGTTGCATACAATCCGAACAAAAATCTGGTTGTCGTGACCTTTGCGGGCTCCTGCTGCCAACAAGATTGGGAGACGAACTTGCACTGTCGGCCGACTCCATGGGCGCGACTCGCTGATGCTGAAGATGGTACTGATATGGCGGAGCAGCACGACGGAAGGGCCAATCATGTGCACATTGGTTACCTGTCTCGATACGAAAATTTCTTGAGGGAAGATATCCTTCGACTCCTGAGCCCGCAAGGAATTGGTAAGCAGGTGAACGAGAAGACGCGAATACTGTGCTGTGGGCATAGCTGTGGAGGTGGCATGGCACAGTTAGCAATTTGGGATATTGTACTATCCATTTGAATTATTTATTACTCTGATTCGTCAAATTGAATTGCTTACTAGCAGGTGAGAGCAGGAAAACAGAGTCGTGCTCTACTATCTGTAACTGAGGTACAACTTTGACTTTCGCTCAGCTAGGTAGGAAGGTGGAGGTGGTGCCATTTCTTCGAATATATGTTTTTTTCCACTTCGAGAAGTTCCAATGGCACTTCATCTTTTGATTCTCATTATAAGTAGTCTTAGTCATGATCATGATCAAGATGTCATAGGTCACCGTCGTCGGCTCTGCATGGTTCGGCAGCAACTGGGACAACGTTTCTCAGCCGCGTGTCTTCGGCTACTTTATAGCAGCTGCCCCGTCCATTACAACGAACGCGGGAGGAGGTGGTGCGCTCGCAAAAATATCAGCAGCCGTGGGCCCGGCCAACATGATTTCGCAATTTGCTGAGAGGGATCTGGTAGATTCGATGATGAAACTAAATTTTTTCTTTTACAGTACTTTCTTCTTGTTGATGCTTGTTGCATTCCTTGTAAGTAGTTCGGACTCGTCGCCTTCTACTTTTTCCAATTTTTTTCGCAGCTCGCCGGTTCCGGCTGGGATGCAACGATTGCAGCCCTAATTCGTATGTTGCAGCGGACCGCAGAGCGAGATCCCGCAGCAGCTGACTTGATCGAACAACTTCGAGGTATCGATTGGCTCTCTGAGCTGGGATCGTACAGACCACTAGGCAAGATCTTAATCCAGACGGTATCTGGAGTTCTAGCTTGTGCGGGACCCGCGGCGTCAACGAGTGACCTGCTTGGCTTTTATCTCGACATGTCTGATGTGTATGGCAGAACACTATAAAAATGTCGTATATTTATATAATTACACACAGGTGGTCGTCATACTCATAGTATTTAAGCAGGATTGCGCTGGAGGTTCAGGTTCATTCCGCTAAATGATTACTTGTGCCATGGTTTGATAGAAGGCAAAGTTTCAGCTTCTATTCTGGTATAGTAGGTATGGAAGTCGAACTTTTAGTTCCAGCATCAGTACAACGTGCTTATCTTCGGCCTTTCTTGAAGATTAATTCTGAGGGGAGCGTAGCACGCGTGGCTCCGCAGAGGACGACGAGGAGCTTTTTGTTTGGGGTACCTTTCGTGCAGCTCTATCGGCGATCGGCCTCAGCGCTCACTTAGGCGGTGACGGTGGGGGAACCGAATTTTTGAGATGGATTGTGGAAACGCCCTCAACTGCACTCCTATATCGCGGGGAGCGTTTCGCAGAGCGACGTGGCTTTGTCACAACCGTATCCGGAACACCGCCAATACGAACAGGAACAGGCATAAGTAGTAATGATACTTCATCTGCGGTGATGGACGAGGCAGCTGGAGGACTTATTCCCTCTTCTTCATACGTACATGCAGCTGAAGCAGAAGATATTCATACAAGAACAACCAACTACGATCACCCCGCGACGTTATCAGCTAGAAGAGGATTTGGTCGTGCAGCACACGATGAAGGCGCGTCGACATCATCTACCGCACAGACAGGCGGTCCCGAAGCCATTGCAGCACCCGCAACCACTGTGTCTAAAACCTCTGTGTTTTCGTCAGAGCAGCTTGCTGTCCCACAGCAGCAGCGAACGGCGTCGCTTCTAACGGGGATCGTGCCTGTGTCCGCAGGTAAGCATCAGATGATGGGAGCGTCTCTGTCGTCGCCGGGGTTGATCTTTCCACCTGCAGCAATAGTAGCGAGTCAGAACCTGTTTGGTCCTTCAGTGGCGATGCCAATCATGCCAACGATTAACGTCCCTGGAGGTGGTGCATCGTCTTCAGCAGCTGCAGCGCCACTTCTCGGACGTCCAATTTCTGTGTCGGGGACACCGCAGAATCAGCCACATCAAACGACGTTCGCTGCTTCGTCACGGGCAGAAGACGATCAAGAAGACCCGGCGGGAGCAGGTGGCTTCGAACAAAAGAGTGCGGATGGCCGTGAGCAATCTCAACCTGTCGAAGATCAAGCAAGTCCTCCAGGACGACAACAGCAGGCCCAGGAGCTTTCGACATCACAACGACCGCCTTTACTTGAAAACTACCCACAGCAAAAACTAGTTCACGACGACCAAGCACTGCTATCGTCCCGGTCTGCGGTTACGTACCACTATGGAGGAGAAGTCATCAATAGTCGGCCTCGGCGATCTTTGGGTCCACGAAGTACCTTCCATGGGACCCGTGCTGGTTCAGGTGGGCTGCTTCCACCGCAGATCCTTCCGACCAAGGTCGTGCCTGCACACAAGGTGCTTGTTTTATTTCGTTTTGTTTCAACTTCAACATTACAAAATGTTGAACGTTTTGAAATGTTAATATCTGAAGAAATGCGCACCCTCATACTTACCGCACAACCTGGAAAATGAAATTGGATTCTTTGAGAGGTCCAAGGTGACGAACTTCCCAATCCTTTATTTCTGCACGCCCTACTAAATTCAACTACACCAACAGCTTCCCGCGCCTGCAATTAGTACTGCTATCGGATTATCCCCATACGAAGCTTCTGTGCAGACACCGATGACGTCTTCATCCACTGGAGTTCCGCACATGCATCCTGGATTGACACGGCCCCAGTTGGAGCAGCCACAAGTGAAAAAGCCTAAGTTGCGAAAGTTTGTTTTCGTGGATGAAAGTGTGGGAGCGGGAGGAGGTTTGAGTGGTGCAGGAACTGATACAACGATAACACCTGCTCTCGGCGGCTCCTCGTCGTCGTCTAATCACGGTGCACAAGCGACCGGTACGACTACATCAATGATGAACTCAAGAACAGCATCATCAAACACTCCTGGAGGTGCTGAGCATATGACCACGACTTCTCACCAGCTACAACAACTGGGTGGAAATTCAATGTTGCCAGCTCAAAGTTGGCCCTTCAGTGCAGCCACGCCTTCGTGTGGGATATACGCAGGCGCTGCGGGGGCGCCGTTCAAGAGCGAGGCAGCAAGTGGACTCCAAGTAAAATCCAAATCAGTATCAATTTGTTGAAGAGCAGGGCGATGTAGATCATGGACGACCGGCGTAACTTCTTCTAGTTCAAGTTCATGTAGTTGATGTTGTTTTTTTGTGTAGCTATGATCTTCACATCATCAAGTATGGAAATGATTGCATTCTAATATGCATTCTCAACATCCATTACTACGTACTTTTGTAGGTGCCGAGTCGCGTAGGAGCTGACTTTCCGAAATTGCAAGCTATGTTGCCTTCTTTCCGCGACAAACTCGAGGCAGGACAGCAGTATTTCCGAAGGTTCTAACTTCTAAAATGCATGGCGCATTCATTGCGATTGAGGACGTTTTGACCACGCTCTTAGCAGGAGAAGTATGAGCGCATGAATTACCAGCAAAATATCGCGATCTCGACTCTAGAGAATTCGAGTTCATTTTTATTTTTCAACGAATACTTAATAAATAAAGCATGACTTGCGTTTCTAGTATAGACTCTCAGCGGAAAATCTTCAGTAGGATGCACTGGGAGAATCGTGCCCATATGGATCGCACCGCTGAAGGGGCTTGCGCCCCTGGTGGTGGATGCCGCAGCGCCTCTGCCCTTCCACGTGATTCCTGGCGCGAGGATGTGCCGCATAGCACCGGAGCACCTTGCGCGTGGTGTGTGTGTGTTTGTAGAGTCGGCGACCTCCGTTGCGGCCAGAGGCGTGTCGCTGGCCCTCTCCAGTTTCTCGCGTCTCCCTTGGGCGCTCAGGTTCAGGCGCTGCTCCCGGAGCTAGGTCCGCGGAGAGAAAGCGAGTCGCGCTGGGGCGCCCAGGCCTGGATTCCTTGGCTGATGCGATGGGTGTGGCAATTGTTATGCCATTGCGAGCGCCCTCGGCATGCGCTTTTCCTGCTTGTGGGGCAGGAGAGTGGTTGGAGCTGCAGAGGGCCTCAGGCATTTGCCAGTCTCAGGACCCGGAAAAGTCTGGCGTCTGCGTCAGACGCCAGGATTCTCGAGCGCCTAAGAATTTCTGAGACCTGGCAAAAGTCTGGCGTCTGCGTCAGACGCCAGGACTTTCCCGGTACGGCTACCGACCCAGTGCACCCCACTGGGTCGGTGCCCGTACCCGTAAAACACCTGGCGTCTGACGCAGACGCCAGACCTTTGCCAAGTCTCAGAACGAAGTTGTGAGGCGTGGCGCGAAAGTCCGAGCGTCTGCCGCACAGCTAAGCCCTCGGGGGCACGATGAAACTGCGACTACGCACTGCGGCGCCTGTCGTGGCGCTACCTGTAGCTTCGTCTACAGGTCCGTAGTTGGACGCATCGGCCGGCGGGCCCTGCAGCCGTGCTTTTGACTCTGGGGTTGGGGTTCACCTGGCAGGCTCGCGTGGCAGCTCTTCGGCCTCTTGCTCTCCGGGGTGTCTGGCCGTGCCTTCTCGTTGGAGTCACAGTTGGTGCGCTGATGGGGCTTGTCGTTGTTTGCGTGGGCGGCCGGACTGTCTGGTGTCGGTGCGTGGTCAGGGCAGCGCGAATTTTGTCCTGACTGCGAGAGGGGTAACGGGTCCAAGCTCGGAGGTTTATCGTTTTGAAACTAAGGGGGGCCCGCCTAGCTTGATGGCCCTCTGGGCCGCGGGGTTGCGGTGCTCTGCGTCTACAGCTGTAGTTAGCCCATCTGCCTCAGTATCCCTTACTGAAGGTTTTCCGCTGAAAATGCACGCATTTCCCAAAGTCATGAAATAAAGATAAAGAATAAGAAACAGCAACAACAGTTGTACTATTATATATAAAACCTAGAGAGTACTATTAGTACTCCATTATTGTGATACTAGCTGGTAGATCACATTGTTCAGGCACTGCGACCATAGATATTGACCATATTTATTAACATCAGAAACGATGTAAGTTTCTCTTCAAGGTGTAAAGTAAGATCATGAGCAAGACCGCTCGTCCTGACACTTTCCACTATGCGTGGCACAAGTCAGCATTAGCAATTTTGAGTACTATAATCGTCAACATCGTCGTTCTTCAACATCTTCAAATGCTGGCACAGACTTCCTCGAGTTTCTGGATATGTACAGATGAAAAGCTCTTATCACTCTTGTGTGCTGCTCATGACAGCTACAGCTTAGAGTTACAACATTTAATGACAAGTTGAATAGCCCCATTTTGATACCCCTTACTTTGTGAGCAAAAATATGGACAGATTTATAGAACTCGTTCTGCTGGAGCAGGTACTACTATGCCATGAGGGCCTGTCCACCTGAAGTGACCTATTCATTGAACATCGTCCTTCAACCTTTGTATCATCGCGAAAGAGCAAGTGACAAAGCAACTTTTACCATCCTACGAAGCAACGCCGACTATCGAGGTGCAAGTGGAGCAACAGGAAGCAGCGGAGCAAGAAGTTAAACTTACAACATCAAAAACAGGTCACCTGGTGGACGGCGAATCAAGTCCTATCCTATCCTCATAGAAAGCATGGACATCAGTGTCATGATGTTCAAACTTTCGCGCATATCTTCAGGAGTCTCCCTCTCCTCAAACACTGCAGCAGCTATCATTTTCATTGGAGGTTGCCTTGTCTATCCAAAGATGTTATCGGTTTCGGGATGTTGCAGCGACCAACAGCGATCTAAGTAATCATGTCCGACGACGGCAAAGTAGCAATGGCGCCGATGATCCCAAATCTTTGCTCTGTTGCAGCGTTGCTATGCTCTACTTAATATTCGTATGCTCTAATACTAATATTAGTACTAATATTGAATAGTGGTCGTAGTTCCTACACCACCAAGAAGATCACAGTCTACTTCGAATGACGCGGGTTTCATTGAAACACAAATTTGTTTTTGGCTTTGACTAAAAAGACAACTCGGACTAGATCCATCCATGCATGCGTCGCCATTCTTTGGTACTCCTTGGCTCATTCTTTCTAGGATTTGATTGTTAGTTTGATGATTTTCTGCAGTTGTAAAGACCGCCGTAATACTCATACGGGTCAGTCTTCAACTTCATGCTCCTTTCTGTCCCCTATGCAGTAAAGGCATGGGTCTGGTGACGGGTCGCACTAGAAGAAGCAGTACAATGGTGGCGACAGCTGGTTCTCAAGTCACTGTCGACGAGGCTCAGCGAGGATTATTACTGTACTAGAAATGCAGAAACGTGGTCGAGTGCGCACGACGAGGATATCGAGAACATATAGCAAGGAAGTAAAAAACGAACAAAAAGTCACGACGTAGTCTGGACATCCAAAAGACGTGGTAACGATGCTGCAGGGTGCGGTTAATGGCTTTCTGCAGGGGTACCTGGCTCCCTACGTGGACGGGTTGCATCCTGATTCGTTGAAAGTCGGTATTTTCAGTGGGGAGGTGGAACTCAAAGGATTGAGCGTCAAGCGGAATTTCTTCCAGCTCATTGGCGTGGAGGCCTTTGAAGTGCTCGAAGGAAGAATAGGCTCGATTCGCATGAAGTTTGATTGGACGAAGCTTGTGACGGGAGGAAGCATTACCTTGCAAATCAAAGGCCTACAACTCACGGTAAAAGCAGTGAAAATCTTTGCCGGCGAGGACGAGGGGCACGGAAGTGCTGCGGACTTTATGTGCACGGCGCTAGTAGTCGTCCTAATCGTGTCACTGGAGATTGACTAGAACTAGTAATAAATTTTTGTAAGCGAAGATTATACGCTATTCTTGAGCACTTCTAACTTCTAGCAGTATCCACAGTAAGAGTGATTTATATATTTTCTTTGTCTTCTAGTACACGCCTGCATCTGGATCTGCAAGAGGAACATGATCTCTCCTTCTTCATATGCTTGGCAAAGGATGTCGAGGCTCTGCGTGCGTACAAAAAGCAACAAATCGAGGCACGTGAGAAAGTGCTGGTTGAGCAGTATGAAAGCCGCCGTCGGCAGCAAGAGGAAGGCGAAGAGCCTGAGGACCTGGGTTTTTTTGCCAAATTGGCAAAGCAAATCGCGGACAAGATACGGATTGAGGTCACAGGCCTGAGCCTCTCATTCCTAGACGAAGTACGCGAGGTCAACATCGGCATCGACGTGCCTAGCCTGCTCGTAAGAAGTACAGATGCTGCTTTTAAGCTTTTGGAGGACCACGTTGATCCAACGCAAGAAGCAAAAGACAGCAAGCAGCTAACAAGTGCTGGCGCCACGACAACATCCGAGTCGGCAGCTGCAAAAAGGAAACGGGCAGCTGAGGAGGGAGCATCGATGTACAAGCTTTTGGAAGTCAATGGACTAGCTTTGTGGTTCACTGATACCTCTATGGTGTCTCGACAAAATTACTCGCTAACACATGGCGAAAATCCCGGAGTTATAACCAAGAAGAAACAGCAAGGGCAAGATAAAGACGCCCAGCAAAGGCACGAAACAAGTCCGCTTGGAGACAGCGCCGTCGCTGGAGGACATAACAAGCTTCCGGCAGCTGTGCAAAAAGACTTGGCAGAGGCGCGGCGAAAAGAAGCAGAGCGTAAAGCAATTCAGGATGACATGGAGACTGTTTCCACGCACTATGGATTTGGAGCTGGCGATTCTAAAACGCAGGAGCCTCACAAGCGACTTTCTTTCGAAGAGATACAGAGTCTGCCAAAGCAATTTCTGCTGCACCCATGCCGCATCGCGTTTAAGTTTGCGCACGAACCGCCAAAGGGTATGCTTCGTGTCTTCTTCGAATTCACGGAAGCTTCCGCTTCAAGCGTTGCAGACATTAATAAAGCACTGGGATCTCGTCTGAAGAAAGAAAATCCTCTTGAAAACTTGAAGTCCCCTAGGACTGGGGGAACCGCGGAGCATGCTCCTGCGTCTTCCGAGGACGCACGTAATATTTTTGTTACTGTGGCTGTCTTCGTAATCTCATTTCTCAAGATGTAATGTCGTTTCATCTATATCTATATCTATATCTATAAACTACAAATCACCTATAGCACTAATTGCAATCTTCATGTCGACCACTCTTTTTCTTTCTCAGAAAACGCTCTGGTGCTGACGCGATCGCAGTACGTGGCGATCATGCGCCTTGTTGAGGCAAATAGCAGATCAAGTCAACGAGTGCAGAATGCGTTCACATCGAAGGAGGTCCTAGCACAATTTCCACGGGCACATGGCGACTACGGCGAAGAGTACATGCGCTTATACTCTCTGCGCTTAATGAGAGAGTTTTCTCTTCCGAGTAACTTGCAAAAAGTCATTACTGAGTACGCGGCTCAGTCCCTGGGAGGCGTCGGGTCCTCGAACGATAAGCGAGTTAGCAAAGGGGGCGATGGTACTTCGGAGAAGAGCAAGGGAGTCGGAGAAGTTGGTATAGGTGGAGCAGGTGAGGCAGCACAGGGAGGCAGTCTGGACGCAGAAGATGGTGGAGGAGTAGCGAAGCTGCTTATAGAGCAGTGCGCTGCCGCCGCGAAAAAAGGCAGCGGAAGCGTCGATGTTGACGAGCCGGAAGATCTCGATGCCTCGGCAGCCCGACTCCAGCTGATGGAAGACGTCATCAGCACTTTCTACATCGGCAAGTGGCGGGCAGCAATCCGCGCTGCTGTTCTAAGAGCCGATAGTATTATCAAGCAAGGAGAGGGTGGAGACGGGACTTCTAAAGGAAAGAAAAAAGATGGAGCAGGAAAAAAAGGTGGAGCGTCGTCTACGGAGGAAAAGCCGAAGTCGATGTTTGCAACCATGAAATCCTCTGCCTGGAGCTGGTTCACGGGTAACGCTGTTGTTGAAGAGAAGGAGAGCAAGCACCACGGCAGTGCTCGTGACGCGCAAACGCAAGAAGAGGAAAAACAATCAAGCAACGAAAAACTTGCTATGGACGTCCTCAAAAACCTGGAGGCGGAGCTGGAAGACGTGGCGGAGGTAGACGTTCCTAGCCGTATTATTGTCGGTTTCATTTGTTCGGAGCTGCTTTTAGTCCTAGTCGAAGATGTTCCGTCGCGGCTGCACCGATATGGCACGAAAACTCTGCGCGTCGACGCTTTAGCGTCGTCTCACAAAGATACGGAAAGAAAAGCACAAACACGAAGCAAATCTTAGAGCTTCTTGCTTAATGTGTTTGATGAGAGTGTCGTACTTTTCTCTGGGATTCGAAAACAGATCGCTACTTCATCTTCAACTGCTGCAACTCGAACTCCGTTATTGTCATAGTTGTCATCACGTCATCGTTTACCTTTGCTACATACACGTATACGGATACTATAGTCAATAAAAATGATCTCGATCTGTTTCTGTGTCTAAGAAAAAGAGCGCTACCTTTGGCCTGTTCCGTTCTGAAGACGAGGAGCCGCCAGCATGGCATGTAGCTAGGACAGAGATGCTGCGAGCGAATCTGAGTGGGCTCATGTTCATGTTTGGATTGAGCCCTAAGGTGGACTCGGCTGGCCTTGATACCAACGAGTTTATGGTGATTTTGGGCAACGATTCCATCACAGCTTCGCATTTTGGACAGGCTATCGCCTCAACGCGTCGACACAGTGGCAGGAGACCGAGTGGAGCAGAAGGCGAGCACGATCTCGATCGAGAACGAGAGAAAGGACTGCAGAAACTGAAGCAACTGAAAGCTCGTGGAGGAATTCGCAAAGGAGATGAAAAGAGCGATGTTGGGAATGTTGTAGAAAACAAGAGGACAGTTTTAGAGGACGCAGAGGCAGTGATGGTGGCAGCCTTCGCAGATGGGGGCAGTGACATGCAATCCGTGCGCGAGGACCTCACTCGTCGTGGACGCGTCGGCGGAAAGTTCGTGCTTTTCAGCAAGTGCACTCCCGAAAGAAATATTCTTGGGATTTCCTACGAAGCCATTCCGATATCGCTTTTTATGCGTGCTGGCATGGTGCCTGTCATTCAGTCTTACTTTGACGTCACTGAGGAAATTGACATTGGTCTAGGCCGATCGCGCCGCCAAAGCGAGCGCGCACCTACAGTCATCGAAGGTGACGCTGCCTTTGCTGGGGAAGAACCGACCGTGCACAGGGGTGACGCAGCAGCAAATACGAATACCACTTCATCATGCTCACCTTCAACTAAGTCAACTCATCCGAAAAACGAAAACAAAAAAACCAAAACTACAGATCAACAGCAACAACAAAATATACAAAGTAGTCCCAGTGGAAGCACCCAAGCTCAACAAGGAGCCGTCGCAGATCGCGAGACTTTAGATACGTTTGATGAGTATCTTGACTACGCGGCACGAACTTATGAGGCGAACCGGGATGCGATTTTGAAACGACTCCCGGACGCCATGGATCTGTATGTCGCGTTGCAGTCTCCCACGATTGAGATTGAGTCAAAGAGCAATTACAGCGCAGACATGCTCCGCGCACTTCGCGTTTTTAGGGTGCGCCAAAAACATCATAGAAGACACAGACACGGACATGATTATTCACCAGGAGAGGGAGCGGGAAATCACTCTCCAAGACAAGGGCAGCGGGGAGTGGGAGGACCGACGCAGAG